TGTCAGTACCTTCCCAATTTTGATAGAGGCAGACAATGTATGCTGCCTGAAGAGCCTGTACCTTCAACTTTTGCGCCAAAGGGTCGAGACCGAGTCATTGCTTAAATCGACATCCATAAAAGCAACCTCCTCGACAGAATTGAAGCCACACACACACCCCCCGATCAGTACCATTGACATAAGGAGGGCCGGCCGGCAGGTTGTAGGGTCAAAGGTCGGCCGGTGGATGATAGGTACGTTTGGATGCCAGACCGACCAGTAGAGCTCAAGGAATTTTCGTACATTGAAGGGCGAAAAGAACCGTAGGCAGACATTCTCTGAAACCACCGACCATGCCAGTCTCACTGTGCTGTTACGTGGTTTTACTACGCTGACCTCTTTGAACAATTTGATGTATGGTCCAGTAGAGTAGGTCCAGTAGACATGGACTCATGATTGATTCGGCTGTGGTCGATATAGGGTGGAAATTCCCTAGCAACGGAAGGAGGCTGCGATTGAAAGGCTCGGATGTCACGAGTGGCCTTGTAAGGAGGCCAGGAGAGATAAGATAGGAAGGCATGCCGAGGCACGTGATGACCGGATCAGGATAAGAATGTCATGATGGAATAGGCTGGGCATTATATTCTGGCATTACATTCATTACCCCTTTGGGTAATCGGGATGTCTATATAGTCGTGGCTCGCACCCTCGAGTCCTCTGTAGTCAACTTCGTTCATTATCACACCCCTACCATTGGATACACCGACACGCTCTGTATCCCTGCTCCGTGCCTTAATACTCACAGTCCCTGACCTCAAACCACGTGACGTCCACGCTGGGTGTGACCCACGTAACATCGGAACGCCCGACATGGTTGTTGCCATTGCATTCAGGCTCTTGGGATTTGCAAGACGCAGAAACCTCGCCATCACTTGCTCTCTCAAATCAATGCTTGCACAATCAAATGAAGAGATGAGAGGAGTTTTTTCGCTTATCAGATGGGACTCTTCTGTTAAATTCAGAAAATCCCCCCAATCGACCCCTGCGAAGTCTAGTAGTCTGCAGGAGGACAGGTCCTCGAAGGAGCAAGCAGTCAGGTATCAGGAAGCAATGAAACTTCCATATTTCAAGGCCTGCTGCAAAGAAGGTTTGAGGATCCGTCGGCATGTCTATGCCCAGGCATGTGCCGCAGACGATATCACATCGATACTTTCCGCCAGGTAGCCGTGTCGGCATCAATGCAGCAGTCTTACATTTCAAAAAAGGAGATCTTTGGTAAAGATGCGGACCAGTGGAACCCAGACCGGTGGTTGCAGCCAGGAGCAGAAAATCTGGATCGCTACATGCTCAACTTTGGCGGTGGTCCACGCACATGCATTGGAAAGAATGTGAGTGTCCATTTATGACTCTACTTTGCATCGGTTATGCCTGACAAGTCGATGGATGATGAACCACTATGCTGACATGTCTGGTTGTAGATTTCGCTCGCCGAGATCCACAAGTTGCTTCCTAACCTGCTGCGGCGCTATAGGCTTGAATTGGTTCAACCAGAAAAGGACTGGCAAACGCACAATTTTTGGTTCAACAAGCAGACCGGTATTAATGTCAAAAATAATAAGCGGTGAGCCTGAGTAGAATCGGAGAGCAATAACATGGCAGAGATTCAATTCCGCACAATTGGGGATAGTTAGCCGGCCGCTCGTCTGCATAGCACCATTGCAACGGGTGTCCATTTTCTCTCACTACGTGGCCCTCAAGTTAACCATTTGATTTCTTAAGTTAGTGTACGATCTCAAAGTCTCGAATAACTGATTACAGTACTGCCATAATGGAAATTTAAAGGTTTTTAGATGAGTCACTCGATTTATTTGTGCAAATAAACAACTGGATACAAATATGGGGGTCTATTCCGAGGAGTTTTCCTCTTCAGCTCCACATGCTAGCTGACACCATGACGGCCGAAACTATGTGGAAGCGGATCGGGTTTATGCGCTAGTTCTGGCTGCTCACGAGCGCTGTCATGGGCCGTATCAATCATGAACGCAGACGGCCGAGAGATGATTCAGGTGCTGAGCTGATCGCAGAGGCTTCTACCAGATCCAGTTTCCAGGATTATGACCTGACCAGTATGCAGCAGATCAGAAGGATTTGAGGCTTTTTCATAACGGGCTTTTACATTAGCTGCGTGTCGCTCCACTTCATTCATTCTCCACCAAAAGTGTAATCCCAGAGAGCCGAGTGTAGAGCACGACGACTAAGATCTCGGTATCTATCCCGCGAATTATCTCGTGCACCGTCCTCGTTTCGACTCCTGGGATCTCCTTCCGACATCCTCGCCTTTGGCCTTACTTAAAATTATCTACACCTTCCTGTCTCGTTGGGGGAGGAAAAATCTCCAGGGAAGGAAGGTGGAATGTTCACATTGACCTGGGCCCCAGTTGACGACAATAATTCGGCATTTTTGAAAAATAGACCAGACCGGACTCCGACTTATCTGGCCTGAAGGCTGGGCGTGGCAATCTATCATGATGGTCAGCATTTCCGTCAATATTCATGTCAAAGACACATCCTGATATATGCTGGACGCTCATCTCAACACCCGAAATCCAGGAGACTCCGATATCAACACATGACAGAGCTGCCCCTGGATGAGCCGTTAGCCATTGACCGAGATTGTCGCGTCTCCGTTAAGCGACTGCGCAACTCCGAACGGGGGATGATGATTGAGTTGCCTGTGAGGGGCGACAGGATAATTTCCAGGGCACGGCGCCGACGGTGACGCCAAGGGGAGTGTGGCGTACGAGGATCTTGCCGTCTTGCTCGTCAAACGATTTCTTCGGTTGGGAGATCGAAGTTAGCTGTTCGAAATTCTCTCACGTCTGCATGCATCGGAACTGGCGGAAGCAACCTCGACCTTCTGGTGAGGGAAACGCAGTACAAAATTTTCCCGATCAGGTTAAAGACAGAGAGACTAATATTTTCACCACGCGACCGAGGTTTGTTGAACAATAAAGACGGTGGGCCAGAAACTCTAGCAATTGCGCGTGATAGACTGTGGAGTCTAGAGAAGGAATGTGTTGTTGTTCTATCTAAGAGAGAGCAAGACGAAAAGAAGGGCGCAAGTTGCCAAGCCAAACAGCCTCACGTGACGTTGCCAAGGTAACCAGTCACGTGACTGGCCAACAGCGCGGACTTCTGAAGTGTTCGAAATCTAGGACGATCCTTGATTGCCGACTTACCTCAACAATGCCGCAGCTTGCTCTTCCCAAGCCTGTCATGATGCTTTGAGCAACATCTGCTTGCAAAGACCCTTGGAGGCTTCCGCGTACACTTCCTTTGGCTGATTGCTAGACAGAATCTCGATCTAAATGTTGCACCGCGACCCCAGTACGAAACGAATGATTTCCATATGTGGCCCCTAGCGCCGCCACTGGCTGGCGTGGGTCGAGGTGGGGAGACCGAAGCTGTTTGACGCTGTCAAAAGCGTAAAGCTCAAATTCTGGCTCTGCCCAAAAATACATGTCCCGTCCTTACCGTTCAGAGGCTCATAGTCATCGTTTAATGAGATCTTTTTCATGGAAATTCCAAATGGGTCAAAGAAGCTAGGATTTCGAGCGGAAGGGTGTCCACGCCTTATCCGGATCTGACGTTGGGCGGGATAAGCTCCTGGCTATCAAGAAACAAAGCGTAGTGTCGGACATAATGAATGACTCGAGAATCAAACAAATGTGAAGGCCTCGCACTTCCTAAAGCAGCCTTTCAAGAAGCTGGCAACTAACCAACAAACTTCGCCCCCACGGCGGCATCGAACTCTCACCATTGAAGAATGTGCAAGTGGGGCACCAGCCAAGCGAATACCAAATTCGTAGTACTATCATGACATAATTCAGCGCCCGTATGGAGAGAGTAGTTGAAATCACCAATCGTCTAGACATTTTGGTTCAGCAGGACTCAAGGCGGATTTTACCGGGGTAGATCTTTGCCCTTTTTATCGACACTTGCCTGACCATCAAAATCACGTCGCTCCCATGGTTTCAGAGGGAAAACTCCAGCCTCTCTCCAAGATCTACAAAGGAAAGAATTCCCCGAACTAGGGTTGTTAGCCTGCACGTCGACCCAATGCTGCCGCACTACATGCAACCAGCCGTCAACCTACTGAGTATTGATGGGTCGGGATAACTTTCCTATAGGCGCCTATTTCATCAATGTGACGAATTATGGCAGTTTTCCTGGGGGAAGACATATATTGCTCACAATGCCTCGTCTTCCTGGTCCTCAGCTCAAGTCTGAAGAGGTGTTCTAAGGGCCAGAACAGTTTCAGCGACCCTTCAGGACCGAGTACTCTGGAAGGATGGTGCGACACTACTATCATGTCGACCTTCTGGCCAGATTCTAAGGTATAGCCACAGTACGAGACTGTCAGTTGGGTCTTTCTTCTATAAAGAGCTGCTTACACGCCTTCAATCACTTTTCTCGACTTCTCTACATTCGAAAGGTTGAAGGCCTAATGGATACCTTATTGTACTGATATCTTTCTCAGTTTTTCATTGACAAACGAAGATTCGACCCTGAGGAATCCACATGTATATTTTATACTACCAGACAAGGCGTTAGATCGATTTCGCTTTGGGTATGTGCTATGAACTCAAGGTTAACAATACATGAGCAGTGTTGACAACTGCTGGATATATGGCCATGCGACCTATACAATGATAATAATATCCAAAGTCAGGGAGCCCCCCGAAGTTGCTACCATCCCCAGGCACACCCGCTGTTCGGGAAAAATACTCACGGTTCTTCCGCTGTCGTAGTGTAAAGGTGATGAACGGTTTAGCACTTGAGTGCCTGTCATGCAGGGAGGATGTCGTCGCCAAAGCTGTTGAGCAACCACACACCAAGCTCTAATTACAAGAAAAGTTCAGTGCTCTCGCCGTCTTTATACCCACCCATGTTTGCTTGCCCCCTTACATAATCCATGCACGTAGCGTCCCGCTACAGCAGAGGCTGACAACACCCGTCTATCATTCCACGCCTTTGGATGTTTTTCCCAACGCATGCAATAAGCGGCAAATATTTTCCACCAAGACCGAGTTCTTCCAAGAAAACTTTACCATAACCGTACTGAGAACCACGTCAGTGAGCTCCCCACTACGTGTGATCGGTATGTTCTTCAATCGGCGGCCTGCAGTATGTGGTTCGGAATCGTCCGTGATGACAGGGACTCCGCGATTCTGGCTGATCCAACGTAGTGTCTCGATGCTTTCCTCGCCATCAATCAAGACTTCGGGCAGCTGATCTGATGACGGAGGCGTCGACTTGGCAGAAGCAGAATCGTTCCCGTCCTGTGAGACAACTCCATAGATCCAGATGCAAAGGCTGGCGTGATAGGCCACGACAGCGCAGAAGTTGCTGAGCTGTTCGGGTGGCAGCTTACGCAGAGCGTTCAACACTTGGCCCGCATGCCAAACAGCTTGTCTGGCGCCTGAGGTCTGGATCCACCGATGAAGAGACGGGTAGGCAAGTCGCGCTTCTTCCGGACCATCTTTACCTGCCACAAGTTCCATTTGATCCAGTGAGGCAAAAAGGTGCATGAATAGCACCTCTAGGATCAAGTCTGATTCCGGGGCAGTATGTTCATTGTCGCGCTCACGGTTCGATCGGGCATCGTTCAAGATCTGCAGAATCCCTCTATGTTGCATTTCATCCGACAACACACGTTCGCGGTTATTGGCGTTACCATTGGACAAGAAAACCGTTTGATCTTGTCGGTAGCGACGGATCAAAGACGAACATGCATAGAGGAAGGCGACTTCTGCTAGTCCCCGGTCATACAGGGTAGACAGCGAACCCATCCTTGTAGGATCGGACAGCAGATCAATGATACAAGGAGAACGGCCTCGTTCGTCGAGTTGCATATCCAAGAAAGCAGTCTTCCATTCTGTAGCTGACCTAGCGAACCACAGCCTCCTTGCCTGAGGTAGTGGAAGAGATAGCTCAGAATAGAATATAGGTGGTGTTCCCGAGGTCAACAGGGTCTCTTGGGAGGAGTAAATATATACACAGTGGACAAGCCTAGAGAGAGAGAGCAGTTCGTCAGAAGGAAGGACCAAGCCGTGACAAGTCTATGCACTTTTGCCGTGCGTTTCTTTTTGGGGGTATCAAACTCACCTTTTAAATGATTCCTCCCGTACCCAAATTTTCCACTTTGATTCCAAAACGGAACCTTCATCGTCGGGGTGGGGAACGAGTCCTGTGTATGAGGCATAACGATAACGGTCGCCTCCGCGCAAGGACTACACATATCGTCAGTATTTCCGTACCCAAACGGAATAAACTTTTTTCCATACGTTCGACAGTATACCCAAAAAACTAGAACACATCTCCATTTTCCTTCTAATGCCACTCCAGGTCCCGATCTGGAGGTGCAACATAAATGCCTGAAGAAATTGAAGGTCTCGAATAAGCGTATTGGCTTTTTCTGACTGTCGATCATGCACACAATTAGTTTCTTTCTGGACCAACATGTAACGACACCGGAGGAAGCAAGTCTTTTATTTTTCTTTTTTTCATCTTACCATCTGCCAGAGGTGAAACACCAAAAACTCCTGTATTGCTAGTCCAAACTTCTGTACAGGTCGACTTGGCGATATCGCAGCCGCTGAGGCGATGCAAGCCATCAGTAGTTCAATTCGAGCTTCTTTCAGCGACATTGTAGGAAGATGGATCCAGGATTCGGTCTGAGCGACGTGCCATGTTAAGAATGCTTTCAGCAATCTGTCGAGGACTTCGACTCCCGGAAAGGCCGATATAACATGAACCAAATTGTCTTGCTCACACGATCGGGCGATGACACCCAGGATTTGATCTCGGATATTAATCGAAAGGTCCTCGTTGAATATGTGTGGATCAAATCTCCCAACGCCGTCAATCTTGGTGGTTCCGAGAGACAGAGACGACTCTAAAGCTACTGCCCGGTAATGATGTTTTTCAGGATCCCAGCGACCAGCAGATTGCTTGAAAGCTTCCACGACTGCGTCAGAGGTTGCCTGACCTAGTCTCGAGGCGAGGCTGGCGGAAGGCGATGGAGGCGTATTGACGCGATCGTAAGATGGTAACTTCGGGAGGGAGGCCAGAAAATCGATGTCGGGATCAGTCAAGACAAAGTTGATGTCGTTCCCTAAGTCGAACATGTTGCTCGCGAATCCGAATTCTCGGCTTGATCCAATGATGCCGTTGAACGCATCATCCCAAGGGCCGTTAGGATCGACATAGGAGCTTCGATTCTTCCATGTCTCTGCATCAATCAGTTATGGGAAAGGACGTTCAAAAGGATAAACATGTTCCGTACGGGTGACACTTGGTGTGCGGGGCTCTGCGCGGGGGCTGCGTGGCATCTCTGAGAGGCCCGTAACATCCAGGCAGGGTGTCATGACCTGCAGAGGTTGAAGATCCGACGAGGCAGACGACACGTACACGGACGGATCATCCAAGTCACCGCTATAATCGGAGACAGCATGGCCGCTAGATATGGGATGCCATCGGACACAAGGGATATTCTTCTTGGAGCAACGTCCACAGCGTTGCGCATTGTCGCACTTAACCTTCGCGGCAGCACAGGATTGACACGCTTGAGACGCTCGAGGGGCCGAGCGTACATGTTGTGATCTCGTGCTGGATCTGTGACCGTGGTGCCTGGATGTGTGTCGCTTCAACATGCTCCTACCGTCAGATCAGCATCCGAATTCAGAGTTCTCCGTCTACTATCTGATGATAAAAACTCGAATCGGCGAAAATCGAGTTCTACGTGGTTGCTCGTGAACACCTGCTGCACCAGAATGTATCCGGGGAGGGATGCGTTCTCCCTGTCAACGCTTGTGAGTCTTGAGAGAGGGAAAAAAACCGGACACGCCCGAGTTACAAGGGGGCGATTCACCTCGACTTTGTAGCCTCTTGGCCTTCTCAGACGCCTGCTGAGAAATATCATCGGGTGCTGCGGAAAAGGTATCTGGTTGCAGAGGACTTGTTCCGGTCGGGAATGGGTCTTTGTCCGCGGGAGCGGGAGCTAATTGATGTCCCATAGCTTCATTCATTGCGAACATTGAAACAGAGATGGTGTTGTCAGGAAGTACTATGGCTTCAAAGTGATCAAAAAAGAAAGAGAGTTCATTTACCCCAAGGGGCCTTGAGGATCGTTGAGCGCTAAGCAGTGGGACGGGAATCATATCGCCCTCATTCCCCACTGGAACGCTCCACGGTCCGGGGGGTTCAACTTCCGGGCTCCACGTTTAACCCCGCGATTAGCCACAAGCTACACATGATATTCCCTGAGACCTTCGCTAGCGCTGCCCTTTAACCAGAGAGGTTCAACCAGGTACCATTTGGTCCCCCGCACATACACAGAGAGGGAAAGTCAGCGGGAAGACGAGGTCCGCAGAACACCTTGCTACGCTCATCCTTGTCCAACTGTCCGCGAGTTGAACAAATGTCCATTTCGGAACGTCCCGCCTGTTAAGTAGTTTGTCAAAGAAATCCTCCGCTCTCTTTGCGTTTGGAGGGCCGGTGCCTAAGAAGCGTTGACGGTTTGCCGGCGCAGTTGAGGAGGCAATGATAGAAAGACCACTCTGCTTTTCGGTATAGGAATGAGGCCAGGTATAGGCTGTCCTTCTACAAGTATCCATCAGCCTGTGGTCAGATCGAGGTCGCCAACGGAGTTGGTGAGACGAGAAATCAACGGTCAATCACGAGTTGGAAGGGAAGAATACTGAGAGCCGTTACCGGGTTCGTTTCCGAGCATCCTTTTCACTCAGGCCTCTGCGGTGGCACCTACTACAACCCTCACTCTGGTCGCAGCGCGCCAGTTTGGACCTTTACCGATTTTGGCGACCACAGACCATAGCTCTGGGGCCCACTACAAGGTTGACCGGCCCCTAATCGGATTCTGTCTCTAGATCGTGCACAATATTGGGGACGATGGATATTGAGCTTCCCTCCATACCTTTGTTTCTCTAGGACACTCCTACGGTCCTACGGTGTTTTATAGCCGGCACTCACGACGTCCTCGTAGATATCAACCCTTTCAAGGACAACTGCAAAGTACCTTCAACTATCCGCTATTCCTTTTTTGGTGTCTTCGCTCTCTTGGGCCGTGGAACATGCAATTGCCTTTGGAGATTGTAACATGGTAGTCTCTCGTTCAAAAACGTAGGTTTCGATCCCCGCCTGACCCAAAATTAAAGCAAGATATAAACCCACAGGTCCTGCTCCGATGATGGTGATGGTGCTGGAACCCTGATACTACGTATTCGATCAGCGTTGAATAAGAATCATCTGGACTGGAGGAATGACCCACCGTGACGGAACTCATGTCCTTGCCCTCTCGATATATTCTAAACTTTATGCACGCTGATCAGGATGACCGGTCGTGGTGCTTTTGCCTCAATTGCAATGATTGCTGAAATCCCCAAAAGTGGAGTTTTCGTTTCGCGTCCCTGCCTGCAACCCCTGTATTCGCTCCTCGATCATTCTTGCTAACGGCAACGTCACGGATTACCGAGCTCATCTCCGTATATCTCGGCCCGGGTCATCTATCTGAATAGTTCATGCCGTGTCATAAAGTCTGACAAGAGAGTCATCTGTGCAGACACGCCCCATAAATATAGACCTAAGAACACTGGTTCAGTCGTCGTGAACAACGATTTGACCACCTACACACCTGCACCGCACATCCTCTCAGTAATCTGGATTCCTCACACATGAGAGCCCTCTGGTATGATGTCTTCAAGGAGGGCAAATCACTTGCGGATGCTCCTAAGGAGATGCTAGCGGAGGAAAATGCGCTGGCTTGGAAGTCAAACGTCGAAACTTGGAATACTCGATTTTTTCCTGTCATCCAAGAAGACAGCGAGGACATTGCAGGAGCCGTTGTGCACCTGACAGGGGTTGAGAACTACGAGTCCTTGGTGAAATTTACGGCAAATGTCCCGTGGATCGTCCACGACTTTGCTGCCGGCGGAGTTTTTCCGTTTGGCAATTTTGTCTCGGTGCAGAAGTTGTTTCATCAAGACAACAAGTATCGAGGCATCGACCTGATCAAGCGAGTCAAGCCATTTGTCTCTTTTCCCACAATCACGTGGTACGTGGTACTATCCGCTAAACACACCTGGAGGGAAGAATACGAGAAGCAATTTGGCCTGGATGATGCTCTGCAAAGCTTTCGGTTACTCAAGGGTAAGCACAAGAATTCCACGGCTCGGAACTACCAAGGGCGGAAATTTCAGACCAGCTGATTTGAGATAGGTGACATTGCCGAAGAAGTCTTTGATCTCCATGACCCAGAGCAAGGGAAGGTGAGCAAACAAGCAATCTTCTCCCTACCAGTTCCGCCTTTGGTTAACAGCTTGAAAGATCCTTCGCATCAAAGCCAACGATAGACGAGAAGTGGAACATTACATTAACGAATTTGCTTCGGTAAGGGAGGGAGCCGTAAACATCTTGATCCTGAGGACAAAGTCCACCTGTGTTTGGGATTTTTCTTTCTTCTGACTTGAAGTCAACTCGTACATAGAGACACTTCCCTTCAAAGGCAGGGAGAGTGTCAAACTGGGATTGCAAATTGAGATGTATTGAATGCACTGTCTCTTTGGCAATTGGTCCTGCCAGATTGCCAGTATACATACACGCTTGGTTGACCCCTTTTCTACTCCTATTCTTTGGTGATAACCCTTTTCCAAGTAAAGGGGTACTACCCATTGTTCGACAGAGGGATTCGAAAAACAATTGGGGATTCTTGACTTGTGCTCTCCTCAATATCACTGGTTTTAGTGATCCATCCTACGTCCATTAGGCTGTGAGAGACTCTGTATGAATCGAAGCAACCTCGTAGGATGGGCATCTCTACGAGCAATCCTGGTCCATCCGGTTGGCTGCTGAAATATCTACTCTGACAGGCTCTGGTGAGCTGATCTCGAGGCTCCGATGATATTATGACGAAACATTGCCAAGAGCGCCACGACAGGTGACAAGGAGATCAATCTCGAGATGTCCCATTGCCTTACATTCGCCAATGCCATCCGTCGGCTTACCGAGTACCAAAATTTATGATTTCTCGGGAACCCGAATCTCTCGGCATCTATGCCGTTTTGGGTATTTTTTTTAATCGGAGATGTATCTTTGAGGTCAGCCCGAGTTGTTCGCTTAGGCCCCAGCTCATGACTCTCCAAAGGTGCGGAATGGTACCAGCGATGGGTCGAGAACGAAACAAAGAGGGGGGTTTGTGAACACAATTACTGCACAAATAGACTGAAAATGGCCATTCGGTTGATACGTCCATCAACCCCTCCCCCCCGAATCAACTTTTCGAACAGTCGCGAGAGATCCAAACGGCCTTTCGAAAAATCTCTGATCAAAAGCCTCGCGGAAGCTGCACGGAGAGGCTGCCAATCAGCATGTAAGCGCCCCCATTTATTCTAGGTCAGCGTTCGCGATGTTGCAAAACTTTTTTTTGTATGTACCCTTCTGCAAAGCATGGCATGAACCGCTCATGAGTGCTTACACTGTACTCTAAATGCAATGGAAATATTTCAGGCACGCTACGAAGGCGTCGATCGTCATGTCTCGAAATTTGGTTTTATCGCAGGAATGCCGTTGCCAGTACTACCGCATTTACGGTCACCGAGTTTGGCACTGGCTGAGCACACCACTCCTCCCACAAGCGATCAATATTAGGGTCCGCAGAGAAACACATGCGTATCAAACTTAATGGACCACTCGGATTTCAGACTCGCTCTTCTGTCTCTGCTGGGACACACTCTCGTCGCCAAGACATCTCCGACAAAAAACAGCTACAATGACGCTGACGAAAATTGCAATATCCCCTTGAGGGTCTCGACGCAAAGTCGGGAATTTGGGATGACGATGACAATGACAGTTCTCCTGCTGAAATCGTCGAGGGCTCAACTATTGATCTAGAAAAAGTGCACCATCGCTGAACGGGGCAGCCGACTTAGCTTCCCTGGAACACACGGAAAAGACGCTGGGCAGTTTTAATTGAGCGTGCTCTGCACCTAACGTTTGAAACAGAACCGGTTGAGGACTTTTTCTACTAGGCCCAGGGGAAGCGATTCCGTGTGATCTTCAACTGAAGCAGGCAGTGCTATCTTGGACTCCATAGGATTTCGGCCTTTGGAAAACGCTGATCCTCTCAACCAGCCTTTTCCATCCGGTCTGTAACGTTTGGAAATTTGAAACGAAGTGGGCGAGTAGTCCCAACGACGAAGGTTCTCCCGCTAGAACGGGAAGGGCAATCGGGATTCTAAGAATCTGGCCCGTAGGAATTAAACGCAGTACAAAATTTCTGATCTCGGAATTGTTTTCCACGTGACCCCATTATACCATTATCCAATTGTGAAAAATAGAACCCCCCAGCAAAGCGTTCCATACGGAGGAGTCTCAGCAGATTTTCATGACCGTCTTCGTACATATGTGTGTTTTATAGCATCTCCCTCCCACATATGTGACACCCAATCACCAATTCCATACTTTTCCGGTGCTCTGCGGATTTCCTCGACCACCTCCACCAATAATCAGGTTCCCGGGTCGATACTTTGGATCGTGCTGCATGCGCTTGATAACGGAATTGTGAATTTGTGCATCCGCAGGAATGTCTCGAGTCTCTCCCATTGGGAGGGGCCTAATGAGATCGAGTAAGTCTATGCGAAACATGGTCTAGGGTGGGGATTCACTTACCAACGAATAGCTTTCCAGGTACCATTCTTTTGTAAGTCCATTCTTCGAAACGGCAGATATTCCATCATTTTCCAGAATGCCACGGTGGTCCATGGAAGACCACCTCCCGGGGTTAAGCAGTCATGAACTACGCTGGCGACATAACACTCTTCCAAGGTCTGGTACCACATATTGCGGAATTCGGCATCCTCAAGCGGATCACCAAATTCATTGACTCCGTCGGGAAGACAGGAAAGACGTGCCATTTTACTGGTAGGAGAAAAATTAGGACTTTCAAATATTTTTAATTTCATGAACACTCACGCGGGGTCAAACTTCAAGCCTGCCCTTTCAGCTTCATGTACCATCCACACGAGGGGTGCATGACTGAGCATCCAATGTTCACCATCGCTTCTTGTCCACCCTCCGCCGATGTCACCATGACCGCCAGCGAACCAAACCTCCTGGATATCTTGTGTGCGTTTCATCTCAGACCATTGGCGTCGACGGTGTTTATGGCCCTTGGCACAAAGATGCTCCATGCCAGGGGGATGTATTGGCGCGGCTAGACTTTCAGAAGAGCTTTTCTCCCCGATCATCGGGGTTGGCACCGACAACTGGCCGGGGCGGTCCGAATTTGATATCTCGACTCTCGGTGCAGCAGCATTATGTGTTGAAGAGTGGTGGTGAACACCGTTCAATTCCAAGTTTTTCGACATCTGAGCAAGGTCGGAGTTATATCGATGGATGTGCAAGCTTTCATTCGCATTGTCTTCTCGTTGAGGTTGAGAGCCATTGATGAGGTCCTGTCGAAATTTGGCTCGTCGCTCATCGATTGATACCGCATGTCTTATGACTTTAGCAGATGAACGTGCAGTGTAAGGAAATTTGCTTCGCTGCATCCAAGCTGATTCAAATCTTGGGACTGAATTGACGGTATCAAAAAGTCCCAGGAAACGAATTCGTCGGACTGGTCTGCTACTGTGAGGGTTGTCAGCTGCCAGGGCCATACTATTTGGTGGGGGAATGGGTACAATGTTTCTCTGAAACCACGCATGAACTCATATTGCTCGACCTCCTTGCGTTTCGCTCCGTCACTGCCATCATTGGTTCTAGCGGCCCATTTGGCGTAGGTTTTCCAAGCAAATCTGATCAACTCTTCGTTCCCAGCACTGAGCAAACCTATATGGTCGAGCATTTCGGCAAGGAAACGAGCCGTATACGCTCCGCGGCTGAAACCAAAGAAGTACAAGTCATCTTCACAACTGTAATATCGCATCAGGAATTTGTAACCACCCATGACATGATCGGCGAATGACGAGCCGACAGCCGAGTCTTTGGCTTTTGTGTACCAAGATCGAATTTTCCCCAGGGTGGAAGTTGTTTGCATCTGGTAAAAAGATTTAGCCCAAATTCGCCTTCGTTACCCCCGTCCCCTCTCAGCATACCGAATGAGAGGTGATGTACGTCCCAATGCCTGGTTGGTAAAAGGTGTACATGCTAACATCGGTGCGATCGAGCATTCGGTACAGTTTGAGGATATTACTATCCGTCTCGGTACCACTGAACTTGTTCCCAGTACCCTAAAATTTTGTCAACCAATACCTGGAAATTCAGTGCAGAGAAGGTCAAGCACGAACATCGAAGCATAGGACAAAGACATTTTTCTGACGCGCGTGGGTGGGTTCTGGTTCCCCCATAGTTAAAGGACTTCCGCCCTGACAGTAAGAGTGAATATTCCTAGGAACAGAGGCTGGCGAAGACACAGGGTCAAGCCTGTAATATGAAAGATGAATGATGCTGTTGTCAAAGAAGCAGACCAATCATCGGCGCGCAGACGAAGGCTGGGTTGGGGCAGGTTTGGTTTTCGAAATTCCACATGCACCCAGCGCGTCATACATGAGAGCACACTTCTTCACATGACCCCCTTATTGTAGTCAAAGATGCACGCCTTAGGTAAATGATGAACGAGTTCAATCTCACTGGAGGTCGATTCCCATGTCGAATCAAGATGATCATCTGCCACTTGAGAAGCCCCAACCTTCGTTAGAGCTGCCTCTCCCTCTCTCTTATGCGTTGCTCAACGGCCTCGTCGGTTGAGCAGTGGGGGTTTTTTTTTTAATCGACGCTTAAATCTGGAGAATCCTTTGTAGCCGAAAGGTGTCCGTGTTTATCCTGCTGATCTATGCCCTGACTGGCAACGAGTGATCCATAGGTGACATGAGCGGAGGTATTTTTCTGTTGCTGGATTGGGGTACTAAGAGGTTCAAGGCGTCAATCTTGTCGTGTTCAAGGTGGTCAAAGCTGGGACGTCCATATGCCCAAAAATGCTCCGTGCAGTTGACTGACGCCGATCTGGCGTCAGTAGAGCAGCCCCGAGCCTCTCGAATGGAGCAACGATCGAGCCCAAGAGGATAAGGAGGCGAGAAAAAGTTGGAAAGCAAATGGGGAACTCAGGAGAACATCAGCCAGGTGCCCACTACACCGGACCGGACCGAAATAAGCTTTCGGGGGGCTTATTGGCTCTCGCCGGGCTGCCCAACCACGTCACTTTCATTTACAAGTCCGGCTTCTTATCCCCCCCTTTCGAGTGCTCACTGCTCAACCACCAAACAGAGGAAAATCTTGCTCCACGATCCAAAGACAGCAAACAAATCTACGCCGACGGTATGCCTTCACGTAAAATATGAAACATTTCTCTATCCTCATACATCCATACCCCGCTTCGTCCTGCAAATCCTGCAGCTCCTGCAGCCAGCAGACCGCTTGACATCGTGAGTCGTGATCGATGATGCCCTGATGAGAGGCCGCCAGATTTCCATTGAACTGCTACCTGTGCTGATCACCCCGACGGAAAGATGATGATGGGACAGGAATGATTCAAAGAGGAGTGTCACGTACACAAACTTGTCAGTGGCACGGACACTTTTTTGGACAACCGCCCCCACCACCTTCCCAATACCTAACAGTGATGCGCAAGAGACACGATACAGAACTCCTCAGCGATATTTCCAAGATTTCTCCACTACCAGCAATCATGCCGTCTAAGTCCTGGCTTGGACGAATGTCCGTTACAAGGTTGGTCGGTCAGGTTTTCTCCATCTCCGTCTCAAGCAAAGCGCTACCTTGGGATGAAGATTGAACTTGATTGATGTCATTCTAATATTCAACCGAGTCTGTCTCATTATCCTACCGCACGTCTTTCCCTCCTTTTTGTTTCCAAAGGTCATGCAATTGGACAGCTTACCTATTCGGAGCTCCTTTTGTTGCGCCTTCTCCGTTGCATTCCCTCTTAACTGTTCTACGGCTCCCTCCTCCTTAGATCCGGCATCCCTCTCTACCACATTGTGAAAGCTATATATGTGTCGTACCAATAGCAGATATGGCGTTGCTACGAAGACTCTCTTCGAGGTTCAAGAGTACATCCGACAACCGGAATAGTATCAATGGCACTAATGGGCCCCTTCCCCTGGCCAATGAGCCCAAAGGGCCCCCCGCGGCGAATGACCACCAAATTAATGGTTCCCACGCGAACAGTGCCATTGTTGGCCCGAATGTTGAGAAAACCAAAAATGTTCGACGTCTTTCGTTCAGACCTACGGTCAGTTCGCCTCCTCCGGGTCAGCCCGCAGAGGACCACGGCCCTCCCGCCACACGGAAAGACGTCGAAAGTGCTTTTACACAATTCGCACAATTGATTCATGCATCCCAACGTCCGCTGCCGACCCAGTCTGGTAACGGATCGTATTTGGAGAAGGAGGAACCATCCGGACTCTGGGCTGATTTGAGGTCCCTTGGACTCAAAGATATCAAAACAGTCAGACACATGCTGGAGGACAAGGCAAGCGGCGAGCCTCAAGATGATCGCAAAATGCACATGGAGGAGATTATGCAGCTTCTCGCCGCGCTGCCCGATCGCTCTGCGAATCGTGTTGAGCTCACTAGTATGCTCTTAGACACACTGTGGAACTCATTGCAGCATCCGCCGATGTCTTACCTTGGCGATGATTTCAAATATCGTTCCGCGGATGGCTCCAACAACTCGTACATCTTTCCGAAGCTCGGTGCTGCAAATACGCCATATGCGCGGTCGGTCAACCCGGTCACGGTACAGCCAGGTGCTCTTCCCGATCCCGGATTGCTATTCGATTCGCTTATGGCGCGGGAGGAGTTCAAACCGCATCCAAATCGGGTTTCAAGCATTTTCTTCAACTGGGCGTCGCTCATCATTCACGGTACGTGGACTGACATATATGTGTTGGTGGTCGAGGCTAATAATATGCGGCAGATCTCTTCCAAACCGATCACAAAGATTACACCAACAGCAAGACTTCCAGCTATCTCGATCTTTCTATCTTGTACGGTGACACTCAAGAAGATCAAAATACCATGAGAACTTTCCGAGGCGGCCGAATCAAGCCCGACTGTTTTGCCGAGGAAAGACTTCTTGCTTTCCCACCATCTTGTGGCGTTATGTTGATCATGTTGAATCGCTTTCACAATTATGTTGTTGAGCAATTGGCGTTGATCAATGAGGGCGGTCGCTTCAACAAGCCTTCTGACCATCTCCCCGAAGAGGCCAAAAAGGCCGCATGGAAGAAGTACGACAATGACCTCTTCCAGACGGGAAGACTCATTACGTGCGGCTTGTACATCAACATTACCTTGTATGACTACCTCCGAACCATTGTCAATTTGAATAGGACCAACAGTACTTGGACATTGGATCCGCGTCTGGACAAACCAAAGACTTTTGGTAATGATGGCACGCCCCGTGGAGTCGGCAATCAAGTGAGCGCCGAGTTCAGTTTGTCATACCGTTGGCATTCATGCATCGGGCAGATGGATGAAGCATGGACAGAAGCTGTCTACCGAGAACTCTTCGGAAAGTCACCAGATGATGTATCACTCCGGGAGTTGATGATCGGCCTCGGCAAATATGATCATGACTTGCCCGCAGATCCATTGCAGAGACCATTTGCTCATCTCAAACGTGATGCTCATGGCAAATTTGACGATGGCGACCTTGCAAGGATCATGCAAGATGGTATTGAACAAGTTTCTGGTGCATTCGGTGCCCGCAATACTCCCAAGTCTCTCAGAGCAATTACCATACTCGGTATCATGCAGTCTCGCTCTTGGAACCTTTGCACCCTGAACGAATACAGAAAGTTCTTCGGTCTGAAGACCTATGATACTTTCGAGGAAGTCAATCGGGACCCGTACGTTGCCGAGCAACTCAAACATCTCTACGAGCACCCTGACTACATTGAACTATATCCTGGATTAGCTATCGAGGAGTACAAAGAGCCGATGGTTCCCGGCGTGGGAATCTGCCCTACACATACTATCTCACGTGTCGTCTTATCCGATGCCGTCGCTCTGGTCCGAGGCGACAGATTCTACACACTTGACTACAGTCCCAAAAACCTGACTAACTGGGGATACAATGAGGTCGCGTATGACTTGAGTATCAACCAAGGCTGTGTCTTCTACAAGCTTATTCTTCGGGCACTACCGAATCATTTCAAACCCAACAGCATCTACGCACATTGTAAGTATCGTTTTGCCGGCCCCGTCCGAGTGAGTGATTGCTAACGTGGGCTTTCCTTTTCCTTTTCTCCCTCTTAGATCCCATGACAATTCCAAGCGAAAATGCCAAAATCATGAAGAACCTTGGTCGCTATCATGACTATGACTGGGAAACACCCTCTTACATACCCACGCGAATCAATTTAACGTCCTATCAAAGTGCCAAATACCTTCTCGAACGGCCTCAAGACTTTACTGTCATGTGGAACGATGGTCTCGGTTTTGTCATGGGCCAGGGTGGAGAGAAATTCTGTCTAGGAGGAGACACGGTCTTCCATCGGAAACAACGACAAACGATGCACCAACTCATCTACCGTGATAAGTGGCACGAGCATGTCAAGCACTTCTATGAGTATACGACTCTCCGTCTTCTCCACGAAAAGAGCCGCAAGATTGCGGGCATCAATCAAGTTGACTTGACGCGAGATGTCGGTAATCTGGCGCATGTCCACTTTGCCGCCAACATGTTTGCCTTGCCTTTGAAGACCGCGGAGAATCCCAAAGGCATTTTCACGGAGCATGAGATGTGGATGGCTATGAGCGTCATTTTCACCGCCATCTTCTTTGACTTTGAACCCACCAAATCATTCCCACTCCGGACCGTGGCCAAGAAGTTGGCAACCATGCTCGGCAAACTGATCGAAGTCAATGTCAAATCAGTCACAGCGACATCCTTTGCTTCCAAGTTCTTTGACAGTTTCAGAGAAAATGAGAATGCGCTGGCCGATTATGGCATCCACATGATTCGACGACTCAGCGAAACTGGCATGAGAGCATACGATATGGCATTCAGTCAAATCATGCCCACGGCAGTTGCGATGGTTCCCAACCAGTCTCAGGTCTTCACGCAAATCATGGATTACTATCTTGGTGTTGAAGGAATCAAACATCTCCCAGAAATCCAGCGCCTGGCAAGGATTGATAGCGAGGAATCGGATGACAAGCTCCTCCGATACGTCAATGAAGGCATCCGCTTGAACGGTACCTTCGGAAGCTATCGTCGAAGCGAGACAGATCACGTCTTTAACGACGATGGTAAACAAGTCCCCGTAAAGCCAGGAGATAAAGTCTTCTGTAGTTTCGTTGGAGCTGCTCGAGATCCATCAGTCTTTCCTAGCCCTCATGAAGTTCGTTTGGACAGACCATTGGACTCGTACATCCACTATGGCATCGGGGAACACACTTGTCTGGGGAAAGAAGCCAGTATGGTAGCACTTACAGCCATGCTGAGGACTGTTGGAAAGCTAGAGAATCTAAGGAGGGCACCAGGACCGCAGGGTCAGTTGAAGAAGGTAAAGTCACTCCTCCCTTTGCCCTCCTCCCACCGATTCATCTACAATTTGGTAACGGTCCCCTAGGTTCCACGTCCGGGTGGGTTTTACGTCTACATGAGAGAGGATCATGGGTCGTACTTTGTCTTCCCCTGCACATTCAAAATCCACTATGACGGAACGCTACCCCCTCTGCCGAAACCCAAAGCAGAGCATTGATACCCAAATTATTGTCATCCAGGGAGCCAGTATAGTACTGGGCAGTTTTAATTTGATGGTGCCGAGCTAGTAAAGTCACGATGATATCCGGAAAGTTGAAGAGGCCAATTGGCTCTGAATTGGAAGGGGCAATACTGAGAGCTTTGGAAAGATAGAGAACAAGTCGGTACACCATTTCATCATAATGATACGATCTGGAAACATTCCCTGAACTTCTGTGGTATTGCTAAAAAGTCAAGAGCCAAGATCTGCCCCAGGTAGCCTTGTTCTGTTCCGCCCGCTCCCGGAAACTAATGGTACTGCGGTTTCTAAATGTCAACACCTCGCCATTATCTGGTCGGTTCTCTTCGTTCTTTGCAAACTCATCCTTCATATCGACTAGGAGTTGTGCCCAAGTCAAAGGCAGTCCATGGGCCTCTAATCTACCCTTCTTTTGCTCAAGAGTAATTCGTTCATGAGTAATCTTTCTCAATGAGGATGCGTGCGATCTATTTCAATTCGAATATGGACCGTTGGTGTAAAACCCACAAGACCGGAATGTTACACATGGTATGGATGAACGGATGACAGGTACGCAGCAGGGATTGGGGTTGCAGGAACGGGGTTTCTCATGTCGTCGTAGCTGAGAGCTTCAGGCCCAACAACATGTGAGTCGAGTTGACCAGCGTTTCGTCGGTCAGAGCACGCGTGATAGCGGCCCCTACGTCGACCGTGGATATCCAGCGAGCCTTGCCGTCCTTCACCCTGGAGTAGATCTCCCCTCTTCGCGGATTCCTTGTAGATGGCTCTGCAGATTGTCTGACCAAAGTAATGAGTACGGTTTCTCCGCCCACCCACCCACCAACACACACACACACACATATACACACGCACAAAATGATGGGATATTGCAGCTAGCACCTACCTATATACCACCATTGATATACTAAATAATGTACCTCGCTTTGGTTCTGTTGGACGACGGCATGACGCTGCCACGTGATGAGGTGGTCTTTGTTCAAGTTGACTGCATTTTCTCGGCATCGACTTTGACTTGGACACTGTCAATCACAAAATCCGCCCCCGAAAGCCTCACATCCTGTTCCCATCTGTCATGGCCACCTTTTTTCCTAGCTAACGAGATAGCTCTTTCTCATGAGTTGAGTGGACCAAGGCAAACGTCACCAGAATCGAACATTGTATTGCCCCACGAACACTACGCAGCTACAACTCAAAAAGACAAGACATACATGGGAAACGAAATAGGGCAAAGTCAATCCTTGTGGAATCCCAATTGGGTCACAAGCTTCCGCAAGGTCCGAATTCACCCCTCCGTCAGCTGCGAATCCTGAATACCTGCCTTTTCGAATGCTCTTAAATTCGCTCAAGTTGTTGGCATCATCGGATGGACCAGATTGTGGGTTTCGGAGGAGGCTGGTTAATCCCGAGAACAGGCTAATCTTCTCCCAACGCTAAAATTCGGCACCCAATACTTCAATAGTCGGTCAAGGTTCCATAGAGCCCACCCAAGCACTCCAGAACCCCTCTCAGAGAGCTGTTTGCCTTATATGACTGCACGATCCGAAAGCAAAGCTTGATTCTCGTTATCGAGGCACGTTCTTAAATATCGTCACGAATCGCTTCCCATCGTTCCTTGGGCCAACTTTTTCGGGACTTCCTTGCCTAGGTTTGCCGGCCTCACATGCACGGCTGGATTTGTGGTACAGGCTGTTCAAATCCAATGATGGGTTATATCTGAAAAGCATGATAGCAATACCCCGTTCCATTGGATGGTCTCACCCCCCGAAGGATGATCTAGTGTTCTGCTAAGGAGGACAGACTTTAGTAGCCTTTTCGACTGGGTAACATCACCTCCACTGCCTTGTTTTATAGCCAACGAGCTATAGACAGAATAGGTCCCTCGGTTGAGATAGCTCACTGGCATTATTGGCTTCGTGCACGATGACAACGAAGCCAAGGCCCAAAAGTCATACCCATGTCAGCGGGGTAAAGTCAATTTTCAAGCTTGCTTATTACCAACGCCTTTTACTTCAGTCCCAGTACCACTTCGAAGCCGGGGATACCGCTGAAACCTAAACCGCAAAATGCAGGTACAGCAGCCCACGTTGCCTATCACTCACTGCTATTTGTCCGATATGGATGCATCTCTCATTGCGGGACCGGGAGTGTTACTGTAGGACTTACTCGGGCTAACCCATGTAAGCTTCAGGAAAGGAAGCTCCAACAGCTCCCCAGCTCCGTCGATTTTCTTTTTTTTTTTTAAAAAAAACAATGGCTTTCTCCAATCCCGAGCAGTCACGATCACTGCATCTATCCACGTGTATGCAAGACCAGGTCAACCTTGGAGATGACCGTTCCTGGAGCTGGAAGCTTGCTAGGCTGCATGAGCTCAAATTCCCAGGTACAAAAATGTTGCTCCCCCGTCGTGACCCCGAGCGTGCTTTCCTCTAGTCCTTGCACCTCTCCCGCAGCAGTTGCCAGGGTCACACGACGGGAATCCAAGGCTTCAGACATCCTCCACAATGCGCGCATTAATCAACCGTCTGGCCTTGATGGCCGTGGCAGCCAATCTCGCGGCCACAGCGCCTGTTGAACCTCGTCACCAGAAACCAACGCCTAAAGAGTATTATATCTCTTTCGGTCCTCGTCCTTATTACCTCATTCAAAACATGACCGACAGCCCTCTCAAGAAAAAACTGGAGTCTTGTGAGAATGGACCTTTCGAGATCACTTCCTGGAGCATTGGTCATCGAGGCGGTGGTACTCTGCAAATTCCCGAAGAGACGGTGGAATCCACCATGGCTGGTGCACGAATGGGGGCGGGTATCCTCGAGTGTGACGTGTCTTTCACCTCAGATCTAGGCCTCGTCTGCCGACACTCCCTCTGCGATCTGCATACCACAACCGACATCCTGTTGAGACCTGAACTTGCCGCCAAATGCACACAACCGTTCACGCCGGCGAATGAGACCCACGATGCTGACGCTCTCTGCTGCACCAGCGACATCACCAAGGATGAATTCATGTCCCTCTGCAGCAAAATGGATGGGTTCAATGCCAGTGCCACCACACCTGAAGACTACCAATCCGGAACTCCATCCTTCAGAACGGATCTCTATAACACCTGTGGACAAGTCATGTCTCTGGACAGCTACATTGAACTGGTGGACTCGTTGCCCGGATATCGAAACTTTACTCCGGAGTTGAAGACCCCACCTGCTCAAGTGCCCATGCCATTCCATGGTTACACCCAGGCTCAGTATGCAAGAGACATGATCGAGACATTTATTGCACACGGAATCTCGGCTGATCGTGTCTACCCACAATCCTTCACACCAGCTGACATCTATCTCTGGCTGAATGAATATCCCGAGTGGGGGGCTCAAGCAGTCTTCTTGGACGAAGACGGTGATGATCCGGCCAACTTCACCACTGCAGTCAACCGTCTTCCTGCTCTGAAAGCCAGCGGCGTGAACATCATTTCTCCTCCCATTAACTATTTGATGACCGTCGGAGGGCCAAATAATGACACGATCGTCCCCTCGATTTATGCTACCACTGCCAAGGAGGCGGGTCTTGAAATCATTGCCTGGTCTTTTGAACGATCTGGACCCTTGACCCAAGTGGCTGCCAATGAGGACTACTACTATTCGTCTGTTGCATCCGCTGTGCACTATGACGGTCAAATGTACGAGATTCTCCATCTCATGGCCCAAGACATTGGAATCAAGGGCATGTTCTCTGACTGGTCATCTACCGTCACCTATTATGCAAACTGCTTTGGTTTGAAGGGCCCGGGAAACGAATGAAGCGGCCCTAAGATGAGAAGCGTGGTGTGGTGTGAAGAAAAGAGAGTAATAATGATTAATGTCTCAGTGTAAATAGTCGCATACAGATGATCCCCTAAAAAGGACTCTGCAATAATTTGTGAATAACTCCTTCAGTATTCGTCTCCGCACGATTGGCCTCTTGATTATTTCACAATCAATCAAGCGATCTACAATCTCATCGGACTTGATCCCCAGGATAACACGACGAGGGTCAGTAAACTTTGCCGAAGTTCTCCGGAAACCTGTAGGTGCCCCGGGGGGGGGGCCCCCAAAGGGGTTGCTGGCTAGGCCTATTTATCTACAGGCCCCACTGTCACGTGGCATCGAGTGATATAGTCACGTGCCTGATTACTACAAACCGAACCTCTGCCAAAGTGTACCTCGCATAAGCTCAACTTCCAGGCATACTTTCGACTTCGGTTCGGTTCAAAGACCAGTGTGTTGTTTCGACGTAATGGCGTTGCAGTGGAGTGTGAGTGTACTCATAGCAATCGGCTTCGCCCTCTTGGTGTTTTACTGTTTATGTCATATCAACTACGCTTTATCCACGACCCCGCCAGAAGTCGATAAACTTGTAGGGGAGCCATGGACAGAGGAGAAACTTAAAAATGCGTATGAGAAGTACAAGCAGGAAAGACCTGATTTCAGGAAACATCTTCCCCCGAAACAGGCGAGAAGGTATATCGTGTTCGGAGGCTCAGGTAAGTTATGTCAGAGTGGTCTACCTCATGTTTCCTACTTCGTCTAATCGCAAAATCATGGATGACCTTGTCTCTGACAATGCTATAATCAACGTTTGAAGGTCTGGTTGGCGGCTGGATCGTTGAGCACCTGATCATGCGCGGTCAGGATCCAGCGACCATTCGCATCGCAGACCTGCAGGCGCCACGACGACAGTACGCGGTTGAGAAGAATGTCCCTTATTTCCAGACCGATGTGACGGACCCTACGTCCATCGCCAGAATCTTTAATCATCCCTGGCCAGCTGAAGCTTCCAATCTTCCACTCACCGTCTTCCATACCGTCGCTTATATACACGCTGGGCACCGTCATCCGGACTTACTGCCCAAGTACATGCAGGTGAATGTTGACGGGACCAAGAACGTGATCGCAGCATCCCGGGTCGCGGGATGTGATATCTTCATCGCAACGTCCAGTGCTTCGATCGGCATTCGACCATCGAAATTCATTTTTCCGCCTTGGGTAAAGTATCCGGGGACATTCGTGCAATTCGCGGATAATGCTGAGCCTGAAGACTTGGATGGCAGTTTGGATCAGTTTGCGGGGTGTTATGCGTATTCGAAGGCCAAGGCGGAAAAAGTGGTTCGGAATGCCGATGATAAAGAATCGGGGTTCAGGACTGGGGCGATTAGGCCAGGCCACGCAATTTACGGGCATGGCGATGAGAATTCGAACAGTGTTGCATATGACTATTTGAGGAGGGGGGAACTTCTGTCGTGAGTTCAAATTCTGGAGCCTACCTGTTTTCGTTCTGTTTGGCCTTTGTATCCAATTCCAATTCAGGTTGGATCAGATAACTGACATTGATGGTTTGGGGGGCGGTTGACAGGTGGATGGGGAACTTAGTCGTACAATTCGTCTCCGCGCAAAACGTGTCTCTGGCGCATCTCATTTATGAAGCGCGAATACACTCAGCAAATCCCGACATAGGCGGCAAAGCGTACTGTGTATGCGACCCCAGCCCACCATTCCGATACAGCGACCTATTCAGGCTCTTTAGCACCATCGTACACCCTGCAACACCGATGAGATTCCACCGGGTCCCGCCCTTGGTCCTTATGATGATTTCGTACGCTGTCGAGGCGTATGTGACGATTCAGCGCCGCTACTTGGGGTTTCTTCCTGAGGTAAAGGGTGACCTTCAGATGTTACAGCCGGTGATGTTCAGCTATTTGACGCTAAATATATTGTATGACGATTCGTTGGCAAGGAAGGAACTAGGCTATAATCCCGGGTATGATACGCTAGAGGGTCTGTGTGAGCAGGTGCTGGAATGGAACGAGGCTGTCGAGGCAAAGTTGGCAGGCGGTAAGGAGGCGAGAAATATGAGGAAAGATGTGCAGGGCACGAGTTTCGTGGAGAAGACGGTGCCGGTTGCGTCGAGGGGAGTGGCGAAGTGAAAAGGGCCGTGAAAGGACGGGGACGGGGATGGACGTTGTGGAAGAAGGGGGTGTCCCGTCGTGCAAATTGCAACGAATCGGAGTACGTCTTGCTCTTTGGTGTCCCAATCTTGCACGAAGCACGGGTCTAACGGAGCTCTTAGGCAGGGATGGGTATGTTTGAGACTTAAGAATAGATAACAACGTTGGACGCCTTCTCGACCGTCGGTACGGCGCTGTGCCTTGGTCTGGCGCACTGCTCATTTTGGATCCATCCCAAAGGGGGTGTCGACAACCATGCAGTCACTGTGACCACGCCAGTAAATTAGGAGGCAATCTTTCTAACGCAGAACCGATCAATTTGTAAAGCGTAACCCTGTGAAATGATTGTTCATCTTCAATGACATATTGGAGCTCCAAAGTCAAATTCGAGGAATCACAGCGACTTCCAAGTACAACATCGTGGAGTTTTGACGCCAGTGCCCCAGCCTCAATATGGTTTCTCGTCCCTGGGCTTCTGATATCTCGCATTTTCATGCCTTCATCACACAGAAGAAGAATACTCCTCGGAGTTTTGGTCTCTTTCAACTTCCTTGATCATTCCTGGGGTCGCAGATGGCCTTTATAAATACCAAGCAAATGCCACACCTGTCGCCATTATGAGAACCAAGGTCGCCAGGCTGGGTATGTGCTGGTGGAGCACTGCTGCCGACCAGTGCATATTGTACTCCTCGAACTGCTTGCTGCACTTGTCGTCCAAGGCGCTTTTGAAGTCGGCATCTTTTAGTTTTCGGTGCCTATACATGGCCGAGGCATTATAGAAGTCTCTGGTCTCTGAACAGTCCACCCCTTTTGTTCAAGATCAGCGATTGGCCCAAGCCGCTAAGAACAATTCACCATTGCGAAGACAAACTTACCACAGCAGCATGGCAACTTCGCATCATTGCTGTTCCAATTCACTACCCAGTCAGCATATTCTCCAACATCGCAGACTGGAATAGTAAATATCCCTGGATATCACGATTAGCCAGCGCTTCCAGAAGGGTTGAATATGCTGACCGGGTGCCTTGATACCCAGAGAATAGAACTGTTTGGAATCATCAGGAGAGATCGAAGCCATGATCGTGTCATTGACGTCCACAGTGCTGTAGTTAAACCGTCTGGCTAGATAGGAGTGCAAGGCAGACGCGGTGATATCGGAGAGGCTGAAACGATACTGGGAAGACTGAAGCTTTGCGAAGTCCGTGGCATTCTCATACTTCGCTTTACCGGACAGAGTGTACAAACAGCACGCCCGACCACCTTCCGTATAACGCGAGGTATCGTTGCACGGTATGTCCGTCGAGTTGGCACACATGACGAATTTCTTCGAGTGATTTTTTGCTCTGTCCAGCCATTGCCTATTCACCAACCAGGCTATCCGAAGCTTGAACATCCAGTCCGACATCTCGGAGGCGGACATGTAGTCCAGGGTGAAACGGCCACCGCGCAGATAATCAATGATGGTCCTGCCCGTGGCGTCGACTTGTCCACTAAATAGTGTGTTTGACCAGGCATCGAGGCTCTCACGGAGATCTTGAGTCGCCGTTTTGATCAATTCCCCAAGATCCCGGACAGTGCCCATTTCATGTTCAAGCGCAGAGTCACCACTTCCGCCGATATACGTCGTTCCCGCCGCGGCAAACTCTTTCGTCGTGTCGACCACTTGGGGTGCAACTACATTACGGAGGACAGGCGAAAGATTGATGAATTTGATAGGATTGATAAAAGATAGGACGGATTCGACACCAGCGGTGATCCACGGTTGTGCTTCCCTGAGTTTCACAGAAGGATCATTCCATTGGAAGAAGCCGTTTGCGAGATCCAGAATCAGAGGTGTAAAATCTTCTTCTGCCGTATTGGCGGCGTCCTGAAGGCATATACCGTCAGGAAAAAAAGAAAAGAAAAGGAAAGAAAAAGAGACCGAAAAAAAAAGGGCACAGCCATATCCCTTCCTACACCTACATAGAGATTTTGGAAGAGGTCGCTCATCTGGACGAAAGCATAACGGACGAAGTAGACCCACTTGGGGCCACCGTTATCTTGAAATGCTGTAATGGTGCGGTTAACATTGTGGTCTTGGTAAAGATGATGGTGATGAGCAATCGACGTACGTTGACAATCAGGAACAAAACAATTGGATTTCCCGATCCCACATTCTTGGCCGCGGGACATGTCGCCAAATGAAGTAGAGAGCAAGTCGACGATTGTAGATGTAGATGAAAGTCCTTCAGCCTGTTGGCTAGTCCACCAACCGGCCAACTTTTCATCGACACCCTCGTTCACCCAATTTTCGGGCGAAGGTTCCCACGAAGGATCGTCACAACGTGGTTGTCTCCGTAAAATTGGTGGTGCTTGTAATGGGGTAGGATATTCACCGGGCGGTAAGATAGATAGAGGCCTAAACTTTGTTGCTGGCAAAGGAGGCTCGATCGAGGCCGGCAAGCCGGCAACGACGCCCAGGCATATTGTAATGATACAAAACGTAAATTTAAATCTTGCGCCCATGTTTGAAGCTTTGCTGGCAACATTTCTCAACAATATGAAACCCACCTCAATCATATATTTCTCAGGCTGGAAGGCCAAGTCACCCTAAAAGACGCTGTGAAAGTTGTGGCTTCGTGAATTCCCGGCACAATAGGTCAAATTAAACCAGAGCAGGTGAGTGATTGCGAACTGGCAGCATCATCCGATAAAGAAAGCCAGTACGAGCGTCAGGCAATCGTATCTTCTAAAGTCGAGTTTGACGACAAGATCGCTAGTAGTTTCTGCCCATTCAATAAACCATTCTGTGGAGGTCCCTCACCAGTCCGCCTTGGGGAGGACCTTGCTGGTGCTGGGCTGGAGTCGGCCAAAATAGTCAACTTCTGACGAGATTCGAGAATCTCAGCCTAACGTGAACCTCGTATTCCGATTTGCTGTCATACGAGCCTTGCATGTTGCATGTCATAGGATCTGAAGAGGTGGGGTGATGAATTGTGATAGTCCGAGTAATGACGCGGGATTTTCCATCTTTCGTTCAATTCAAGCCAGTTATAACCATTTCGGACCTCACAAACCGGATCGGTTCGTAAAACTGAGCCAGAATAGGCGGTCTCAGGCACTCAGATGCGGATGGGAATAGCTGGAAAGGGCCGTACCGAGGCGAGAGACGGAACTCGTCGACTCAGCCCATCTGATCATCAACGCCATCCTCCATAAATGGTCCCGCGGTGAAGAGTGTATGTTCGTGACCATCGGCAGGCAGGTAGGGAACAACCCAGGACATGGCTCATCTTCCACCACGTATCTCGACAGACCCGGCGAGCCGGCCCATCTGCATTTCTAGACGGGTTGAAATAGGTCATGACCTTTCACATCAAATCCTGAGAGACAATATGTTTACGTCACAACGATGCGTCGCAGGGTCAGAGTCAAGACCGCCTTCACGTGAGTATCACATGACCACGGCCTGATTCGCTGGATCTACGCCAGATATCCGCGACTAAGCGGTGCATATTTTCATGGCCATGAATATTGATTCGATGTTACGCTGTTATCGAACCAAGAAAATACAAAGAGATGCCAAGTGTCGACCTATCACGACCTTCCAGAATCAGGATAAGATATATTGTCCATTTTATTGGCGATCCCCGCAAAGCCTTGCCGCACCACGGGCTCATAGCAGAATGAATCATCCGCACACCTATTCTCGAGGTTGGAGCCCTGTCGACCCCCTGCTCTCCAAGGCTTTCCAAGAACTGATGCGACTTGGAAGATTTATTCTATGGGTACACAACCAGGTGGGACCTTCTCTTCCGAAATGTCCTATTGGCTCCTGATACCGCATGACATCTTCGGGAGACCTCTTTGTCCACAGTTGACCCCAACAGGACTTCGAGAATGGACGATACCTTTCTACAAAGTAAGCCTACAACAAATGTACCAAGAACAACGGCGTCAGTGGCAAGGTCTGGGAATGTTACAGAAGGCAGTGCATCTAACCTGTCATCAGGACGGATCATCAATTACCAGCATCATTTCAGGCAGGAGTCGAGAAAGCCTCGGGCGATATCAGCGCATTCGACGACGTGAAGACACCGCAGGTGAACGCAGAAAATGTAACCATACAAACTCTTCTTCGCTGTCAACTTGGCGAACGTGGATCCTGAGCAATAATGTGGTGCAAGACTTTATTATGCCTCGGGTGAGAAACTCGCTGGTCCGGAGGTATAAAGAAGTGCACGTCCGCCAAATGAAGTTGACCATCACCGCGGTGTAGAGACGTTTGGAAGGATCAACTCTATCACTCTATCAAATATGAAATCACTCAGCCTCGTCTTGCTGGCCTCAGCATTTGCCTCGGCAATTGAACTTCCACAAAGCGAGGGCTTTGCGCAGCAAGAGTATGAAAGTGGCTTGGTCCATGAGACTCTCATGAGTGCAAAGCACGTACGTCTGCCCACCTGACGCCCGACGAAACTCGCGATTGCTAATAATATCAGGCATCGTGGGACCGACAACGCGCTCAAGGACAGATGGACTCAACACAATATCCATCCTTAACGGCTCCTGTGAAATGCTTGGATGGATTGGCCATCGTCGAACCTGGGAACGCGAATCAGACCTTCAAGTGCAAGAACGTAAGGTATCTTCCACCACGTGGCGAAGCTGGTTATCGCTGATGCCGGTATGGTGCTCTCCAGATGGATCTTCTCGACTTCAAGAGCCACGCAGACCTGGGCAGCTTTGCCGGCGAAGGTTCTTCGTCTTGGGGCTGGGTTTCCGACGACGGTCGTGAATTTGTCGCCATCGGACAGGCAGACGGAACCGCTTTCGCCGAGATTTCCCCGGAAGGAAAACTGATATATCTTGGCCGCCTACCACAGCAGTCTGTCTTTTCCATCTGGCGAGAAATCCGCACATACAAGAACTACGCGATCATTGGTAGCGAGGCTGTGGGGCATGGAGTACAGATCTTTGATTGGACAAAGGTATCTGTATCCCATAATTCTCCTCTCCGTTTGTCGGCTAACGACAGTAGCTTCTCAGCATTGATCCCACGGCGCCCGTCAATTTTAGCACCACAGCGGATTTGACCGGTTTATTCGCCGACCTCCCCGTCGGTCGGACACATAACGTCGTGATACATGAGGAACTGGACTATGCCGTGGCCGTTGGCGCCCAGCCGCGAAACAGCTCTTGTGCTGCGGGCTTGATCTTCATTGACTTGTCAGATCCATCGAATCCTACATCACCTGGCTGCGCTGGCCAGGACGGCTATGTCCACGACGCCCAGTGTGTTGTGTACCACGGACCCGACAGTCGATACGAGGGTGTGGATATCTGCTACGGTTACAACGAAGACACACTGACAATGTACGTTTGGTCCCCTGGAATCAACCAGAGGCTGGATTCGATTTAATCTAACCCCCTTCCTTGCCCTGGAATGCTCATCATGAGTTATAGCTACGACGTTACGGACAAAACAGGCCTCAACACCAGCCGAATTATCTCCAAGACCTCATACGTTGGAGCTCGCTACACACACCAAGGTTGGCTTCTCGACTCCTCGTACCAACAATATTTACTCCTGGACGACGAACTCGACGAAGAATACTACACCGGGCCCGCCGCCGACCGTTACCCGGTAACCTACATCTTCGACATCTCCGACCTCGAGAACCCCGTTCAAACAGGCCTCTACAAATCCAAAGCGTACTCCATCGACCACAACCAGTATATCTTCGACGGGCTCGACTACCAAAGCAACTATGGTGCCGGCATTCGTGTGCTTGACGTATCTTCGATCCCCCATGACCCGACTGGTGCAAGTATCGAGGAAATCGCATTCTTCGATATATACCCGGAAGACGACCACTTGGAGAACGGTGGGATAATTGACTTCGTGGGCACGTGGAGTCATTATGCGGGCTTTCCGAGCGGGAATGTCTTTGTGAATACGATTGAGAGGGGGGCATTTGTGGTGAAGATGAATCAGTTTGAAAAGAGGGGGCGAGGAGCGCATTATAAGAAGCCACGGAACGTATAATACAGGCACAGCAATGTGAAAATTTCAAAGATTATGTGGCTTATGAGTCAGATGAGAGCTCGAAGTCGAAGAACAAGGAGGGCCATGTGAGTGAAGGATTGATGTGATGATTTACGCAGCACAGCATATCCTACAACATCCAGGACGCACGCGACAATACTCTAGTTAGCCTTGGCAATGGAAAAATTTTTCCCAGCATTCATCTGGCCTTGTTCATTGTTCTTACTCCCTCACCTTCTCCTCCCGGCTCCCAAAAGCTCAAATTCGGTAAACTAGGTTAAGAAAGCTGCGTCCTCACACCGCTTCAGGTCGCCAAAAGTATGAACAACGTAGTTTTTTAGGGGGGGTCCCTTATATAAGAATCCCCAGCCTCATCCGTACTATCCGGAGGTGGCTTACGCGGCCTCTCTACTTTATCCCCGGTCAAATGGTTCGCGTATGTGTCAGACATGATATCCGAAAGCTCCGTTGTTGCGATCTGTAAGTAGCCCACCCGCAGGAAACATACCAAACTGGGTCCTGTCTACATAAAGATCCAGGGAGGCATGGTGGATTTCCTTTATTACATATGCAAGTCATATTTCGAACCTTGCAGCTCTCGTTTCGAGAAAGAAGTCATGTGATGACGACGGCAACATCCACCACCACGAGAAAGAAAGATTATTTGTCAATAACGATGTGATTGTATTTAGATGTTATTAACCCCTACACACATACACATCCACTAGCTTATTCTACCTAGTCCACTCATTGTGTTCCAAGTTTCAGGCACATCCACCATTCATACACCGAAATGAGATTTGTTCGAGTGGTAAAAAAGAGTGGAAATCTAGACCTGCTTCTCGGGAACTTCCTCGGTAGTTTCGTTGGGGGAAGGTTGAGCAGCGACGTAGGATTCTTTGCGGTGACCGGCCGTCTCTGGATCATAGTTCTTGGTACCTGGGACCTCACCAGCGAGTTCCTCCAGGGTCTTGCGCTTGGTCTCAGGAATGAGCAAGGTGGTGAAGACACCGCAAAGCATGAAGAGAGCGAAGATCTCCATGACGTGGTCGAGCCATGGGGATGGGTTGTCCTCGGTCGGGTGACCCTTGGTTCGGAGAGGGCCGAACACGCACTGGGCAATGATGGCACCAACTTTGCCAGAGGCGGCGGAGATACCATGAGATGTGGATCGGTATCGGGTAGGGAAGCATTCACCGGGAACAATGAAGGTGGTGGCGTTGGGGCCAAAGTTGAAAAAGAACTGAGCCAGGACATAAAGAGCGAGGAGACCACCTTCGCTTAGTTTATCGTAGGCGAAACCGATGATGATGAAAATGATGGTCAGGATAGTGAATCCCATCAATTGAATCGGTTTGCGACCAAGGGTATCGACAGTGGCGACAGTCACCCAGTAACCCGGAATGGCACCTGCGCAGACAATGATCAAGTTACCAATGGCGGTGTTGCGGAAGATCTGGTAAACATTGTCACCGTGGGCATAACCGATGGCGCTGAGAATGATAGAGTTGTTGAGACCAAGGCCGTAGAAAGCGACATCCAGGAAGAACCATGAACCAGCCGTTCCGATGAGAATCTTGCCGTGCTTCCATTGGCTGTAGTGTCTCCAGAAATCGGACCAGGATGCCTTGGGAGGATCGAGACGGGCACGAGAGTCTTGGAGAACGGCGGCTCGGCTGACCTCGTCTGGATGACCCTCACGGGCACCGGATCGGTAGGCTTTGACGTCTTCGACGGCCTTTTCAGAGTCACGGGCAACATCAAAGGTGTATCGTGGAGTCTCCGGGATGGTGAGACGGAAGTACAAGGCAATGCAGCCTGGCACAGCGCCGAAACCAATGATGACACGCCACATCTTATCCACAGCAAGTTGGCAAACCCCGTCGCAAAGGTCCACGGTCTCTGCAGTGAGTAGAGATTGCTTGAAGCCCGTGGTGACAATCAGGGCAATCACGGCAGCGGTGAACTGACCAATACCTTGCATGGCAAAGACAGCACCCATCATGGCACCTCGCCATTTGGTGGTGGCGAATCTGAAATGCGGTTAGAAGAGGTAGTCGAAGCAATCAGCGTCCGGGAAACTAAACTTACTCCGAGGTGATGATTGAGGACAAAGGATAGTCACCTCCAATACCGACACCCATCATAACACGCCAGAAGATGACGAGACCCACAACGGAGATGGCAGGAGAGTCGGAGGAGAGTGCCTGGGCGAGGGTTGCGAAAATGATCACGATCAGTTCCAGACCGTACATTCGCTTGCGGCCGACGATGTCGGCGAGCCAACCGAAACCCACTTGACCAAGAACGGTACCACCGGAAGTGGCGACCTTGATGGCAGTATCGGAGTTGGAAGGAATCTTTCCGGCGTTCTTGGGGTTTGGTGCATCTTGCCAGTAAACGACACCCAACATGGCCGTGACCAAGTTGATAGCGAAGATGTCGTAGGCGTCAGTGAAGAAACCAATACCGGCGACAACGATGGCGCGGACATGGTACCAGCCAAAGGGAGCCTTGTCAATTTCGGCGAGGGCCAGTCGTCGTCGCTCATTGGGGTCCTGGATGTGAGCGAAGTCATTGTGGAAGTTATGGAATGCGGCATTGCCGCCCGAAGTTTTCATGGCCATGGCAGGTAAGCGAGATGAAACAAAAAGGGGGAGACGTCGGCCCAAGAAATTCCAAGAAAAGTCAAGAAGGCTTGCTGTCCACAAGAGTTGGGCAAAGACAGACGGCGCACAGAGCCCAAGACGGAGGAAGGGTCCTACATATACTTGTCGACATGGGCAACATTGGCAAAGAACTGTTCCTCGGACCAATAGGAAGTGCTTGAAAATCACGCCCGCTGGCAAAAGAAATGGCAGTTTCTTTGGAGCTGGACCCGTTCCCTTGTCCCATGATAAACTCACCTGTTTGGTGGAATCAAACACCAGGGCAGAACACGGGGCGTCCAGTCTGTGAGAGCCTGGGAGAAAAGTGGCTACCAATTCAGGGTGTGCTAAGTGATCGGACAAGCCTAGCTCTTCAGAGACTTTGACACGTTCGCTTCCAGGTGCCACTTTTTGTTCGAGAAGCCTCGTTAGCCTCCCACCTTGGTCCACCCTAAGGAGGGCTAAGAGTTGTGGTGTCACCCCTTCAATGCCGCCATGGATTAAGATGCTGAAAATTTCGGAACGAGTGTCAGGACCAACCAGCGAAGACGGAGGGGGAACGTGCACATATGGCCGACATTGGCCAGAATCCGCCCGATTTCATGGCTTCAGATGAAGTTCCAACTCAAGCGCCATTTGTGGTGTTTCGATCTCCCGGGGAAGCAGAGGGAGAGGGGTCGGGGTCAAATCGGAGAGCATCAAGAACTCAACAAACTTGTTGGCGGTCCGTACAGTTGCGTACGCCACGGCTGGGCATGGATCTGATGCATCTTTCAGTTCGGGGCTTGTCATATGCTTGTCAAAAGCTTTGTGATGCCCAGCGTTTAGCTTAGTGCTTGGTCCGTTGCAGGGCCACAGGGGTCCACTGGTTGTAGTGTCGGGGAAATGGCTCGTGGATGGTTGCAGGCGAATTGGTCATTGCAATGGCGAAAAGGCTTGGACTGATATGCAGGGAAACGAGGGAGCCCTGGAAGAATACAAAGTCTGCCTGGGGCTGGTTGGTGGGTGAGAGCCTAGGGGCTAAATTTGAAATTTGGGTGGCAGTGAGGCAGGCACGCAAAGGACCTGATACAACCCGGACGAGGTTTTGTTGTGGCGGAGTCTCTTCCAAATGGGAAGACCCCCGTTGCACGTTCCTCGCTGTGATTCGCTCCTTCGTGACCACGTTCTTATTTGATTGGCTCCAAATCAACGTTGTTGGTCTGATGCCAAGATATGAAGCGAGGAAACGAACAATAAGCAATGAGCAGGGCCTGAGAATGAGTAGGAATACTATCCGCGAGTGGGGATTTTGGCATCCCAAGACCAAACACAATAACCCCCCGGCCTACGACGGGTTCGACTCAAAAAGCTGCTTGCAGAAAGATATTTCCTAGAAAAGAAGGTCTATGCGGGAATAAATACAAGCCACTGTAGTAGAAAGGGAGCAAAAGCACGACAAAGCAACAGTCGTTGCCAAACAGTTCGATGCGAGAAAGGGGTTACGGAATCATTTTGCTGTCTCAGCTATTACCTGTTGCCTTCGTGAATACTTTCCAGCCTTCTACCCCTATCCTTAACCCAACTCCCATATATCTTTACCAACCAGCGGTACCTCATCGTCTATAGCGAATACACAGAGCCAATTACATTCATAATATGGCGGCCGCAATGCTCAGCTTCTACCTGAACCCGCAAGCTATGCGGCATACAAGGGAAACAGTGCCGCCTCTTGATCTTCAAATGGAAAGCGGCGCATCGTACACGTGTGAGGGGGATTAGCGGACCTGGACCTTCGCATGAGTCGCAAGGAACTGTAAGCGCACAGACAACAGCGCGTAGAGAAGTGCGGAATGGGGATCGACCTTCCCACCAAGGGAGGACGTATCTCTTCCAAACAGCTCTCGAGAGCTGTAGAATGTGACCAAGATGGATGCCGAGGAGAGGAAACAACTCGTCTCAGGAAGAGGAGGAAGAACACGTCAAACATCCTCGAGAATCCCAGCTGAGAGAGCCTGGATTCCAATGTCATTTACCAAACCACTCTGACATTTTGGACAGCCTTTGTTGTGACGTATCTCCATTTAGAGGAGACTGACCAGAATGCATGAGCCAGACTACAATTAGTCGCCACAGCATTTCACGGAGGTGACAATCAGTGGCGACCCATCTCTTCATCCAAAGTTCCAAAGCACACCACTTGCTGGTTGATTGGAACCACTGGAAGCCGAGAGCAAGCTTCCGGAATTCTAACCAGGGTACTGACCGAAATGCACTGAGAATATGTCGACCTTGACACGCAGTGCTCGATACCTACGTCCCTCCTCATGCTGCAGTGATTCTTACTAAGGCGCTAATGGCTGGGATAGAAGCGACCCTCGATCGGTTATAGGTTAGGCTGATCTTCAACTCTTTTTTTTTTTCCCACAACAGCAACCCTTCTCGAAGGGTGTTCCGTCAAGCATGGCCGAGTTGTTTCTATCCACACGCTTCTCTTTCAGGTAACATGGGGTTAATATTTTTACTAATGCCATTTTGGGAGTTTATTGCTATTCCTCCATCAACGATCACGGCGTTGGCCTATGCGACCGGCTATGGTTATGCTTCTCACCAATGTCCAGCATTCAACGTCTACAACGATACTCGACGACACGCTCCATGGCCTTGGCGGATTGCTGAGCTGGAACACCGCTCTTAGGCGTTCCTTCTTGGTCTGCTCTCCGGAGACATTCTCTCGTCACGGGATCGAAGGAGCAGAGGGTGGGAGGTGACAGCGGCCGAAGTCACCGACTTCGCTCACAATGCCAGGCGGATTAGAGACTAGGCAGCAGCAGACATCGCAACCTTCCATTTTTGTAACATCACGGCTACCTTCTTCCATACGAGATGGAAAGACACCATCGACACGCAGACCTGGCTCCTGATGGACTAGTGGAACGTTAGATTTGCATCTCTTGGTGGATGTTTAGTAGCTGGATAGCCAGACATCTTACATCCTGTTCCTGTCCATCTTGGTGGGAGCGATAACCAGTACCGACAGTGGACACGACTTCAAAACGCCCGCCTGACCTGCATGGATGGCCATTGACCGACAATGGCAAAGTAAATTACTTTCTCCTCAAGGATTTTGCCTATGTCTTTTTTTGCACGAACTTAACATCATTGTGAAGACCATCATCGAATCAGTCTACGGGTACCCTCCCCCCCATTCCCCAGGCTCGGTTCCTCGATTGGTGTTCGGCAGGGTCTCCAGGCCGCCCAGAGATATCCACACGATTGGGGATGGTATTGTAGCCGGTGTGCCCGCGACAAATAAATTGGCTCAAGTTCATACCCGCAATGTTCCGGCCACAATGGATCATGAATCGAGCTGGAGTCTTTCCACCCCCCTGCGAAGGTTTGGCCATTACCGAAGCGGCGATCCACGCCTGTGACAATGTGGACGGTGTTATTGATGGTTGTCATCTCAGCTCCGGGACGCTGTAAGTTCGACGCTTCCCAACTTTCTTGGTAGGCCGTTCAACTGTCACTGCGTCGAAGCCATATTCACTAAAGAAATTGCTGAGATCACCAATAAAATCTGGGAGGGTCCAGGAGAGTGGTACGGGTTGCCCCATGGCGTGACACTGATGGGAGAAAGAGGCCTGGGTCTCGGACTCACCAGATGCAAGACGCCGATGTCGATAAACTGTACGGGTGTTTTCTCCTTGATGACCGAGCCTTGGGTCAGTTACTGGATTCTGGAAAATCGACATCATGATTCCAGAGAATTCGATTACGAAAGGGATAACGCACCAAAGACCAATCATCGGCAATCCTGATGTGTCTGGTTCCTCCCCCATCGGTGCTATGGTCATCCATTCGCTGGCATGGTATTGACAACGTCCTCATTTTCTTCAATGGTAGTACAGAATACTTCAATCGGATGCTCAAAGAGGACCCTGATGTTCGAAACTACTGGCGTTATTTCGAGATTCCCGGAACTGGCCACGGCATACAAGGCGGAGGCCCTTACCCCATCGATTCGATCAACAAACTGATGAAATGGGTGGAAGAAGGGATCCCGCTAGACACTTTGATGGGAGAAATTGCCCGATCCGCACACGAAGGAAGTCAAGGACAGTAGAAATATCTGTCGGAACCCCCGGCGCAACAACGGGTCAACACATTTCAACAGGTCGTAAAACTCTCCAAAACAAGTAGATATTTTCGTTTTGAATCCTTGCCAAGGGAGTCCCACGTATGAAATACACGAGCATGTACCCTAGTGCCTCGAACACTAGGGTCCAACATATCAACGAGCGGCTTCCGAATATTGCAGAGCATCAACGGTGGAAATTGTCGCTCTGGCAGTAGTTTAGGTAAGTTTCCTTAGGCTTGCCATTATCTAGGCTTTTCCGGGGTGAAATTTTAACTCCGCTGTATATTTAGATGTTGCGACCTCACTGTCGACCCATTTGTACTCAGCGAGGCAGGCCAATCCTGGACGATGTCACTACACTCCTCCGTAGCGAAGGCAATTAGTCATCGTCTCGTATCACGTGATATATTAGGTCTAAGCCTGTGATAGTGAACCGATGGATAACGGGGATAGTGCGTAGTAATTAGCTAGTCCCCTATGGGCTCAGCCCACACAGGGTGTATGAAATCAAATCAAATCAAAGATATAAGTGGCTACAGTGGCTTGGCTCGACGAATTCTCGTAATGCAGGGACTTTTTGGCACGTGATACTGCATCTGTAGCCCAGGAAATCACAAACCGGGTGTGCCTGAGTAAACGAATGTAGTCTAGAGTTCTTGGGTACAAATCCACAGCTAAGCAAATATTTCATGTCCGTACACATCCGGGGTTGGGGCGGAATCAGAGCGACCTTCCGAATTATTCACTTGGCCTCCCCGATTGGCTTCCCTCCGTTTTCGATATACTTCGCAAGATCTGCGAAGAGACCTTGGACAAGAGCACTGTCGAGGAACTCTTTCATCTCGCAGATCTTTGTACCATCCTCTGTCATCTTTAGAAAGATTGTCTGCTCACTCTCGTAGGGACCGATGACTGTCTCGGCGGTGCTTGTCGTATGAAAAGCCACTTGGTTTGTTTTGATGTCGATGACTGTATCGGAGATGGCGACTCTGAAATTCCTCAGATAAGGTATGACGCCAGTATAGTGTGCACGAAATGCCTCGTTGTTCATTACCGGCCGGTTCAGAGATTTTGGCAAGGTGTGGTAGGTACAATCCGGGGTCCGAGGCGCCATGATGGCGTCGATGTCCCATTTCTCATAGCCTTTTATGACAGCCTGAGCGGTTTCGAGAAGTTTGGAATATTGCTGTTCCATGTAGTGCTAGACAAATATGATCAAACCCGGAACGGTCTTGAGTATGGTTTTCTCTCTGGACAGGAGGAACGGATGGTTAAATCAGAATTTATTGTGTTAGGCATCCTACGAAGTTGACCCAGGCAACCAAACGTGTACAGGGTCTCTGCGGTCATCATCGATGACCAGGGTGGTAATGGTGATCGAATCCACTTCTAGGTGGTGACGCGAAAGATTGGCCCCCTCATCCACACGTCAGATTCGCAAGAACTCCCTTTTCTGGCATGTCAACATGTTCACTGAACGCCCTCCGGTTTAAAAAGCTCACTCACCGACACAACCACCCACGAAGGGACGGCGTCCTGGACATATTGCTTACCACTGCCCGGCATAGATCCCCATCTGGGAGCCCATCTTCCTTGCTACTATGCGACGAGATAGTCCATGAGCACGCAGATTCGGAGGATTCCACGAATGCGATCGGATGACGACATGCGAGCGACACGGAGAGTGTGAGCCGGTACATTCATATATTCGCCATTTATAGGTCAAGCTTGAATTTGTAAAAGGTGAGAGAGAGCGTGCGTAGCCGAACGGGGCTGTCTCGCATCCTATCCAGCGTTTTTCCAAAATTTCACATCGCTCATGACATTCAGCACCTCGATTCTTCGGTTCCCCGTCCCCTTCCATGGACTTTGTCCAAGCTAGGTCGTTGGATCGTTCAGCATCTCTTTCATTGCTCCTTTTCGGCCTCGAATCCACCCTCGCGGTTATCCAACCTTTCCTCTCCTTTGATCAAGGTTAGATGGACTGAGGAGTGCTGGAGGGTGGAAGCGTCATATGATTTTATCGACTTCGGAGGGAGCAATAGTGATGAAATATGTGCTGAAATTGCCGAGAGTCGAACGGGCGTGATCGATGCAATCCTGGATCATCCCAAGACCAACGCGAAAATCCAACATTCCAACGGAGCATCTCCATTGCATTCCGTTCGCTGCGGTCAACCTGAATGTTCACTTATTGTCAGAGAGGCGCTGATGTATCTGTTTGCTACGCGATGAACAGAACTGCATTGTATCTTGGCAATTTAGCCGGTGACTATGTATCAATGAACGTCCTTCTTGACTGACCATGGTGTCGATATAGCATTTCCAGACGATGAAGGTGCGAATTCACTCCACTACCCCACTAGAGGTGTGCATGCGGAAACGATATTATCCATCCTTCAAGCGCTCGGGCCAAACACTCAAGATCTTCCAGGATCAAGAGTCTGGAAAGGTAGAAATGGGCTGCATCATCTATTGCTACAGTCAAAACCCGCGGATATTGAAGCAGTTCAGCTACCCTTGGATCACGGAACCAATATCAGGAGGACTAACAATTTTGGGAATTCGCCGCTGGTTCTGTGCCTCGGCAAGTCCTGTTGAGGTCAAAATGTCGATCTTGGTCAGTTCATGCTCCAAGAAGGTGTGGATGCACTGTATATCAATGATCGAGGACAGACTCTACGTGACATACCTTCGGTGCAGTCCGCAACGCGACAATAGCATGATTAAATTCTTGCGTCTGGAATGGTCTGCCACAGTCACAATCGATAGTAACGGTGCCCGTTGTCCAAGTATCTTGAGCCGTCAAACTTCCAATACGATCTTTGCCGCATTGCATTATCGTCTTGAACTTCGCCCTTTTTTTTCTTTTCTTGGCGCAGGAAAAACAGCTCGCCCCTCAACCCCGATTGGGACGATGGTGATCCCGTCCTGTGCTCGCCCCTGGCTTGCTGCCGGTGGGTTCCTATACAGACGATTGTGATTGATTTTCTTCGTTCGGTCAGCAGTGACGGCTGCTGCTCTGCCAGGCTTATTCAATGAAAAGATGTTCTGTCTCAAAAGCAGTGTCGGTGGGCGTAGACTTTGGGGCTGAACTTCTCGGCGGCCAATTCAGCCAAACTGTTCTCCACTCTGGGTGCAGATATATTCAAAAGTCTGTGTGGTCTTGCCCGTAGCTCTTTTGGGTTGAGGGGGAGGGGGGGTTTACGAATTTGGCCGACTCTCGCAGGTATGTAGCGGCCATATCTTTTGTTCGTCTCTCCCGACGATAAACTTCCAAAGGCCAAACACATCAATGGCTTTCCTCACATTCTGCACTGATCGGTCAGGGTGTCAATGTCACTAATCGACGATTTCCATTCGGCTTTGACTTTCGGCGATGATTTCGTGATCGAAAAGATTTGGTCGAAGAGATTTCACTTTGTTCCCCTGGCGAAAAGTCCGATCCTCACCGTTGAGCCCTGGCAAAGAAGCTTTAGAACCGAGAGGGAACCTTGACTAGAAAATGACGTTAGCTCATGCCGCAGTTGATTTCTAGGCCGCTGTCAAAAGAACCATATCAAAATTGGAGATGCTTGGCGGATCAATGAATCGACGTCGCGGCAAAGGTATCCGTATTGGCAGAGTGGGCTGACCGACTTCGTCGGACTTGGCTCGCTCAAAATAATGTCAAGATGAACTTATCTGCCTATCACTGGTGCCAACTCCAAAATCACATGACCACGCGAAAACACAATGCCTCCCAAAACATATGGCTCTTTTTGGATTCCGGAGAACTCTAGTATACCTTGGGTTCCCATGATACTTTTGCTCATCGCGCCCGGACAGGTGATGAGGAAAACATGAAAGGCTCGGTGTCCACAGAAGACTAGGAGCATACGAATATATTATGGCTGCCGCTGCAGCTGTACTCGGATCATATTCTGGAGCAAGGAGCGGTCTTCGCATTTGACGAACTTTTCGAGAGTTTGAATCCGATCTTCCAAACGATGGATCTCGTCGGTCATATGCCGTATCTCCAGTTCCGACTGGTGAACGTAATTTATGGCCTTGGTGATGATGTCCGATTTACGCACCTTGGTGCGGCGCCCGGAAGAGGATGAATGGTCCCAGAATAAGAACCCCGTTGACCGCGATGTGGATTCGAGAGTGCGATTGAGCTGCTCCATTTTCTCCTTCAGGTTGTCACGGTATCGACGTTCAACAGCTGAGTGGTACTGCTTAGCTTTAAGTCGTGCTGATTCGTCCTCGCTAAGGGGGGGTGGTGCTGCCCGACGTTTCTGAGATCTGGCCTGCCTTGCCTCTGTTTCCGAAGAATTGGCTGAACTGTGTAATGGAGAGCATGATTGTGTGGAGCAATCTTCCCTGTCACTGACCTCTACTGCTGGAGACAACGCTGCAACTAAACCGGGCTTGTTTTGAAGTCCCAAGGCCGAAGTCAGATAACCTTCCACTGGGCACGGTGGAACTTGATCCCACTCGCATAGCTGTAACTGTGACGGTTCGACGTATGTGTTCAGGACGGCATCTTCCACTGGCGCCAAGTAGGAGGAACCAGTGTTCGACGTGTCCACACAGGGGAATGTTGAAATCTCGGCACCTTGAAGAGAGAGCATCTCGGGCAGCAGAAACGGCGGCTGGACCGAGGACGGACCTCCAACATTTTGCGCGTTGAAACGCTGGAAGGGGTCGATATAGCCTCCGTTTTGTCGTTGCTGTTCTTTCTTCAGCAAATCGAAGTTCCAGTTTGAAAGATGGTGACATAACATACTTGATCAGATGTAGTTTCTTGACCGTGTGTGCTCAAAGATTGGTGCGCCATTACACTCGCCAGGGGGTAAGTCCTGCCTGAATGCCACAAATGAATAGCCACCTGACCTTAATAAGACGTAAATTCATGTGATATACGATAAGCAAGGCAGAAACCTATGCTGAGTGTCGCTGACCACCTAAATACTTGATCCAGCTCAGCGCTAACTTGTAACTTGAGAACATGGAGGACGAGACCAGACTAGCAAGCCAGAATCAAGCAACCGTGAAGTAGGGCGTCTGCATCACGTGCATGTATACACAAGGTACGGCTCCGCCAGTCGATGTCCATTGGAGGAAGAGGAAAATAAATCCTTGCTGAACTCAGGTCAGGGCCAACATCGAATAGATACCGTGCATGCATGACTCGAGAAATGGAGGATCATTACTTTGTAATGACTGTAGCCATCACAAGAAGTCGTAAACTCTCCACATCTCGTATTTACAGGACAAAGGTACGGGTTCAGGCTTCCTGCCTCAGTCGTCAATACAGCGGAAGCTCCCCCGGGAGGTGGGGGTGTGAGCTGCGTTATCGCTCAGAGATACACCATCCTTTTCTTTCAGTCGTCCAGACCGGGTAAGCCACCAACCCTAATGCCTCTTCCGAGTAGTAGAATAGAACTCCTACTGGCCAACAGCATGCTCACTTGCCAGCATCAGCTCTCCGGAATATCTTTACGCGAGCCCCCCTCACCATGCATGACCCTCGGCCCATGAGCTCTAAGCGTCAGACCAAGTTCCGTATGAAATTGAAATCCCACTCCTCGGACGACTCACCTCTAATCCTTCAGTGGAAGCGAAGCAGGGTTCTCGGAAAGGGAAGGCTACAATATTGTATCTCCTGCATATTCGCAGACCAGTTAAGAAAAGAAGATTGGGCACACCTGTTCAACCATTTATATAACGGGTCTGTCAATTGGCTCGAAGCCGCAGAGGCGGCCTCCGATGACTCAGCGTCTGTGGAGCGGTTGGTGTCCAGTTGCGTTGTGATAATTCTGTGCCTTTTCATCAGGCATGTGTATGTTTCTAGGACTATCTAACGGACATGCATCGAAGACCTCCTACCTCTACTATCTACCGTCCAACCATGAGACACTTTTACACCAAACGTTAAGTCTTCTTTGTCGTAATCCGAGTCGAGGACTGCTCCAATTGCCCATCTCAGACATCGGTGTGTTATTTGAAATTGGTCTTCGAAACTCGAGCCATGCGGATATAGTTCCAAGGTTCGTCTGAGATGGCGCTCGCTTATACGAATCCTGCAACGGTGTGCTACTGTATGTTTGTTGCACAGGCCTACCAAATGGCCCCCTCGACGATTCTGGCTCGCCAGGGCTCCCGAGGTCCGGGTGATGCTACCCGCTAGATTCATAAATTCCGGGGTCGCAGAGCTCCACCGTCCAGTGCAGCCAGATCAGGAGGAACTACAGTTCTCACAATTCTAAGCGAAGATGAGAATCTTTCTCGTTTCTGGTTTAACCACATGCAAAATCCGTTGTTGAATTCGCATTTACCCCACCTCGTTCCTTCTTTCCCAATTGGTCAAAGCAGGGAAAGTCAACTGCAAGAGTCAGACGATCTTCACTTGACCGGAGAAGATTGCTCAGCGAAATCCTTCATTTGAATCCGTCAATGCTGGTTCAGATCGCGACGATCGCATGATAATCAGGCGATGCGAGTCATTATAGCAGAAAAATGGATCAGACCCACAATCCGGGTAAGAGTTCGGCGCCCGTTACTTTCATGATACTCCACGTATTGTGCATGTCGCAGAAACGGTGTTGTCCGTCCACGTCACTTTAGAACCCTACATATCAGGTTTCAAAGTTTCCGCTTCCTCTTCGACCAAACCAGCCCATGCATCATAACGAATTCGCTCCAATACATCAAGCCCCGAGATCTTTCCGTCCTTGCCTAGCTCAAATCAGCGCTTCCTTTTCGATCATCAACCCTTGCAGGCCGCATCCGGTCGAGGTGACCTCTAACGACAATGAGGGGGCTCTTGCGTTCTGACATATTCTCTCTACTTCGGGCAAAAAGATCGTGAGCTATCCAGGGTTATCATCCTTGGCACCTAAAACGTCACCATGGCGTCGCAGCAATAATAATATCGTTAGAGCCACGGGCAAAGGTACCAACGGGAGGAATGGGATGTTGCCTCTGGGTATGCTGGTGGGGATGAGTCCAACTATCCTCTACCTCGACTAGGGCCATCAACCGTCTACACGGGTCTCTAGTCACTCATCATCTATGGACAAGCGATGTCCCGGCGTTCGAAGCTTGAATGGTCCGAAGAATCTATCGTCGCATCAGAAAATCTTAATTTAGTGGGAGAGGTTTCCGGATTTTTGATCTGAATTCTGAATCGCGTTCTTCAGCATCGCATGGCCCAACAGGAGGTCGACAACTCAGCAAAGATGAACATTGAAATGGAATTTTGGGAATCAACCCACCGCCATGATCCTGATGAGCTCTTGGAAATTTCACTGTTCCTTCGGACTTTGCGAACTGGATGGTTGGGAACTTGAGAGAGGCCGTTTAGGCGATTTTCGTGCCAACCTCGATTGCATTTACGTCCTTGAACAGACTGAGGCTCCTGCGTAATGAATTGACCGAATCTTCATCGCAAGAGACGATCTTGAGGTCGACCAGGGCGGCATGTCCATCCGGGACGTAGTTGAAGAGGCGCATGTCTATAATGCATTGATGCGATTCCATGCCGAGCAATTTTACCTCGACGGACGAAGTGATCCCCAACGGGCAGCACAGAGCATTGTGGCTCGATAACAATTTGAGCATTCCAAAATCGACCGCAGAATTGACCGACCTTCAATCTCTGGCTAGTGGTGGGCTTTAAAGGGCTCTGATACGTTCTTGGTTTGACGAATTGAGCACTTTTCGTCGCGAAAACTTCTACGCAGACTGATGTGGTGCGATCTAGAATATCAAATATTTTATTGGTAATGACAAATCCTCTAAAGCAGCCGCTGTTTCCCATAGGCTAGACGAGGATCGTCATGTTTTCTACAGGTTCATAAACTCCCACCGTAAAATTGAAGCTCGTTGAGTCTCTTCACCAATTGCCTTCATTGAGGCAAACGCACAGAATGTCTCGAGAACATCTCCTCATCAAGCTCCACCTCCAAAACCACTTGCATTCCCTCACCTGCATTTCGGGCCACCGGGTTTCTTCCAGCATGTCACGAGATTCTTCCACCACCATTAATACCGGTCTCTTCCTGGCACTCTCTGGTTCACAATTGTCTATCAAGCCTCCCTGCGTTGTCATTTGAGAATGTACGACGTACTTCAATTCTCGCCATCATGTCGTTTGGCAGTGGTGGTGGATTCTCCTCTCATTCGTATACAAATACTCAGAACTCAGGCATTTGGGGATTCGGCAATCCGAACACTAACGTAGGTTAGTGGCGATTTCCTTTCAGTGAGGATATCGAAGAGCTAACAAGTCGTCTTGGTGTAGGATTTTCTTCGAATCCAAGTAACACTGGCGTTGGATCTAGCATGGCCGCCTCAAATCCTTTCCGGGACAGCACATTCAGCTGGAATACTGGAGGTGCGTGACAACGTTTACAACTCTGTAGCTTCACCGTCGATGTTTCCTTGAAATTTTTTCCACGCTCCTTGCGATGTCGTTCGCGCCATGTCCCTTTCTCCTTCCGTCGGCATCTCTTTCTACCTCTTCCTACAGCTCTTCTCTCCTTCTTCACTTCTCTCCCCTTCTACCCACCGGGGAAGTTGTCGTCAACTCGTCTTTCTTTAAAAACCAGCAGAACGGAGACCACGTGTAATGGTCTCGCACGCAGGACCTAGCAGGAAACAAATCCATAGAATCTCAGCTAACAATATCGACATAGGGTTCGGAAGCAATCCCAACACAGCTGGTCCGCTCTTTGGCAATATACCAGCCTCCACTCCCTTTGGCTCTAGTGCTCTGAGCACCACCTCTGGTTTTTTGGGCAACACGGCCAGTAATACAGGTGGATTCGGTAGCGGCGGACGTACGTTTGGAAGCAATACCAACGCAAGCCCTTTCAGATTTGGACGAGCGACCCAACCTGCTTTTGGCTCGACCTCTCCATCATCATCTCTATTCGGGCAAGGTGGTTCAGGAACAACCAGGAGTTTCGGTACCCCAAGCGCATTTAGTTTTGGAACAGCTCTGAGCGCCGGAGCAGTCCCTCCATCAGATGGCACTGCTTCAGTACCTTTTGCTCCAACTGTCGAGAGAGACGGTGCCGGTCAAAACAACAGTTATCAAAGCGTCAGTTTCATGGCCCCATATTCCAAATACTCTTTCGAGGAACTCCGCTTGGCAGATTACAATGCCGGACGCCGATATGGTAGTGCCACGTGGCTTGGGGGAAGCTTTGGACCTAGTACTTTCGGCAGAGTTGGTTCGGGCGCCAGGACAGATTTTGGGCCCTTTGACAGAACAATGACCTCTACCGGCTTCGGGAGTGATACTTCGACGGCTGGGTTCGGCGGTGGCGGACTTTTTGGCAACAAGCCCGCTGGAGGACTCTTCGGCCAGCAATCCTCCAGTGCTCCCTCGGGTGGTCTGTTTGGCACTGCTGGCGGCGCTTCCACGCAATTTGGTTCCGGATCCAACCTATTTGGCAGTTCTGAAACCAGACCCAGTCCTTTCGGCGCCTCCGCACCTTCTTTCTCGTTCGGGAGTAAAGGCACAACCACGGCACCCTCAGGTGGAGGCCTGTTCGGGAGCACTGGTGCTCTAAGCACAACCCCTTTTGGTGGCAATCAGCAGAAGCCGCTCTTTGGCAGTGGACCAGGAGGGTTTGGGTTTGGGTCATCGACAACACAAAGTCAACCTTCGGGCGGCTTATTTGGTCGTCCTGTTCAAGGCACCACGGATGGTGGTTTCACCGGGGGCACCGGTACTGGAGGTGGTTTGTTCGGGTCGGCCCCCGGCGGCAAACCTCCCACCACGCAAAGCACCTTTGGCGGTGGTGGCACTACCACCGGGGGTCTCTTTGGGAATGTCACCTCCACACCCCAGCAACAATCCGGCGGCCTCTTCGGCACTACTCCTGGGTTTTCCTTTGGAACCTCTGCAACCCGGCCAGCCTCAACACCTCTATTTGGCGCCCCAAGTACAGCTCAACAGCCTTCGGGCGCGACGGGCGGCTTCGGTGGTCTTTTCGGTACTTCGCCAACCTCTCAGCAGGGAGCTCAACAGCAGCCCGACTTCAAAGTTTCGTCTTTGAATGATCCCAATCCATACGGCCAATCTTCAATCTGGACGGGACTACCAATGCCTACTCCAGAAAATTCAAAGCCCATCTATACTCCTTTAATTGCTGCTCAAAAGGAAAAGGAGAGTCAGTCGAAGCCACGGCCATCTCTGCGACTTCGTAAATCGTATGAAACGACTCGTCCGCGTCGCCCCAGTTTTGGCTTCTCTAAATCGGCCTACCGAGCGCCCAGGACTACTGGTCTAAGTGCTCCCAGTAGCCCACCGCAATCACGGTACGCTGGCGATGAGGACAGGATTCTCAGCCCGGACGCGTTCAGTCCGTCTCGTACAGGGTGGTCAAGCGAAAATATGCGCCGCCTGACCATCGATCGAAGCGATAGGAGTGATCTGTTTCGTCCATCTTCCCCTGCGTCTCCCCAGCCCTCCCTGGTCAAAGAGATGGTCAGCGGTGATTCTGAAGCTGCTATTACAAACGGAGAGCCGTCAGCAGACTCAATCAACCAGCGCGACAAACATGTCACCTTCGACAAACGCATCCCTAAAGGACAGCCCGGCGGCTTAAACGGCGAGACAGCAGCCTTGGCCCGGAGAGGACCTGACGAAACCGAGGGCGGAGCTGCTCCGCGTGACAGGTCCGTCAATGGAAGTACAACCCCTGAAGCTGAGCCAGTCAGGGGCAATGATTTCGACATCGTTCCTGGGGATCGTGAGTCTATTCATATTGAGCCTGAGGAGACAAATATGACGACTAGACCTGTCCCACAACCGGGAGAATATTGGATGAAGCCGACTCGTACCGAGCTTGGCAAAATGCCGCATGACAAGCTCCAGCATTTTACTGGATTCGAGATCGGTCGACAAGGATGTGGTCGAGTCAATTTTAATGGTCCGGTCGATCTTACCACTTTGCCTCTAGATGATCTTTATCAAAAAATCGTCCAGATCTCATTACGATCGATCACAGTCTACCCGGACGCAAGCTCCAAGCCACCCGTTGGAACAGGCCTGAACGTCCCGGCGACCCTTTCTATTGAAAACTCCTGGCCTCGTGCTTGCGGCCAGCCGTTGTCTGCGACTAGCCGCCCCCTTTTGGAAAAGCATATCAACCGCCTCAAGAAGATGCAGGGAACCGAATTCATCAATTATGAAGTGTCAACCGGTGTTTGGACTTTCAGAGTCGCTCACTTCACTCGCTACGCTTTAGCCTTATAACAAAGCGAGCTCAGCCAGCATCAATCCAACCTCTCGTCTAGAGTTTGTGGCGGCTGTTAAATGCGTTCGGAGCCTGATATGTCCATCCCTGAATCTTGACTTCACTCAATTCCATTTCCATATCCGGACCTGGCCTGGATATATGTGGAGTCATCCGAACTCCCGCCTCGCTTGTCTGTCGTTTGAAGAAATACACGGTGGAAAATTCGATAAGCTAACTCGCCCAAATTTCGGCTCAAGCAATTCCTAGTCTCCTGAAAGAATGTAGGAGCGATTCAGGCAAAGTAATTCGACTCTCTTCCTTTCTGAACCAGAAACATTGCCGAAGCAAAAAGGGATTCTTGGATTGTTGCGATGACTGTCAACGAAGCAGTGGAATTTTTGGGCAAGGTTTGTATTTGAAGCATGGACGTCCAAGCGTTGCCCTTGCGGTTTGAGTCCTTGTCGTGTAGAGAGTAGAGGACCTACTGTAGAAAAATGTAGTCTAGGGTAGTAGCTGTACCAGGACCTGACCAGGCTTGCACAGTTTGGCCCAGAGTCTCCATGTAACTATACCCTTTAGAAATGTAGTGGTCACTGCGTGACGTGAAGGCTCAAGCCAAGTATGTGATTGGTGAAACTGTAGTGTACCTCTACCGGATGTGTTGGCAGGTTAGGTTTGACCAAAAGGATCAACGCGACGATGGGCATTTTTTGGTCTGATGGAAGGGACTTTCAACTGAGTAGAAAACTTGTGATCAAAAGGGCGTGTGAATTGGAAATGTTGTCGCATCAAAAATGTTCACAGAGGATACATCCTAGGCTCCAATCTGTCCTAGGTCATATAGCCTTAGTAGGAGCTACCTCGCAAGGCTAGGAGCAAAGTTGATGTCAAACACAGGTCATGCCCTGGCAACTTTCTTCTCCAGTCATAAGGATCGGTATCGCACCTAAAAAGCTATATTAGGACGTGGGTCTGGTATTGTTCTAAACATTATCTTAGTTGGTTCAAGACATTTGTAAATTTCCAGCTCTGAGAACAAAGTCTGTCCCCGGAGAACAAGCAGGAGGATCGGAAGGACACATACTTCCAATTCATAGCTAAAAGACTGAACGGCGGTTCCACAATGTCGCCCTTTTGGACTTTTGACCCTCCACATGGTCTCGGACAAGTTCTCCCCAACGCTTGATGATCTCTTTCTTCTCCTCATCCGTGGCCCTGTCCCACTCATCCCTCCCCTGTGCTGTCCTCGCCGCATCGATATACGCCGTGAAATCCAGAATATTGCGCTTCTGCAGCTCCTTATGTAATCCACTTAGCGTGTATGCTGGAAACCCAAAGATTGCCGCCATTGGTTTGAGCGCGAGCCCGCCTGCCCCCATCCCGATACCTCTGGTGAAACCCACAATCCCATCGTCCCTCGCTCCGTGGAGGGGGAGAAATATGATGCCCGTAACAGCGTCGGACATCTCGTTCCAAAACTCATGCAAGCCATTCTTCAGACCCCGTGTGAAATTGGTGACGTGTGTGGAAGGCGGTGGCCGGACGGTCCGGTCGCCGTACAGCTTGGGCGCGTTGTGGAATCCCAGTGCAAGTGACATGGTTAAAGTGACGGGGAAGCCCAGTCCAGCCCCGGCGATATTTGCGAATGATGAGGCGATGTTGGATGATACGTCGAGAGAGATGTCTCGGATGGTTTGAAGAAGGGCCTTTGGTCCTCCTTTATGAAGAAAATGGTGGTCATGCTGGTGACGCCGCAAAGATGCTCGACGGCCAAAGGAGCCACACAGTTCCGCTTCCAGCTGTTTCTTGAGCAGTCGCCTTCGAAACGATTCGGGGACACCAAAGTGACGGGAATTATGGCGTTGGGCAGCTTTGTCTGCTGCAGAAAGAGTGGCGCTGGGCTTTGGGGACGTCGCTGAAGAGGTTGTGCCTGGACTCCGAGGCTCGTCTGCATGGGATATGCCGTCGCCTTCAGGGAACAGGCCGCAAGGCCCTTGGTGCTCGGGATTGGGTGGCTGAAACGTCTGCACAAGGTGAATTGGCAAGTCGACAAACTCTTGCGTCAACCTCCCAAAGGCGCCGAGTAACGTGGTGATAGTCCCTGAGATCGGGTCCCAGGGGCCACCTTCCAGCTCATATTCCTGGGATCGATATCTGCTACGGTCAGTGACACGCTGCTTTTGTCTCTGACATCACAGTCACATACAATTCGAGATCATCTTTTTGCAGTAGCCCTTCTTTGCAGAGAGTTGTCGCCGCGAGAGAACACAGCCGTATTTGCGTCCTTTTGACTTTCCAGATCGCTGCATGATGTGGGACGACCGAGCACCGGAGCTTCGACAACGGCAGTTTAGCGTGGAAGATTTCAGCACCAGTTTCACATCCGTGCTCATGTCTGATCTGGTCACTCAGGCATCGAGCGGTGGCGACCATGGGCGGAAGTAATGCCTGGCTTATCGCTGCGGCCAGCGCCTTTGCCGTCAATGCTTTGTATGGAATCGGTCTCGGTCCCGCGCCCGTTTGCGCGACTATTTTGCCCCAAAAGTGCTGGTCACCAAAGAACGGTATGATCACGGTTGGTTTGCCAGCCATCAGACCGGCTGCAGTGGTTCCCGCCCCTCCATGGTGTACAACGGCGGAAACTCGCTCAAAAAGCCAACTGTGCGGAATGTCAGATATCAGGTGAACATCCTGGGGGATATCTTCGCCTCCAAGACCAGCCCATCCGACGGAAACTATCGCCCGCACGCCCGCCTCTGCAATGGCATCAAATATGATTTTCGTCATAGCACCGGGGTCTCTCACGACAATCGAACCAAAGCCTATATATATCGGTGGAGGACCATCCGCAAGAAACCGCAATAATTCATCTGGGACTTCTGGAGGAGAAGCCAGCGGCGGGAGCTGGAAGTATCCAGCAACGGAGATATTGGGGCCCCAATCAGGAGGCTTTGCCAGCAAAGCTGGAGACCTGAAAGTGTTAGAATCTGTTGTACTACTGAGACAATTCTGACATTACCAAGCATAAGTGAAATGCAGGCGAAGTCGTTGGCTTATTCCTGGAGCCCACATTATGCTCAGCGGCTCCAAATGGAGACATCGCCATCGGAATAGATTTATGACATCCCCCAGACCGTGCCAGATGATGTTTTCCACGAGAAAGTAAGATATCAGATTGGCCAATCCTCTATCTACGTTGGAAGAGCGTAGAGTGGTGAGTGGATGGGGAAACGCCTGCGTTGGCGTCCATGGCATCCTGAAGAAATCGTCAAGTTCTCGACCTTTGATCCCTTACGAAAATGGATGGAGTGGTGTGACTTACGTGAACATGAGATGCAACGGAATTCCTAACCTTTCTGCACAATGTACATGAGCAAAACTAGGTGGATTCGCAATGATAACATCTGCAACGAATGGCTTTGCATTCGTTTCAGTGGAACTCCACTCTCTTAGACCAGCGTAGTCTTCGTTTCTCGGCCGTGGTCCCATTCCATCCCCTGCCTCGATGCAGGATCTCCAACAACCCTTGAGAACTTCATAGAGACATTTTCGTTGCTTTAATACATCGCCGCTGCGCAGGGCTTCGTAGTGTGGTAGCAAGCCGGGGTTCTTGACCATGAATTTCATCAGTGCCTCCGGATTGCCACCAATGCAAAAGAACTCCAATCCTTCTCGTTGCACCAATGACTTAAAGGCTGCATGAGTAGCAATGCGCACGCGATGGCCGTAAATTTCTCGAAGTGTTTTCCCAAGTGCCACAAAAGGCTGGATGTCGCCTCTCGATCCAACGACCTGGATCACAATATTCAGGTGTAACGGGTGCTGTGAAATTTCGGCCGAGACTCCTGGGAGCGAAGGTCTCTCTAGACGAGCGTCGTCTGCATGTATTGCTTGTTGTAGCTGGGCCTGGACATGAGGAGCGAGATGGTCGGAGAATACCGTATTGGATTGTTTGATGTCAATGCCGATGGAGCCGTTGTCTGTCTTGAAGTTAGATACTCAAAATTAAAGAGGTAGCGAAGGCTATTTTACCATCGATGTCTGTTCTAGTTGTACATCTGTTCGAGGGGTAAAATAATGGAGGACAGAGAGATGCAATATCCTGATAGTTGTGATCTTCTTGATCAGTATCCTCAGAAGTTTGGGGCGGCGACATTCTTGTCTGATTACTTTGGTGCCTAGGGTAGAAACGTCTCCTAATACTTCTAGATTAGTTACCGTCGCACGAGAATCAAGCTCGGCGAGCCTATCGAGGTATTACTTATCTCTTTCTTTGAGGATATTTTCTTCGATCCCGTGAAGAACGGCATTGTCAGAATGTTAATCTCCTCCAATGGGCCGCGAGATCTAGACCTGAGACTATTGTCGTTGAAATCATCACCTGATATCTTGATTGAGAGTTCCCGAACTTCTCTGATGTAATCGGGGTTTCCCCGATACCTCTTGTTCTGGCCACTCTCGCTTATGCATGACTTGGAATTGATTGGCTAACAGGCTGATCCCCGGATCGCGATCCCCATTTGCATTCTTGTCGGGCTCTATTCTTTTTCTTCTAGCTCTAGGCTATGTCTATGCTCCATTCATATCTACGTCCGACTGAAGTATTTGCACTCCCTTCCGCCCTTTCCCTTTGTAAAGCTTTCGACCATGAACAGACGTCTTGAACTCGTCTTCAATGAGTCTGAAACTTGAGCAAAATCATCCCGCGTTGCGGCGGATGAACCAACTCTTCCTGCCGCTAAGGATCAACCAATCTAGGATTGGGGTGGTGTTGAAACTGGCCATCGAACCAATACAACAACTCACATGGAAGTGGATGAACGTTAATTGTCAAGAACCGTATGACGAAACAGCCGCTGCAAATTCTCACAGATTCCTTTGGTATTGTCACGGTAGGTGAAATGATTGCGATCATGGGTCCCAAGGGATCGGGAAAGACGACCCAACGGGCAGCTTCGTAGGGGATACGCTTGCCAGTGGGCCAAAAATTACCTGGGAGACGTTAAGGCACCTCTCGGCATATGTCGAATAAGAAGAAAACGTCCTAATAGGAAGTTTGATGACTGGAGAGACCATGAGCTTTGCCACCCAACAGCACTCCCAAGTGATAGACTGTGGAGTCTAGAGAAGGAATGTGTTGTTGTTGTTCTATCTAAGAGAGAGCAAGACGAAAAGAAGGGCGCAAGTTGCCAAGCCAAACAGCCTCACGTGACGTTGCCAAGGCAATGCGTCACGTGACTGGCCAACACAAGAGGTGTGCGACACCGCTCACGGAAGCTCTTACACGTCCAGGACGATCGATCATGCCTCCTCTCCTCCAATCCCATCCGCCTTCGATCCTCCCTCCCCTCGCCCCGCGCGCTCTCTCTCCCCCTCCTCCACCCGAACCGCCAGCCTCGGGCTTCTCCTAGCCGAACAATGGGCGTCGATCCAGCCGCGATGGATCAAGTCAAGATAGAGACCTGTCGCCGTTGCCAGGAACGGGGTGGTTCGCGATGGATTTGAAGGGTGAGGTCTGCCACGCCTGTTTCTTGCGGGACAAGGCCAACCAGACCCCCTTCCTCATGTCCGCCGAGAACGAGATGGATCCGGGAGAGCGGCCGGCCCATCTACCCGCGCTGACCCAAGTCGAGGAGATGATCATTGCCCGGTCACATGTACCAATGATGGTCTATCGCTACCGTGGCCACCAGTACCACTACTCGGGACGCTGTAAGTTTTATGCAAAATACGATGAACAGATGGGCCATACAAGGAATGAAGATGCTTGCCATACCACCAGGTAGCTTAGAGCTCTCAGGTCGAAAATCGAGGGTAGCAATGCAGGTTGGTGCGGGGATGTAGTGCTCCAGCAACGTCTCGAGGCCTCATGACAGAATGGCAGTCTGAGGAGAGTTGATCCGTTCCGGGTACTCGAGAGAGAGAGGTCTGGGTTAATATTTTGTTAGCGTAAATTCCCTCCTTTCCCCCTCCTACCAGGGTGGAGAACTTCTACAATGTACAGAACTCAGTCACCGAGCTTGGAGACCATACCATGGTCGCCGATACGAATGACACACATTGTCCAATCTTGTGTCGATGTCGGATCAGTAGGGAAGTTTCTCGGCTCTCCCAAACATCACACCACTTTTGTCCATATTCAGCATCGCAACAAGTTTGCTATCTTGGATTTGTTTTTCGAATGATGTTTTTTTCTCACTACTCTTCACCGATCTCTCTGAATCCGCCGATAGGAGCTTCGCACAGACCTAGGTGAAGATGGAGATTATAACCAAAGACGAAGAGCAGGACTATTGTCGCTCTATCTGGTATTCTGGAGCAGGTACCGGAGTTTCTGCTCTCTTGATCAGTCTCGCAGCTACAGCGGGTCTAAATCGATATTATCCGCCTTTCAAACAACTCCCTCTTTGCGAAGCACCTTTGTGATTTACCCCAGTCCCATAGCGATCAGCGCTGGTGCGAACCGAGGATGTCATTTATATCAGTCGCGGATACATCCGGAGATCAGGAAGGACGTCGACCAGGGCAGGGTTCACCTTGAAGAGACTCGTGCTATGGAGGCCAAGACGCAACGAACAAAGGAATGCCTGTACGAGCACAAACTCCCCGTTCTAGGCGTAACATGGGGGACCACGGTGGCTGTCAGTATGGAACTCATGGCACGCGAGCGTTTTACAACAGGCGCCCGGAAGCTAGTCCGGGCGCGAGTTTTTGCTCAGGCATCCACATTAGCGGCCCTCATTGTTTTGGCGCTCATGGAGGCCAAAGACATGAAAGAAGGAAAAGGGAAGCGGCAGAGAGTTCTTGGTGGTGGACCCGAACGATCCTGAACACCGCCGCCACTTGGAGAGAAAGTTGCATCTCGAAGCATACCCTGGCGAAGATACATGGAAAGGCAAGTCCGATACTCGTTCATGCTTTTAATTCAAAATCTAATCGGGTCCTCCAGATATAGTCTCATACACCCAGAACCAGGAAGAGGACGAGAGGAGATCGTAAGGCTAAAATATCATGTCGAGAGGGTGCCACTATACGTCACTTTGGGTGTGTTAGGGTCTTCAACCTCCCTCTTTCGCGACGTTAACAGAGCAGAAGAAACATAAATCACGACGCAGATGTACGGAGTGACTCCAGGAAAGAACTCTGTTCAGGTGGACGACATCATCGAATTGAGACCGAAAACAAGAGATGCCATCTGTGATGAAAGAAGCGTGTAGTAAAAGGATTGACGTAAATCAGGACGGCCTTTGCTATGCATACCAAACATACACAGTGAGTTGCTAAGAGAATTTGGGGAAGTCTAGAATTCTCCAGACCTACTGTTCGTTAGATCAATATATGAAAAGCGGAGAATTGTAAAATCGTCATGGAATACTTCTGGCATCGTCCATGAGACCATGAGCAAGAAGATCCAATCCACGTCTAGATGTCCCGATGCAATTGATCGGTTCTTCTGATGACTCACCATGGGCACCCTCCAAACCCAACACCCCTGCCGGTGCATCCATCCCTAATACTTGCAATCCAATTCGAAAAATTCACTCAGAACAAAATCATCAAGAATGGGCGGTTGCTGCATGGACGGTCTTCGTCCAACTGGAACAGTTTCAGGTCCAAGGTTAACCGTTAATGATAGTCGTGCATTTTTGGGGAAGTTGGCGCCAAAAAAACACCAGGATTGTGTATGCGAGAGGTATTTGGCAATGCTGTGTTGGGATCCTAGCAGAGCTCGATTAGATCGTTGAATGGAGTTCTAGCCTGTAGGGTGGCTTGCACCTTGCAGTTTCGGTGTCCTGATTAAATCCCGACTCGCGTGGAACGAGGAAAGTTCTGACGAAGTCACCGATCCCATCATCCACATAAAGCTTTCGGCTACCACTTGAGGTTAGCTGTCCGGAATCCTTCCGGAAACCATGAGAAAGAAATGAATCGCACATCTGGTATAAGGGGTCCCCTTTGGTTCTGTAAGGCTCTGGTATAAGTAACCCTGACCTTAGCATATGTGGCTATCCACGAAGTGATCAATACTTGGCTGTTTTTCTTCAATGTTCTTAATAACGGCACCTATCTCCAAAGTCAGCTCGGCCCGGCCAGTGGCCCAGCTTGGGAGAGTTCTGGCGCCTCTTCATCATGCCAGAAATGCCATTCTCGAACATCAGATCGCCCTCTCGATGGCATTGATGACCTGTCCTTCTAAGTCAGGGAAGCCCACACGACCTTTCGTATCGACAAATGTGGCTCACTCCCGTGGCATCTTTCCCGTGGAGCAGACAAGGATCTGTCAAAATCCGTCGGCTGCCTCCGCACGTTCCTTCTCAACAACACGCATAGCTTGCCTCCGTGACTTCTTTCCTGCCCATGAGACCAAGTTCATCCGTCAGACGCCAGCAGCTTGGTCTCACCGTGGCTACACTGAGGAGGAAATGCTGAGTGTTGTCCCGGCACATCGAGAACCAAAGACTCTGGGTGACCGGTTCGCCTGGAAGTTGATCAGGATATGTCGGTGAGTAAGAACTCTCCCTCCCCGAGGGAAGCCTTGGTATACGGACAGGCTAAGAGTTCAATAGATGGTGCATGGATTTCGCAACTGGCCTTCGACCGGAACAACAGGTCGACAAAAAGAAACCTACTACAGAGGTCGTGGCTAGCAAGCCGTTGACAGAAGCACAATGGGTGCGTATCACATCAGGAAATGCCTCGAATCCTGTCTCACATCCGGTCACAGCTAGTGCGGTTCGTGTTCCTCGAGTCCATTGCCGGCGTTCCTGGCATGGTTGCGGGAATGTTGCGGCACCTTCGTTCTCTCCGTCGTCTGAAGCGCGACAACGGCTGGATCGAGACACTTTTAGAGGAATCGTATAATGAACGAATGCATCTTCTGACGTTTATGAAGATGTGCGAGCCCGGGTGGTTCATGAAGTTCATGATCGTGGGCGCGCAGGGCGTGTTCTTTAACGCACTGTTCGCCTCGTACCTCGTTTCACCAAAGATCTGCCACCGCTTTGTTGGCTACCTTGAAGAGGAAGCCGTACACACTTATACAAGATGCATTCGCGAGATAGACGAGGGGCTGCTGACAAAATGGAGTGATAAGAAATTCACCATCCCTGATTTGGCGGTGGGCTACTGGAAAATACCCGAGGGGAAGAGGACGATGAAGGATTTGATTCTCTACATCAGAGCCGACGAGGCCGTTCACAGAGGAGTGAATCACACGCTTAGTAACCTGAACTATAGGGAAGACCCAAATCCTTTCGTGAGCGACTACAAGGTCGGCATGGACAGCCATAAGCCTGATGCAGTGCGTAAGGCGACAGGATATGAACGGGAGGAGGTGATTGGGTGAAGTAGAGCTCAAAGTTCGGGGCAGGGGAAATTAATTATAGAGACATCAACTAATCTTGATACATTTTTTTGGTAACCTCATGCAAAGCTTGCGACATGCTCGGTGAAAGCGTAGCACCACAGGTTGGGCATTCCATCGCTGTATACCCGGAACCGGTCGAGCATTCTGGATATAGCCCTTGCAGACGGCAGTGACAATGGTCTAGATGAGAATAAGCTTTTAGATAACGATCGAAAGGTCAGATATCGGACTAACTTGTCAGTTGGTGAGATAGATTGATTGAGGTATTGGTCGTGTTGGCATTTCTCTCTCATACGGTACAGACTACAGCGGCTCTTTGAGTGCAATTGGATCCATTTGACCAACATTTCCTTTGGGAATCTGGCGTGGTAAGAAACAAAGATGCTGCTTGTCAAAAGTTTGAGGCAAGCAAGCCTTATGGGCTGCCATAGATTTGGGCAGTTACAGTTGCCTCACTATCCGTGGATGAAACAATTTTCGCACGGCAATGCAAGAGTTCGGAAGATCAAGGCCGAACTCGGCGTTTGGAGGCTGCTTCTCTCTTGCAATCCACCCTCCCCAGTTGCAGGACGGAAAAACAAATACCATTCGAATAGAGCCCTCAATGCCTTCCTCCTATCTCCTTAACAAGCAACCGGGTAAAACAATACCGCGGTGTGAAAAGAGCGCAACACAAACTGGTAAAACAACATTCGCAGCTTTGCAAGGCTACGAAATGTTTTCTGCCCGTCTCTCCTCCCTGAATTGGAGAAAGCGGAGACAATGATACGCACAGCTGGGCAGAATACCCATCACGATATTGCATATGTGCTTTCCTCGCCCACAGTAGACAGTATTGATGGATTCACGAGACCATCACGGATCTTCTGTCATCTTTCCAGAGAAAGCGTCTGGTCCACGAAATGACCGTACAGCCCATATCTCTACTGTCGAACAATCAGTGGATGTACATTGATTGTTGTTGAATGCGCTGTCTGTGAGGCAACTGGTCCTGCCGATTGCCAGTATGTATACACGTTTGGTTGACCCCTTTTCTACTCCTATTCCTACTCCTACCCCTATATCTTGAATCGGAATGACAACCTCTTTTCCTGTAGCGGGGCGCTGGCTATTGTTCACAGGCCGCCGTTGACATTCGCATGAAAGAGCAGTCGACGAAACATCATCAGAGAATCAGTATCACAAAAGCGCAATACTCTTCTAGCTACTTTGTTTGGCCAAAAAATAGAATGACAGCAGAGTGTTGGCCAGTCACGTGACGAGTTGCCTTGGCAACGCCCTTCCTTCTTTTCGTCTTTCTCTCTTAGATAGAATAACAACAACACATTCCTTCTCTAGACTCCACAGTCTATCACAGAGGTACTAAGGTAATACAGCTAAGGGGTTTACCGTCTCCTTCCTGCAAAGAAAGATCACTATGAGAGAGTTAAGGACACGGAGAAGGCCTGGCGGAATACCTACCGCGAACTACCTGGACGGGTGGTTCCATCTTTTATGAAGGAGACAAACTTCACATCAACAAAGCAAACAAAACGTTGCGAACCGCTGGCAGTGCGATATACATTCGCGATGAGGTTTTTCTACTCACCTCACTTTCACGCAGGAGACAAGGAGGCAGACATTGTGAGACGAGATGCTGGCAGGAGTTCAAAGCTCCATCGGACGGACGATATGTTGGATGATGTCAATTATGGCGATGTGTTTCCTGCCTTCTATCTGCCAAACCTACTTTTCCTGACCTTTCACGACATACTAAGACATCCAGGATACAGGAAACTATTTTGCTTCATTCTCCACCGACCTTTGACATTTGCCTTTGACCTTACCATGTTCCTAGCTGATGTCGGCTGTGCTCAGCTCTAGGGCATGCCGCCCCTACAATATCATTGAGATGGACATCTTGGAAGGAATCCAAATCTGTCCTATCTATCTTTCGGTTACATACACATGACAGCAGGAGGGCAGACTCAGCCTAAGAGAGGCTCTGAAGCTCCTAAGCTTCTTTCATCTTGGGGGCTTTCGCAGGAGACGAAAGCAGGCTCTCATTCCATCTCCAACAAGAAGATCAGTGCCAGGATCATGTTCACACTCATCTTGGAAGTGAAACCCTGCCAGTATGCGTCCAGCTGTGCTTGAAGATGAACTAGACAGCCGTCAGACAAACCCGGTCCAGTCCAGAACAATGAGCATATATTCTTATCATTCATTGGTTGACTTTGCTACTATGATACTATATACATCCTCATCTATTCACGTTGATCGATAGTCCTCTGCTGTTTCTTCATGGACAGTCCTCATTGGCACGGCGTCGAGTTAGGCTAACCATCAAGACACCATTTGACTCTTTTTGGCGTTGGTATTTTCCACAACATCCGACTCGAATTCCGAGGTCCTCGTCCACTCACGCTCCTCTTCTCTTATTACGTGACGCATCCCATTCCGCTCAATCCCGGACAACGTGCTTAGTGGCATTCCCATTCATGTCGACCTGGCCGACCTGGTTCGCCTCCAATCGAGCCTTTCCCGCCTTCAACGCACCATGCAGGCCAAACTGTGTCTCCACACCTTCAATGCGGTGTGTGCTATTGATGTTCTTCACCAACGTGATTTGAAAGCAAGTCGCGCCACCTTGACGCGAGGTAATGACGGCCGACGCGAGGAAATATTCCCAGATCCGATACCATCTCATACCATATTTGGCCTTGACTTTGTCCGAATTAGCGATCCAGTTGCGATACCATCTCCACAACGTGGCTGAGTAGTGCACGCCCACTGTATCGAGCCCCTTGACTTCGAAACCTGCCCCTTCCAATTTGTCGATGACGAAACCCAGCGGCATAGAGGCGTCCGCGCCAGGGAAGATATATTTGTTCATGAACAGACCCCAGATCAAGTCTTCGTATTGCCAGTACTTGCGGAACCCGGCAATTTGCAGGAAGAACACACCGTCATCATCGAGCATATTGTAGACCTGGGACAAAAAGGAGCCGAACTTCCGAACGCCCACATGTTCGGCCATTTCCAGACAGGTGATCTTCTTGTAACCACCCTTGGGGACGACAACGTCACGGTAATCCATGCACAAGATCTTGCTTTGCTCCTCGCTGATCCCTGCTTTGCGGAGACCGTTATTCCCCCAGGTCGTCTGGTTGCGACCAAGTGTGATTCCAGTGACATGAGCACCGTAGTTGACGGAGGCGTACTTGGCCAAAGTACCCCACCCACAGCCAAGGTCCAACATGGTGTCGCCAGGCTCAAGACCAATCTTCTCACAGACCACTGCAAGTTTGTTGTCTTGAAGCTGCTCGAGTGACTCCTCACGATTGACATCGGAAATGATTCCCGAGGTATATACCATGCGCGGACCCAGGAACCAGCCATAAAAGTCATCTCCGCGATCGTAGTGATCTCGCACTTGTTCCTCATCCTGGGAGCGCGTGTGCATCAGGAGTTCCGGGATCATGCCAACGAAGAAATACCGGAACAAACTCGTGGTGAACGCGAAGCTGGCCCAATCGTGCCGGTACTCCATAACCTCGAGACAATCGCCCTTGAAGTCCACCTTCTCATCAAAGTACATCTCGTGGAACGTCTCCATAGGTATGCGGTGCTTGCCATGATATTTCGTGCGATCCTCCTCGCTGCGGAAGTGTAGGTAATGCTCGACCGGGCGCCCCGGAAGTTTGGCCTTTTCATTGACTCGAGGAGAAATTCTAGACGCCACGGCCCAGAAGGCCATGAGAATGGGGGCCGACGTGAAGACGGCAAAGAAGAGGGTCGTGTACAACCCCCCATGGACCCGTCGAGCGAGCCAAGCGGGGACAGCTATCAGCAAGCCAATAAGCAGATAATTGTTGAAAGAGTCACCGCCTGGGCCATCGGCGGGGAGAGGGGCATTCTTGATGGTGGGATACTGCGTAGATGTAAGTATCGGGGACAGCTTTGAAGCTCTTCGAAGACTATCGAACGTACCGAAGTGGTGCGGACACCGCAGTTCACTGCCGGAGGCTGCGGCGAAGGAGCGGCCGGAGTTTCAATGAATTCGAAGTCCTCAGAGGGCCCCGAATGTGCGTTGGCCATGGTGTCGAGATGGTGGTACGGTCAATGGGGGAGGTCGAGGAAGCCGTGAACTGGAACTCAAAGGAAAAGTGACGGTGGAGCATGTGCATGACTTCCCACCAGCGAAATAAATTCTACCAAGGCTGCCAAGCTCCGAGCAGAGCGATCCCTTCAGGGGTTCGACGAGAACTACATGATAATGTATTGGGGAAAAAGGTGCCGTTGGTATCAACAATTCTTTGTCAACTGCACGAACCACGAGACACAAGTCCAACGAAGGGCTCCCATTTAATTTTAGTCGTCATCTATTTTGCCTCCAAATTCCCCCAGGAGGATATCATCTGGCGCCGGGCCACGATTGTTGCGCACTTCAAATGGTCAGCAATGTAAACGGACTTGTGATCTCCAGGTACTCACCCCATTCCGTCTCGACCCTGAAAAAAACCCACATCCATCGCCGGACGACCTCCAATAATTCCATAAAAAAAATACCTCCTTCTAGGTCATTGAAATGATCCAAATGCGGCGAGAGTTTGAAACTCCACGTGCAGCGAAGAAGAAGATCGATGAATATGGCCGTATAGTACATCTCTTTGGCTTGAAAATACCTGTGACGCCTCAAACCATAGGGGTATTCCGGGTCGTTCCGTTCCTTGCTCGAAGAAAAGAGTGACAAGTCCCAGTCCTTGGCCACATCCCAATAGAAGGAATAGAACGAGTTGAGGAAAACGAAAAATAACCTGGCCTCGTCAGAGAATGTCCCGGTGAATTTGAATGTTCGTCGACGTACCACAATCGAAACAGTCCCGCCTCACTCATGTAAAACTCCTTTGGATCATAACCGCGTTGTAGAGCACTCAAAATAATAACGGGGAACGCGCTCGCATATTTCAAGGCGTTTGCCAGATGTTGCCCACCCCAGCCTGAGGATGCAGGTCGGCTTCGTCGAACTCGGTAGTACTCAATTAAGCACTGGCGTAGCCGGATCATGCTGGGGATGCTGATGATCAACGGAACGAGATATGCTCCGCCACACCCACGACTGGGTTTGGCCGTGCTGGTTGTCTTTGCGGATAAGGCCATGCAAGTTGAAACGAAAAGATCCCCCAACACTTTTGCATAGCTGGTGAGCACATCGGCCAGAAGAATATCCCCAAATTTCCCATCTTGAACTTCTGCCAACCCGCCCAAGCTGATTCTTTTCAACGTGGCCAGGAAATGGAGACGACCGGTCCGCCACATGCGCTTAAAGGGTAAGATAAAACATAAAACCAGGAAGAGCAGATAGGATTGGGGAAGGATCTGCCATGTCAGAGCGGCGTGCTTCGAGCCTCGCGTGACAATCCAGAAGAGAAGGAGAGAGCAGACCAGCGGAATTGTAAGGAGCGTGGCTAATCGGTAGGTCGAATGATAGTGAAGAATATGATGTTGCGTCTGGCGAGGAGGATAGCGAATTAATGCCAGAACATCCTGTCATCATCAGTGGACGAAAGGGCCAAGTTTGCTATCAAGAACGTCGAAACATACAATTTGGACAAGGTGCAGGTAATGTTGGTTCAGGCCCCATGCCCAAATCCCTGCGAACATGTCAGACGCATCTGTCCAGAGGTCCTTCCACACCATCTCCATACCAAATACAATTATGATGGCGACTCTGTAAGGGAGAGGGAGAACAAGACTGAATGAATCGACCTCAGGCTCAACAGCCGGATCACCGTCCATGTTGACTAGGACATATCATACTTCACCTCACTCTCTCTCAAGCAAGATTGAAAGAAAAAAGAATGGCGGATCTAGACGCCTGGAAATTTCAGGGACAACAAATTCGCATGTTCAATTCTCGAAACTTCAAAATTCGAGGCGCAGGATAAAGTGGCCCCAAATTGGGAGGGTCGGGCCCGCTGCTTTAACTCAAATAAAATGACCCAGGCGACGACTCCTCGCCAACAGCAACTTTCGATTGTATACGAGTAACCTACATACTTCTCGAAATATCCTGATTCCTCGTTGTTGTTCGATCCAAGATTTCTTAGCTTTGTTGCTTGCATGACTAGATAACGGCCGTATCGAATAATTTCCAGTGTGATAGGAGACAAGAGCGTACCAAAAATCAAGCACTGTCACATTTCAACATCAGACGAGCGATTCCATGTCGCTTCCGATCCACATTCACCCATCCCACCCAGACATTTATGCTGTCTTGACAGTCTCTGCACTGAACGAAGTTGTGCGGATCTCCTGGATCAAAGACTCGCCAAAATCACCGTCATAACCGTGGGCCTCAAGATATTGTCGGAACTTAGCATCCTCGCTTTCCAGGTCTCTCTCTCTATCCGGAATAAGAGTCCAAGCGATGATTCCTCCGATGGCGGCAAATGCAGCCCCGATGAGAAACACGGCTTGAGTTCCTTTCTGAGTATCCGAGAAAGAGTTTTGGATCGGAGTGAAGACTTGCGTTCCAATTGCGGCACCAGCTTTTCCAACGGCGGCTGCAAAGCCCAAGAAATGGCCTCTGAGAGGCGTTGGGAAACTTTCGGCGCCGCAGAGGAAGGTTGCGACTCCAGGGCCCATCTCGCCAAAACTATTGAAGATTCCATACAGGACCACAAAGAGCGGGAAGACAGATTGGATAGGGTTCAAGGCCCCTCCGAGGATAAAACCGAGCAACGACCAGCAGCCGAAACCCAACACCATAGTTTGACGTCGCCCGATGCGATCCATCAGGAGGCCTCCAACCAGACAACCGGGAAGGTAGAAGCAATTTACGACGGTACCATACCCGATGTTCTCCTTGAGAGTGTTGTTAGGATTCAGCTGGCCGATAATGGTGGAACTAAAAATGCCAAAGGGATAGGTCACGCTGTAAAGGAACAGTCAGTCCTAAGTTCCTAGAGCATGCATCGGCATGGTTCACTCACAAGTCGTAGAAAAACCAGGCCAGAGATGTCCCCAGCATAGGCTTCCAGTAACGTTTCAGGATCAGCCCATAGGGAACATTCCGCTTGATGGCATGCTTGCGGTATTGGGTTGATTCGATCATGCGAATTCGGAAGAAGAAGAGAACGACAGGCAGGACGAAACCCAGTCCGAAGCAGACTCGCCAGACGCCTGCAGAGACGCGTTCGTGGTACGCCTCGAGTACGATCAAGGCAATCGCTCCAGCCATCACGAAGCCAAAGTCAATGGAGAAATCTGTGGCGACAGCGACCAGGAAGCCACGTCGGCGTCGAACATATTCGCTTTCGTCCGAAGCTTCGGTACTACCGGTCGCACAGGTTGGATATTCACCTATGGGTGGGGAGGTGAGTGTTGAAATCGATCATCCGTCGGTTCATCAACGTACCTCCCGCGCCAAAGCCAGCAACACCACGGGCAACAATCATCATCCAGAACATTCCCAGCTGGGATGTGCCATGCGCAGCAGTAGCGAGAACAATGCCCAGCACGAGGAAGAATGTGGCAAAGACAATCCCTGTGCGACGGCCGATCTTATCGATGACAACCCCAAAGAAGAGCATGCCGAAGATCTCGCCGATGAGGTATGCGTTGGACAGTCTGGTCTTGATGGTGCTTGACATTCCATCCTGGTAGAGATCTGCGAACAGAGGTTCCATGTAGCTGTAAACGCGGCTGTCAGTACAGTCAATGATCGAATGGGGAATATTTAATCACCCAATAACCTGAGCGTTGTAGCCATCACTAAACAAGGCAAGACCCGCAACCAGCGCAGTCACAACGGAAGAAACCTTGGTAATCCTGGCTAATTTTGATTGACTGATACCTTCAACTTCCACCTCATCATGGGCCTGGTTACCATAGGTGTCTTTGCCTGTGATTTCGAGGGAAAGCCCGTGCTTATCGTCAGCCATTTTGATTAGAAGATGGAGAATTGAAGGGGACGGTGGTTGATTCAGTCGCGATAAGCGAATCGCAAGGATGTTGATATATGCATCAACTGGGAAGCTTTTTCATTCCATCTTTTCCTTCTCACCGCTAGCATATCGTCTTCGACGTGTGCAATCTCGGACGACTTCCCGTGGGCCATGGCAGGAGAAAGGCGAGGAAATTCCTCCCGACATAATGGTTTCCCGCCACTTGACGAGGAACGTGGCATACATGGGTATATACTTCTAGCCGTCGAAGTTTTTACAAAATGTGTGTCCAGCCTTCTGTTGAACGCCACAAGTGTCGCTAAGAGCCTTCGTGAGCTTATACACGTGCCAAGTGGAAACAAGCTGATTCGGGATGCGAAGTACGGGGTAGATGGCGATCTCATGCACGAGGGCCGTGGTCTTGAGCCACCCGGCACGAAATGCGATGTTGGAATGTCTGACCAAGTTAATTTCCGGGTGTCCGACGAGCGTTTCTTCTGTTGGTGGATCTCCGAGAGTTCTGTCTGACAAGTGAGTTTCCCAAGGTACAAGTCTTTTCGAGAGAAAAGAGACCAAAAAGCGGGTTCAGTCAAGTCCGACTGAAACGACGGAAGCACAACATGGCATCAACGGAAATTTCCTGGCGTTTGACCGATCAAGGCGACCACTCTGGAGGAGAAGAAACCGAGATGTCGTTATCACCCGAGCAGCGCCAGTTCTTTCGAGATCATGGCTATTTGATTCTGAGAGATGTTCTCTCCAAGGAGGAGACCAAAGATCTCCAGCGTTGGGCGCAGGAAGTCCATGATTGGCCGACCAATGAGAATAGCCCATGGATGCCATATGAGGTAACTCTCGGAATGAGCGTCGCAGAAATAAGTGGTCACTGAGGATTCCGACAGGAAATCAACGCCCAGGGAAAGAAAGTGTTGTGCCGAACAGAGAATTATGCCCACTCGCACCCGGGTTTCAACAGTTTGCTTCGTGGGCCGAAGCTCCTGGGTCTACTCAGGCAACTGGCTGGTGAGGACATGTTGCTCTTCAAAGAGAAGATCAACTACAAACTGGCGGGAAGTGGTAATTTTCTTGGACCGGACCGAGGAGGCGGTGAGGAAGTTGTCACACTGATAGCAGGTAGGTGGTTTTGCGCCACACGTCGATAGCACGGCGTACGCCCATATCAAAAACATCACACATCTGGCCATTTTGCTGGCTGCTGATCCATCGAACATGACCAATGGTGGATTAGAGGTAGTCGACGGAAGCCACGAGATGGACATCCCCATTGGTAGTGACAACTGTATCGAACCGGAATGGGTGAAAAAGCAGAAGTGGACGTCCATAACTTTGGAAGCCGGTGAGAGACCATCCGAAATCTCCGAGGGGACTATTCCCCCGGTCGGCATTTGAAGCGCGGTTATAGAAAAGCTGGCTCGACGTAACCAGGACATCTTCTCATTTTTGGATCATACCTGGCCCACCGAAGTGGCATCAACCACAGTCATAGCGATCGAAAAGCGATCTATGCAACATACAATTGCGCGAGCGAAGGCGACCTACACGATGAGTATTATGCCCACCGAAAAGTGGTTTGGCCGCCGACGCGGCTGAGAAAAATGGGTGAAACATATCAGGAGGGTGCCTTGAGATATGGATACGGTAGTCCCATGCTGAGTGTAGACGCTGGAAAGCAGCTCGAGGTATGACATCGTTTGGTCCCGAATGCTGCTACGGCCGCATTCCTCTCGTGGCGCCCGAACTGACTGATTGTTGTCTGGGCAGTTTGAAGAAGGAACCAGGGCCCAGTCTGCTTCTACAGCAGCTCAGGCGGCATCCCGCATCATCGAGATCCTCCAATCATACGGCCAAAGTGATTATATCGGAGAGGCCATATCGCAAGTCGAACATTCCTTGCAATGTGCGAATCTTGCTGCTCAAAGCTCCGCGGACGCCGCGACCGTCGTGGCCGCTCTCCTTCACGACATTGGTCAGATCATCCCCGAATCTGAGGCGGAACAGCTTCTGGGCGGAGAAAAGGTCCGGGACATGTGCCGGGGGGTCATTCCAGCGGACGACGCGAAGACGTCGAATCGTGTCGGCCGCATCTCACACGAAACATTAGGCGCACGATATCTCCGGACCCTAGGGTTTCCAGAAAAGGTCGCAGAGCTAGTGGAAGCCCACGTGCCTGCGAAGAGGTATCTCTGTGCCGCAGAAAAGGGATATTATGATACCCTCAGCGAGGCAAGCAAAGAGAGTCTGAAATTCCAGGGTGGCCCGATGAGTGGTGAGGAAGTTCGCACATGGAGTGAGGCGAAATGGGCGAAAGAAAAAACGAATTTGAGAAGATGGGACGATGGAGCTAAGGTGGTTGGGCTGGATGTCCCTGGACTTGAGACATATAGGTCTATTCTCGAGCAGGTGTTGAGCTCGTGATGGACATAAGAGGCCTTCCGCACGGTCGCTCCATTGTTCCAGAGCTCGGGAGAGGGAGCAATTGATTCTGGAGGAATGTAATCAGCACATATGATAGGAGATTTTGCTACAAGGTTAGAATCCAGAGAAATTTTCGCACACAAGAGCTCTTGCATCCTACGGCGCGCGAAGCGGCACTTTGGCGCAACCTCGGCTCATCATAACCAGCATTCCGACCTTTTATCATCGATTGTAGTGTTGAAACATGTAAATCGAGGTTGACAGCATCCTTTCAACCCATCGTAATTACTACCTCCTATCTCCTCTATCACCTCTCTAGAAGGTGTCCCCAAACAATGGCCTCTTCTCCTAGTATGGAATATCCATTCGCGTCCTCACCCGACATCCTCCGTACCCACCAAAAAGACGCCTACATCACTGGCACGCTCTCGACCCAGGCATCCACGATCCTGCGCGCCCTCCTCGGCGCTCGTGTCGCACACAAACACTCCGAAGCGACAAACCACCTAAGCGAGCTACTCTATCTATGCATCACCACGCTCCTAGGCAATCGGACGCTGGGGGAGGAATACTGCGATGTGATCCAAGTGGAAGACGACACACTGCGGCTCGCCGGCCTCGGTCGTCGTGTCGGATATATCGCAAACGTGGTCTTTGCGCCATGGGCGTTGAGCAAGACGCTACCGGCGCTGCGAAGAAAGCTGCGCAGTAAATTGGAATGGAATATCGGGCATGCGAATCAGAAGCAGAAACATGTGCACCCTCGCGCACTGCAGGTCCAGGAGTATATCTTGAAACACCTCGATACATGGACGTCTCCGAATCCGATCTACGCGCTGAATCTGGCGACATTCTACTTCACCGGAGCGTATTATCACATCTCCAAACGGCTATTCGGACTTCGCTACGTCTTTACGAAGCAAATCAAACCCGACGAGCAAAGGGTTGGGTATGAAGTGCTGGGTGTCTTGCTCGTGCTTCAGATGGCCGTGCAATCGGCCCTGCATATCCGCGAGACGTATCTCGAGGCCACGAATGCCACGGCGCTACTGGATCGGGGACAATCCACGACAGCCCTCGTCGGGCACGGCGTTGAAGTGCCCATTATGAACCCATCGCTGGGGAACTCCGCGTTCCCCGTCCTGACAGACATGGACGTGCCACAGACGCTGCCACCGGGATTGGCGGCCAACACGTCCACACCCGTCCTCGACGTCGCTCGATATGATCTGACAGACCCCGGAATATTGGCGTGGATCCCCGAGGGCCAGCAGCGGAAATGCACACTATGCCTAGAACCCTTCCGCGACCCCAGTGCAACCACCTGCGGCCATGTGTTCTGTTGGACCTGTGTGCAGGATTGGGTCAAGGAGAAGGCTGAATGTCCGCTTTGCAGGCAGAACGTGCTACCACAGAAGATCCTGCCTTTACGGTAGCGGCCTTGAAATAGTTTTAAAAAATACATGTATGCCCATACGTGGGGGCGGACCATTTTTCGGAAAAGTCCCCTATTTCTTGTGATGACCATTGCTTTCACACGCTAATCGCGATTTCCACGCCTTCGGGGTCAAGTGTCTACATAACAAAGATTTCCGTGCATTCCTCGCAATATACTATGGACGTTATCTGTTGCGCGCAATCCGTGCGGGCAGAATTTGTCTATTAACTCCTGAACGCAAATACGCAAATACCTCTGCGCTCGAACGCCATCTCAACACCTCAACAACCCGTTCCGAGAAGATGCAGCATTCCCAACCGCGAATCAGAAGTCAAATTTTTATTTCATTTCCCCCCCATGTTACACTGCAGCTTCCTTCTTCTTCTTCCCAATCTGTGGACTATCATCTCCCTCCTCATCGCTAATGAGCCCTTCAAGCTCAAATTCCTCCGCATCTCTCACCTGCTGACTATCCGTGACCCGATGACGGGGAAGTCTCGCCGACCCATTGGGTCCGCTAGGGATACTCCCAGGGATTACGGAAATTTTCTTCGAATGGCTGGGACAGGCGATGCTCATGTTGCGCGATGAGCTGTCGTGTAGAGAGCCGCCGGCCCCGTTGCTTTCATCATCAGGCCATGCATGAGATGCGTAGACATAGAGCAGAATGTTGACAAAGAGATACAAAAGGAACGCGATTGAGTAGAGGATGAGGATGTAGCTGACGTGAGTAATTTCGGCATCCGACAGTAGTTTCATCTGTTCTTCAGTCGCGCCCATGAAGAGGAATCCGGATGCATAGAGGAGCTAAAGGGTACATTAGCGATGGTTTGGTCCAAACGCAAGCAGGTGTGTGGCACTCACGAAAGGTGGAAGATGCTGCCAACTGTTAACTTCGCTGGTGCCTCTGCTATCTTTGAGAAGAAAGGAGATTTCAATGATTCGGCAAGCTCCTGCGGCCATGAGCGTACATCCAAAGACGGTATGCACCATTGTGCTCAAAGCGATGTCTTGAGGATGAGCGCTCATGGCCCAACCCGTCAGCAAGATGACCAGGCCCGGCAATAGGTTTCGTTTTGGCCGGCCATTTCTTGACCTGGAGAGCCAGACACCCAAAAGGCCAGCACACCACCAGACGATGCCCATGCTCGTATGTTGTAAATCGTTCTTGACCCAGGGGTGACCCCACCGGTGTTCGGTGAACGTGTTCACACAGCCCCAGGCGGCAATGACAATGCTGTCAAAAAACTCTTGACTCCGACCAGTGCTTCTCAGCCAGGCCTGGCCCACAAGCAGGAGAAGTGTCATGATTATTCCATAAGCAATGAACGCGGAGCCCATAATGAAATGGGCCAGGCACTGCCCGAGATGGTCGCCTCGACAATATCCCATGGCCACGATGCCACCGAAGAGCATCTGCGTCCAAGAGATGATGGGCATGACTTTTCCCAGCCAGCCATGGATCATGACCACTCCGCGTCTTCCTCCTTTTCCAATCTTTCCTCCAAAGACTCTGCCCACCCAGCCCTTCTTTTCTTCCAAATGTAGTTTGAGTCCGACACCAAGGCCGACCTGCACGATCAGCGTCAACACCAAACCGTTGGCAAAGCTGGCGTGAACATTCGGGTGCCTGAATTGCCGTCCCTTATGCATATGACCGAGAAAATACGCCACAATCGCCACCACTGTGCCGACAATTTGGACGGGGACGTGCCATCTGCTCCTCACAATACCCAAAACCATCCCATAGGGAAATATCATGCCAAATGATAGGACCATGAGAAGGATGTGTGTCCACAGCCGTGAATCGAGCGGATCGGACGAGATGGCCTCTCCCTCTGGAATTTTATCGGTATGATCTCCATGGGCAGAAATGCCATACGCAAAGAGGAGAGGGGAGAGGAGCAAGAGGGAGGTCGACCGCGGTTGCGAGGGTGGTAGGGGGCACAGCGAGATCATCGTGGCAGATTTCGCAGCGACAGATTGCCCGTAATCAGTCAACACACATCTCAGACTCGATGAGCGAGGGAGCTCTTTCAAGAAGAAGGGCCACGTAGTTTGTTTTGCTGATGACTTGATGAAGATGCGACGATGGGGAAAAGAACTCGCGTCCACCGGCACAAGCCGGCTCCCTCCTCCGACTGGGTGGGGGGCGCCATATCAAACCACTCTGGAGAAACATCCATTACCACGACTTGGCATCACTTACGATATCCATGTCGAGTAAACAGACAAGATTAATGCTTGATAAGAATATTTGTTTTGTGAAGTGGTCAGAATGCCGCTAATCTACTGTATAGCCGTGCTATTCCGTACATCCGATCAGCGGGCAAAAGTCAGACCCTGAGCGAAACCCTGAACTGTTTCGCGAATCCATACATTTGGTACCGTCACGTGTTCTTTTCGCAATTGAATTTTCCACACTCGCAAGTGGGCGTTGTTCGATTCCTCCGTATATCGCACCGAATAGGAAGCGAAGTTGGTAAATGTTGTTCATCTTCCGACGGGCCTTCGCACGATTCTGGTCCTTGTTGCATCCCGATACCTGTTTGTGGCAATTGATATTGCTCATAAACACCCGATCTTCGACTCGAACGGTTTCAACTTCCCGCAAAACTTCTTGCGGGCAACAATGCAGCCATGATCGAAAGCTTGACCATAATCCAGGTCGCCCTCATTGGTCCCATCTGTACTGTCAGAGAATATGATATGATGGAGTTGGATACTTTGTTCAGAATGTTCGCATGAGCTCTTTTCGTTCTGGTTCATGTCATCATTCCGAGCTTTAGAGGCGAGACCAAGTATGAGAAGCAACTTGATGTCCTTCCTTATCCCATTCGCTTAATTGCTCTGGTCCATTTGGATGTCGGATCGATTTCATCTTTACCATTGTTGTTTCCAGAAACCCCTAAAACGGTTGTGTTTCGCACCACCCTCTTTGAGAATGTCCAAGAGTTCTTCAGTGTTGTCGGATTGATTTGCCTCGACTGTGGCGAGGATCCATTCATGTATTGTATCCAGTGGGAACCATGCCCGAATCACAGAAGAGCCCGAATCTCCATTGGCCATGCCGAGGCACCAAACAGAACTCCTTGCCAACTCCACAATATCCGGCAAGGGAACACCAGTACGCTCTTTGCCTACACATAGCCCTTCCGATGAGCAGTGCTCATCGGCGCTGCAATTCCGTCCGTTGTGATTGGCACCGCAACACTTTACGGCTGGAGGATGATTGTTTCGGGGTAACAAGGTCGCGGAAGCTGAATGTGTCAGTGAATTCAGCACTGTGGGGAGAACGAAGGTCGGTTGCATGTTGAGGTTGCTGAAGTGGTGTCCAGCCGCAGGTGAAGGCACAGAATGCAACACGAGAGAGATGACCAAAAAGCGCAATGGGTCAACGCTTATGAAATAAGGAATGCAGCCGGATTGAGGCTAAAGCCCCACGAGTTTGAAATTCGGGTCGACGTGTACAATGACGGAACGGAGGAGAAAACTCTGGATGAAGTTGTCGACTGCCCACCCCCAGGCAGAACCTGCAGTTACTGATCACGTTGGAAAGCTGGAAATCACCGACAGAGTGGCTAACAAATGAGAAAAAGAAACTCAGTGCAGGGTCTGATTAAGACCGGGTGATGAATTTCTCCATATACATATATTCTCCAGAAGATTCCCTCATTTCAATGCATCACTGGAAAGATCCTGGTATATCATTATGCTTCTCTTTTGGCTCTTGCTCTTCGTTGGGCGTTATTGGAATAGAATGAAATGTTGAATCCCCGGCATCGCGGGTTGACGTGGGCGAGTCGACATGTTCTCCATCATGCTTGTTCTCAGAATCCCCGTTTAAGTCGATCTTGCCGAATCCATCCGCTGGAGGTTGCGGGTCTGTTGTAGGCGAAGCCACTCGACCGGGATTTCGTGGTGGTAATGCTGGAGGGGGGCGTTTGGGGACTTCAACCATTCTGGCTCGCGCCATCACTGGTACTGCTGTGTGGACTTCTGCATCCGAGTCCACGTCGGAAAAGGATTTTCTTCCCAGCCTCTGAGCTTCAGTGTCGTCATCGACAAGTTGGCTGTGTTTTCTAGGAGGGTCCAGACCCCTCGATGAATCTCTCTTTGGACTGTGTCCCGCACTCATTGACTCCTCTTCATCAGTTTGAGTACCCCGATCAACACTGGCCAGACTGTGGGTGCTGCCTCTCCAAGTCCGGCTTTTGATCGATCCGTCAACACTCCTGCGGGAGAAATGTGCGTAGATCGGACTTGTGGGTGACGGTCTGAATTCAAAAGCGTCGGCACTCGGTCTCTGGTGAGTTCCAGCTTCTCGGATGTTAAGTCCTTCGGCCTCCAGTGCTTTCACACCATACGGATCGGGGTCGTCTTCGGCGGGAACTCCAAAGGTTCCTCCTATCGTAGTTTAGCACGTTTGGTGGCACCACTTCTACGGAAGTTCCTTACCATCTATGGCTAGTTCCATGTCACTGGGCGCTTCTCCTTGTGGGAGGAGGTCGTCGTCGATTGGGTCGCCTTGGGCAGCTTTTAACGTATCCATGAGGATCTGGTATTGTTCAACCGGTGGATGTTTGAGCTTTCCAACCAGAATATCCGCCACTCCGACACGTTCACCATAAAATCTTTCGTTTTCATCGGTACGCTCGATCACCAGGTTGCCTTCAAGAGCCACACCGGCATACAGACCACGACTTTTGACGTACGACCAGATTGGAGCTTGTCGTTTAACCACCTCGGTGTCGAGAGCACCGCCCATACCCACAGGGCCTGCTGCGACCCCAACCTCGGTTCCTAATGTGCACCGTAATTTGGTAAATGCTTCGAGGGCTTTATATGTGTTGATGACCAGGACCGAGTCATAGATATCAACTCCACCAAGGAAGCCAAAGGCGATGTTTTGGGTCTGGATACCGCTGGGAGGACTCCATTCACCTGTCTCTGGATGTCGACCAACCAGCACACCGGCACCACCAGAACCTCCAAAGAGCCAGCCCGTTCGCATTGTTGTGAATATGGCCAGACCGACACACTCTTTTATCACCTTGGCCGGGATTTTTTTAATGACCCTTTGTTTGCCCCGTGGCACTCCGTCGGCGGTGGCATTGCGCTCATCAATCTTTTTTTGCTGCTTTTCATCGATTTGTTCATAAAATCCATCTTTGCAGAATCCTCGGAGAATTCGCGCGGCTTTTTCGGATTCTTTGTCCATGGAGGTTGGCCAAAATGTTTCTGAGCCCACTTTGTTGGACAAGCGATTCACCGGAGCTCCGAGCTTGTCGACAACGGCGTAGGCTTTGTTGAACCCGGGCTTCAAAGCCCTCTCGTACGCCGTGTTCGAATAACCTTTGGTTCTCTCCCATAGTGTTGGGTTCGTTGACTTGGATTTCGTCTCGGTTACAGGTTCTGCCGCCATGGTGCTCAGCAGTCAAACGGCGCAGCCGGACTCAATCGGTAGGATAGGAAATTCGTTGCTCGAAATTTTGTTACAACAAGGCTGGCGGAGCGTAGAAGGTAGTTTGTCGCATGCCTGCAACGTTCAGAGATAAAAGCCAACAGGATTTTGGGGTTGGCTGCGCAACCAGTAAATCCGGTGGCAGCCGGTTAAAGCTGACCCCTATGGTCGGGAAGAGTTGGGCAACAACGTCATTGGCCTCGAGCACGCGTGGCACTCTTAGTCAGGACCGAGAATAACGGATACGTTTAAGCGAGCGATGGATAAATCCTTGAGCAGAGATGACCGCTGAGTCAGCCTGTGATGATCTCCCAAAGTGCTGAGGCGCTGGCACGTGAAGCCGAATGGATGCACACCAGGGGACCTCGGCTCAAAACTCCTTCTACTAACTAATCATATGCTGAGATCGAATAGACCATAAATATAATCCAATGCTTTCTTTCGTGAAGTGCTTGCCCCGGACTCCAGGACGATTTCGTCTTTCACTCTCAAATCTGAAGCATCAGGCTGATTCCATCCAAAGCAACCGAAATGCCGCCCGTTCCACCACTCTTTGTCCTCCAGATCCCCCCATCAACAGTCACCTCGCCTGCTCAGAGTCAACAAGGAAATTTCATTTGTACACAGGCTGCCCCTCAAGTCTATCTTCTCTCCTTCTCGAGTCCTCCAGACAATCGTCTCACTCCTGCGTTCAATCAAACATTTCTGCTGGCTCTCGACATCATCGAGCACCGCCTACCCCGTGGGGTCGTCGTCACCACATCATCTCTCACCAAATTCTATTCCAATGGCCTCGACTATGAGAACGCCATCCGAGATCCAACATTTTTACAGAACAGTCTGTATCCTTTGTGGAGACGCCTCATAACCTACCCTATGCCTACAGTGGCATTGGTGAACGGTCACGCCTTCGCAGGCGGTTTGATGACGGCCATGATGCATGATTACCGGATCATGAACCCCCACAAGGGCTTCTTGTGTCTGAATGAATTGGATTTTGGCGCCCCTCTTCAACCGGCAATGGCATCCGTCTTCCGTGTCAAATTGAATATGACGACGTTCAGGAATATGGTCTTGGAGAGCAAGAGATTTTCAGCCCTCGAAGCGTTGAAAGAGGGCATCATTGACGGTGTTGGCGGTGTCGATGAGACGCTTAACTTCATCAAAGAGATGAAGCTGACTCAAAAGGCCCAAGGGAGATCATACGGGCTGATCAAAGAGGAGCTATATCGCGAGGTGGTTAAAGATCTCGATGAGGGTGCCGCCACACCAAGAATCGGGGCAGCCCGAGATGTTGACAGAAATCGGAGGGAGTTGGAGGCGAAGAAGAGAGTAGATGAGTATCAATCTGTGATACAGAAAGCAAAGCTGTGATAGGATTCACAATGAGCCTCGGCATTAAGATTCGGGCCCTGCTCTAGTAGTCATGCTTGAGCGACGAATCCCTGAATGTTCCCAGTCCAACAATCCGCCGTTTGTTTGTGTCGTACAATATCACTCAGTCGCTCCTTGCCGGAACACAGCTCCATCTTCCTTGAATTCAAATGGATTCTCTTTCCCAATACTCTGCTTTTCTTTACATCGGGGTTTTGCTCGACCCTTTAGCCTGCAGGAGTTGCCAAGAACATGCGAAATGAATCCAACCATGTCAATCTGTGGCTCTCAACCTCGTTCTGGCAGCAGAGCCCCATCGTATGACCTGAACCTTTTGGAAAAGACCTCGAGCAACGATCGAGCCACACCTGTCTGCGTCGGACATGAGACTGCCTGAGAGGAGACCCATCTAGAGATGAGTTGGGGAGCATGCACGGATGCGTGACAAGTTTGCCAAAGTCCGAGCAGGGGGTCAAGGTGATATGTGGCGACGCCAAGGCTTGTAAAGACCTTCGGAAGTGTTGTACGCTTCGTACACGCTTCGAAAGTATATAGTCTGACGGTCCCTTGGACCCCTTCGAAATAGAACAAGTCCTCCGTAAAATCACAAAGACGGAATAACAAGGTCACATCATTTGGTCCTCATCCCGGCTTTATCTGCCGGGAACTCGAAGATGTTCTAGCATGGATGAGGTAAGCTCCTGCTCGCCCGAGGTCACCTGAGCTGGTCCTTCCAGAGCCTTTCTCAGTGTTCACTTGCTGGGCTCTGCTTTGGTTGAGCACAACAAGCATCTATTTGCGATTCGACTGATAAAATCTCCAAGGCTCGTTCAGAGTTACTGTACCTGCATCCATCACGAGAGTGACAAAAGCTTTTACTAAAGTACCCTACAGTGAGTATCTTTCCCATTTTCGCACTCCTGGATTTCGCCATAATCAGATGGTGGTCATTTGAAGACATAAATTCGATCTACACGTATATTCATTGCCCAAAAGTTTCCAGACTCTGTCATTACATCAGACCTTCTTGGGACATACCTTAGCTACGCCTTTGCTCGGCTACAACTTTTCCGGGATGCTCCCTCACCATGATTTCCATGGCTGTTTACTCTCAATGCTTCTTTGTAACCGATGATGATTCCATCAGCCATATGGGCCAAATGGTTCAAACAGTACGCTAAGAACTTCGACATGACTACCTCAATTTTTGGACGCCAATCCAAAAGCCGGCCAACCTTGATTCCAAGGGCTTCACCCTCTGAAGGCCAAAAAGTACCCCTCCAAGGACGTCGTCAGCATGCCCTGCAAGCACGCCATCAGATCACAGACTGATGTGAGGCTTCTTGACATTTTGCGATATCCAAATGGCCCGGATTTGAGCGTCATTCTGTACCAACAACACTTTGTGGAGCCTGACGATGTGGATCCATCCATATCCACGGCATTGCTAGAATCATGCGTGGCATCATCAACAATGAAAAGCAACCAATTTTTCTCCCTTCCTCCCCAAATTCCTGTTGCCGATCTTGGCTCCAGCTCTGTGAAGACGTGATTTATATCTCATGAATGTGCAAATAAGAAAGTGGAGCCATGAATTGTAGGATGGCCAGGAACAGTCTTAAGGCTCCCAGTACCTGGTCCTTTCCCCATGTCACACCTTGGACCTCTGAGTTCGGGCTTTCATTCCTGAAATCACAGCAGTAAATCCATTGGCAAGGAAAACTCTGGAAGATGGGTACAAAAGCAGACTACGTGGTGGATGTGGGATCTCCCCGCGAAGTAGGGCGACGACAGCGTAAGTGCATCACGAACCTACCTCGAAGAGTGAACTCTATTATGTTGGACCCAACGACTGACCAAAAGACTGCTGGAGAAGAGATCAAATGGTACCGGTCCACGTTCTACAATGCCCTGATTCTAGGGCTCGCCAACTTCTCTGCTCCCGGCATTTGGGGCGCCATGAACTCTCTTGGTGCTGGAGGTCAGGCATCACCACATTTGGTGAATGCAGCCAACGCCCTCACTTTCTGCCTCATGGTGCTGTCATGCTACTTCTCGAGCGCCCTCGTCCGCTTAATCGGCATCAAATGGGCTTTGGTGATCGGAACGATGGGATATGCTCCCTACGCGGCCGGTTTGTACACGAACAACCGTTTCGGGACGGAATGGCTTGTCTTGGTCGGTGCGGCACTCTGCGGCCTCTCAGCCGGCATCTTCTGGATGGCCGAAGCTGCCATCGCCCTTGCATATCCAGAGCCGTACAACCAAGGCAAATTCCTCGGGTTCTGGCTAAGTTTCCGTCTCGCCGGCCAGATCCTCGGTGGTGCGATCAACGTGGGTATCAACGCCCACAATTCCCAGGCCGGCAAAGTTTCATACACGGTCTACCTGATCTTCATCGCTCTACAGGCAGCGGGTCCGCTGGTGGCTCTGCTCTTGAATCACCCATCCCGAGTCCAGCGGACGGACGGGCGAAAGGTGGACCTCTCGATCGTCGAGCATCCGTGGTTTGAGATCAGAGCGACGACCAGCCTCTTCTTCAGCAAGTCTTTCTTGTTGATCGTCCCTTTCATCGGCCAAGCCGTGTACGCAGAGGCGGTCATGTTCACCTTCTCCGCTTTATGGTTCTCGGTGCGCGCCCGAGCTCTGGGCTCGTTCCTCTCCGGCATTGTTGCCGTCGTCGGCGGAAATCTGCTCGGCCTGTTCCTGGACCGGACACACATCGCGCTGAGACATCGTGCCCGTGGCGCGTTTTTCTTCATCAGTGCCCTCCAGTGCGGCCTCTGGGTCTGGGCCACAGTTCTTGTCACACGACTCCGTCGCACGAGGCCGACGTACGACTGGTCGGACGGGACGAACGGTTTTGCCTCTCCCTTTGCTCTATTCCTTTTCCTCGTCATCGGCTTCCAGATCAATTATCTCTACCTGTACTTCGTCATCGGACAGATGACCACCTCCCCGGCCGAGACCGTCCGGCTCGCGGCTTTGCTCCGTGGTACTGAATCCGCTTGGCAAGCTGTGAGTTACGGGCTAAATTCAGTCGCCGTATTCGGTGAAGTCGGAGGCGTGTATCTGAACTTTGCACTGTGGGCCTTCGCCCTCGTGCCGGCCTGGTTGGTAATTAGGACATTCGGCTCCGAGACACAGAACAATGAGTGGAGAGCTTCCACGGGTGTCTTTGGTGTCCCGGTCGATGTCGAAGTTCCCCCTTCCCGATCCGGTTCAGAACATGGAGCCGAGGAAGGTGCAGAGCGGGAAAAAAGGGTAGAATAGCCCCTGCAGAAGAGCGATCAAATGCTCCAATTCAGGGGCCCGCAAGGTGGTGTCTTCAGTTGCCTGGAAGTCGGAAGGTTGCTGAGAGAGGGGCTTGTCTATAAATGACAAAAAGGAACCTTTGGCCAGCCCTCACACTCTACCGGATAGATCCAGTGTATGGCGGAGAAGGTAAAAATAGATGCGTCGAACGACGGGATTGAGTGGGATCAATGGAGAGGAAAAGAAAAGTCCGAGAAGCAGAGAGATCGCAAAGCATATACCCAGAACTCCCTGTTGATCATTATAGAGATGACAACCCTTTCACCTTTTGATAATAGCTATGTTGGTGTAGGACAGGCAGAGAGAGCGCATTGCCTCCAAAAAGGGGGAGTTTTGGCCCATTCTGGAGTATTTGTCCCTTCCTGTCTTGAAAAGAGTTTGACGGACACATTGGCGGCCAGGTACTCCTTACGAGTGGTGAAGGCCGATTCAGATGGGAACTACATCAGTTCGACGGGAAAAGGTTGGCGTAATGGCCAAATTGCGCGAGAGAGGACTCGGATGGCATCATCATATCGTTATCGTCACCATCGCATAAACCCCGGGGTCATCACATCCACAAATCTAATCGTAGACAGTAAGGAAGGTAAGAGAGTCTTCATTTTGGTTTGTCGCGCACGAAAAGTACCGTGGTAATTCTCCAGAACGCACTGATCCAAAAATTTGATTTGGCCCAAATGGCAACACGAGCAAATGGCGTGGCCAAAAAGTCACTTATTCTGAACGCATTTGTTGAGATGTGTATGGCCTTGTCATCGATTCAGCGGCCATGGATTTCTTTTTGACAGTTGAACTTGTCCAGGTAGCGGACATCAGTCTCCAGGACTGTGGCGGCATCCACGTGACGAGTCCTATAAGTTCAACGACCTCCAACATTGGGTTGAATTGGCCAAATTGTTGGAATCTGCCAAACTCCACGGAATTTTCATCGCCGACGTTCTTGGTGAGTGTGGTCAGTTTATTTTTGAACCCCCACCCAAAAATATTGGGCAACCTAGGCTTATTCCAGGTGGCTATGATGTGTACAACGGTAATCTCGACGCAGCAATTCGGTCTGGGGCACAGTGGCCAGTCAATGAACCTCTGGCAGTGATTTCTGCAATGGCGGCAGTGACAGACAGTATTGGGTTTGGCGTAACAGTTTCGACAACGTATGAGCAGCCATATCATCTGGCTCGAAGACTGTCGACCATCGACCATCTTTCCAAGGGCAGGTGAGAAATACCTCCTTTCTGTATTGGAAAACGGCGAACCTAACGTTATTGACAGGCTGGGCTGGAATGTCGGTGACACAACTTTCCCGTGATATCTGTGTGAAGATTTGCTTATATCTTGTCAACAGATCGTGACTAGTTACCTCGATTCTGCAGCTAGGAACCTAGGCTACAGCGAACAACCCCAGGTTAGCCGAGAAAAACTGGAAAGAAGACAGGTGGGGGGTTTATCACGCAGGATGGCTGATGATCACGACAGCACGATAAGCGATACGAAGTGGCTGAAGAGTACATGACCGTCATGTATAAACTCTTTGAATCTTCATGGAGGGATGACGCGGTCGTCCTTGATCGTGAAAGGAGTGTGTATACGCTTCCGGTTAGAATCAGACAAATCGACCATGTGGGCAAATATTTCAGAGTCCCCGGACCACATATCTGTCAGCCGAGTCCACAACGGACCCCGTTATTGCTGCAAGCGGGAACGTCCAAAGCCGGGAAAGAATTCGCTGCACAGCATGCCGAGGCCGTGTTCGTTGCCGGTCATAGCCCCTCGGTGGTGGCACGAAATATTGCGGAAGTGCGACAGCTTGCCGGCACCAAATTTGGGCGAAATCCTCAAGACATTAAGTTTTTGTCCTTGATGTGTCCTGTCCTTGGTCAAACGGCCGAGGAGGCGCAAGCGAAATATGTTGAATATCGAAGTTATGCTTCGATTGAGGGTGCGCTGGCCCTCTTGTGCGGTTGGACTGGCATCGATTTCGGCCAGTATGGTGATGATGAGGAGCTGAGACAAGTTGAGAGCAATGCAGTGAGGTACTGGCATCCATCCCCTCCGGTCTTTTCCGGACGTTGACTGGCAGCTAACAGACCGGTCAAGATCTGCTGTGGAAGGTTTCTCGCATCAAGCACCAGGTATTGCTCGATGGACGAAATGGACGGTGGCTGAACACATCACTATCGGTGGTCTGGGTGCAACGCCCGTTGGAACAGCGGAACATGTTGCTGATGTGATGGAAAAATGGGTTGAAGAGGCAGATGTCGACGGATTTAATCTGGTAAAGTTGGCCTTGCATGCCCGACATTGTAACGTGCTAATTCGTAACCCTGTGTAGGCATACGCGCTCTTTCCGTCATCTTTTGAGGATATCATTACCCTTCTCTTACCCGAGTTGAGGTTGCGAGGTCTGTTCTGGTCCGACTATGCGGTCCCCCAAGGTACTTATCGAGAAAATTTGTATCAGCGTCCAGGACAGCGAGGACCACCCAAAGAGCACGTAGCGGCATCATATCGATGGAAGGCCGGGGTTCCAAAAGCAGACCATGTTGTACCTAACAACTAATGCTGGAAAAAGATTATAAGGGAACAGAAAGGACCGCGTTGATCAAGAAGAAGAGGAGGAGGAGGAAGGTTCAAATCTGGAGCTCTTGTTATCAAACACAGAGAGAAATGGGAGACTTCGGTCTCACTGACCCTAGCATTCACTCTCTTGTTGCGAATCGAGCATACTTCTTTTGTGAGTTCTTTACCAAGGCTGGTGGTTCATTACAGCAGGCCTCGTTTGCAGGCAGCAAGCCCAGTCCGTAGCGAAATTTACGGTAGCTGTCCTCGGATACCTTTTCGGGCCCGAGGCGGCCCTTGGCCCCACCAAGAAAAGGAATCGTATCCGTGTTCATTGGAATCTCTAGTGGTAGGCCGCAAGAGAAGTTGGATCATACGCTGGGTCGACTTTCGCTTTCTTCAATGGCTCTGCATAAAATCTCTTGTGAAGATTTATGCATCTGAAGGTGACATGAGTGGTCGACAACTTAACCGCAAAGAGCAAAAAGCACGAGATGGTGGGGAGAAATCTGTCTCCACGATTGATGGTTCAAGATGGAAAAGCTTTTGTTTGGGGTTCCTACCGGGCCCATGCGTGTTCCCGTTAACTAACGCAGCCCTAGGATTTAAGGCGAAGGACTCGTAGGCCCGTGAAGTGGGCACATCTACCAGGGAATCCCGTGTGCGCGTCCCCAATCATGTAGTACTAATTTGCATCTCCATCAACAAGAACTTCCCATACTCGTATTCTCATTGTGCTCTTTCCCCGCCTCCGAATTCTTTTGTTGTTGCCTACTTTGCACATATTCACCGCTCGAATTTTGTTGACCGCATTCGACTCCCTCGCGTAAACAATCATACTGGACATTCGTCCCTCTGTTCCCTCTCATTTTCACCTCCCTCGAAGCCTAGTTGCTCTTGTTGTCCAAACCGATATTCTGTAAGAAAAAAAATGAGGTGCTGAACCCTTTCGGAGACCGGGCGACTTTTGAACCCAATCGTTGGAAAGAATAGCATGAATCCAGGCGGTCAGGACGACCCGCCCGCCGGCGCGGCTGCCATAGAAGAGAACATAGAGGAGAAGCAAAGACCAGAACAGGAGGGGATTGTCACAAAACAAGAGAAGGACACTGAATTGCCCTCGGAAAAGGCCCCAACGACTCCAATCTCGGGGATTCCCCTGTCGCCCATATCTCAGTCTTCCAATTCGGATACCGGCGCCGACCTCCACAAGTACGATTCAAAGATCGTACAGGTTCGAGATGGACTAGAGGGTGATGCGGCGTTGGCCCATTTGCCCGAGAACGAGCAAGGCGTGTTGAAGAAGCAGCTCGAGGCTCCAGATATCAAGGTGACTTACAAGACTCTGTATCGCTATGCCACAACGTGGGATAAAGTCTTCATCGCCATTGCAGCCATCACTGCCACTGGTGGAGGGGCGGTCATGCCGCTCATGACGGTTATCTTTGGAAATTTGAGCGGGTCATTTCAAGGCCTGGTTCTGGGAAACCTGAGCGAACCATTCGACTCCATCCTCAATCGATATGTCCTGTATTTCGTCTATCTGGCCATTGGCGAGTTTTGCCTGATATACATCTCGACGGTTTTGTTCATCTACACCGGGGAACACATCACGTCCAAAGTTCGGGAGCAGTATCTGAGAGCGATCCTGCGCCAGAACATCGGGTTTTTTGACAAGCTTGGAGCCGGGGAAGTTACCACTCGCATTACTGCCGATACCAATCTGATCCAGGAGGCCATCAGCGAAAAAGTGGGGTTGACCTTGACCGGCGTTGCTGCTTTCTTCGCCGCCTTCATCATTGGATTCGTCATATATTGGAAACTCACCCTGATCTGTATGTCTTCGGTGGTGGCCATCGTGGTGATCATGGCTGCGGGAGGTCGGCGAATGGCCGGATGGAACAAGAAGTCTTTGGCGTCCTATGCCCTTGGAGGCTCGGTAGCGGAAGAAGTCCTCGCCTCGATCCGCAACGCGGCGGCGTTTGGCACACAAGACAAACTGGCCAAGCAGTACGATGTTCACCTCCTTGAGGCCCGACGTTGGGGGATCCGCAGCAAGGGCGCGCTGGGCTGCATGCTCGGATCACTCCTCTGCATTATCTTCTTGAACTACGGTCTGGCCTTCTGGATGGGTTCCCGATTTTTGGTTTCGGGTGAAACCACCCTGGCCCATATCCTGACCATCATCTTGGCCGTCATGATCGGCGCCTTTTCATTCGGTAATATTGGTCCGAATATGGAGCATTTCGCCGCAGGCGTCGCTGCAGCGGCTAAAATCTACGCCACGATTGACCGGACCTCGCCGCTCGACCCTTTGTCTGAAGAGGGCGGAAAATTGGACCACGTGGAAGGGACGGTCGAGCTGAGACATATTAAGCATATCTACCCTTCCCGTCCGGAGGTGGTGGTCATGGAGGATGTGAATCTCGTCATTCCGGCGGGCAAGACGACTGCGCTTGTGGGTGCTTCGGGGTCGGGCAAATCCACCGTGGTGGGATTAGTTGAGCGCTTCTACGATCCGGTGGCCGGCGCAGTCCTCCTGGATGGCCACGACATTAGCAAGCTCAATCTCCACTGGCTGCGACGGCAGATTGCCCTGGTACAGCAAGAACCGATTCTTTTCAGTCAGACCATCAAGGAAAACATCAGGAATGGCCTCATCGGGTCCAAGTATGAGAATGAACCGGAAGAACGGCAAACGGAACGCATCATCGAGGCCGCCAAAAAGGCCAACGCCCACGATTTCATCTCGTCTCTTCCAGACGGATATGACACCCACGTGGGCGAGCGCGGCTTTCTTTTGTCGGGAGGGCAGAAACAACGTGTTGCCATTGCAAGGGCCATCGTCGGTGGCCCCAAAATCTTGCTCTTGGATGAAGCCACGTCGGCCCTGGATACCAAATCCGAGGGAGTCGTACAGCATGCTTTGGATGCGGCGGCGAAGGGACGGACCACCATTGTGATTGCCCATCGACTGTCAACGATTAAAACGGCCGACAATATCGTGGTCTTGCAGAATGGGCGCATTATCGAACAGGGCACGCATGACGAATTGCTCGAGATGAAGAAGGCCTATTTCAGCCTCGTGTCCGCTCAACGGATTGGTGGCGAAGACGAAGACGAATCGGAGAAAGAGACCGAAATCAGTGACGACAAATTGATTCGGATTCAATCGTCGAAATCCGGACACGGCCCCGTGGTCGGTCCGGAAGATGAAAAGCTGGCCTTGGGAAGGACTCGAAGTCAAAAATCTGTCTCTTCCAAAGCTCTGGCCGACCAAACGGCACATGGCGAGGCCAAATACTCGCTGTGGACTTTGATCAAATTCATTGCGCGGTTCAATCTTTCGGAATGGCCCATTATGATTGTTGGACTCATCTTCACTTGCATCGCCGGAGCCGCTCAACCGGTCCAGGGCGTCTTCTTCGCCAAATGCATTGTTTCCTTGTCACACCCACTTTATCTTCGCGATCAGATTCGTCACGATGTGAACTTCTGGTCGTTGATGTACCTGATGCTGGGACTGGTGGACCTTTTGGCCATGTGTACTCAAGGAATCGCATTTGCCTATTGCAGTGAAAGCTTGATTCAACGTGCTCGGGATGGCGCCTTCAGACGATTTCTGAGACAAGACATATCTTTCTTCGATGAGGACGAGAACTCGACCGGTGCTCTCACCTCCTTTCTTTCAACCGAAACCACCCACCTATCAGCCATCTCGGGGGCCACTCTGGGGACACTCTTAAGCTGCACGACCACATTGGTCGTCGCCATTGTGATTTCGCTGGCGATCGGTTGGAAGCTAGCCCTCGTTTGTATGACCGCATTGCCCGTCATTCTGGGAACGGGATTCTTCAGATTCTGGGTCCTCGCCAAATTCAGTGCCACGGCCCAAAAACATTACGAGAAGTCGGCTGGATTTGCTTGTGAGCATACAAACGCCATTCGAACCGTTGCCTCCCTCACGTCCGAACGAGAGGTCTATGCGGAGTACAAGCAGCAGCTTCGGACCCAGCTACGGGCTTCTCTCAAGTCCAACCTACGAAACTCTTCCCTGTATGCGGCATCGCAGTCGGCCATGTTTTTGGCCCTTGCCCTTGGTTTTTGGTATGGAGGCCGACTTTTGGCACGCGGGGAATATTCTCTATTCCAGTTCTTCATCTGTTTTACTGAAATCATCTTTGGCGCCCAGTCTGCGGGAACCGTCTTTTCTTTTGCTGGGGACATGTCCAAAGCAAAGAACGCCGCCGCCGCTTTGAAGAAGCTTTACGATCGCCAACCAACCATCGACCCCTGGTCCGATGCTGGCGAACCGATCACGCATGTTGAAGGAGCCATCGAGTTCAGAGACGTTCATTTCCGATACCCAACACGACCGGATGTCCCCGTTCTTCGTGGTCTCAATCTGACGGTTCGACCTGGACAGTATATTGCTTTGGTCGGCGCTTCTGGTAAGCGTTTCGAATTCCTGGTGTATTCGGCATGATGCTAATCGCCCATAGGGTGCGGAAAATCGACGACGATTGCCATGATGGAACGCTTTTACGATCCGCTTGCTGGAGGTATCTATGTGGACGGCAAGGAAATTTCCCGCCTTGTCCTCAATAACTACAGATCACATCTAGCGCTCGTGTCTCAAGAGCCAACATTGTACCAAGGCACCATCAAAGACAATATTCTCCTTGGCGTTGACCAAGACGAAGTCACCGACGAACAGCTTATTCAAGCTTGCAAAGACGCCAACATCTATGACTTTATCATGTCACTCCCGTATGTCTCCGCATTCCCCCCGGCCCTGGGGAGCAATGAATTTCGTTATGCTTACTATGTTAGGGATGGTTTTGCGACGGACGTCGGAAGCAAAGCTGCGTTGCTCTCTGGTGGGCAGAAGCAGCGTATCGCTATTGCTCGTGCTTTACTCCGCGATCCAAAGATCCTACTCCTAGATGAAGCAACCTCCGCCCTCGATTCCGAATCGGAGAAAGTGGTGCAAGCTGCTCTGGATGCGGCCGCCAAAGGCAGAACGACCATCGCCGTCGCTCACCGACTTAGTACCATTCAAAAAGCCGACATTATCTATGTCATCGACAAAGGCGTTGTGGCAGAACAAGGAACTCATCAAGAATTGATAGCGCTCAAAGGTCGGTACCGTGAGCTGGTCAGCCTTCAGAGCCTGGAAAAGATGCATTGATCCGCGACCAAGTCGTCTTCAAGAATGGTGTAACTGTTATTTTTTATTTTTCTTTTTGGGGGGTCGTGTTTGATATTGGGGCGGAATAAGCGACTTACAGGTTAACCGAAATTATTGCATGGCGAAGACTTTTTGTTTGGGATCCAGGAGTGACAGACGACGGACTGGAGAAGTCCTTCTGGTCACTTTGGATGATACCACCTCACTCGGATTGGTCAGTGGAAAGTTCTTATTTGCAGATATTCTCATTATCGTTGAACATACCCCATGGGATAGACGGGACAACCCTGCATTGGAATGTGGGGGGAGGAGTTTAGGGCAGAGAAAAAGGGTCTTGTTTCATTCGATGAGGACATCATTAGAAGGACACAGATGACTCTTTGTTTGGGCTCAGATATCAACGTGACCCAACTCCATCCATCCGATATCTCTTCTCTCATTCTTGTGTCGAAAGAACTCTTTATTCTCCACACACTCATGGGTCTCTAGCTTTATTTCCTCAATCTTTCTCACTCACTCCTCGTTCCTCCATGACTTCCACCAGTCGTCGGTCTTCCTTATCTGCGATGAGCGACAACATTCCCATGGCGATATCTTTGATCTCGTTGTACTCCTTCAATAGAGCTATGTGACGGGTGAAGATGTTCTCTGCATGTTGAAGTGCGGCTTCGTTCTTGTTGATAGATGACGCCGATTTTGCTGTGGAAGAGCGTGGCTGAGATTCATCTCTTAGTTGCTCAGACTCTTGGGCCTGTGGTGGGAAGGATTTGAGCCTGGAGATCTCTTGAAGGGTAGTCGCAAGTTGATCTTCGGTCGAGATGACCTTGGATTCTAGCAGTTGGATTGAATTGATGAGCTTGGAGTAACTCAGGTTCTTCAATGACGGACTTGGGGCCGGCGTCTCAGACTTCGTCGGCGGTGGCGGAGAGGATGTCTCTGCTGGTAATTGAGTTCGTTCAGTTTCCTTCGGTTCCGTACTTGCATCACGCTGTGGAGCACAATACATTCTTTTGGTGATCATTGCTGTTGTTGGGTCTCTTTGGTTAGTTGATAGTTCCATCTTCTAATCGGGAATCATCAGGCAGTTCAACGAGATCAAGCATGATTGATCCCCAGAACTACCGAATACAGGGGCGAGGGGGTTGTAGCCTCGCAATGAGATTTTATATTCGCCGTCAGACACCCTGGTTGCCACCAGTAGAACAGGCGGTCAGGTGGCTGTCAGACTGACGAACTTTCTTCCCCCCTCGAGTCTTGGCAACCTCCGACTCAACTGCGCTGAAGAACCACAACCCCAGACAAAATTTCTTGACCCAACTCGATCTGTGCTTTAGTGATAAACTTTGCATACAGTGCCGCGGCCGATGGAGACTGAAGACCACGCTCCGGATCGTCATACAGCAGCCAGCAAACCTTTCTGAGAAACGCGCCACAATGTTCACCTTGACGGCCTTGCTGGGGGCTCAGAGCAACTCTCGAGCCTCGCAGTCGATCCTGGAGCTTGACGGTGGCATCAAGGTCCTTGTGGACGTCGGATGGGACGAACGCTTTGATACGCGTCAGTTAGCTGAGATAGAGAAGCATGCATCGACCTTGTCCTTTATCCTGCTCACTCATGCGACCACGTCACACATTGGTGCCTTTGCACACTGTTGCAAGCACATTCCCGTCTTCGCTCAGATCCCCGTCTACGCCACTCCGCCGGTGATTGCTTTCGGTCGTACCCTTCTTCAAGACCTCTATGCCTCCTCCCCGTTGGCGGCCACGTTCATTCCGGGCGCGGGCTCTTCCGACGACCACTTCAGCAACGATGACAAGTCTCGATCGAGTATCTTGCGGCCGGCTCCGACTTGGGACGAAATCAACAAGTATTTCACCCTCATTACGCCGTTGAAATATTCACAACCCCATCAACCGACGTCTTCTTCATTTTCCGCGCCGGTCGAAGGACTTACGTTAACTGCGTACAATTCGGGGCACACCCTCGGTGGAACAATATGGCACATACAATATGGTATGGAGTCCATTGTCTACGCGGTGGACTGGAATCAAGCTCGAGAGAACGTCATTGCGGGAGCAGCCTGGTTCGGCGGAGTGGGCGGCGCCGAGGTGATCGAGCAATTGCGCAAGCCCACCGCTCTGGTGTGTAGCAGCGTCGGAGCAACCCGGGCGGCATTATCGGGGGGCCGGAAGGCTCGAGATGAAGCTTTGCTGGGTCACATCATGAGCAGCGTCGCGAAAGGAGGGACCGTCCTCATCCCCACCGACTCCAGCGCCAGAGTACTCGAATTGGCTTGGATCCTGGAAAAAGCATGGTCGGACCCCGCGAATTCTCCGTCGTTGAAGAGCGCCCAAGCATACATGGCCACCAAGTCCGGGAATGCCACTTTGCGACATGCTCGAAGTCTTCTCGAGTGGATGGACGACGGCATGGTGCGAGAGTTGGAGGGAGACGATGAAAACCACCCTCCCACCACACAGACTCACAAGCGGAGTGGCAGCAGCGGCAAGAACATCAATGGGACCACTCCGCTTTCGCGACCCTTTGAATTTCAAAATATTAAGATGGTGGAGCGAAAGAGTCAACTGGAAAAATTGCTGAAATCCGAAGGGCCACGGGTCATCCTCGCCAGTGATGTGACGTTGGAGTGGGGCTTCTCGAGGTCGATTTTGGCGCATATCGTCCAGAGACCCGAGAATCTGGTCATTTTCACGGAAAGGGTGGTCGAGCGCCCCGGCTCTCTCCAAAGTGCCAGTCAAGTTCTTTGGTCTTGGTGGGAAGCACGTCAAGATGGGGTGGCCCTCGAGCGAGCCCCGACCGGCGAACCACTGGAGCAGGTCCACAGCGGAGGAAAATTGTTGAAGCTGAAGAATGCCGAGAAGGCCCCTCTCAGCACTCAGGAGAATCAGCGGTATCAACAATTCATGGCAACACAGAGGCAGATTCAAGACTCACTGGCATCAACCCATCCCCGAGATCCCGCTGGAGCAGATGACCACATGGATGATGATGACGATGATGAATCGAGCTCCTCTTCGTCAGATGAGTCGGATGACGAGCAGCCCGGCCGCGTATTGAATGTCTCCGCGGCCCTGGGTCATGGGACGCGAAACAAGCTCGCGTTAAGTGATGCCGACCTGGGTATCAGTATCCTCCTGCGCAAGAAAGGGGTGTACGACTACGACGTGCGCAATAAGAAGGGAAGGAATGCGGTATTTCCGTATACACATTCAAGGAGGCGTGGGGATGAATTTGGCGATTTCATCAAACCCGAAGATTTTCTTCGAGAGGAAGAAAAAGAGCAGCAAGACGGTCCCCTCCATGACGACAAAGCCGGAGGAGGCGTTCTAGGCCAAAAGAGACGGTGGGATGAAGCGAGCCACTCCCAGGATGCACTCAACAAGCGAGCTCGAGCCGATGCGGTTCGGAAAAGTCCCTCCGGTGACTGGGGGGAAGAGTCGGAGTCAGAACGCTCGGATGTCGAGACCCAAGCGGAATCGGAAGGTATTCAAGGCCCCGCCAAAATTGTATTTGCGACCACGGAAATCACCGTGAATGCGCGATTAGCATTTGTTGACTTTGCGGGATTACATGATCAGCGGAGTCTTCAAATGCTGATACCCCTGATCGGTCCCAAAAAGCTCATTCTGGTTGGGGGAACCCGTGATGAAACGCAGACCTTGGCCTTGGATTGCCAAGAACTGCTCGGGGTCAAGGTCGGCGGCGTGGAAGGGGAACCGTCGTCCGAAATATTCACACCGCGGGAAGGTCAAATCGTCGATGCGAGTGTCGACACCAATGCGTGGATGGTCAGGCTCAGCCGGGATCTGGCCAAGACCTTGCATTGGCAGAATGTCAAAACCACCATGGGAGTCGCGACCATTCAAGGTCAACTGAGGGGAGAACGCGATCCCAAAGCGGACTTCCATGATGACCCTCAGTCGAAGAAGCAGAAATTGGACACCGAGGTGTCTGTGCGAACCAATCCCGTCACCAATCGTCCTCTGGAGCCTGTCTTGGATGTTCTGCCCGCCAGCCTGGCCGCATCCACCAGATCGGTGACCCAAGCTATTCACGTGGGTGATTTGCGGCTGGCCGACTTACGAAGAATGGTGACCATGGACGGCCACGTGGCCGAGTTTCGAGGCGAAGGCACACTCCTCGTGGATGGGATGATTGCGGTGAAGAAGCTCGGTACAGGCAAGATCATGGTGGAGGGCGTGCCAATTCGAGCCAGCTCCATGGTTCCCAACGCGGCGGATAATTTTACGAGAGTGAAGCAAAAAATCTATGACGGACTCGCTGTTATTACCGCTAGCTGAAGGCTGGTCAATTTGGCATTGTGGATTGCGGGTGTGAATCCTGTTTGCCATCTGTCTCAGTCGTCAACTGTCCACCATCGTCTCTGTCACAAAGAAGCATATCACCGAGGCCTCTCCCCCTTCCCCAATTCTGGTTATACGGCTCCCCACGACATTCATGACACTGCAGTCATTCTGTTTGATGGACCTCGATATCTCTGAGCCATAGACGGGGACAATGTCAAGAGAAAGGGACGAAGAAAGAATGTCCGCGCATTTCCATCTGCCTTGGTCCGTTCTCATGCACCCACCAAATTCTTCTTTACCAGCAAGCTCTCTCGAGAACGGAGGTTTTCCGCTCTTGGATCAGAATGATTAAAGCCCCATCTTGGACGTTTCGATGGCGACGACATCTTTTCTTCTTGCCAACTCCTCCGCCTCCTCCAGCACCGGGCTTGGTGGGAACGACCTGGTATAATTATTTTACTCGGGATGGTGGACCTAACAAGGGAGCGCCTCCTGGCGGACCTTCAACGTCGGTACGACTAGGCCTTCCACCACCGTATTCATCGTTACCTCCTCTACTACCAACATACCGTCCACCAATTTCATTCATGGTTCCTGCTCCTAGTTTCCCAGGAGCATGGACCGTTAGCACCGTCATCAGACCCAGTCTGGATTCCCCCACCACCCCTGCTATGGCTCATGCGGCGGCACAAGCTCCAGAGCCTCCTATCCGTGGAAATCAAGTTAAGGATCGACTGATAGTCGTCAAAGACCGTGGCGGAACGGGATACGTAGCATCCCAAAAGAATGCGACAATTCACCTTTTCACCCACAATGTCCTGGACAAATATGCCGTGAATGCCAATAACCAATTCTACATACCAGCGCACGCATGCGAACCATTCCGAGTGGTGACCGCTGCATGTTCGATGCCGGTTGGTGAATTGATCGAGCAACTGGACTGCATCAAAGATGCTCCTCCCGGCTATCTTCGATACGCGATCGGGAACGAGTGTGGGCGAGGCTGGTGAAGGCCAACCACGATATCCGATCCGCTTGCCGCAATTCTCAGTTTCCTCTTTGAGTGTTACATGGGATGGCGATGGATGACACGTTCATCCCGGGCAAATGATCAAGTACGTGAGCAAGGTACTTGAGCAGCAACACAGCATGACACCGTATTCAGCCATCATTCGAGCAGTATGATTGGCCTCGACAAGTGAATGGGATTGGACATAATGGATAGAGCGGACAAGGGCGACCTGCATTGAACCAAATAGAAAGGAGACTTTGGTTGACGGGACTGGTTCTCGGATGGAGCTGCTGTATGTGGTATAGAAGACAAAGTACACAAAGCATGAAAACACGACCACCAACAGACTTCAGAGTCTCTGTCTGGCCCTGTTCCGCCTTGGGCCAAAAATTTAAAAAAAAACCCCCGTTAACTCGTGATATTTTCCCGACCTTACATGCCTCTTTGGGCTTATTATTGGGGGGGAGGGGGCCGCGGCCTGCTTAGGCTGTTGTATCTGTAGTGCCCCCGTGTGGATATGCACTCGATGCATCAAATCAAAGCCAGCAAGATATGCGCATTTATCTCTGATTGGATTCATCGCCAAGGTTCCCATCTCCGCGCTCTCTCTTTCTTTATTCAGTCTCTGGTTTCTCAGGATTCAAAGTATTAGGTCCTAGGCGGATCCCTTTGCCCCTCCATCGCCGCTCGATTTGATCTGATCCATACGTACCATCTGATCCAGTTACAGTACGTCTCCTCCACTTCCAATTCTATATCTTTGTTTCCTCTCTTCCACATCCGACCCTTCTGTTCATTCCCATATCTCTCTCCCACCATGGCAGCCGTTGCCCAAGACTTCACTGCGGAGCCCTCGATGGCCAAATCGATCATCAGTCATCCGTTATGCCCGTTGACGGCTTCGGAGATTTCCACGACAGCTGATCTCGTGCGCTCCGTCTGGCCCTCCAACGTCGACCTTCGCTTCAAGGTCATTACTCTCGATGAGCCTGCAAAGAAACAGATGATCCCTTTCCTCGAGGCTGAACACTCGGGATCTCCTCTCCCTGCAATCCCCCGCAAGTCCTTCGTCTCTTACTACATCCGCAACACCGTAAGTCGGTCCTCAGGCCCCCCTCAGGCCGCCCGGAGTCCATTCGGACACGCTGGTCCCGTGATATCTGACCTTGGGCGGAATTAGGACCGTTTTCACGAGGCCGTCGTCAATCTGTCCGCGGGAAAGGTAGAGAGCAATGTTCGCCTCGGACCTAATGTCCATGGAAACGGAGACTACGATGAGATCCTGCAAGTGGAGAAGAACGCCCTCGAGGACGAAGAGGTCAAGGCAGCCATTGCCAAACTACAATTGCCAGCAGGGACGGCGGTTTGTGCGGACCCTTGGATCTACGGTATGTGTCTTCAATGATGTATCTCCATCTCATCTATCCGAGCCGTCACCCCGGAGAGACTGACGAGACTCCAAGGTTCCGACGGCATCAACGACGACGACCGACTCTACCAGGTCTTCCTCTACATGCGGGACCCAGCCAATGCCGGCGAACTCGATTCCAACCACTACGCTTTCCCACTACCCATCTCCCCGGTGATCGAATGCAATCACTACAAAGTCATCCGCATCGACTACCTCCCCACCGGCGCTGACAACACCGTGCACGAGCCCCGACCCTACCAGGCCGTCCCCGCCAACGAATACGTCCACGAATACCAAGAGCTCCGCAAAGACTTGAAGCCTCTGCACGTCCTCCAACCGGAAGGAGCATCCTTCACGTTAAGCCCGGCCGGCGAAACGGGCCATGTTCTCGAATGGCAAAAATGGTCGTTCCGCGTCGGCTACAACCAGCGCGAGGGTATGGTCCTGTACGACGTCCGCTACGACTCTCGCGCTCTCTTCTACCGCCTGTCCCTCTCCGACATGAACATTCCCTACGCCGACCCTCGACACCCCTTCCACAAGAAATCCGCCTACGACCTCGGCGACGCCGGCGCCGGCGCCATGGCCAACAACCTCCAGCTCGGCTGTGACTGTTTGGGCCATATCCAATACCTCTCCGCCGTGATCACCGACGACAAAGGCTCTCCGGTTCCGATCGAAAACTGCGTCTGTATCCACGAGCAAGACGCCGGCATCGGCTGGAAACACACCAACTACCGCACCGGCCGCGCCGCCGTGACTCGCGGCCGCGAACTCGTCCTCCAATCCATCATCACCGTCTCGAACTACGAGTACATCCTTGCCTTCATGTTCAATCAAGCCGGTGAAGTGATCTACGAAGTACGCGCCACCGGGATCCTCTCTACCCAACCCATCGACCACGACCTCGACACCGTCGGCGTCCCCTTCGGCACGGTGGTCCACCCGGGCGTCCTGGCCGCGCATCACCAGCACATCTTCTCTTTGCGCATCGATCCCATGCTCGAAGGCCATGCGAACCGCCTCGTCTACGACGAAGCCCACGCCATGCCCCTGTCCAAGGACTGGAACCCTCACGGCGTCGGCTACACGGTCTCGGAAACCCTGGTGGAGACCGCCTCCGGCCTCGACTTGAACCCGGACACCAATCGTGTGTTCAAGATCCAGAACTCGTCCGTTCGCAACCCGATCAACGGCAAGCCCGTCGCGTACAAGATCCACGCTCCGCCTTTCCAGAAAATGCTCGCACACCCATCGTCTTTCAACTTCAAGCGCGCCGAGTTCGCCGATCACAACATTTACGTCACCACGCATCGAGACCGCGAGTTGTACGCCGGCGGATGGTACACCAATCAATCACGCGGGGGGACGGGTGTGCGCTCTTTTGCCAGCAGGCAAGATAGCGTCGTCGACACGGACATTGTGGTCTGGGTCCAGTTTGGCATTAACCATGTGCCGAGAATTGAGGATTTTCCCGTGATGCCCTGCGAGATTTTGAAAGTGAGTCTCAAGCCGGTGAATTTCTTTACGAAGAATCCCGCGCTCGATGTCCCGCCGAGTGTGCAGAGTTTTAATCAATCCACCCTCGTGAGTGAGGTGCATCGGCAGCCGGCGGTGGAGAGTGTGGTAGGTGGGAAAGCGGCGTGCTGTGACAACGCGAAAGCCGGAAAGGGCAAGTTGTAGCTTGTGTCTCCGTCGTGAGATAGGGCGCGGGATAAGGTGGGCGTTTTTAATGATAGAAGGACGAAAATGTGGATGTGGATGGGGGATGGGCGACCCGGTCTCCTCTTGCCCCGGGTTATTGGATCTGGGATGGGAGTTGAAAATACGTTACACGTTACACGTCACACGACACGACAAACGTCCACTTACCGTACTCTTCATTCATCTCTCGGTAACTAACTTATCGGTGTTTCAGAGACGCCGGAATATTTTAAGTAGGCAGGCTGGCATGCAACAAATATAACTACAGTATCACCGATGTATTTGCCATGGATGGAAATGGGACGAAGCCCTTCCATGAGTTCAAAAATCATGTCACTTGAAAATTCTCTTCACTGAAGCTATCATTTCCTGACCAACGAAGTCGTACGCATACACATACAGATCCACATCCCATATCCATACCCATTACTAACTTTAGTTTTTCATACAGTCGTGCCTTCGAAATGCCCCTTCAGGTAATCTCAACCATGAAACGACAATCTCGCTCATCCCCAAATAGAAATTCACTTTGGCTACAAGAAATTCCCCATGCCGTTATGGTGATGGTTCTGGCTCCGGGGATCAAAACTTTGCGGAGGCGGCATGAAAGGCATCGAGACCCTGTTTTCTCGATTCGAATGTTGACCCAACCGTTCTCGTTGAGGATCGGGATAAGGGACGCCGACGATGCTGCTTTCTTGACCACCGGCCCATGACGTGGACGACGAGTAGGGTGCATTCTGTGAATGCGGAGGTTGATGGTCTGGTGACGTGTATTTGTCGTCGTCACTTGATATTGCTAAGCCAATGTCGCTTGTATCGTCGTACTCATTTCCACCATCGCTCCTGTCACTGGGCATACGTTCAATGGGTGGTCGGGACATGGGTATGCTTTGACTGTTGGCCAGCAAATTGTCGCCTTCTCCACCGTCGACACCAGAGTAGTGCGGAGGTCGAGTGGCTCCGGTGTACGCAGTTGAACCCCCGAGATTCGACAGTTTGGGGTCGTCAGGACCGAATTGTCCGCTTCCTTGGGTGTCCTTTCTCGACAAGTCGTAGCTCGAATCATTATGTCGACGCTTACGATCTCGGACGAGCCATTTCGCTGCCCGACCGGTCGCTTTCAGCATATCCCAGCCGTTGAAGGAGTCGAACACCGCTTTCACACCGCCGAAGCCACCTTGGTACGAAAGTGCAGCACCTTCCTCGCCCGGGACGATCTCGGCCATGTATTCTTTGGACCCAATAGTGTATGGCTTCCAACTGAATGACCAGACATGGAAAACAGCGAAAATGGCCATTTCGATACACAGAAGCAGTGCAGGAATGCCCACTTTGATGTCCGGAGTCTGGACTTTGTCGGTGGGTTTGATCGCCCCGGCACTGGTCAGGAACGAGATGCAAATGGTCTGCCAGAAACTCAGGAAGATAACCAACTTGATGGCCGTGATTTTTAACAGGGGTTTGTGTTGTGAGATGTCGGCGCGGATCTGGACGTAGAATTGAATGAGGCAGTACATCGCGATGGTCACCGCGATGGCTTCAAAGACCATGACCCAGACATGAGAAAACGCGGGATTGAGAGACTCGAGGCAATATCTGTCGAACGCCTGTGTAATGACCGCGACCAAGGTGAAAAACACCCGGATGAAACAGTATTGGAAAATGGAGACCCAGATGACCTAATGGTGATCAGCATGTCCGCAGAATGTTGCGCCCCATGGACTTACATTGAACCAGGTGAGACCGCTTCGGGGGGTTCTCAAGAAGCCCTTCTCCGCGCCTCCAGTGCACGTTTGGAAATATCTCATCGGCCAAATCCATTTCTTCGGGGTGATGGTTCGGAAATAGACTTTTTGTTGGTGCAAATCGGGAGCGATGTAGGCGCAAAGTAGGCTGAAAAAGGATGCAATCGCAAAAGCCTCGTAACAATCTCGAATGACTTCAAAATAGACGCTGTGGTTGTAGTAGTAGTACGATAGGAAGGAGACCGCCGCGTAGACGGGAACCATGAAGAGAATTCGAATGATGTGCTTTTGCTCCCAAGGTTTCAGGTAATGCGTCGCATGCATGAAGATGAGAAAGAAGGAGACGATCACAGCGATGAGACTGAATATGGCCGCGATCACCAATCCAACTTGGTGGAAAGTGTGGCCATCCCATAGAGGCTCTTCGGTAATGATCATATCCTCCTCGGTCGTGTTACATACCGGCCAGCCCATTGGGACAGTTCTGAGAGGAAGTGATTGTTCCCACCTTCTGTGTCCAAGAGACCAACGTATTAATGGATCAGGGACCGTTTCGCATCACTTTGAGGAACGGGTGAAGGTGTGTAAAGTGAGAGTGAGAGGTTCGACGGCGCCAGGCCGTTACAACCGAAACAACGAGGGGGAGCTGGCTGGGGTTGACGAAGTTGATTTGCGCAGGTGCTTTGAGGGATAGAGAGCGAATGGATCAAGACCAGGCGGTAAGAAAGAGGATTGTGAGGATCGAGTACAGAGTCCAGAGCGCGAGGACTTCGTATATACTCACCAGTATGGTCAACGAATGGTACCGGGGTCAACAAAGAGGTTGAGGCAAGCTGCGCCGCAAAAGATGACGGGGGCTAGATAGAGACAAAAAAAAAGAGTAAGAATGGAGAATGCAGCGTGCGCAGGATGCAGAAATGGGGCAAGGCGCGCCAAATTGACCGCGGGTCGGCCATTCCCCAGTAAAGGGCCCTCCCAAAGCCAAATCGAGGCGGCTGAGACCAGCGACTCGCGCATTGGTGTCTGACCATTAAGCGGTCCGTGGCTAGTGTCAAGGTCGACATATCCTCCCATGTACAACCAAGACATTTGTAAGCTCACCCAAGGTTCGTCTTGATCTCCACCAAGATTTCATGGCTAAATGCTTGTCATGCATTTGCCGGTTTCTTGGCCCCAATTTGGGATTTCAGTTCAATCCAAAATCCTCTTCTGTCTTTCCTTTGCCCGGGGTATTATTGTGAATGCGGCCGCTCAGGACCGACGACAATCATACAATCAATATATACACAGCTCGCTTTTTGGCGTTAATCATAGCAATCCCGGTCCAGAGTTGAACTGGTCGAGGATCCACCCGTTGTAATTCCTTTTTTTTGGTTTTCCTCACCAGGCCGTCAAATCCCCGACTTCTGCCTCCCCAAAGGTACTGCTCTTGGTCATTATGCCCACGCCATCTTGAATTTCGCCATCTTGGCCTTCAAGCCCGCCAGTGCCAGGTGCGTTCATAATGTCCGGGAGAAACTCCCGGAAAAAGGCCAACAGATAGCTGTTCACCTGCTCGAACTGCAATAAAAAGGCATCATGTCCTTCCGGGCTATCAATCTTTCCTAATCGACCATTGGGGATGTTTTCAGCGAGTTCCTCTTGCTCGGCGATGGTGAAAAGACCATCGGATTCAATCCCCAGGACCAACGTCGGCTGCTCGATTTGCGACAGAGCTTCCTTCACGGTCGCGGCACGATTCCGAGATACGTCGTGGGTGTCCAGTTTGCGAGTAATGGCGATATAGCAGTTGGCATCAAATCGGGTGACAAACTTGGTGCCCTGATACCGGAGGTAGGATTGGGCGGAGAAATAATGGCGGGTGGGTGTGGACGTGGGCCCCGTAATTACGGGAATTGGAATGGAAAATTCCGTCGTTCCGTTGAACTGAGGGTCGGTGAATGTTGCTGTGGAAGGCGACTCTGATGGTGTCGGTTTTTCAGAGATCATTCCGTTGCTGGAAGCAGGACGCGAATCGCGGGAACCTCTGGCGCGCTTATGTCCATCGTTATGGATCGTCCAGTGTTCATTGTGTACACCGTTGGGAGATTCCCGTGCTCGGTTGGTCGAGGCTTTTTGGGACAAATCAGGAGTACTTCGACCAAAGCGAGCCTCGAAAGAATCTCGACTTCGGTATGTGAGGAGGGCCGACATGCGAGCGGCCCCCAAGCCGGCGGTGGGAGGGTCGTCGAATGGATAGTACCCATCTTCATATTTGGGATCGGAGTAGATGGCTTGACGTTGTGCCTCACCCCAACTGATTCCCCAGGCACTGTGAGTAGCTGATGTGGCTATCGGCGCTATGCTTCGCACATAGTCTTTGCCAAAATAGGCATATTCGAGGCACAGCATCCCTCCCATAGAACCCCCGACCACACATGCGATCTGCCGGACACCGAGATCGTCGAGGACAATCTTGTGAATGCTGTCAACATGGGTCAGCGCTAGCCATTCGATTCTGGTTTCTGGGCCTTTTTTCTCTCACTTCACATCATCTCTTATCGTTGTCAGAGGAAACTCGGGGCCATATCTTCCCAACCCGGGATCCCCGTCCTTATTCGTCACCGGACTGGCACTACCATAGGGACTTCCCAGGCTGTTCAAGCAGACCACGAAGAATCTGGTGACATCAAACGCTTGACCCGGTCCTCCCATCAATGGTCCCCACCAATCTGCAACATCGGCGCTGCCACTGAGGGCATGACATATGACCAAGGCATTGTCTTTATTTTCGGAGAGTTGACCGCGGGTCGTGTAAGCGATCGGGACGTTATGGAGGACGACGCCGGATTCGAGAGTGAAGGAGGGGACAATGACAATCTGCTGTTCGGATACGAGTTTGGCGTAAGGGTTTTCGGGTTGCCCTTTGGCACTCTCTACGGGATTTAGTAGCCGTTCACGGTAGGACTGTGGCAATAAGGAATGTGGTGCTGGGAGACTGGGGGAATGGGTATGAGACACGGGGGGGCACTGACGGAGTCGTTGGGAAAGAGCATTGCTCTCGCCATTGGTATGTGTGGATGCCATGGGGAGATCAGGTCTCAGGCGACCGAATCTGTGTTAATATCTTTCAGTTTTTCTCGCGTTCAGAACGAAAATGCCGGTGGAATGTTCTTTGATTACGGGCACCACCTCTTATGTCAGATCCATTGATGTAGAAGAACTGGTTTCACTTGTCAAGACATATTATGAGTCAAAATAGAACGAGCCTAGACCGAAGGCAGGGAGATCTAATTGTGGATACGAGAAAAGAGTGACAATCGCACAATAAAGCCTGCCACCTGAGGCCTCCTCGGTGGCAGTCCGCAGGGTCAAATCACATCATCGGCAACGAATTGTAAGCCTTCTTTTCCTCGGCTTACCAAGATAAATGGCAACTCACCCGAACACGGTGTGCCCGTACTCTATATGACTAAGCGTTCAGTTTCAGGGGGCCACAGAGCCTGGCATCCTCCCTCGTACGAATGTGAACTCGAGGCGATAGGCTCCACGTCAACGTCAACGACAATAAGCAAATTGATCTTGATGAACCGTCCGGTTCGTTCAGGCCAAAATTCATGCTATCATCACGGCAAACAAGAAATGACCGGCGCTATCTCTGAACGTGACATCCGCAATCTCTCCCTCAAGCCAGTTCTCGAAGTCGGCGTACTCAGGAAGCACATTCACAAACGCTCGGATCCGACTTTGCCAATGATCAAGTCTGAAGCCGGAGAATCCTATGGCACGTAGCCGCTCATATATGAACAATTCACCTGCTACATCAACCCTTACATTGTCCTCGAACATGGCCTAGCTTTCCATAACCGAGGCCAAGGTACGGTCGCAGAGTGATATTCGAGGCGATGTCGTCCAGATCCTCGCCGATCCCTGAAAGAGAGAACTCAGATTCCACTGATGACTGCGAAAGTCGACGAGCTTGCCTGATGACGGACTGCAAGAGACACTTGTAAGCTCGGTCTTGCGCGGCGCGTTGGAGCCTGCTGTCCGCGTAAGAGATAAGTCCCGGTGATGGCGAGGCTGGAATTGGTACCTCTTGTCGCGGGGACGCCTCGAGGTGCAATGGCTCAATACGTACATCTAAATTTGGACAATAGAGTTCCTTCGCAACACTCTGACAGGAAGTACTGAAACCAATCACGAGTCATAAGGTTCACACTCTTGTGTATCAAACAAGTATCAACCTATAGACGTACATTTCAGAAATGACAGGGCACCAATCATCATCTTGCGCCATAACAGTGTAAGAATATGCCTCGTGGAGGCCAACTCTGCCACTGCTTGGAACCTTGTGGCGGACTTTCTCGAGGGATTCTTCACCTTACAATGGTCCACTCCATCTCGCGGACCACGACAAACACCAGTAGTGGCATATTATCAGCGTTACAAGTTACGCCATTCTCAGAACCTGAGGTACATAAATCGTGCTTAGGTTGCTCATTATATTACACTTTTGACTTCAAGTGAGACCGAATGATGCACGAGGATAGATTCTATTGAGATGAGAAGCTGATTGAAAAACGAGACAGAAGTTGGAAGAACTTGCCAAGCATCACGTGAGTGACCCGGCTATTATGAAGCCCAGCCTCGCGAACAAGGTTGTCTGAGAGAATAATGGCTGGCATAAAATGGGTTATAAGCTCCTCCTCTTGGGCGTGGGCATCCTGCCATTGATTCGGAAGTGTGGTGCTGTGCCTCATCGAGCGGAATGAATCCCCCAGACCAAGACAGACGCTCTCTCGCTTCAAACTTGATCGTTTTCCCACGTGACAGACCATGATGCGATGACTACACCTGAAAACTTTCCATCTGCTTCCTCTTACGCTAACGCAATGCTCGTCAAGGCACTCATTGAATGTACTTGTTGACAGCCATCCGTTCCTCTCTTCGATCTTGCATTGTTTGTTGCCAGCCTGATCCTCCCCTGCCATCGTTCTGAATGTCTCGCTCCACCTTGGTGCTCTTCATCCTTAGGCCATCCTAGCCCGGTAGGGGTTTCGGCATGAAAGAATTCGCCGTCTTCAATGCCATTCTGATATTCGTAAAGAGTTCCACCAAGGCGCCGAAGTCTGGAAGCAAAAGCATCTTCTTCTGTGGTAGGCCAGGCATAGATAGCAGCGTTGTCATGTAGGTGGAATCGTTTACCCTGGAATCCGGCCACGGGAATAGTCAGCCTGGGGGAGGAATAATAAGACAAGGGCAGGAATGGAGGGTCAGTACATTATAAAAGGACGAGGTTGAAGCTGTGTGTGCTGGCAAAAAAGGATGTATTGCGATTTGTGGTAGCGCTTGATGTCTCAACCGTCACGCACGAGGCTGCAGATGCTATCGAATGGGGGATGACGACACTGGAAACCCAGGAGAATATGCCGGCGATGATGGCGAGGTTCTTGTGTCCGGCAAACTAGGCATTGCGGTCCGAGAACGACAAGAGAGTGATGGTTGGGGAGCTTTGGAGATGGATTCGTGTACTGAAGGTCGCTGAAATTGAGACTTGGACATCAATGCAAGATGAGCATTTCCGATCCGGTGAGCTGATCAACTGGCGGGCGATGGCCATTGATTTCTGAATTTGGAGGAATGGGTAGTTATCAATTACTGGAGCAACGCCAAGAGCAATATTATCAGTCGGCTCAGAAGCACCTGCAAGCATACCGTGCCAGTGCTTCGGCACCGCCCAATTATATTAAAGCTTCAGCCTGAACCTTGGATGTGTTCGAAGCATTTCTCCGTATTTCAGAAAGAACCAAATCATTGGCGCCATACCCAAGGATATGAACGCTAAAAGGCTGTTGCCCCATCCCAGGCCCAAGGTAGCGTACATTCGGCGGCCGGCCAAGGGTAGAAGCGCCCCCCCCAAACTCCGAAGGACCGTATTGGCCGCCATGGCGCTTGCGGCGTAGATGGTATACGCATCTATAAGGTACGTACCTATCGGCATGAAGACCGCAATCATTCCCGCCCCAAAGAGCGCAGACGCGAAAATCGGCACCATCCAATGCACCTTATATTTCGCCGTCCAGCCATAGAGTAACAGTCCGACCGGAATCAAGATTGCACCAGGCCATAATAGCGGGAGTCGATATTCAGGCTTCATTTCTCCCCCCTTGGCCCACTTTTTCAAGTACTTGTCGGAGAAGGCACCAAAGAGTATCAGGCCTGCGAATTGGCCGATGCCAATACCCAGATAGACGAGGCCCACATTACTTGCGGAAATGCCGTATTGATCGACGAAGACGAATGTGATGGTGGTGAAGACGAGATACAAATAGCCGTATCCGACGGCAATGTACAGGGAGAGGCCGAAGACGATAGGCGAGAGGAAAAGCATTTTCGTGGGCCGAACGATGGAGATGAAAAAGAGTCGGCGGGGCGTTTGTGACGACTGAAAGGCTGAGCGGAGCTTTTCGTTGCCAGTTTCCTTGCGGAGGCGTTTGACTTTTCGTTCGAGAAGGATGGGAGGGTATGTTTCGCGTTGAAAAACAACGGCCACGGCTAGTAGGGCTCCAGTCTGTTCAACAAATTTTATTTTATTTTAGCCCGGTTACTGATGTAGCAGGCGAAGGACGAAAGCACAAGGGATATGGTATGGTATTGTATGGACTTACACATATTGAAACGAGCCAGAAATCCCAGCGCCACCCTGCCGCTTCAGAAAGATATGATCCCACTACCGGGCCGAGACTTCTTGGGTGTCAGTCACTTCGAGTGCTTGACACGTCGAGTAGCACTTGCCTTGGTCCAAATAAGATCGGAAACGTCCATATGGACATGACTTTCCCGCGCTGATCTTGCCTGAAGGTATCTGCAATGGACCCGGAGCCCACGGTCAAGGGACAAGATCCTGCAAGACCGGCCAGGAAACGAAAGACAATCAGCATAGAGAGACTGCTGGATTTGGCGCAAGCGATATTGAACACGAGAAATAAGAGTGTGTTGATATGATAGATCAGTAATCGACCATATAGCTCGCTCAACGGTCCAATGACCAAGGGCCCAAAGCAATATCCAAGCACGTAGACCGAGACAACGAACGAAGCTAGGTCGACGTTGTCGGAGTTGAATTCGTCCATTACCAGAGGCACGCCTGGTGCAAACATGGATGAGCAAAAGGGTCTGCAACAGACAGTCAGTATGTCGATAACTCCGGTTGACGTCCAGGAAGGGCACCAACGTCAGAAAAGTAATGGCTGAAAGAAAGAGGATATTGGACCATTTCTTTCGCACCGGCCAATTCAGTGGATTCTCAGGGTCGTCTGGGCCATTCCAATTAACGACATTCGGGTCGCGGGACTGCGGGACCGTCACGGTGACATTGGCATTGGCATCTTCATTCTCGTGCCTGGGAAGCGCCTTTTCGAGGTCTACTTCCCGTTCCATCGGAGAGTTGTTACTAGGGGACTCTAGGCTGGAGCGCTGGCTGGAATCCGGCTCCATGTTGGTACAATTGCGTGTTGTGAGAGAATCTGACCGACGGTCTATAGACGACGTGCAAATCAAGGCGTGGCTTTTCGTATGGCGATGGCCATCACGGCTCTAGACAAAGATATGAACATGGTAAAAGCCATTTTGGAAAGGAGAGTGGCGGTAGGCCGCATATATTGTATGTGAATCAACCTGCCGATTGCGGGCTGGCGGCAGGCAAAAGAATGGTTGATCCATCCAGGAGGAAGAAGGAGGGACCTTTCCACTAGCCGTCGAGGACTGGGCCAGCAGCAGTAGTCCGTGGGAAATTTTTTGGGTTCTTTTCCCGCTTAATCGGCACAAGTAAGTGATGTTCGTAGTAATTATGTGGAGAGCTTCGAGAGCTCACACCGCTTCGGAGATAAATTCTTGCGGAATAGTTCCTTTCAGGCCCGCAGGCTAAACTCCGAGTGGATAATAAAGTCAGACTGCAGTGGGTGCTACCCGTTACATTGCAGTTGGCTGGACTATGGGTACCTATTCGAGACCGACAGTATCTTTCGCAGCGTCTTCCACCACCTACCAGCAGGACATACCCGGACCAACTTCTCAGCCTCGCCCAAAAAGGGGGGGGGGGGTTTGAGGAAATTTACAAACCCGACATGACAACTTTTCTACATATGGATTTGTCTTCTTCATTCGACACATTCCATCATCTATTTTCACTCTGCCCCTCCGGAATAATCTCATATCATACTTCGTCACAAGGTACGGTTTTTTTCTTTCCGATATCATGTCCAGTAAGGCGCCTTTAGCCCCGTCAAACTATTCAAAATACTCTCATGATCTCCTGTGTCGTCCTTCTTTCTCTGCCCACTTAGCTCCATCTGAATGGCTCGGTGAACATGAACAAGCCAATCAACATAACTCTGAGCCTCATTGTTGCGATCTTCAACAAGCATCCGGGCATATTCAAACTCCGACCCGTCAAGTCCTTGTCGAGCCAGTGTGAACGTAGCAGCCTTGCTCCCTCGCGCCGTCGATATGTACTGCAATAAATTGCGGACTTGTGCGTTGAGATGCGTTTCTAGCACGGGAAGTTGGTTCATCATTGGGTCGAGGTCTTGAAGACTGGTTTTGCCTTCGCCAAAGAGATCCTCCAGGAGATTCGGGGATACTTGTGCGTGAAGCCAGATGAGGACGATTTGTCCGTTGTCAACCAAATACACTCCACCTTCCTCCACACGCGCAAAGGAGGCTCGGAGGGTCGAAGGAACAACCAATTGCATCGTCTCCGAGCTGGCGAAACAATCCTCGGGGTTCAAATTATGGAGGGCGTAGATCCGGGGATAGAGGTACAACGCCGTCTCAGTTACCCCGGATGACCTCATGAACCGAGCCGAATGCACCCGACGGTCTGTAGGCTCGACACCACCTGTGTGACGAGTTAGCGACGCGGTTCCGTAACGAAAGCAATACCACACACACCTTTGAAGGCTCGACTCTTGATCAGACCCAACGTGTACATGGCCAACTCTTTAAGATGCTCCGGAAGGACAAGCTGCCCAGGTGGATGTGACCCGGAGAAATTCTTCCGATATCCCGCCAGGATGTCGATGGTTCTTTCCGTGATACTGGCGCGGATGTCTTTCAAAGACTTTTCGGAAACTTTGATTGACGCTTCTTTGGCGAGAATATTCACGACCGCGTCTTGGTCAACCGTCCGCATCGTCTCGGTCGCGCCTTCATGAACTCCTGCGACCACATTGATGCATCTCACCCTTCGCTGACCGGTGGCAGAAGTGTAGAGAAGCGCGGCTTGGAAGTGAGCGTCCAACTTGGCATCCAATTTGCCGTCGTACGAGAAGGTCACCCCAATAGCTTTATCGGCATCAATCGTCCCGATCTCCAGATCGGCTCCAAACGAATGCTGGAGGAATGAACCATAGTACGAGGAGACCTGCAGGCCGTTGGAGCAGCGCACTTTCATCAACGCCTGGAATCCGGTCTCGCGGCGCAATGAATGGCTGATTTCGGTCTGCAGCTTGAGAGAATCGCGAGGCGTGACAAAATTGGGATAAAAGAACATCTCCCCCCCGGTCAAGCGGGACATGTGACCAATGGTCGCGACATCCATGTACCCACCTCCCGCGGCCGCCAGAAAGAAGTCCACTCCAATACCGGCAGTGACCATGGCAGAAGCCGTCTTCTTCCAGCCTGGGTGTTCCGTGGTGAATAATCGTCTTTCCGCATCCGTGTCCCGGCCTCTGCCGTCATCTCGCAGATGTAATCGTCCGGGTCCCCATGTTGGTAAAGTTGACAACGAACAAATAATCTTGCCCCCCGTCGCCGTCATGGCAGCTAACGCCGCGTTGAGGGCAGGTAGCAAAGCAGGTTCTGGATTTTTAATGGTCGAAAACATGGTTGGGATAGCCTTGAGCAGCGAGGTAATGACATCCTTGGACGCCTCAGGGTCCACGAAAAGCCCTTCGGCCAGAGGCACAAAAGGGTCCTCAAGATCTGTCATTACCATCATTTGCGCCGTGGTCAGCCCTGCTGTGAGATTGTAAAACTGGACTTCCTTATCGTATGTGACAATGCCGATTTTGGTCCCAGCAGGAAGCGTCCCCATGTCCGGGTCCGCTTCTTGTGGAACGTCTCTCTCATGACGGTAAAGCGCATCCAAAATTCCCTGACATACCGCTGTCAGAAAGCCCCGATTGATGGCCTCTTGTGTGATGTCGACGAGGAAGAGCCATCGCAGAGGTGCCGGCTCCTTGGTATAGTATTCTCGAGGAACAACGTACTCGACCGTTCCCATCATGAGTTCTGGTCGCTGCAAGCGATCGACCCTCACACCGGCAGGATCTGTAGGAGCAAAATACTCGGGAGCGACATCGTTGGGGAAGCTGCACATATTGCATACCATCTTATTTCCGCCAGATCTAAACGTCATGAACGGGTTGATGTATGTTCTGCATCGCCGACATCGAGGTGGCCCGGCTTCACCAAAGTCAAGTACCGGTATAGGCTGCTCGCCTTCTTGGAGCGGGGCGAACGGTTGCAAGACAAGGCCAAGAGGAAGCCCCGTCGACCCAAGAGCCTCAGCCGTCGAGGGAATATTGTTGACTGTCAGCCGCGCATACTTCGGAGAAGAATTTCCCTGGTCGTGAGCAGTGAAAGGGATGGCGGCGGGAGGAGGCAGATGTTTCTCCATCGTAGGGTACACATTGACCTGGTAGTATTGAGTGGCCAGGTCCCTTGATCTCGCTACGCTGGGAATCTGCTCTGGATCCACGCGGCCATGGGTAGTAACGGCCTCCTCTCCCATCCGCAGTTTGTCTGACGGATTGACAAACGCAGTTTGAGCAGGTCGACTAGGCGCGCCGTCCGGAGCGGCTTGAGGGGCGGCATTGAGTAACTGAGGCCCTCCAAAAGCTCCGGATTGAGCAACATCGCCCATTGAAGCGGCACCCGGCGCTGACCCAATGTCATGGTATGCATGCCTCTCTTTCTTTCTATGAGATCGTGCAGGAGCGGCCGACATGTTCAGTCCTCCCATTTGTGCGGCAAGGTCATTTCCGGCATCTGGTTGTTGAGGTATCTGCGCAGAGCCTTGTCCTGCGTAGGGCAATTGCCGTGAGTTCGCATAGACTGGCCGACTATTGGAGTTGGCACCATATTGCTGGTATCCCGGTTGCGGCGCTCGAGGATCATTGAATCTCGGGTCTTGGTTCATTTGATATGGCTGGCCGGCGCCGCTACCAGACGGGGCGCCGTAGCTGGCCATGTTGTACGAAGGAGCATGCGAGAATTAATTAGGGGATCGACGGCCTGCGCTTCATAGTGATGCTGAGAACGGACGGGTGGTTTCGGAGTATTGGTCTGTTCGTAGCCGCTCCTCAGAAGTGGCAAGAGGGCGATGTCTGATATGAGATCGTATGTTCACAACGAGAGGGGGGACAAGTGTCCTCAAGCAGTAGTACAGGACTAAGAATTGAATTTCGTGGTCTCCATTTTGGATGAAAAGTGTCAATTTTCTGGGAAAAAAAATTACAGCGTCTGACACGGCGTTATAATCCTCAGAAGTAACCAGGAGACTCCGTTTTATCCGGTCTGACACATCTAGTTTCGCCTTGGCATTGGCATCCCCCTGCTCCACTCCCGCTGAGTCTGATGGCACGCAAGTGTGATCTAGGAATCAATTCCAGCTTCCAAGGATGATGCTGTTTTGGCAAACTCCGGTCGTTACTAAAACATTTGATTTAGAAAGTACCTAAACAGCCGGACCCTGGGGATTTTTGAGATCACCGTACACATCTCCCCTTCCTCGCTGTGGCGGCCTTGGTAGCTTCAGTAAACATTCACATCTCACATCCAACAAGTCAGGATCTTCATCATGGCCCACGTCTGATTCGTTTGCTTTCACTGGCAGCCCGTGAACCTCCTCTCGCGCCGCTACCACTTCCAGGTCCCGGTCCTCCGTACGGCGTACCCTCATCTCCTCTGCCATGTTTTCTCGATGACTGTTGATCTTCCCCCGAAGGACCAGTCCTTGAATATCCTCCTCTCCTCTCTTCCCCTTCATGCGGGTGATTCTCCCATCGGCTTGATCTCTCGTCTCGTTTTGAAAGATCTCCGGCTCCGTGTCTGTCATCTTTCACATCCCGATTGTCTCGTTCGCTTCGTTGATCTCTATCCCCTCTGATATCGTCATGGCGACTAGAATGGCGAGATGATCTCCTCTCAGGTCCACGGTCTTCACTGAGTTCATTTCTTCGATCCCTACCATTATCGTGCCGTGATGAAGGTGGTCTCGTCGCCACAGGGACCTCGTTTGGATTCGAAGACGCAAAAAGATCATGCGTCGGTGGGTAGCCATTGGAAATCGGACCGTGGCTTGACGGAGGACCCCCCGAAGGAGGTGGAGGTGGAGGTGGCGCCATGTGCGAGCCAAAGGTTCCACTATTTTGCCTCATACCTCCTCGTCCTCGGATTGAAGTGCCCGCTTGAGCTAGCGTATTGTTGACCGCGGTGAGTGGATGGCGATTGTTCCGTCCGCCACGCGCCCCCATATCCCCCGCATGCGGGCCAGAAGGAGGACCTCTAGTGGTAGGCGAAGGTCCAGACGGAGCACCGGGAGGTGCATTGCCTCTCGGTCCCGCTGGAGGATGACTCTGCTGCGGAGGTTGTGAGGGCGGATTTGATCGGGATGAATCAGTTCCTGCAGGATCGATTTGGTTAAGGCGAGATGGATGAATACCAGTGGAATCTGCAGGAGTACTGCTGGGTGCAGATGATGCTTCATTATACGAATTGGTTCGTCCGTGACGTCTTGAAGGTCCGGTTGGCGTTGGTCGTTCAGCGTAGGACGTTGAAGAGACCTGTGTATTGAGCAGAGGTGCCCTCATCTTTGGTCCACCTCCTGACGAGGGTCTGTTCCGAGGTGCCGAGAGAGTATCCGAGTCTTGAGCGCGATCAGAATTTTGTGAGGTCGATGGCCGCTGCGAGCCTTCCTGCTCAAGGCGACCATGTTGCATGTCAATTGGTGGCCCGTGTCTGGATTCTCTCTTGAAGCTTCCGGGACCACTAGAGCGAGGACCTTGAGGTCCCAAAGAAGACTCCATCGTGGAAGACATGTAAGGGGCTTGTCGTGATGAGGGCGCTTCTGACCGAGGACCCAGGTGGCCTCGATCGTCGGCGTCGCGGCGTGGATACGGCCTCCTGTCGTCTTCTCGACTTGGAGACGGAGGACGAGAGGACCGAGTGAGTTTTTCTTGCCCTTGACTCCTTCCTGATGGACTTGGTCGTTGTTCTCCACTGTTTTCTATCAGAGCAGCACGTGCTGGGTTGACTGCCGGAGTGGGCGGCTGAGATGGGATATCCTTCTGAGGAGAAGGCTGAGCTTCTGTTGGTGCTGGATCTGCAGACGGCGGAGGACGCGTCCTCGGAGGTGGTTCGCGACCATCTCGCTCCCTTTCCGCCGGATGAGGTGGGCGAATGGGGACTCGTTCTCTATCTTGCTGCCGTGGTCGATCATAGAGAGCAGGTCTGTCATGCGATTCGCGACCGTATCCTCGCTCCTCTCGACTACCATGAGGTGGAACTTCGGGTCGGTCATATCGCCGAGAATGTCGATCATAGTCATCAAAAGAAGGCTCTGGCCCACGATAACCCGATCGTATATCACGAGCATGGCTTGATCGGCTGTCAGGTCCCGGTCTTGAGGTGTCGACCGGTGGTCGTGTTGAGAGACGTAGACTATCCCTATGTCCGTTGCGACCATCGGGCGCTTCTGGGCGACTGGGAAGACTTGGTGGTAGTGGGCGTGACGGAGGGGGGGAAATCCGTCTGGGAAGGTTCTGTGGCTTGACAGGCTCTGGTCGAAGAGGTCGGGCATCTCGTTTCGTGGATGCAGGAGTCTCTGTGGCGTGTCGGGAGGGTGTCGAAGCGCCATTAGAAGTCACTGGCCTTGACATGGTTCTAGACGCTGGTCTAGGAGGTTCGGATGCTAGTTGAGGCTTCACAACTTTGCTTGGATCCTCCCTCTCCTTTTCGGTGTTCGGCTTGGCTTCTGGTTTTGACGGTGCATCCGTCATGACAGCATCCTTCACTTCGCCATCCTCGTCGTTCTTGAGACCCAATGCAGCGTCAGAATCCTCCTTGGTCTTTGAGGCATCAACCTGGGGTTGAGATGCGTTTTGCTCAGGCTCCCCGTTCTTGTCGTGTCCTTGCCTAAAGGCTTGTGGTACCATCCATATCTTCTCTCTCCGGTGCAAGGCACCAAGTAAGGCCTGAGAAGAAACCTTGAGGTCTTCTTTGTCGGATTCGCGTAGCTTGTCGACAGCTTTTTGGAGCCCTGTTCCGTGGTAATTGACTGTGGGGTAGACGGTCGAGATGGAGCGTAGAACGGAAATCGCATTTCGGACGTGCATGTACTCTGGAGAGGTAAGACATTTCTGGAGGGCGGTGTATAAGTGACCATGCCACTTGAAGAGGACCCTTCGGAAGCTCTCGAAATCCAGTAAAGAAACAACTTTCCCGCCTTCGACCTTCATCGCAAAACCGGGGAGACTTTTCTTGCTGCCCCACGCCTCCCGTTCATAAGTCGCCCTTGAGCTGTGCCAGCGACTGAGATCCTTCAAGACCTCATTGAGAAACCGGCCGAAATTGTCGGCTTCTTTAGATGTGCACATGAAAACTAGTGAAACAAGTCGGGATGGCCTGAAAAGCAAGTCGTAAAATCCGAGTGTTCTGAAATTTGGTGTGCCAGCCCCATGCAGGAACTTGACAAACTTGAAGCAGAAGTAGGCATCCAACGGTGAGGACAGGACCCGTGGCAGGAAGCAGTGTTCCATCAGCGCGGTGTTGAGTTGTTTGTCCATTCTAGCCTTTCCGAGAAACCATTGATCCTTTTCGCGTTGAAGTCGAGCCTTGCTCTCGGCAAATGCTTTCAGATGTTGTTTATTTTCTGCGAGCAATTTGTCGACGAGCTCCGTAATCTCTTTCTTGGCCAGTTCCTTCTTTTTAGTTCCAGATACGCTGACATCGGTGCGATCCGCCGTGATGGAGGCAATCTTCTTGTGCTGCCGGGACAATTCATCTTCATATGATTTGCCCGGGATGGTGATGTCGTATAATGATAATTGCCAGAACGTCGCATAGAAGCCGGTGCCGATGGTTTCAACCACTTCTTTGGGCAAGAATGGTTGAATCGCATTCATCACTTCTTTCATCACAGGATGCCAACAATCATCAGATGGATTTTCAGGCAGGCCAGGGGTCTTGCTGCTTGACTCCAGATCAAAACTTGGGCCCATCGATTCGCTTTCAGCTGGTGAATCGTTCGCGACGTTCTCGGTTTCGACGGCCTCACCGTCCTCTTCTGAGCCACCGTTGAGCTGATCAGACATTTCCACATCACCGTTAATGTCTTTGTTCTCGCCATTGTCATCTCCACGCTGGTCTTTAGCATGTTCCTTGTCATACTCAAGCATTTGTTTGGAAATAAGAGGTCGGCTGATCCAGAACGCGATTTCGGGGCGAATTTCATAGTCGACGAGAAGGCTGACCACGTCGGGAATAGTTGCTCGAAAATCTTCGGGGGAGAGATTGGTTCGTAGAAGGTCAAGGTATTGGACCATGACGCGATGAACCTCGTCATAGGTGTTGCCAATAGCTTTCAGAGGCACGTCGCCCCCTTCAAACACACATGCTTGTCTCTGTTGAGCCATCGCGATCAAAAATTTGGCGGCCAAGCCGGTATCTTGTAGTGACTTCATCAATCTTTCCGATGTCTTCTTCGAATCATGCCGCCGATCGAGGAGTTGGAGAATAGTTTGAGATTGCAATAATGGTCCGCCTCCCATAGCTTGGAGTTGGGCGTCATTATAACTCGTGTCTGTCGCAATTCCTCCCATTGAAACCACAATTTGCTCCAGCATTTTGAGATCTGTCGTGTTTCCATGCTCAAGTTGCTCCACGACATATTGCAAGATTGGGCCAGGCCTCATCATGCCATATCGCTTGTAGATCTTCCCGGCAAATTGAGCCAGGGCGGAAAGCCACCGGCTTGTGAAGATACCGCCTTCTTGAGTCCGACTTCTTCCAGCTTTTGCCATCGAGCTAACAATCGCCCAGGTAAGAATGTCATAACCCAGATCCGTGAAATAGCGTGCGCCCTCGACGAAAACTTCTGCAATGCTGTCGTACACCTCGATCTGGGTAAGCGCCGTCGTGATGACAATATGAGGATTGGCAAAGGCAATTTTCGCCAGTGCTCGAGCCATTGGTCGCACATTGGTATTGGAAATGCGTTTCAGGATGTCTTTTGTCTCGGCTCTTGCTTGGTCAAATGCTGTTTTGATGTCTGGGTTACGAGATGTTCTTCCTGATGACCATTCCAAATACATCAAATATCGAACGCTGACGGGGAACGTGCTGATCAGTTCGAATACCTCATTGACCACGCCAGCATTGGACTTTGTCAAGCTTAACGATGGGAGCAGAATCCGTCTGCTCAGCTGTAACCAGCGTGATCGATTGGGCTCACTCCTGTCGCCTTGCAAGCTGTGCTTCCCAATTCGTGCAAATTTGAGAAGTAGAGCAGGGTCTTGGCCAATTTTCACCCCGACCAGAGGCAGAAGAGTTTCACACAATGTGAATACATCTTCCACGGTCTGACAGACGGGAATATTGTCGCTCCAATCGTCCCAATAAAACCGATAGTCTGTGCCGTCAGAACTATCATTCTTATCAAGCATCGGCCATCGAAGGACTCTTCTTTCCGGGGAGTCAACTACTTTGACCTGCCCTTTTTGAAGACCAGGAATATCGGTTTCATAACTCGGCTTCTGGTCGCGAAGGCTTGGACGGTCCTGTAGCGGCTGCACCTCGCCGTATACCTTGCTCAGACAATGATGAAGGATCCGGTGAAGATATTCCGGAAGATCGGGAAATAGGTCTACCAGCCAAGGGAATCGGCCCAGGATGAAGAGTGCTTCCGGGAGTGCGCCGATTGACAGGAGGCTTTTCAACAAGAGGACTTTCTGGTCGGATGGTTCAGTCGAGTCCTTCGCTGGAGGCTTCTCAGCTTCTGGTTCTTTGGAAGGAGTACTGGCACGAGTCGTCGACTCTTTCAAACGAGGCGGAATCGGTAATGTATCGTCAGCCAGTGCTCCAGCCATTAAGAGAGCATTCTTTGCTCCTGCACCAGGCCGGCCAGCTCGATCTCTCTCTGCCTTCTCCTTTATCTTTTGGTGCTTCAATTCCTCCATCGCCTCGTCCGTCCTCCAGATATGCGGATAGAGATCCTTCAAGGAGATGAAGCCGATCTTGATCAGTAGCGCAGAAAGGTAAATGAGGTTGTCTGGCAATACGTCTGTCTCGTCTCGTGCCGGGGATGAGGAATAGAATCGTAGTTTGAAGCCCAATAGCTGTGCCGCGTCACGATTTCCTGGAGGAGGTAAAGTCCCCGTCTCTCGCACCCACTGTACGAGCATTTCGTCTCCGGAGGAAGACACTCGATCAATCTGCTCTGGAGAGATCTGCGATCGTCCAAGATAGTAGAAGGCTTGCAGACCCTGTTCCCGAGCTTGAGGCCAAAATGCTTCGTCCCGGATCTTGGTCTCCGTTGCGACGAACAGTTTCTGCTCCTCCGTACTTTGCCAATCGGGAGAATTTGGGAGAGCCCATAACGGCAGCCCGGTCAGGGCGGAGTTCTTTCTTGCCAGGCCTGACGCTCGTGGCCACCAGGGACTGGCACGGAGAAATTTGACGAAGAATCGACATTGCTTCACAAGGACGGCACCAAAAACATCGAGAACAACATCTAGACTTCGGCCGACGTCCAGATCAAAGGCGCCAATCATAGCCTTGACCTTCTCGACCGTGTCTTCGATCACTTCTCCGGTTGGAAGTTCGTTACCGCTAGTCGTGAATAATTCGGTTATCAACTTTGCAAAGCCTTCGGATTCTTCTCGCATCAAATTGAAATTGGCTTGTCGATACAACAAATTTGTCTGTTTCCTGATGCCCATACGATTGAATGTGTTTCGGATCAAATCTAGCTTTTCGAGCAAAGGTGCATCAAGTTCAAGGCGCAGAAGTTCGTGAGATATACCTGTTGCGAAGATAAACGCAGAGAGGCGGTCGACGGGAATAGCGGGATTGCTCTCAAAGGTGATCGATATGGAGTCTAGGAGGGCAGCCTGCGAGACTGTAGGTGTGGGCGTTGAGTGAGGTTGACCGTCGGAAACCTCGCGTTCGAGGATTTGCTTGACCAGTTCTGCGGCATCAGACGGACTAAGCCTCCCAAATATGACAGATTGTACCAGCTCCTGCATTATTGTTGTTAATCTACTTCCGTCCTCCTCGTTCTCTCCATCTTGACTTTGGCGTAAGACCTCTTCCATCGCTCCAGTCTGCCATGAGTCACAGGCCTCGCTGGTAATGTACGTGTAGTTGTATGGCTGCAGATCCGGAGGAGGATTCGTGAAGATGGGAGTCGAGGACGCTGGTGTCTGATTTGCTGCCATGATCTCGTTCGTATTGCTCTGCTCAAGATTGGCAGGTGTCTTCACAGATGAAGGACCGGTCTCGCCAGGACTGCTGACAGGGCTGGACACGATGTTACCACCTCGGCCTCCTCTGCTGGACCGTCTTCCACCTCTACCGCGTAGCTGGGGGTAATCACGGTCATTGCCTGGTGATGGAAACTGGCCTTGTTGGGCGAGGCTCAGATTTCCGGGTCGATGCGGCGAGGCACGGGAATATTGCTGATCGTCGGAGTATGTCCGATCCCCTCGCTTCCTCTTACCTCCGCCTGGAGGTGGCATTACTCCGAGTCGTCACGAATCGCGACCTCGGTGAGGGAGTGGATGAAATCGTCGCCACGCGGATCATGGGGTAGGCTAGGACATTCGAGTCGGCGGGAAGAAAGGTAATTGACGAATTCGGGATTTCGAAATCAGAGATTCGATTTGTGGCTATGCGTAATAATAGCGAGCTATTAGACCGCGTTCAGATGAAGAATGGGTGTTGAATATGGTGTTGGCGACGTTTTTCGTCTGCACTTGTAAAAAGGATACTCTGCAACACAGAAAGAAGTCTGCGAGCAACGCCTGCAGCGCTAGTATCGATAAAGCGGGAACGCAAATCTTGGCAGCGGCTTCAAGGCACCGCACTCGACCGCGCCGCTTTAAAAGCCCTTCTCTTTCGCCCCTCCTTTTTACTCTCCTTTCCCACTCTTCTTCACTATTGCGGAGAAAGTAAATGGGACAACACTTCGTTCAATCATACATGAAAGTTTATCTGTTTTCAAGAGCACGTAATTCCGGTCCGACGGCAGCGTCGCACCACATAAACCGACGGATCACGTTCAGATACGCTTGAAAGGTCGCTATTCCAGCAGCTTGGAGCCCCTGAAAGGAGAGCTACGAACTGACTTGGAAGGTTGTCAAACAGAGTCGTAGAACAGGCCGCCACAGTGAGAATCCAGATGAGAAAAATATTTGACCTCTCCCGCCTAGGGAGTCGGTCCTGAGTTCCTAGCATCAACTCCAACTTGGTCCCGTAAAGCATGCCATTCCGCGGCTCAAAGTCCCATTTGGCCTGAAGATTGCACAGGTACAAAACGCTTGCCAGTCGAAGACATCCCCTTTGACGCAGGTGAAGTTCGTCGCGTAAGGATGCTCGAGCAATGGAGAGACAATCGTACCAAATGGGAGAGACACGGAAGACTGGAAATAATACATCATTGAAGAGATCTCGTGTCGAAGATTCTCCTTCCATGATTTGATTTAGCTGGCTCAGCTGTCGACTGACATAATTGACGGCTACACTTCCTTCAACACCTTGGAAAGTTTCATCTATGGACAGCCCAGCCAGGTCAATCATTGCAACGCCAAGTTTGCTTCGCGGTGCAAGAATCTGATATGGTGGGCGAAATTGGGGGATGGCATCTTGACGAAACCGCCCGTTGACTTCTACCCTGAATGGGTGTCAGCTAATCTTGATCGAATGATGTTCAGTCTAAGAGATATCGAGGAATCCAAAGTGTCTTCTCGCCCTCTATGGAGGAGTATCTGCGAAAGGCCTTCCATGTAGATCTGAAAGATCCGAGGTTTGTTGATCAAGTTCTGGAGTCTGTCAGGTCCAGATTTTCCACCGTCGGTCAAGGCCAGTTCTTACCACGTAGGCAGCGGATGCCAGGACAGTAGTGACAACTTCATTACTTGTACCAGTAGCCAGGCTGTTTAATCTTTGCTGCAGAGATTGTGTGGTGATCATCGAATACTTAGCGTCTTCTCCAGTGTCATCTTCACATCGCAGCCAATGAACCAAATGCCACGCAGATGCGGAAGCATTTGAGAAAGCGCGATAGTCTCTCGAACGAGATCAATGGACCCGATTTTAATCATGGTCCGAAATTTCGCACAGGTACCATCGTACACTAATTCGTGAATTGGATACACCTATGCCGGGCCGCCAGAGCCGGTGCGCTCGACGGCCGCCCTCCAACCCAAAGGTCCCAAATGGATCCGATCGATTCGCGGACAGCAGTGTGGAAGGGCCAATCACCGAATGATTGGTCGGAGGAGGCTTGTTGTGAATTGATCCACCACGCAGAGGAGTCGCGTCGAGCTCCACGCTTGTTCGACGAAGTCGATAAGTATTTCTTCGACGGTAATTGGTCTGTGCAATACTGTGGACACACCTTTCGTGTTTCTCCACTGGATCGTGGTTCTGCCAGAGATGGCGATGAATTCGAACTGCTGCTTGGAAGACGAACTCTGTGTGGGTTGGGCTTTCGGGTGGTTCATCGGCCATTTCCCGGATCCCGCCAAATCATGTTCGCCAGAAAGCTGGCAGCTGCCAGGTTGCTTGTAGAATAGAATACACGAGCCGTGACTCGCTTACTGCGGGCGGAATTGCGATGCTTGAAAGCATTACAAAAGCTTGTCAAACCGACGCGCGGAGCATATGACTAACCGTGCATAGTGTCTGTGTGAGAAGTGTTTTTTGGCGAGGGCCAGGAGAAGTCAACTCGCTGCATATGGCCGCTGAAGCAGCAACGCAATTGAGAAGTTTATGCTGACAACGAGTCGCCAGGACCCATATACCGGATAACACTACGTGGGAGTTAGTATACACCAGCATACAATGCAAGTGCAACCCGTCTCTGCCTTCGGAGTTGGACATCCGTGACGTCTTTGAGAAACATTCTTCAATACTCGAAACTTGACCATGGTATGATGTAGCGGACCTGTTCAGTGCCTGAGATGTATAAATATGGACTTGTCATCATGGAGACACAGTCAACCGAGTCAACGACCACAACAAACTTGACAGCAAAGAACTCCATACCCAGACCATTTTACATTGAAATTATTCAAAATAGTTCAACTTTTCACAGAAGACATACCTCATATTCCAACATCCACCACACCGACCAGACAAAATGTCAGAAACAATGGAGGCCATTGTTATCCCCAAGTTCGGTGGACCAGAAGTCCTGGAGATCCAGAGAGTCCCCAAGCCAGCGCCTGTGGATGGCGAAGTGCTCATCAAAGTGAAAGCCTTTGGACTCAACCACGCCGAAATGCACATGCGTAAGGGTGAATGGGACGAATGGAACCCCATTACCGGCCTCGAATGTGTCGGGATTGTCGCTGCTTGCCCAGGTGGACAGATTCCCGTCGGCAAGTTATAGGTCTACTCGACGGCCGCTTCTTGTCTATTCACTATCCTCAATGTGCAACCCAGTAACACACTTCTGATCCGCGGTGCTACCTCGACGGTCGGCCAAGCAGCTGTTAATTTAGCCGTCAATGCCGGCGCAAATGTTACCCCCACCACGAGACGAAAGGAACGATTCGAGATGATGAAGAAAATGGGCGCAGTTGATGTGAAAATTGAGCAGGGTGGGTTAGCTAAGAAGTTCCCCGCAGGGACCAAGTTCGACAAGGTCTTGAACCCGCGTCTTGTTGGAGTCCATAAACCTTACTCGCGCTGGCGGCCGGATGTTGCAAGCTGGATGGCTCGGAGGGTTGGCACCAGTGAAGGATTTCAATCCCATGATTGAGATGGAGTCTGGAGTTCATTTTAGCTTGTTCCACAGCAAGGTCCCTGGGACTCCAGATTTCCCCATTGTTGGGCATCCCTCTTCAAGAGATTGTGCGAAAGATTGAGAATGGCGCATGGGAAGCGAAGCCGGTATATATCTTTGACTATAAGGATATCCGGAAAGGGCATGAGATGCTTGATTCCCATAATGCTGGAGGAAAGATTGTTATCAGGCATTAAATGTTGATAGCACATATATAGCTCCATAACGTTAAGCTTGTATCAATTACTCATAGGTCAGGTGCTTCGGTAAGAATTCCATACGGTTTTTCTGAATGCCTACCATCATAAGGCATGATTCAGACTAATGTCGCCACATCTGCAACTAAGCATACACCATTGATATGGGAGGAGGAGTACCGACAAGCGGGAAGAGATGAGCTTAATGTAGCATCACTGTCATCCTGAAAAATATCGAATCGTTGCTGTTGTAGCGGCGAGAAAAGGAAGCAACTTGACTAACTGAAACTACTTGTTGGGCGAGGCTGCTTTAAAAATAGTGTAAAAACGAATGTAAGCTAGTGCTATAGCGCGGAACACATCATGCCATTCTCTCGCGTGATATGGACAGTCATGACTCGTCGTCTCTTTGTGCCTCTTTTTGTGGGGACACTAGATTGTTGTACTCCATCAAACCTTTAACAATCCTCTTGACTCTACGCTACGACTTCGTGAGAGCATACAAGTGTGGCCCTTATATTTCCCAGTATGGTTTCTCCAATCACATTCGAGCTCGATTTCCATCTCGGTATCATCACGAAATAAAGAGCCGACCGGGACAGCTCCAGCATCCTTCAATCCATAGACTCCGACGCGACAACATTTGGCCGTGTCGTCGACCATCTTTGCTAATACAAACCCTTCGCTTAGGCCAGGGGATTCGCGAGCACCACAGAGCACTTGCAAGAGTGCTATGTCATCTCTCGACAGGTTCTCATCGGCGAAATCCAGAGCTTTAACGCTGGCCGTTGTGACATCCGCTATTCCGCGAATGGCTTTGCTAGTTGCCCCCCTGTCTATCTTCACCATGCCCCCAACTGCAGCCTTTTGTGTCTGCAGGATCCGGGGATGGCTAGTGGCTATCAGGGCCCAAAACTCGGTGTGAGAAGGCGACGTATCGCCTGGATCAGCTGTGTCTGCTTCAGAATGTTGCCTCACGCTCCTTGCTATTTCAGACAGTTCGGCGGGTTTCCAAGGTTAAGCGTTGTTCAGGAACTCAAGGAATAGAGGTCGCTCTCATCTGTCCAATAGACCCTTCGACGGGAACGTAGCTTCAGATACATCTGTCGTAAACAATGTCTGGGAGTTCTCAAGCTAGTCTCTCTTGAATGGATAAAATGCAAGCACCCTGTCAGCCAAATGGATTGTCACGAAGGATGTTGAAGTCGAGGGTTGAGACTTCTGCAACAACGTTGTACTCTTCTGGATCCCTGGAAGGAGGAAATGAACTCGACGGCGCCCGGTCATGACCATGATGGACCGTGCTCAGAGTTCTTGAATGAGCCTCGTTCTTCTCCCAAGCCAGTCAACATCCGAAGCGGAAGCTGTCACATCTCGTGATACATTCGACTTTTTATGACATATTGCATTTCACTATTACATTGTGGCCTTTCGTGCGTCGAAGATGTCGATGAAGCTGAAATTGAAGCTGGGTGCTTACGAACTGGATGGAAATCGCTCATGCACATGATCATCGGTTGTACAGCCTCATGGGACTGCTGGTGCATTTATGGCATCCTTCGGAGACTGCTGCCCAAATGAGTACGCCACGGATCACAGCAGAAATCTGTCAAAGTCGAGTGCGCAGGCGATTTAACTGGGGTGCTACCCAGTAATACTGCTCGACTTCTTACTCTGGGTTATCTCTTCCCACTCTTGTTATCCTTATTCCACATATCCATGCGTGGGCGTGTTTTGAGGCGCACTGGTGGGCTCGTTCAGAAGGTCCAGCAATTATGAAGCGTCGGTCCCGTGGGTTGCCTTGCAAAATGCTGACCATCTTCAAAGTCGAATCGATTTCCCAAAAAGGCAATTGATGAAATACAATTGACCAAATGGAACGAGGCCGAGTCGATGTCATCCCCTGGCGCAACTCATCCGCTGGCCCCAATTAGTCTTTGATTCCGAACACCGCTGAGGTGGTGCAGATGTCATGAGGTGCGATGCACGCCTGATTTCATGGTCGCAAAGTATAGAAGAGCAAGGAAAGACCACACATCTCCCCAACACTCCTTTGTGTCTCACACATCACTATATCATATAATCGCAGACCAGTTTCTTCATTTTCCATAACCAGCTTTGTTCAACAATCCACACCAAATCTAAGTACACTTCGCATAAATTTTCCTCTCCTCAATATGTGTCTCTTCCTTATCTCGCGCCTCATGAAATCTCGTCATCATGATGACGATGACGACTATCCTGCGTCACGACCGAGTACAAAACCAACTCCTTACTCGGCTGCCTCTGGGCCTCTACGTGGATGAGTTCCCAAGGCTTAAAGGCCAGGGCTTGTGAGGAGAGCATAGTCTTCCAGTCCTGAATTTACAAAGTCGACGAGGAGGATCATTGAGACGAAGGGGTGGAAGCCGTGTACCATCATTCTCTCGTTAACTTGATTCCCCTGCAGCGGTGACATTGTTGACAGATTGGTGGTCGTATCGGCATGACTTACCGTCTTTTGTTGCGATGGGTAAAGGGCATATTTGCGGAGGGACCCACCTGCGTGGACTTTGAAATCTGTCAGATATCATACAGAAAATGAAAATTGGGAAACTTGAACCTGCTTATTTTATTTCCAGACCTGCGAATTCGAATTGCAAAGAGAAGTTGGTTATCGGCCGCCTCAAAGCCAACGGTTCTTGCGGGCGGAGAAAATGGCAGTAGCAAGTCTCTCTACCAACTTTCCAGCATGAAAATGACTACTCTTTCCCTGCTATCGACGTCTCGCCGCCCTAGATAAACCAGCAGGTCCATTTACTCCGCCCACTATCCTCCTAGCTACTAAGGGGCCACATCTTCATCTCAATTACTGTCAGCCTTGCCGAGAGGTATTGGCCATTTTAAAAGATTCTGTCTGACAAAAGAGAAATGGTTCATTTTATGTATTTATCTCGGTAGTTGGCGGAAAGTATTTGTCAGACCAAATTCCCCTCCGCAGACTAGGCAATGATATCAGTATCATCCGGGTTTGTCCAACTCTACTTCATTCTTTCACCTATCTCTCCTCCATCCCATCATGCTGAAAGGCAGCTGCGCCTGCGGGCGAATCCGATACGAAACTCAAGCTCAGGTCTTGGCAGTCAATGCGTGCCATTGCAAAACCTGCCAGCAAGTCTCGGGCGGGCCATTCTTGGGCTTTGTAGACTTTCCAACCTCCGAGCTCAAATGGACACGGCAGCCAGAGATCTGGGCAAGCAGCGACATTGCGGAACGCGGGTATTGCAAGGTGTGCGGATCGAGCATGTCGATGCGATATCATTTCGAGCCCGAGCGGATCGGACTGTGTCTGGGAACAGTACTCGAAGCTCGTCCACCTCTACCTGGACTGAGTGCGCATATCTTCTTGAATGAAAAGGCATCGTATTTTGTTCTCCCAGATGATGGGGCAAGTGGATGGGACGAGTTCAAGCCGAAGTTCCACGACAAAATCAGGAAATGGAAGCAAGGACGGGTGAGCAATATCAAGGCAAACTTGTGAGAATCAACAAATGATCAAAATAAGAGACATGATATAGCAATCAGGGGCCCGCTCGAGGTTGAAAAGAGGCTTTCTTTGTCTGAAAAGCGATCGTCCAAAACTTGCCACCTGTGGACTGGAAAGCTTTCGTGTCAACACTTTTACCACAGTTGCCGAGCACATGCTTCGAGAAATCTCTTTGAAGTGGAATGACAATGAAAGGAAGAATCTGAGCAAACAGAAAAATCCCCAAGTATTGAAACTGTCCCAAAATGGCTGCACCTGTTCAAGTGAATATGTTCTGTCTCGCCAGTTTTCACTCGAATCTTTCTCTATTGTCCCCTTTACTCTCTACATATATCTCGCCATCCTTTTCTCTATCACCCTCCTCAACTCCTTCCTCTTTCCATCATCTTACGATCGTCTCTGGCCCGGTAAAAATGCCAGAACGGTCCTCAAATGCTTCTTTGCTCGCTCCTACTGAATCCCAAACCTTTGATCGCTCCTCTTCGAAGCTTCATCCTCATCCCTGGTCGACTACGACACGTCAGAGTAGCAGTCCTGTCATTCGAAGCCCCTTCCGGCAATCATTCCCGGCATACTCGGCCTCAACTTCGGCTCCAAACTCACCTCCGATGCCAGAGACGCCCTCCCGCCGCCCTCGCATCAGCGAGCAAGAAGGTCACAAGCGAGGCGAATCGCACTCTTCACCTGTCCCAGTCATCGTTCGTGCTCCTCAGGACCCAGATTCTGAAGGTTCTGGTCGGCAGCCTCAAGCCCACGCTCGACCTCACTCTCGTGGCACTTCACCATTTCCTCGCCTCAGTGATGGGTCCGATGCCAACAATGGTCCAAACCGGAATCAGAATCGTCGCTCAGTCAAACACCTGACATGCTTCTGGTGGTGGGAGAAAGGCGAGTGTCGTTACTCTGATGAAGAATGTCTGTACTCTCACTACGACACTGGCCGTTATACGAATCCCCCCAGACAAGTCATCCCCGGAGAACCGGCCAAAGCAGGAAAATCGCTCGAGCGCGCTCTGAACAAATTGGCTATGGCGACCCGGTCGACTGTGTCGCTGCCGTCTCTTCCGAACGCCACTGTCAATGCTAACGTCCGTGTCACTACGGCCCCGTCCGTGCCAGAGACACCAATTGTCGACCGCAGCCGTTCCAGCACCCCTTCACCTCTGGAAATCGGACAGGTCACTCAACTCAAAGCAGATAACGGCTTCCTGCGCACCTTGGTTCAGCAGACACAGCGTGAGAAGCGCGCACTTATAGACTCCATCGAGACTCTTCAGGGCGAAAAGACCCGTCTCCAGACCCAGATTGACACCATGACCACTGAGCGCAGCAATCTGCTTGTCGAGCGTGAAGTCCTCCAAGCCATTGTGAAGGAGATGCGATTTTCTACTTCAGACTCCCTGATGCTCCAGCGTCAAAGCCCTTGGGGTGCTATTGGAAGCCGACGAACTAGTCCAGTCGACAGCATACCACAAAGAAATTCCAACGGAGGCCCCACTAACACTGCCGGCTCCAGTGGCCGTCTCGCCGCGACCAGCAACGGTGGCAACATGTCCGTGGGCCCGGTCTCAGCATTGAATCCCATCGCAACTCCGTACACAAAATATGCAGATGTCCAGCTCCACCTTGCACAACAGAAAATCAACATCCACTCCATTGGCGACGCCCATGAAGGAGAGAAGCTCAAGAATGTGCTGAGGAATTTGGGCTCAAGTTTCTGAACTCCGGCGCTGTGGCGCGACGGGGCGTGAAAAAGAAATGACGATCAAGATCAAATGTCTCACTCAGTCGAAATGGGCATTTTTTCAATGTCCTTCTTACTTTCCAACACTGTGACGTATGGATGACAGTGTCGGACCCCACGTCAAACCAAGAGCAACCCCGAAAGATACATAAGCTTGAAATCTGTATGATGTACGTACGAACTTGGACCGAACTGGATCTCCGTCTTTTTCTCCTTTATTCCATCTTTTGCTTTTCAGGGCTCACAACAGACCAGAGCCATACGAATCATAAACGAAAATGTCCTTCACCAAACAGAATCGAATGATGGCAGGTGAACATCGAGTCTCAAGCCTCAAGAAGGAACTCGTCAACTGGAACCGGTGAAAATTGAATTCAACGCAATGAATGAGTGATCGATGGAGCAATGGTCTCTCTTTTTTTCATGCTCATGATATCCATGGCTGGAATGGAGAGGCTAAGCAAGGAAGCTACACTGATACCAACCCAACAGCTATACAGTAGTACTTCTGTACGTGAGCTTGGATAGAGAAAAACCCCCCATAATGTAAATCCCCACCCTTGTACCAAATCAGGTGTCTTCCCTGGAAACTTTCCTCTCTTCAACATTTGACTGTACTCTTCGGTATTCCACAAATCAAAACGTGCTCTGCGCCAACCGACTCGCCGCGTTCCTAGCATCGACGCGATCATCATCCTCGTCTTCTTTGACACGTTCCAAACTCGCGGTTCCCGTTCCACTTCTCGGTCTCCCACCACGCATCGATCCATCCGCATCTGTCCCATTCTCGTCCGCTTCCGGGATGCCACCGGGTCCGAAACTTCCGCTCAAACTGCGCGACAGAGCGTCTCTACTTCGTGGCACACCGCTCCAGGCGTCGCCCTTGGCTCCTTGACTACTTGCCATGCTGACCCTGCGGACAGTAGGATGACTCTCTCGGCCCAGCCGACTCAACCCACCCGAGGCGTCAATGGCTCGAATATCGGGCCGAACGGACTCCAGCGTTGCCAACGTCCGGCGCTCAGCTTCGATCTGACGCAAGACGTACTCTCGAAGAGAAAACAGAAATTCGTTCGAGGTTCGTTCGAACCATTTGCGCTTCTCAAGCAGAAGATTTGCCGTGACGCGCTGAGTTTTAGAGCGCAGGTAGTTCTCCTGGCTCAAAGCTTCGTCCAGTGCCGAAATCGCCTCGTCAACTTTATCCCGTCGGACGTTGGAGCTGCTCTTCAGTCGCTGCACGGCCGTCTCCTTGCTGCGTCGAGATGCCTCGGCTTGGATTAATTCACGGAGGAGGATATGTCGATTGGTCAGAGTCTCTTTGACAATGAATGCGTCGGAGGAATGATAGGTGAGAGGATCACCGAGAGTGGTAGCTTCGGCAGTTCCCTGTGCCGCATGATAATCGCCACACGTTTGAATTATGCGGCCCAATTTCCGATAAGCAGTTGAGAGGCCCGGGTGTGTTTCCTGCACGTGCATTTGGCCCATCTTTTCTCCGAGAGATGATTCCGCAAGACCCAGTGCTGTCGAGTGTTAGTGAAAGACTTGAAAAGAGGTCGGGAACGTCAAAAACATGCCTCTTCGGGCCTTGACAACCCTTTCGAGTTTCTGACTCGTGTCCAGCGAGCCCAAATAGAACATCTTAACCATGGGACGAGCTTCGTGCAGCTCAGGGGTATCATCCGGTGGAGGTGCAAACTGTTTTATGACCTTCCGTCGGACACCTGTTGCGGGCTGTTTCATCCTCACGACAGGTGAATAGCCAAAATCGCTTTCCACGAAGAATACCATCTCTTCATCGCGCATGAGCGCGTCATTGCTACAGACGCAATTGAGCCACCTTTGTATGGATTGTTTGACACGAGCTTCGTCCTCGTCGGTCCCCGCCCCAGCGGACGTGAGACTCGGCGGGACAGCAGGCACCAGGGCTTCCGGATTCGAAGATATTAGATGCTCCGCAAGCTTGACGAATTCGGAATGAGTTCGACGGACATCTCGGAACTGGGTGGTGCGGAACTTGGGCAGATTGGTCTGGGATGACGGTCAGCACATGAAAATCGTAGAAGAATATGGCGGGCTGAGCATACGTGGACGTCAAACCTAATGACGGGATCTTTGCGTCCTGTCCTTTCCAAGGCCGTTACCTTGGCTTGTAACTTATACTGTGGAACAGGCCTTTGCTGTTTGGCACTATGGTATCTAGCCGCACCCGGTCGCGGCTGTGGTGGACCAGCATTCTGTTGGACAAGGGCTGGTACCTGACTATCCTGCAGGTTTGCTGCCGCAGCTTGCGTCCGCTCCGGTATCTGGGGCGAGGCTTGGTTTGGGGCCTGATCGGGAGGTTCTGTGGGACCTGCTTGAGGTAGATAGGGGGTGTCCGGAATGCTGTCTTGCGATTGATGGTACGAATGCCCTCGAATCGGAGCGGGAGACTCTGGAGAATCGGCAGCGGGATTTGGAAAACTTCGGTCTGCACGAGGAGAAGAGGAGCCCCAGGGAGATGCTTCATGAAGAGCATCAGTATCACCTGAAACAGCAGAGTAGTCCATTGTGATATTGTAGGGCTCGGCGACCAAAATGACCTCTCAATATGCGATGGTCAATTCGAGTGCGGACGGTTCATCTCTGCTGTGAGTGCTGCAACGTGTGAGGGATCAGACGACAAATCCCTGAGCGCAGACAATGAGGATTCAATTGATTTTACGAGAAGTCAAAGGGTCCCCTCGAGTGAGGTATTTCTGTTGCTCTCTCAATGGGTTCAGAGGTCAGCGCATGCCACCAGGACCAGCTGAGAGTGTGTGAGAGGGGGAAAAGTTCGCCAGGCCTTGGCGGAAATGCATTAAAAGCGGCGGCACGCGATTTTTTTCTTGGAAGCCTTTTGAGCTTCATCCGTTCCATCGCATCTCAGAGAAACCAGCCCAGTCATTCTTTTCTCCCCTGTTCTTGCTTGGAGTTTTGATTTTCTGCTGGATCATGTACTTTTATTGATGATAGAAGTCCCTTATAAATAACCACAACGCCACGAAGGGGATGGTAGTCGCCTATGGCCGCGCTTTTCAACACTCCACTCTGGTTCGTTCAATACAACTTCATTCACGTCTTCTCTTGCTCTTTCAGCCATGCTTGAGGGGGTTTTCATCGTCTTGCCAGCGCTTAGCGTCTGCGGCGCCCGTCGCACAGAGTTCAAGTACCTCTCGGACGAGAAACATCGGCATCATCGCTCACATTGATGCTGGTAAAACAACGACAACCGAGCGTATGCTCTATTACAGTGGCCATACTCGACGCATAGGCGATGTCGACGAAGGCTCCACCGTCACCGACTTTCTTCCTGCAGAGCGAGCTCGAGGAATTACCATTCAGTCCGCCGCAATCACATTTGAATGGCCCCCTTCACTCGTGGGGGAGCCTTCCAAGCAGGCGGAGCCCACTCATGCCAGTCTCACTACTCAGCCTCGTTCTCGCCTCTCGCACAACATAAATTTAATTGACACTCCCGGGCATGCCGATTTCACCTTTGAAGTCCGACGCTCCTTGAGGATTTTGGACGGCGCCGTTTGCATCCTCGACGGTGTGGCTGGAGTCGAAGCACAGACCGAGCAGGTATGGAGTCAGGCTGGTGAGTGGAAAATTCCCCGGATAGCCTATGTCAACAAACTTGATCGCGATGGCGCTGCATTCGGACGCACCGTCCGTGAAATTGGCTCTCGGTTGGGTGGCTGGCCGGCCGTCTGTAAGATCCCATGGTTTGAGGGTGGGAAAGGCCGCTTCATGGGTGTTGGAGATGTCATCAACCTGGAAGGACTGATGTACGAACACGGTGGCGATGGGAAAGAGATTCAACGGTATCCTCTTTCCCGCCTGGAGCAAGAGCACCCGTATCTCGCACAAGAACTGCGTCGAGCGAGAGCGGCGCTCGTTGAGCTCCTCGGTGAGCACGACGATGAACTTGTGGAAGCTTTCTTCGAGGCAGAAGAGGATCATCTCAACATCACGCCCGCCCAAATCCTGGACAGTCTCCGGCGTTGTCTGCTGGCGGACAACAGCATGATCATTCCTGTTTTTGCTGGCGCAAGTTTCCGGAATATTGGGGTCCAGCCACTCTTGGATGCTGTCAACAATTTGTTACCGAGTCCAGACGAAAGACCGGATCCAGAGATTAGTGTGGGATCTAACTCAGGAGGACTATCGCAGTTGATCCGAGGCGAATTCAACCTCAGCACGGTCGTAAACACAAAGAAGAAAGGGTCAGTGCCGGCGATCCTGGCCGTTGGAAATACTCTGCAAGGCTGTGCTCTGGCGTTCAAAGTGGTCAACGATCCGCGCAAAGGTGTCCTCGTCTATATTCGAGTCTATTCGGGGTCGATAGACCGTAATGCTCTCTTATATAACACCAACCTGCAGAACTCTGAGCGGGCAACGACTCTACTACGGATGTACGCGTCGGAATCCGTCCCCATACAATCACTCCATGCCGGCGAAATTGGAGTTATTGCAGGCTCCAAATTCGCTCGAACAGGGGATACGTTGATATCATACACCGGTAGCAAGGCCACGCCCCCGGAGCCATTGAACAAATTACAGCTGAGGCCCATTCGAGTGCCTCCTCCAGTCTTCTTCGCTTCCATTGAACCAAACAGTTTGAGAGAAGAGAAGGACATGCACGAAAAGCTTGGTATACTCCTGCGAGAGGATCCCAGCCTACAAGTTTCCCTGGATGAAGATACTGGCCAGACCCAGATCAGCGGGATGGGAGAGCTGCATCTCGAAATTGCTCAGGATCGGCTCGTCAATGATCTGAAAGCTAAAGCACGAATGGGCCGGATAGCCATCGGATATCGCGAAAGCCTACCCCAAGCATCAAATCCAATGACGAAGATGCTTGATGGAGATCGCCCGGCCACAAAAGGGAAAGGAGGTTGCACAGTAGTTGCGGAGCCTCTGCAAGACGATATCGATATCTCTGCCAGTGAGGTTGGTGATGTTTTCCGCTACGAACAAGATGGCAATCTGGTCATTGTGGAAGCACCCACTTTGGACAAGCGAGGACGACCACTGGACGCCGACCAAGTGTCCTTGCCCGCACATCTAACATTAACAGAAATCCAATCGGCCTACCTCAACGGTGCCCTGGCCGCCCTGAGCCGTGGCCCATCATATTCATATCCGATGCGAGACACCAAAGTCACCTTGACGCTGCGACCAGAAGAACACATCTTTGGCTCCGAGACAACGTATGCATCACTCACTGCAGCGGCACGACTCGCTACGATCGCAGCATTCAAAGATGCGACAAAGGATACCCCATGCTCTCTGATGGAGCCCGTGATGAATGTCGACATCAACGTGGACGAAGCGAGTTTAGGCAGCGTCATTCAAGACATCTCCTCGAGCCGCGGCGGCCATATTGTGTCTTTGGGCGACCATGGAGAAGAGCAAGCCGATGTCGAGAACGGTGCCAAAAGAATCGATGTCCGAAAGATCTATGCACCCAAGGATCCATTCGAATCTACAGTATCACTGTCGGGAGAAGAACATCAGCAATTGAACTTCCAGAGGACCGTTAAGGCCAAGGTCCCGTTGAAAGAGATGGTGGGCTATCTTAAACATCTACGGAGCATGACGGGAGGGAGAGGCACTTTTGTGATGAGTGTAGATCGATTCGAGAAGGTCACGGGCCAGCGAGAAAAAGCCCTCGTTGCAGAATTGCGCGGCGATCTGATTTGAGGAGTGTGAGGAATGAGTATGAAAAATTGTCATCGGTCAGACGCCATATGAAGAGATGGAGACTGAAATATGGTGGTCAAGCCTGACCGCTAGTTAGATTTCCGCCGCGGTGCCAAACATGTTCTCCTGTATTGTCCTTTTTATAGTACCATTGAGGACCTCGAAGTTGTACCAATTTCATTTCTCTTCCCTTTGTTTTTTTCTCCCCGAATATGTTTATTCATTCACACACAATGAATTCCTGAACGAATGTGCAATCGCGGACACGGTAGCGAAGCTACGTACTGCAAAACAAAATCTCCTGGCCCCCCTCACAACCGGTAACCCTTTGACTCGGACTCGAATGTCAACATGGCTTCCAAGGCGATGTGGGAAGTCGATCCGGAGACCAGAAGCAAGGTACTTACCAAAATAATACTCCTTTGTCCTTCAGGCAGTCTAATCAATCTGCAGCTCGCGCAGTTAGGGAAAAAGGAGGGCTTCGGGAACGACAAATGTTGCGACTGTGGCGCACCTTCGCCGCAGTGGGTGAGTTCAAGCCCAAGGTTCAAGTCTGAAGAATGTTTTAAAAACAGGTTTCTCTAATCATTATTGTCTTTGTCTTTTTTCGCAGGCATCCCCTAAATTCTCCACGTTTATCTGCCTGCAGTGCGCCGGCACGCATCGCGGCCTAGGCGTGCACATCTCCTTTGTCCGCTCCGTGTCCATGGACGCCTTCAAGCAGAACGAGATCCTCCGCATGCAATATGGCGGCAATAAAGCGTGGCAAGACTTCTACAACAAGAACTCACCTATACCCTTTGACGAAGCCACGATCAAAGAGCGCTACGACAGTGAGATTGGCGAGGAGTGGAAAGAGCGGCTCACGGCCCAAGTCGAGGACAGAGAGTTCGACAAGGCTGCATTTCTAAAAGAGCGACAGGCCATGTTGCAGAAACAGACGAGTCGGTCTGCCACGCCGGCTGGAGGTGTGAGAAGTAACAACAACGGCAGCACTGCGGGGAGTCGGACTGCGTCGCCCGGCCCAGTCCCGGGTAAGGGTCGTATAACGGCTGAGCAAAAGGCACAGAATGAAGCATACTTTGCCCGGATGGGTGAGGCGAATGCTTCAAGACCAGACAATCTCCCGCCTAGCCAAGGGGGGAAGTACCGTGGATTTGGCAGTGCGCCGCCCGAACCGCCGCAACAGGTCTCTGCGATGCCCACTGCAGATGAATTCTCAAAGGACCCCATGGCCGCCTTGACCAAAGGCTTAGGCTGGTTCGGTGCAGCTGTGGGAAAACAGGCCAAGATGGTGAACGACTCATACATCCAACCCTCGGCTCGAAATGTCCGTTGGTCTCCTTCCTCCCTCTCCCCTTGACATTTTTACTTTCCAACCCCAGAAATGAGAGAGAAAGATACTGACGATTTTTCTTTGGGTCTAGATCGCCACCTCGGACTTCGCGGCACAAGCACGCAACGCCGCCTTTGCAGCAGGCCAAGGGATCCAGAGCGGCGCGAAAGGCGCGGCGGAATCATTCAACAAATTTATCGAGGGCCAGGACGAGAAAGCCAGCACGGTGGCTGCAGCGAAAAAAGTCGAGCCCGAACGTAAAGACTTCTGGGATAGCTTCGGCGCCCCCTCAGAGTCGAATAAGACGACGAGTAGTATTGGCACGAGCGCGATGAAGAAGACGACGACCACGGCGAATCCGCCGATGAAGACGAAGGAGGACGGTTGGGGAGATGACTGGTAGAGGCTGTCAGTGAATGTGCTTTATGGTCACCGTGGCAGACTCCCTTGTCATATTGGCCGTTCATGGGACATATATATGAAGAACAGAGATGAGATGTTGTTTGAGACGAAGCATCCAGGTCGACGAACGAAGGGACAGAAGAGGGGGAAAGAAATGAAAAGTGAGGTGAGGGTGAGAACAGGTGATGATGAGGCAGCCGACTGAGCCATCTTTGATGCCAAGGAGCATACATATATCCATGTTGAGCGATGCGGATTTCAATGGCGGTGGTATTGAGGTCAGAGGTGGTACGTTGTGTGGCCGAGGGCCTTTATCTGCGCGTGTCTCCAGGGAGTGCCAGGTTATCCATTAAAGCGCGCCTGAAACGTGTGATCTAGTCGTGCTCGCAGAGAAGCTGAGCAATACAATAAGCAAAGCCAACATTGACAAAATAACAACCAGTTAAGGCTCATTGGGCCCATCATGGCTTTCGTTGCTGATTTAATGAGGGTATTTTAGTCTTGATCTGGCGTCCAACAAGTCAGGAATTACGGTCCAAGGCAATTGATTCGTCACCGTTCCGTGTCCTGAATCACAACAGTCCCATACACAAGGGCTCATCATATTCATCGTCCACGGAGGGGGCTGCATTCCACCTCGCGTTGGCTTCATCCTAACCACGGCAAAAGCCAGACTTGAGGCGGTCGGGGAAAATCATCATCATCTCCGTCCGCTTGTTCCTCGCCATGAATCTCCTCCTCTGCCACGATATCCAGCCCGTCCTCCATGTATCCCTGCGAGTCGATTCTGACCACGTTTGCCATAGCCAAATTCCGGGCCTTTGTCAACCCACTCCTCTCTGTCCCGGTACCTTTCGAAGGAATATCGTTTCATGCCCTCATCTCCGCTGCGACCCATTTCCGCATATCCGAGGCGCAGGTCTTGGAACATATCCAACCTATCCCTGGCAACGGAGTCAGGGACGGGCTTATAATACAGCTTTGGCTTTGCAATGGTGGAATCGAAGAGTTCGTCAAGCGCTTTGAAACCTGTACCGACGGAGCCTCTGTGTCTGAGGCCGGCTGTTGGCAGACGCGTGCGATCTTGATGTCGATCTTCGTCGCGTCGGGTATCGCGCGGTACAAATGCTGCGCGGTCAGGATGAACACCCGCGGGAACCGGGTCTGATTTCGATCTGTCAATTGACATGCGAGAATTGCGATTCGACTCCGACGAATGCTGTGGTTTGCTGAGGTCGACTTCTTGGAAAATTGCTTCTACTCCGTTGTCCCCGTTTTCGTAGACAACTTCAAATCGACGACCACTGCCACCGTGACCAAGTCCGCCTCCGGATTCCTGATCAATCCATGGCTGCACCTTGTCGTCTGGGACGTAGTCAACGAACAGCGGATCGCGCATGCTTTCGTTGGGATATCGTGTCTCATGCATTGCGGAACGGACTCGCGAGGCGGCTGCAACAGAAGTGAATGTGATGAAAGCATGGGTTCGGATGCTATCGAGGTAGAAAACAGTAATGGGATCGGAGTCGTCTCTGGAGGACCATGATTTGGCTATTGATACAATGTGACTGCGGAGGGATGGTATATGAAGAGGTCTCTTGAAATTGCGGATATAAATCGATGATGTTGCGGGGTGGATGGCGGGTGTGACGTCCCTTTCTTCTGAAGGACTTCGGGATCCGTCCATGGTCGATGGCCCTTTGTCTACCGAAGACTTGGGTTGCAGATGAGAGGACTCTTCAGGCTGTACTAGTGGTTTGGTCGTTGTCGTCGTCGCTTCCTGTGAGATCTCTTCCACGGAAGGTTCCGCTGGTGCTCCATTGGCATGCTCTCCGCGAATCTCTTGGGCAGGTTCGGTTGCGGGTGGTGTTGGCTCTAAAGCGGATGTTTCTCTGGCCTTCAAGCTGTCTTCATCCTCGCTCAATCTCGCCTTCTTCCTTGCCATTTCTTCCGCTGTGGGAACTGGGGTAGCGCTTCTTTTCCTTCGTCGTTGGTCTTCCACCAGGTCACTCGGAGGCATTTGCGAGGAAGACGGGGTATCCGAGGCAGGTTCTAGTTGTGAAGAACGTATTGGGGTGGAGTATAAGGCTGGGTCTGCACTGGGGGCATTGTGATCGAGTTGGGGCTTGGTTTCTCCTTCAGCTTTCTCCTGTTCGCTGTTCTCTGGATGTTCGAGATGCTCGGGGGCTTGTATTATTTCCTGTTTCGCGGTATCAATCCTTTCGTCAACACCCGTCGGTTCTGGTGTAAACATAGTATCTTTAACTCCCACATGATCAGCCAGGGGGGCTTCTCCGGTCCCAGATACTCCCTCCTGGCTCTTGACCACGTCTTCTGCACGATTGTCTTCATTTTGCAGTTCCTGTGGCTTTCCATCTCGGATTCCAGGCTTTTCCAGGGCGTCCTGTTCGGCGTCCTTGGACTCAGACATGACCTCATCATGAGGCTCTACCTCGGATCCATTGAGATGCGCCGCATCTTGCTCTTGTGGTTCTGTAGTCTCAGCGTCGTCAGTAACAACGTTTGAGTCGCCGGTATTCCCTGCTTCGTGTTCTGCTAGCTTATCGACATAGTGCTGCTTCAATTTGAGGCCAGTGAGAGGAATGCCACGCGCCTTGCATTCCTCCTTAAGGTCAGCGACCTTCAATTTGGTCCAGTCCGTCATGTTACGAACGACAGGGCCTTGAAGAGCTGGGAAAGAATAGGACGACTACACTCAGCTAAGTGATGAAAAATGTAAGAGTTGCCATTTGTTAAAGTCAGGAATGAGAGTAGAAATTCATCACCGAAGGACTTTATTCTCGCATGCGACGCGACAAAAGAGAAACGACTCCCGAGCAGAAGCAAGACGTGACTCTGGAGGATGAGGTAAGCTTGGCGTATGGTCATGTGATTTTCATATGTCACGTGGAAGTATGCGTCACGTGCATACATCCAGCCTCGCAATTCATTTCAAACCGCTGCTGCTTCATCTTTGATCTTTCGCCTCGAGTCTCACCAGATCCAGATGCCGCTAATGGTTTGGCCCTTGAATCTCCTGACTCATCATTCCACGTCTTGGCCAGTCCCCTCACTACTCTTTCCGGCGTGGTGCTGTCTGGTGCAACCCCTTTTTGCTGAGCAACTTCATCCAACATCGGCCAGTTGCCCCTAAACACGGAATTCAGCCAGCTCAAAGCAGCTCACGTCCTACCTATTTTTCATCCAGCTCGATACATACACTGATTCCTTGCAACACGATCTGTCCAATTTGTCCAGCCGAGATTTGGTCGATGGAGGTTGACACCACCAACGCGACTCGATTTTGAAAAACAAAAACAACCATACCCCGGCCACAAGGCTGCCCCTGAGATCAATTCGGATCGTGGCTTCACTTCTGTGGAGTTCGCTTGGTGTTTTCTAGCTCTAAGATTTATCCAAAGCTAGTTCTCTCACCAGGCTAATATGTTTACTCCTGAGGACCAAGCCTTCCACGTGAAACCTAACTCCATACAACGTATGCCTCATCTTTGACTCTTCCAATCAACCACTCAGGTCGGGCGTCCTGTCCTCAATTGGCTAATTGAATTTCTCGTCATCATGACCGTCCTGAGGCGCCGTGTTGTTCTTCCGCGGAAATTAATGACGCCATTCAACTGACCGGTTGACTTCGCCGAGCCATATACAACCCCCTACCTAGCGAACGCGGCAGAACCATGGCAAAGGACTCTTTGACAGATTCGCCTCCAGGAAGAAGATGGACTTACCTGATGAAATCCCTCTCCGATCACGGATGTGCTCATCTCCGTCTGGGCTGGGAGAATCGTGAGAACAAACAACAAGAGGGTAATCTTGGACACAAAATATAATGAACATCTCACCGGCAATCAAATCCGTCTCTTCCAACCTCATCACGAAAATCGTCCTTCATTTTCTACTTTCCTACCGCTGGTCGGCCCATTCATTTCTACTACTCCCGCGAGTTAGTCTCTCTTTTCGATTCCATTCTCGCATTTCGATCTTTTTGACTTGATTTCTGCATATTCCCAATCACTCAACATGTTCACCAAAGCAACAGCATTTTCGGCTCTCATTGCCGTGGCCTATGCCCGGTTCGGTCAAGAACAAATCCCAATTCCAGCCATTGCTGCCGTCCAAGGTGGTGCTTCCGGTGCTGCCCAAACAATTGCTGGTGCAGCTGTGAGCGATTTGCTTGCTGGCTCGAACGCCTGCGACAAGCTCACGCGTGGTGATCAAATCATTGCTGAGCTTGGTACCGGGGCTGATGCCATTGCCGCCGCTATTGGCATTGTGGCCGCCGAGAAGAACTTCAATCCGTTTGCTCAGTCAATTCCCACCATCTGCAGCGATCCTACTTTGCCGGCCACGGATGTGCTTCGAGGCATCACGCCTTTGATTGACCCCGCAGTCGTCGGTTCAGACATTGCCAACGCCTTGTCTGCTCAAACTGCGGAAACGCCTCTTGATGCCACAGGCAAGAGTGTTGCGGACTTGCTGGCTGAAAACGGATTCACCAACTTCACCACTCAAGATGCTTCCGGAGCTACCGGTACAGCACCAGCTGGTGACGCTGCAGCCGATACTGGTGACACCGTCGCCGTCACTTCCACGGTTGATACTGCCGTTGCCGCCGCTGCAGCAACCGATGAATGCGCTGCTGCAGTTGCTTCTGGTAAGCTAGCGCTCCTTTCTTTACGATATGCTCCTAACATCGAATAGCCTTGGCCTCAACCACCACCGCCTCGAATGCTACAGCTACTAACACCACTGATGCTGTGGCAGCCGTGGAGACAACAGCGGCAGCGGCAACGGGCAATACCGCTGAAGCTTCTACCGTCGCCGGAGCCGACTTTGGTCTCTGCGTGCCCACCATGAAGTTCGAAGGTGGCCTCGGTGGACGTCCTGCCACTGAATTCACCTTCCTTCCCATCGACCCCTTGTGCGCCCAGGGTCAGCAGGAGGCATTAAATCCAAGTACGTTACATCTCCTTAGCACCTCTGCGAACTACACCCTGTCCAATGTTGATACTGATACGGTTTAGATATCATCGCCAATCGAATTTGCGACCAACTCACCAACGTCTGCGAGGCCAACGACGCTGCCAAATCCTTGTGTAGCGATGCCCAGGCTCAGATCGAAGCCCTGGGAACTCGTGACAAGACCACCGCCGATACTTGGAACACCCTCCTCGGCTTCGAAGGCGCGGTCACCAACCCAGACGGCGGCCCGGCAGAGCCTCCTGCTAGGATGAGAATGGTTCGATCATATGTGAATTACAGATCATATAAGGCCTGAATAGAAGAGAACACTCGAGCGAGTACTACGCCACCCCTGAACTCCAGTTGACAAGTCAAAGTGCAGGCGCTAGGAGAGCTTAGGATATCGAACGTGCTTGTTCATGGGATGCACTCATCTACAGGCGAAAATAACACCACCAAAAAAGGAGACAGAACTTCAGGACTCAGGAGTACGAACGCCATTCAATTCACACCTTCATGTATTCTCATGGTGAAAGCTAGAAATGTACGAACTCACAAACAGAACCATGTATGCATACAGGTCAAAGCTATGGTGTAAGAAAATGCATTTTTCTCATGGGTCAATTTGCTTTTTTTCTTTTTTTCCAGTCATTGGAAGTCCATCTTCCAAGGAAGCTATAGAGCTGTTTTCGGCTTTGATGTGAGTAAATACCCCATCGGGACGTCCTTTTTGGACTGCTCCCGTCCGATTTTACACAGTCCCTTCCCCTGGCAAAAATACAACTGCTGAACCCTCGTACTCTCTCCTATCGTAGGCCAGCGAAAAATCTACGATTGGCTAGTCTTCTGAATCCAATCAATAGCATCCAGCAGATACGGCACCTAAGAACCACATTCAATTAGCATCAAGAACTCCCATTCTACATGTAGAGGAGAAGGGAAAATGACTAGCCCAAGCGCCGCTCTCTTCATGAGAAAATCTCTCTTGGACTCACAAATTTCCTCGGATCTTCCGTAGCCGGGAAATGCCCCAGGCCCTTCATTGCCTTGAAATTCGCGCCCGGGATCTTTTTCGCCGTGGTCTGGCTCATTTCCGGGGTTGTACTCCAATCATACTCGCCTGTGAGGAAGTAGACGGGACATTTTTTAACGTCGATCTGGTGGACTCTGGATCGGGCATCGAAGCCGCCGAAATAGAAGTCCAGGTCACCATGGAAGATGCCGTAAGCTTGGCCGGAGTACATGTGCTATAGAGCATCAATATCATATCATATAATGAGATATGCGTCGGTGATGGATTTGAGGGATTGACAAAACAAAGCAGGAGGAGGTATTCTTTCAAAAAAGGCGGGGAGAAGGGACGGGGGTCGAAACAGAGGTGCTCGTACCCAGATTAATCTCTTGTTCACGTATGGGGATCGTGGGGCCATCATGCCATAGACTGCAACGCAAAGCAACGCATCAGGATTCAGCGCAATATCACACAGGTCTCCGGACTCTTTCTCGAAGAAAGAAAGGACGGATCACTTACTCCAGTCTGGATTATATAGGGCCTAATTACAGACGGGGGACTTGTCATTGAACTAACGATCCATCGTCAAATAATCACAGCCTTGAAGGGGGATAGTTCCGCCGGCGCCGACTTCTTCTGCTCGGATGGCGACGGCGACACAAACCTGGCCAGCCATGGACGCGCCACAGATAATAGGCTTATTGAGCTTCAGGCCCTTAACCATCTCTCTGATCGTGCCGACATAGGCCTCCTCATTATTCGTATGGTTGCCCGGGATATGGTTGCTTCCTGGAAAACTGCGGCCGTGGGCTGGCAAATCGAAGGCGATCATGGTACATTTCTCCCGCATGCGCGCGTCGTTCATGACGCCGTGGTATTGTCTGCTATCGCTGCCCGCGGTGTGGAGAAAGACAATCTGCTGAGGCCCGTTGCCGGAGGTTTCATAATAGACCTTCGTACGGCCCCAGACAGGTGCGTCGATGTAGATATATTTGCCGGTTAGATGATCTTCGTCAGCCTCGGGCTGCTCATCTTCTTTCAGAGGCCCATTCTGTCCGTCGCGAAGGAGCTCGAGGAGACGAGTGGTGAGGTGGCCGTACTGGGCAAATTTGACTTGGTCGCCTTGGACACCGACGCCTTCTTGGACTATATTCATGCCCTAAATTAGATTGAGATTGGTGAAAATGCTCTGAAGTCTAGTGTTTCCTTTGTGTTCCTACCTGTAAGCCGACAAAGCTGGTATATGGCGCCACAGGGTCTGCGGCAAAGAATTTCTCCCATTGCTCAGGCCGAGCTCGGAGGACAAAATCTGCTTTGGAGGCTGATCCTGTCGAGGTGGAGGTTTTAGCACCGGGGTGAACAGTAACGAGGATGGCTTCCTCTCCACCAGATGACTGGACACCCATGGTGACAGGTTCGATGATTGCCTTGGTGTCAACGAAAGCCTGCCATTGAGGATCATTGTCCAAAGATTTATTGAGAGATGAAACCGCTCGGGACATTGCTTGAGGTAGCGATGTCCACGAATGCGTGGTGTCATTGGCATCTCTGACTGGAGGCATTTTGATTCGTTGCTCTTTCTTTGATAATGATTTGAAAGCCTGGGGAAAAAGGATGTATGGAAGAGAGATATTCAACCGGCGGCAAGCTCGTCATAATAAAGAATCGCGAACCTCTTCTCCGCATGCTTGAGCTCAATTTTGACATCCCATGTCACGATGCGGCTTCGAAGCGACGAATAAGGGGGGGCTGGTCGAAGCACAGGAGGTTCGATACAGTTACCTCCGCCCATCACGACGGCCAACAAGATTGAGGACAGCAGGACCAGCTGTTCACGAGGACAATGATAGGATTTATGACGAAATGGGCTTGTGGAAATCCTTGCCCAGTCATCTCGGAACCGCCTTCGAGAGAGGGATTCCTTTGGCCAGCACCAATGAACGGTCAACAACCCCGCAAAGCAAAGGCATTCGAGAGGAGATGGAGTAAGACGGAAGCGAAGTGGCAGGGAGTCTGGGAGGGACTCCGTGGAGTTGAGGTTTCGTTTAATTTTACTGTAGAAGAAACCTCGGGATCGGTTATGACGAATGCAAGTTGGGCGTGTGAGTTGATCGAAAGGATAGACCAATTGCCCGCATTGCACCATTGCATTGCTTCCATATCATTTTCGGCCTTGCAAGCCATATATACCGTCTAGTTATGTAAATATGGAGACGACTTTGCCGACCCAATTAATTCATTTGTGCAATCAAACGCGCCGGCCCTCCCTGAACAGCTTTTAAAACCAAAAGACAACAAAACGCAGAAAATTTTGGGGCGGCATGTCTTCAGGAGTCATCAATCAATCTCCTCTCCAGCCACGCCTTCTTTGCCAACTCATACAGCGATTCAAAGTCACCGCTGGTCTCGCACATAGATCGAAAATGACCACCCTTCTTTTGAATCAATTCCCATGGTTCGGCATATTCCACCACCTCGCCTTTGTCCAACACCAAGACACGATCGTAATCAATGATGGTCTGCAACCGGTGGGCAATGGTCAAGATCGTGTTATTTTTCAGTTCTCGCAGAGTGTCTTGGATCTTCGAATCCGTTGCATAATCAATCGACGCGGTTGCCTCATCCATGACTAGCACCTTCGGGGCCTTCAACAAAGCTCTGGCGAGACACAATAATTGTCGTTGGCCTTGGGACAGATTTGAGCCCGATTCAGCCACCGGCGAGGATAAGTCTCGGAAGATGCTTTTGTTGTCCTTTGTATTAGCTGCGAAACGGACCAGTGTCGATTCGGACGTGACGGTTCCGTTGGCCGAGAGCGAGGTGTGACTCTCGGGAGGGCTCGAGTTCTCCCGGAGGGTAGGCGATCTGCTGGTTGTTTCGGAAGGTGTTGTCACTCCTGACCGGTCTGAGCTTCCGTATGCCTCAGAGATAAGTTGAACTCGCCGGAGGGCCGTGAAAATTTCTTCGTCGGTAAAGAGCTCGAACGGATCCAAGTTGCTTCTCAATGTGCCAGTAAAAAGAGTCGGATCCTGCGGAACAACAGTGATAGCCTCGCGCAAATCTTGGAGACCAATGAGTCCAATATCAACATCATCAATCAGAACTTTGCCATCTTCGGCTTCGAGTCCCCGGAACAGAGCGAGGGCCAGGGAACTCTTTCCGGCGCCAGTTCTGCCAACAATCCCTACTTTCTGTCCGGCCTGGATGTGGAAGGTGACTTGTCGGAGAACCGGTTCCAGGTCAGGACGATATCTCGTCGTGTAGCCGACAAAATGGACGGACCCTTGGCTTGGCCAATTAGGTGCAGGTTTTGTTTCCGGTATAGTCGCTGGTGCTTCTTGCTCGACGTTGATGTACTCCTGCAGACGTTCAACGGCGTTCATGTTCTGTTCATTGGCCGCATATAGCCGGACAAGCCAGAGAACGTTTTGGGTAAATGTGATAGCGTACGACAAGGCCAATCCTGCAGCTCCTGAATCAATGCGGCCTGCATTTAGAACCACAAATACCGCGGAAAAGAACGAGACGAGAGCGCCGGCAATATCGATTCGGAATGCGAGCCACCGGTTGGTGGCCCACAGGTAAATGAATGGCCGATTGTGAGTATTCACCCGAGTATGACTCTCTTGAATGAATCGCGATTCATCACCATAGGCCCGAATGGTCACAACGCCAGAAAGAGTTTCGCCAAAATGCTGAAACAGGGGACTTCGCTGGACGGCTTCGATTCGCTTCAAGTCCCGTGATGAGCGAATATAGAATAAGCCGGTCAGGACATACATGATCGTGATGAAGAATCCGGGAATCAAGAAGCCCGGAGTAATGGCAGATATCAAGACGACAATCGTAACAACAGCGGCGGCACTGTGAAGCATCCCTATCGCTACAGGGGCGACTTCCTGATCCAGAGCTTGAATGTCCTTGGAGAACCGATTCGTCAACTGACCAAGTGGTGTAGAATCAAAGAAGCGGAATTTGGCCCGCAGAATGCTGGATAAAAGCTTCTCATGAAGAAACCAAGAGGCGCGCTGGGAGCCCCAGAAGAGTATGATTTCCCTCGAGAAGCAAATCAACACATACGCGGCACCAAGGGCAGCGTATATGCCAAGGTAGTAACCGGCATCCACGTCATAGACCACTTTGGCAATTCCACCTTGAGCCGCAGCTTGTGGCATCTGAACAGAGGCACTCCCAAAGTTTGAGGTCGAGGCCATGGCCTTGCCGGGGTGGAGGGCATGTATAACTGCGCGCGCCCCATTTGTGTCCTGAAGATGGTAGGCATTGGCCCATTGTCGAATCCACACGTTCGTGGCCACAGAGCCTAGCTGGGTAGCAATGAAGCCCCAAGCAGCGACAATCCAGTAATACCAAGGGCCCATGGCCTGCAGGTACATCTTGACCGTCGATAGCTTGACGCTCCCTGTTGCCTTCGCTTCAAGTCGATGGTCGACAAACGGTTTCTCTGGTTTGCTGGTCTTTGTTTTCCCCCTCGTGAGAGTCTTCACACGTAGGTCGGCGGTTCCATTGCCATTCGGACCACACAATTTTGAGGTTTCCTCCTCCAAGTTCGACGCTACTCGTGAGGGTGGACGGGAGTTCGCTCTCGAGACCGGTCGTGATTTCAACAGCTCATCCCCAAGAACACCGCTCTCAACAATCTCTTGTGGTGTTCCTCGAGACAAGATTTTGCCATTCTCCAAAACAATAACCTGGCTTGCGAGGGGAACAGTCAGGGCCACGTTGTGCGAGACAAGGATGCAGGTGCGGTGCGCCATCAAGTCGCCAGTTAGGGCTTCCTCAAAAATGTGCTTGGCCGTGTGTGCATCAACGGCACTGAGGCAGTCGTCGAGAAGTAAGTGTCGAGAATTTGAGTAAATCGCCCTCGCAAGTGAGATTCTTTGCTTTTGACCCCCTGAAAGAGTGATGCCTTTCTCCCCCACCAGCGTCTGGTCACCAGCGTCAAGGATTTCCAGGTCACGCTCGAGGGCGCAGATGGAGATAATTTCATGATAGCGATCTTCATCATATGGACTGGCGAAGAGGATGTTTTCCTTGATGGTTGCATTGATCAACCATGCCTGTTGTGCGCAGTACGCAACACTCTCGGTCAAACCAGTCACGGGATCAGGTCGCAGATCTTGTCGGACGGAGCCTCCGGGAATATAGACCTTTCCACTGAGCAATTGCATTTCTCCCAGCAAAGCCATGAGGAGGGACGTTTTTCCAGATCCCGTGGGGCCAATAATGAGGTTCAGTTCACCAATCGTGAAATCGACACTCATGTTAATCAGTCGGAATGCCTCTGCGTCGCCAGTATCGGCAGTTCCCCACGTCAAAGTGGCGTTTTCAAGCGCAATGCGAGTGGCCGGAAGACTTCTTCTCCTGCTTTGGCGTAACTGAACATACTTCTCCGTTTCCTCCTCCTCGAGAAACCGTTCCACTCGGTCAACCGACACTTTGGACTCCTGAACATGGGCCACCATATCGGCAAGTTGGTCCAGAGGGATCCGTAGCAGAGAAAACATAGACAATGCGGGAAAAGCGACTGATGGGACAAGAGGCTTCTTCTCAATTTGGGTATAAATGAGAAAAGACGTGAACGTGATGAGAATTGGGACGCCGCTCCAAAGAGTAGCAGCGCACGACCACAGGACGTATTTGCGCCAAAGGGCAGACAACTCGACTTGTCGTTTCTCATTCACGTTGTTCTGAAACCGTCGCTCCCAGGCGAAATACTTGATGATCCGGATGTTCTGAAGGACTTCATTGGTGACATGAATTCGGGCGTCGGTCGCGGCCATGATCCTTTTTTGCGCGGCCTGGAAAGACTTGGCGATGTAGAGATTGAGCGGAAGAATAAGGACCATGAGAAGGATTCCTGCAAAAGAGCTAAAGCCCAAAACCTTGTACAACAAACCGACAGCCATGACAAGCTGGACGGGCACCGCCGCCCAGAGGAAGTGTAGATATGCAGATACTTCTGCCACTTTGAAGGAATCAATCGACATGAGATTGATTACGGTGCCATTGTTGGCCTGAGAACCAGCAGCCTTCTTACGGCCGAGGCCCGCCGGTTCACTCTGTTGTTTCAGGCCTCGAGCCTTCCAGATCGATTTGATTTTTGACACGAGATGTACTTTCTCCGGGAGAACGTCCTTCCAAGCGTCGGAATCGGTACTCGCTGCGGCCTTTCTTCGCAAGGTCTTGGAATAAATTTCGCCGACTATGATGGCACGCAGTCGAATGCAGATCTTCCTGCCGATCCACAGACTCTGACCGTCACCAACAGCCTGTACGACTCCAGTGGCCAAAAGAAGGATGACATATAGCCACGCGGCGCTCACAGGTATTGTATCCGTGTTCTCCAGGTACTCGAGGATAGCCTTTAGAAGTAGCGTCGGGAGAAACATGAAGACGCTCGCGAGCATGCACCAAGCGCCTTGAATGAGGAGTTCGGCCTTGAAATGTGACAGAAGGCGGATGGCGAGCGAGTGAGTCTTTTGTATTTGACGGAACTGAGCCAACACCGTCTCAGCCTTGTCCGCCAAAGTGACGTTCCAGACATCGGCAAGTTCAAGTGTTTTCTTGAAGCCTCGCCAAACGAGAGGGTCGACCCAAGTGAAGCTAGCCAGGGAAAGGACGCTCGCCAATGGCTCCGGAGACGGTTCAACATCGCCTTCATATTCCAGCAAAACTCCTTTGTTTCCTTTTCTTGAGACCAGTACGATCATGACGAGGGTGCTCGTGATGGCGAACGAGACTATCATGAGCGTCTGGGAAAGCTGGTCGTCCGGATGAATGAGAACCGATCGAAACACCCAGACGAGGAGAAGCCACTGGATAATATAGAGGATTGCGCTGTGATTCCATAACCCTCGGACGGGGGACTTCCATCGTGTCGTTGAAGCAAGAAGACGCACCCCGGCAAGGATGCTAAGGTATATACACACAAGAGTCTCTATGGTTGATGCTCGTCTCTTTTGGTCGGGCATATTCAAGACAGAGACGATGTTGACAATCAGTTGTCCCAGAACCAGGAGGAACTCGGTGGTGACGAGAAAGACCTCTCCGGCAGGCTTATCCACATCTTTCACTGATTGATCACCGTGGCTCAAGGTTTTTTGTAAAGTGAGCCTTGCGAGGCCATCTTCGCCCTCATCGGTAGACTCGTCCTCATCTTCGCTAGTGTCCACCAGGAGGCTTTGTTGGGGTGGGTGACGGTGTCGTCTGATTATTGGGCGAACGGCATGGAGAAGAATAAGGAGAATAGAAACTGCACATGCGAGCAATGGGAATATTGTCAGAAGATAGCTGAACATCCATCATCAGCAGGAGGACTTATGTAGAGCAATGGACATACTCTGCTTGGAAGCAAGGACTCAAGTCATCGATTTGCCATATTGGACCTCTGCAATGGCCGACCATATTCGCAGACGACTTCACGACAAATTCACCACTCTCTAGCCCAGTGCGGGGTCATGTCGGTGTTTGGGAAATGGAGAATACAATTATGTACAAGAGAGAAAAAGTGGGAGAACAAAAAGCACGACCAAGTCTACAAACACGTTTTAGCAAAGCATCGAAAGGGACAGCGCGGAAGTAGGTTTGCGGACGGTTGTTAAGTTTGTTATTTGCAATGGTGATTTCTCGAGCCCACTCCACCCACCGACAGTTTTGACAAAGGCGTTTGCTTGCTGTCGCTTCTAACGCCAACGGCACTTTAGGGCCAAGCTTTCGCCATTTGGGCGTTCGCAGACAGGATGAGGAACCAAAACATTTCGATGGTGCCGGCTACCCTGTACTTGTAGGAGTAGACCGCCTGCCCACTTAGTCGCTTGTGAGCGTTGAAGTACTATTCTCTGCCTAGGCTCGCTCGGGGATGTACGGAGTATTTATTGATGGTAGCATGACCAAATAGGCGGTGGCCAATGTCTTGCGAGACTTCCCGCCTGCAACACAAGCTCTCTTATTTCAAAGGGATGTAATCCTGGCCTCATCTTACTTACAAACACGTCAACCCTTTTCTGACGTTTAGCCACCGCTTATTCCAACCTAACATCTCCTGAGATTTTTGGGGGCATTCTGTCGGTTTCCTCCCTGCTCCAGCACGCCGATTTCGGGAACGGAGTCCTCCATCTCCAGGCACGACCTTTCGATGAACCATGTCCTGTCAATACTAGCAGCTACCTGCACTCCAAGAACATTCCGGCAGGAATCGATTCACATTCAAGATAATCACAAGGCGTCTACTGACGGCCTCTCTGCATTAATCACACCAGAAAGACTTCAAGGCCTCCTCGAACCTCATTTCCGCCACCATCTGTGCCACGCGTTGGCTCTTGTGACCTGACCCTGCCCACAGCAGATCGCCCAGCATGACATCGACGTCGCAGAATGTCCTCATGAGAGAGTATAAGGCTCTGGCCAAGGAGAAATGGGTTCGGATCGACGTGAGTCACGGTCATCTTTACTGCACTGGGTCCATTGCAAAGACTAAAGCGAGGCAGGTTGACGAAGAAAACATCCACCACTGGAACCTGGCCTTGATGGTCCTCAACCCCGAGTCTTTATACTATGGTGGCTACTTCAAGGCTCAGATGAGCTTCCCGAAAGATTATCCATATAAGCCGCCGGGTCAGTTGGCCGGCTATCAATAAGAAGGTTGGCCGGGCTAATTTCTCGTAGACTTCCGATTTTCCAAACCACTATGGCACCCCAACATCTATGCTGATGGTCGTTTGTGCATCTCAATCCTTCACGCACCCGGTGAAGACATCATGTCTGGCGAAAGTGCCGGCGAACGTTGGTCTCCAGCTCAACGAGTCGAATCTGTTCTCATCTCGATCCTTTCCCTCCTTGATGACGCCGAGATTTCCTCTCCGGCGAATGTTGATGCCAGTGTGATGCTGAGAGACGACAAGGAAGCGTTCAAGGCCAGAGTCAAACAGGACGTTGAGACTTCGAAGAAAGATATTCCAGAAGGCTTCGATTACCCCACGGCTGAGTTTGAGAAGCCGGTGGTTGAAAAGGCGGACGACGATTTTTGGAACGATAGTGAAGCGGAAGAAGTCGACTTTGATGACTTCGACGACTTCGACGACGATGCCAAAAACGGAAGCGAATCGGATGAAGAATTGAACAATGATTCTGAGGATGACGAGAACTTCGATGACGAGGAAGAGGATGGAACTGAACATGCCCAAGGCAAGAAGTCTGAGGAAGATAGACTGGATTCCGAGATGACAGAACCAGATGAGTGAGGCCTTTTCGATACGATACAGCAAGTTTCCGATGTTATCTCAGGACATGGAGGGAAGAATGAGGCACGACTATGGTTCCTGGCGTACGGTCTGTATCAGTGGGGAAGTTCACCATTCCTACACACTCGATTTCAGCGAAGGCGTCGGGGTTGATTGCACATAGGCGCAATACAGCATGTAGTTCACTCGGGCCATCAGGCACGGGTCCATATTATGGGGGGTGTTGGCATGATACTCACGTGCAGTTTTCTGATAGTACGGTACAAATCCGAGATAGTGGGGCCAAACACAGATCGATTTCCACGTCCAACAGCTTCAATCTGGAGCACTTGACCGAAGCGCCCAAGCCAAGGTACCACAGACGTCTAGCCCTTATCTAGGCAGCCTCCTCGACCATCTTCAGGATCTCCTCGACACACCTTTCGGGCTGTTCCTGGTTAACCCAATGCCCGGCCCCCTCGACCAAGACCGTGCCTCTATACATTCCTTCTCTGACACTCTTCCCCTGCTCCATGGCCTCCACGGCGCCCGGTTCCTGGTACGTACCCCAATCACTCTTCCCGGAGACAAAGAGTGTAGGTATCGTGATCTTTGCACCTGACCACGCTTCCATGTCCGAAGCGAGGTCCGGCCGCGTCTGAATTCTGTACCAGTTCAGCCCCCCCTGAAAGCTCGTTCGGCCCCATTCTTCGACGTAAACGGCCAGTTCATGGTCTGGGAGCCAGCGTGACGAGCGAGAGGCAACCAACTGTGGGTCTTCCATTACCATATCCCGCGCCACAGCTTCGCGCATGTTGTCTGCCAGATCCATGATGTAGTAGCGGGGCATTTTCTCCAGCTCAGTTGCGATCCAGCCTTGCAGTGGATGCGGTTGGTTCGCGTCCCGGTCCGCAGATTTGAGATGGAAGTAGCCGCGCAAGAATGTATGCAACGGGCCCCCGGTCGGGAAGGTCATGTCAGAATTCGAGGGTGGAGTGCAATAGTACCACTTGTAGTGCTTTCGTGGCCGAGGAAGTTGGGCAAGGGCCTTTTCCATATCAACAGGAGGCGAGGGAGGAGCGGAAGGTTGGCCGTAGGATGGAGATGTCGAGATTGGCAGCCGGGGAGGTCCCTTCGTGGGATGAGACATCAGCACGAGGCATTTAAACATGTCTGGTCTCGCCAGGGAGCAGATGCTCGCGGTCACCGCGCCGAAGTCATGGCCCACGACACATGATACGGAAGTGTACCCCAGAGCCTGAACGAGGGCTACAGTGTCTCTGATGAGATTTAACGGACGGAAAGACGAGGCTTCAAGTGGTCTTCGGGAGAATGTTCGCCCATAGCCTCGCTGGTCGAATGCGACGGCGTGGAAGTGTTGGGCAGAAAGGAGAGGGAGGATCTTGCGCCATGAATATGCAATTTCTGGAAACCCGTGGAGCAAGAGAACGAGTTGGGGTTTGGGGCCGGATGGATTGATATTGTGCGGGAGGGATTCGAGAATATGAAATACAAGGCCGCGAGGGCTGGTGTCGACAAACCGCGATGTGACCCCTGGAGGTAGTGGCAAAGGGGGGAGCGTTGTAGGGTCAATGGAACCGGAAGGGGAGTCTTGATGAATATAGGCCATATCGAGCACGACGGAGATGGAGAGTCCACGACCCGGCTCACGAGAAATATATTAGGAACCGTTCAAAATGCGGGGAGGCTCGTCTCATCGAAAGACACGGCTGCTTATGCCTCAGGCCCTATGCCTCTGTAGAGATCAGGTCCGAATGATGAGGCGGCCTTTTGCTGGAGACATGATTGCCTCGCACTACGATGAGCTGAGTGGCTTGAAAAAACTCCGAATTTGTTCAGACGACGTCGAATGGGGGGCCTCGTCACGTGCTCCGATTGCTGGGACCTTTCGGCCAGTTCTGACCAGCGCAGCAATGACGTAATCAAGCCAGAACCTTGATTACCAGCGAGAGCCTTTATTCTAATTGGGCTTTGGCCTCCTACTCGCGCACAAGCCACATAATGGAACCTCGCGCATGAATTCTTGAGCTCCATCCCGCCCTCGCATCCGCAGCATCCACACATCCTTTGCCATCTTCACTCCTTCTCCCTCTACCATCACTGAGAGCCGCGGGAACCCGACCCAGAGCGATATGGGGGTGGATGTCGCTGCTCATCCCTCTCCAGCGGCCATCCGATAGGCGCCACCGCCACTCGTCGCGACATTTTTATTTCCCGTCGAGGACGGAACTACCATTGACCTTTGTCCAAGTGTTCCTACAGCCATCGCCAGCATGAGTTTCCTGCACCGACGAAGCAGGTCTGCGTCGGCCTCAGTAAGTAAACATATCTTCGGCCCCCTCGTCTCTGACGGCCCTTTCAAAGTGCTGACGTTGCTTTACCTCAGCGGCCCCAGACTCCTGCTTCCGCCTCTGCCCATATGGCTGCGACTCAGGCATTTCTGGCCAGTCGAGCCTCGCAGGCAAACTTGTCAGCTTCCGCTGCAGCCACCGCCCTCAGGACCATGTCCCCGACACCGACACCGGTAGATCAGGTCCAGACAAAGCGCATGATCCAAAGGCAAGCATCCCTGGGTGCCCTCTCAGGCTCAGCTCGTGGTCGATCAAGAGGTGGTCTGCAGAGGCAAAGTAGTAATGGCTCCATGACTGAGAGGACTTTCAGAACTCCATCTCCTTCGCCCTCGAGACAGCCGTCGCGGTCGGGACTTGTCGAAGCGCCTCCTCTGCCCGATATTCCACAAGAGTTCGCCCACCCATCCCCGCTACCGGTCAAGAAGAAAAAAAGGGCGTCTAGTCAAGAGGCTCCTCCACCTCGAGTGTCATCGCCGCCCTTGACTCGACCAGTCAACCGGGGGCAAAGTCTTGATCGCTACGACCATTCTCAGCAGACTGGTCCACCTCAACGGAATAACAACCTTCCCAAAGCCAATGAACTGGAGCGCGCCGACAGTCGAAATTCTATCAACTTTTCCAGGCCTCTGTCTCCGCGACCCCAATCTCCCGTGACCCCATCGCCAGTAGGGCAATCACCCATGCTCACCAGGGGAGAGCAGCCCGCGTCAAATGCCGTCGCCAGAGCCATCTCTCCCGTCCAAGCCGAAAACATCCAATATGGCCTCACACAAACAGCAAGTCAGCCTGTCAAGAAAAAGAAAAAGAAGATTGTCAGTGGCTCCGCCGAGGGTAACCATCTGCATACCGGAACATTGGCAAGCAAGCCCGTGGTCACTCCTCTTGAGCCAGGACCGGAAAGGGACGTACAGATGCAAGGTCAAGAGCTGCCTCCGGTCAAGAGGAAAAAGAAAAAGAAAAAGGTAGCGGTTTCGGGGCCCAATGCACATTTTCCGCCATCGGATACTTCATCGCGAACCGATTCCGATTCCGATTCGACACTTGAACGAACGCGAGAGAGGCATACACAAAGAGCTTCAGGGGTGTTGGCCAAGCGGCCATCTATCGTGCGAGAGGACTGGGAAGGCGAACAAAAGGAAGAAGCTAGTCCACCACAGGTTATATCGACGACGGAACAGACCTTGAGCCCAGCACAAGACTTGACAACCCCTCTGGCAGGCAAACGGCCGATCAGTGTGGCAAATGTATCAAGGAAGATTGAAGAGCCAATTGTGCAGCCCAGGACCGTCAACCACAATGCGTCGTCCGAGGACCAAGCGATCAGCTCGCCAGAACGACCAGAGACATCGCCTGCTTCTTCGAATGGCCTCAAAGTAGTCGAGCCTCAACCAACAAGAGGATCATCACTTAGCCCTTCAAGATCTACGAGATTCTCGGACAGACTTTCGTCAGATCTCGCCGCCGGACGAAAACACGAACCTCTTCCACGATCCGTTTCGCCGGCGAAGTCTGCACTCAAGCATCATATTCCCACTCCGGCTTTATCTCCAGGAGACCCGAACCAACCTCAAGCTTGCGGTTCTAGCGTCACTCCGAGCGAATCTTCCGATATGTCCAGCGCTTCGACCGAAGGCCCACCCAAACGTAAAAAGTCCGTTCGCGTGAGTTTCGACTCTCAACCGGAGATCGTTGGCACCGCTGCTACTCCTCAAAGCCCAGAGAGTCCGGAAAAGGAGGAGAAGAAGGGATGGCTCGGTCTGGGGAAGAAGCCCACTCTCGACACGGTTCCCTCCAACGACGACATAGAAGCGTTGATGAAGCCACGACCCCAACTTCCTTCATTTGGCAGTGTTCGTGGCCAAAAGTTTCGGGATATGAACGATTCGGATGCAGCGCACACCCCACGATCTCTGCCAGAAAACCGCCTATCTGCCCCAATTTTGGAGGGCAAAACACTGTCGCCCTCGATTACATCTTCTGAGACGTCTTCCAGCTCATATATCGCTGGCCCAACAATCGGTGTTTCTAGTGACCACGCGGTTGGTGCGATCCTCGCCCTCGAGGCCCAACGAGCGTCTCAGGCCGGTAGAGATCGCGGAAATGAACCAGTTCCGCCCGAGGTGACCTCCGTTCAAGGCACAGTCTCTTTCTCCGACTCAGAAAGTGAAAGTTCAGAAACAGAAGAGACTTCCAATGCGATCCCCCCGGACGACAAAGGCGACGTCATGATCGATATGGCCCCCAAATCAGACCAAGCGCCGAACCATGATCAGCGAGCATCTTTGTCTGTTGAAATTCCTTCCCAGCCAGAAGTGCCTGTCGTATCTGTCTCACCACCCACCCCAGCGCTGGAACAGACCAAACCGGATGACCAATGGCAAGTTGACGTGCCCGGGGGCTTTCCCGAACTCAGTGAGCCTGGTGCCCCGCCGCAGGAACCGAAGAAACCAAGTTTAATTGCGACTGACGTCTCAGAAACCTCCTCGGGCCTGGAGATCGAATCTACAGAAAACGAATCCGACACGGAGAGTATCTACAGCGATGCAGCGGAAGACCCATCAGAGCTGGATCGAACTGTGTTTGGTTCCATCAACGCCATTGTGGATAGTCCCATCGTGGCAACTCCTCCCGAGAGTCCTCTCGCCCAGGTTTCGCAACCTCGACCTCCACAGGCTCAGCATACGGACTCATGGGAAGCGGCCCAAGCTCGATGGAGTGGTATTGCGGAACAGAGGAGGCAGGCTCCAGCACAGGCACAAGCCCTAACAACACAACCCGGTCGAGCCCCACCACCAAAACAGCTTCGATCATCTCAGCCAAGACGCAAAAGAAAGTCCCCGGCTGCCATAGCTGCCGCTGCGTCTGTTCCCGCCGCAGCACTCGCCGCACAGGGATTACTGGACTCTCCACCTCGAAGGAAGAACCTGTCGTCTGCTTACCCAATGATTGAACAAACAAGACCTGAGGTTGCCGCAGCTGCAGCTGCACCGTTCAGGCTTTCCATGAGGGCTGGTGCACCGTCTAAGGCTGAACCCTCGTTCCGTAAATCGATGAGGCACGAGAATCGCGATTCCAGGGTTCATCCTGTGGCGATGCAACAGCAAAGACCACCACAACAGCCTCGGGCGGCATTGCAAAAGAAGCCCGCACCTCCCCCTGTCGCTGCTCCAACCCCTGCTCCGGCACCTCGGATACCGGCCGCCCGGCCAGTTCCGTCGAATGATAGTGACTCGGAAAGTTCGTTCAAGAGAGCTCGCCGCACTAAATCAACAACAGGGGGCAAATACACGATGCGTCGAAGTATGCGAGGTGTTCCTGAACCATCCATGCGAGACAACGGGCGATATGTGGCTCGATCACTCTCACCAGTCGGGCGAAGACCATTCTCCCCACCGACCGGACCACACACCATGAGAACATCAATGAGAGGTTCTGTCGATAACACGGTGCCGACACTACGGGGTTCGGCTGAAGCCAAACGGTCGTCATCTCTATTTGGTCGCCGACAGAAGAGTTCGCCTTCTGCGCCCTCGGCCGATGCCTTGGCTGCAGCAACTCACAGGTATCAGTCCCGCATTGCGGACTCGGACGATGAAGATGATCAGCCAACACGGAGCCAATGGCGTTCGCGATACGCTGATGACAGCGATGACGAGTCCGAAATGGCCCATTTTACTCCCGTTCGTGGAATCCCCCGTCGGGGAAATGACGGCGACTCGACAGACCTGGAAGATAGCTCAGACGATGAGAAGCAGCTACCAGCCCAAGCTCCGGCCAAGCTTCAAATTCCTCCAAATTCGGTATCAGCACCTAGCGGAGAGCCTCGATCACCGAGCAGCGGGAAAAGCCGTGGATTGCTTGGGATATTCCGCAGCAAAAAGGAACAACCTTCCTCACCAGTGGCAGCCCCTCTCCGGCCTCCAGCCAAGGCAGATACTCGCAAGCCCTCTCAACTAGGATTCTCATCTGCCGCTGAACGAGACCGAATTATCGAGCAGACTCGAGCGGGGCTGGAAGCAGCCAAGGATCAACAACACGTTGGATCACCGCCAACCCACGGTAAACTTCATCGACGACAACAGCCTCAGCGTATCATGAGTGATACATGGCCACTGCCTCCCAAACCTCGTGACAACACGATCAATCGACCCAATACCTCAGATGGAGCTCCACTCATAAATGGTATGACAACGCTGAATCAGGGACGCATGCGAACGGAGGAACCTTTCCCAGCTGTAGGACGAAGTGGAAAGAAGAAGAGATTCCCGATGCTTCGCAAAGCCTTCGGACTGAAAGACTGACTTTATTTCCTGTTGCCGGTCACCATCCACAAAATGATACCTTTCTATGTATATTGTTCTTTGCCTTTTGGGGCCACAACTTTTTGACACCTTTCTTTCATCTCCGAATTGGACTTGAACACGAAGCGCACGAAATGGGGACGGATAGGAAATGGAAAAATGTAGGCTATGTTCTGAACTTCTGTCTTAGACGAGGAGCGAATACATGACGGGCGATCTATCATTGCTGAACTACAGTGCATAATGATGAGCCCAATAGCCAGTTGAAAGGGCTGAGGCAAGTAATAAAAATGAAAAAGCAAAAAATTCAATAATAAGTGCTATCAGATCACAGATACTGTATATCATGCCACAACGAAGGGGAGCCGAGACGGTCCACGAGTTTCCTATTTGAAGACAGGACTCCAGATATCCGGATAATGCACTTGTATAGTACCGATATTATAGTAAATGGTCTTGAGGGTCTGCAGTGGGAGCCGCGGAGATTTCTTCTAGCGTTGCATAAAACAGCGTAGCTGTGGGTGTCGGGTGGTGGCGATGTATGTGCACTCTCTTCCAGATCCGGGAAACGGAGACCGGGGTACGAAGGATATTGGAGGGTGCACCGCTGAGTCACGATTGGAGGTTGAAGTAAGCGATGCAGAGCGGGCGATTCGGCGCAATTAGCCTAGCTGGCTAGGATCCTTGGACACATGCTCGAAGGATGATGATCAGTGGCTGGAAAGAAAAGTATTTGATATTGAAGAGAGGATAGGGTGATCGAACAGCGGGATGGAGGGGGGGCAGCTGAGGGTTTGGTTAGGAGAGCCAGTAAATAGATGAACAAGATCTCGATTGCTTGCAATATGGAGGGGTGCCTAAGCATTTAGGATGAGGCAAATGCCATATTGAAACGAGGTCAGTTCGATTGAACAGATCGCAGCTGGGGGAAATCAAAAATAAAATCCGATCAAAGCCAAAAACTGCTGGGAAGTATTGGGTTTCCTTTCCTGGGCTGCCCGAGAGTTTCCGCCAACGAGAAGCCACTGACGGTGCTGGGGGTACAGTTTCGCCTTAAGGAATCAAGTAGACTGACTGTTGCGTCCCCCCCACCCCACCATCGTCACAGCCCAAGACATGACCATAGACACTGAGCCAGCGCCATTAAAAAACAATTCAGACAGCTTCCGTCTCATCCAGAGAATTTTGCCTCATATTATTTCTCTCTTACTGACTCCTGAATCCCCATTCTACCCAACTACTTCTGTCCCAAAGGTCAATCAATTCTATTCTCTCAGCAACCATGACTTCCTCTCTCGACCAACTCAAAGCCTCTGGCACCGTATGTCACAACCCCCACCATTGTGCAATCCCGGCCCTCAAACAATTTCATCAAGCTAACAAAACTCAAAGACTGTCGTCTGCGACTCGGGTGATTTCAACAGTATGTTCCTCGCTTTTCCCTCCTCCCCGATATCTCGATACCCTCTGACCTTTTGCAGCCATTGAAAAGTACAAGCCTCAAGATGCTACCACCAATCCCTCTCTCATCCTTGCCGCCTCTAAGAAACCCGAATATGCCAAATTGATGGACCCGGCTATCGAGTATGGCAAAGCCCACGTATGTTGGGAGCGTCTCTATCCCAAGAAACAAAAGTGCTGAAACATAAATCCCAGGGCAAGACAATTGACGAACAAGTTGATGCCACCCTTGACAGGCTCTTGGTCGAATTCGGCAAGGAGATCTTGAAGATTGTTCCTGGCAGAGTTTCTACCGAAGTTGATGCTCGATTTTCTTTTGATACCCAAGCTTCTGTTGACAAGGCTCGCCACATTGTTGAAGTAAGAAAACCCCCCTTCTTCTTTTTGGAGAACCAAATGGACCACGGCTCACACAGTATGCAGCTCTACAAGTCCATTGGCATTGACAAATCCCGCGTCTTGATCAAGATTGCCTCCACATGGGAAGGTATTAAGGCCGCCGAGATCTTGCAAAAGGAGGGCATCAACTGCAATTTGACCCTAATGTTCTCTCTTGTCCAAGCCATTGCTGCCGCCGAGGCCGGTGCCTTCCTGATCTCTCCCTTCGTCGGCCGTATTCTCGATTGGTACAAGGCGGCCATGAAGAAGGATTTCGCTGCCACGGAGGACCCCGGCGTCAAGAGTGTACATTCTATTTTCAACTATTACAAGAAGTATGGCTACAAGACCATCGTCATGGGTGCATCGTTCCGAAACGTGGGTGAGATCACGGAGCTCGCTGGCTGCGACTACTTGACTATCTCACCCAACTTGCTCGAGGACCTCTACAACTCAACCGACCCCGTCCCCAAGAAGCTTAAGGCCGAAGATGCTATGGCCATGGACATTCCGAAGCGAACCTACATCACCGATGAGCCGTTGTTCCGCTTCGACTTCAACGAGGAACAAATGGCTGTTGAGAAGCTCCGAGAAGGTATCAGCAAGTTTGCGGCAGATGCGGTCACGTTGAAGGGCATTCTCCGAGAGAAAATTGAGAAGTCTTGAATATGTTGAGCCAGGGTTGGTGGCAAGAAGAGTTCTCGTGACAATGAAGTGTTGTAAGGCAGTTTGATGTGAAATGGTCCGACCAATCCAAAATTCTAGATCGATGGGCGAGGCGACTGGCCTCCGGAATATTTGAAATGAGTCAATTCGTACATAACATCGACAATGATTCTATAGACCGGCTTGCATGTTCTGCACATTGCTATAGGAACTGACCATCCTCCTCGCCGTTTCGTATCTGCTGAGCACGAATTACGTCATTTCCTTCCGGGATTTGAACTAGCGCCCGAGGAGGGGGATGTTTCTCATCCAGCAACGAAAACCCTCTCAGCAGATGAACCTCTCTTCACATGAGTTTGCATCCAATTAATTTAACAATCAGAGGGAATGAGAATCTTGTGTCGGCATACCTTCCCTGAATATTGTGGCTGATGTTGTCCGCCTCGCAGGCGACAAGACAACTTCAAACCGAGAAAACCAACTTCCAGAACGTCTCTATCACCAGATCCGATGATACACATTTGTCGCATTAAATTCTTCTGGACTCGTCATATCAGATCATCTAGCGAGGCCGCCATGTTCCCGATCCAGACCACATTACTTCCGTCCTAGAAGCCATGCGACCCGGCCAGTCCAACAAGCGAGGACACATTATTACGGCTCGAATTGTCCCGGTATTTTTGCTCGGAATCATCGTTTATTCGTCATGGGTAGTGACCAAAAGCGTCTGCATTGACTATCTCATCAATCCTCGCCCGTCGATATTCGTCCGCCCACAGACCGGTGCCGCCATCGCAATTCTTACCATATATTACCTCCTCCTCCTTATCGCTCTGATCTGTTTTGGCCGACTACTTCAGACGATTGCGATTAATCCCGGTCTCGTGCCCCGCGGGTCACAATGGTACATTGAGAAAGAGAGAAAGCGCCGGAAGAGCATGAATCCAAATAACAAGGAAGACGCCCTCGAATACGATTCAACAGAAGGATATACGCCCCGGCATTTACGCCAAATACCCGACGACGAGGGCTTCCGCGCCCAGGATTTCTGGCACAAAGATGTCTTCGTGTGTGGCTGGGACGGTCGTCCACCTTTTTGCTCAACATGCTACAACTACAAACCCGACCGAGCACATCACTGCAGCGAACTTGGCCGTTGTGTACTAAAAATGGATCACTTCTGTCCGTGGGTCGGAGGGATAGTGTCCGAGACCTCATTTAAATACTTTATTCAATTCACCTTCTGGGCCGCATGGTTTTGCCTCAATACTCTGGTCTTCATGGCATACTACTTCGCCAAGCGCCAACGGGAAGAGAATTTCGTGAACGTCCATTGGATTCTAGTTCTGATCTTCGCCTCACTCTTCCTCATGTTCACAGCAGGAATGTGCGGGTCAAGCCTTCAATTTGCATTCCTCAATTCCACGACCATTGAAAATTTCACACGCAAAACTAAGGTCTGGTACTTGGCCGTGTACATTCCCAACCGGGTGCTGGAGAGATATCAATCCTCCGGCCGGAGTGATCTCAGGCTAATCACTTACCCTCGGCCGCCGTCGGAGCAGTTCCAGATTCTCCAGCAGTATGGTGCGAAGTTGAACGATAGTCAACAGAGCGTGGCTCGAGGAGTATGGGACGTGAACAATCCTCCTGCTCTACAGACCACCTGCGATCCGCAATCGCTCCCTCCTTTTCCACCTCATCCCACCATTGCACAGGGAGATGCACCTCCGTCATCACTCTCACAACCGGATGATACCGTACCCCCATCCCTTACCCATGCACCAACAGTGCAGGAGACACGCACATTTGCCATCCTCGAAACCGTCCCCGGCGCCAATCCATTTGACATCGGCCCGTTCAACAATTTTAAAGAGGTCATGGGATGTACGGTCTTCGACTGGTTCATCCCACTCCACGCTTCGCCCCTGGCTGATCACAGGGATCCGAGAAGCATGTACAAGCTTGGGCCTTTAGTGGAGAAAATGAGACGGACAGCGGGGATTCAGGGTGATGTTGATGTTGACGGGCATGTCGTCGGCGGGAGTGAAGTTGAGACCCAGAAGAAAGGGGCAAGGACGAGAAGACATAGGAGGAGGAGGAGGAGAAGAAGGCGGAGGACGTCGACGACTACTACCACGAGCCACAACAGAGGCAGTTCGAGAGGGAAATCAGGCGATCGGTGATCTCTGTGATGCTCTATCGATAGTACATCTTGGTGTTTCAACGTTGCATACACTCGACCGCTGTTATCCTTTTCCCGCCGGCCGTCCTTTTTCTCTTGTCCCCATTCATGTCATATGCCGAGGTCCTAGTAGCAGACATATGTCGATTTGACGTTTCGAGACCTTTTGACCCAAGGGAAAAGATAAATAGAGAATTCAAAGAAAGGAATCACGAGCAGGGAAAGAGAAACAAAGACATGGGATGAGCATGGCTGTTTAATGAGAGTTGGTTGTATTGTATTCATGCCTTGGAAGCCGTTGCAAGCTATCCAAGAAAATCAAAAGCAAATTTATCTCAACGACAACGGCCGCGTCCAACGCAATTCACCGATCCAGAAAGAAAGGGGCCATTCATCATCCATCAGTAAATGGGTGTAGTAACGACATGATAGAAGCGAATGAGAAGTGTGAATGTGCTTACGGTTGTGCTGTGAGACCAACACACATGTCGTTGTGGGTAGTGACAGGGACACCTTGCTCAATGCGCGTGGATCCAGGATGCAGGAGGACTGGGGACCTCGATTAATGAAGAGCTGAATAGATGAATCCTTCAACTGATTGACCGACTGACCGGAACAAAATTGATTTCGGTACTGTGGGCCCCGATAAAGATTGACGGTCGAGCGTGCTGGCGTCCGCAGGGCTGAAAAGAAACAGGTGGGCAAAGGAGGTAGCGACTGTGAGGGACATTTTTGCATGGCCGATCAAGACCGATTTTGGATATCCTTGGATCATGGTGGCTAAGGTAATGTTGCAAAAGCGTCGAGAAGGAAATGGAAAAACAAGTATGAAAACCGGAAAGAAATGAAGAACCTGCGGCGGTGGTCAATAGAGCCAGGTCTGCCAAAGAATGAATGTTGATGGGGCTCCAATGCTAGCCGACTTGTCGAATGAGCGTGTGGGGGACAAACAAAGGATGGAATGTCGAGGCTGTGATTCGTTGAGGACTGCAGATTCGTCGTCGTTCCCACTCAGCCTTGTTACTCCTATTTTTGGATGTCAACGCCTAGCCGGCCTGCAATAAGAACAGCGCACGTGAGGACATTGAAAACATCTCTCACTCGAATATGCGGGATTATTGAGGTAATTGCACTCATGGCAATACCACCATCCTGCCATGGATGGCCGAGTCCCGAGGCAGAGATCCCTTTTGCTTCGAAGTGAGGTTGGGTGGAAGCGACTGTTGGTGCCGGATATCGGCTCCTTCGTACTGTAGCTGTATTGTCGAGCCGTGTTTGGGATTGTACGAAGGCTTCTGGAACCCAATGCAGAATGAATCTGATTGCCGTTGGGGCAACGAGGGCACCTGCGATGATGACACTCGACGCACGCGACGTGGGTGTCCTTGAGATATGGACCTGCTCCACAATTATGGCACGTCCACAAGTCACTCATCTCGCTGGTACGGAGCCTAGACCAGAATAGTGGCGTGGTGGTTCAAGGAAATGACTGTTGATAACGGTTGGCAAAGATGAAGGTCTGGGCTTGCCGTGACGTGCCTTTTCGCCCTTGTTGTCTGGGTAAACGATGAAAACACGAGCAAAGAAGGAATGGTTGTAGGGAGCTGGTTGGAATGAATTGCGAAAAGGAATGTTCGAAGTGAAGGAAGAAGTTGTCGAGAAAGTGTCTGATTGACTTCCAAGCACGATATATATTCGAATCCTTCTGGGACAATGACGGCTATCACAGCTCATTTTGCCCGAATACAGCATGGTAGTATTGAAGACAGTATACAGTGATGCAAAATGTGAGGCCTTTAACTTACAACAAAGTACCTGGATGGAAGCCCCTCAAGCATCAGGACTTTTGCGGCAGACGCCTCCTCGCCTCTCCAACAGCAGGGTAGGCGACTTGACAAAAATACCCCATTTGAGCATAGCATCATGGTAACTGAGACTTCTATTGGTCTGAAGCCTGTTTATCTTCAACATTTGTTGACGATTCGGGTCGAGGTAGGGGACGTGTCTGAGCCACGTCAAGTTGGATCTGTGGTATATCAAATACCGACATCCGAAGTATCAGTGTTATATTCACGCCTCACCTTTGACGAGTCTCGCTCACGTGTTGTTGACCACCTCAAACTTACCGTGCAGTGAGTGGCTATGTCAATAGGCGTCCTGAGGTCATTCATATATTCTGCCGGCTCCATGAGAACATGCGGGGTCATGCGAAGGAGTTTAGTGAGATCTCTGCGGTCGGTTCCATCCGGAAAATATCGATGGACGAGGCCCCGTGATGAAAAGCTCGGAGAAACCTACCCAGACGTCGAAGCGTCAAATCCCAATGACAACTCAATATTCGTGGTTCCGAGTTGAACATAGCCCCAATCATGGTGCAAATGGGACGAGAAAGGTCATACGTTCTTGCCTTGGACCATAGTGAACGCCTTGGTGAATCCGACCCGATTTTGCGGCGAGGGACTTGAATAGCAGGCAAAGGTCGACAAGGCGGGCTCCCCCCTAAACCAAAAGATGCCGAGGCTCACGTGCCCAGCGTGATGTCAGAAATTTTTGAATCGTGAACAAAACGGGGCATCGATCGATGGAATTAATGAACCATTCCGACCTGTCGTGAGAGCTCCATTGACATTGAACAGGGATCAGGGCTTGAACGAATGCGGGAAAAATGGCTTGGTAGTATGGAGTTCGTAAGCGTTGACTTCCCAGTTGGAACGCCCCGGAATAGTGTGCGTAAGCCTCCTGTACCGACAGCCTGGAAAAGCAAACACAGAATATAGGGCCATCGGTCAGGTGTTGGGATGCGGCATTCAACACGATTGTCCGAAGCAGAAGTATTTTGGTGCAAAATCGAATCGAAGGGACAGGCCCTCTGTCTGCAGGAGTCAATCAGGCTGAGAGAGCACACCCCGTCCCCTCCGACAGAATATCCCGACGGCGGATATCGGAAGATTTGGAAGCTTTTTTGTCGAGAGCAGGTGGGGTATTTGCGCCCGGCTTGAGAGGGAGAGAGGGATGTTACCGAGAAGTCTGGTCGACAATTTAACGCCCGAACGAACTGAGGAATAGGCAACCACGCTAACGACAAGGAGTGGAACTGTAGAATTGGACATTCTTTCTTTGAAGTCATCGCGGGGGCGACCGAGCAACAATCTGACAGAATAGTGGTCGAAGAGAAGCCAGAAATCGTGAGCAATGGAGACGAGATTGGGCCGCAGTCGTTTTGATCGGCGTGCTTTTGGAAGCAAAGGAGAAATGTTGGTCAGAATGGTTGGGTAGAAACCGTCGTACCGGGAGAGGCGAGCCGCGCATCATGTGAACAGGAAGGCAACCAGTCTTTCTCGAAACGGTGTGCCTACGGTCGAGTAGGTGATGATGGAAAAGAGGAAAAGAGTGACCTCTTTGGTGGATGGGAAGATCACTTGGGAGATTGCGTACTAGAAGAAATAGAGAGAATGAGGTACAATACAGTAGAGCAGTCTATTGACGTTATCGTGACAACTAGTGTTGGGTATACTCGAAGGAGAGCGCAGCCAGCAAGTCGGGGGCGAGGGTGCAGGCCAGGGCAATTTGCTAGAAAAAATACCAACATATGTGAGGAGGGGGAAAAGTCCCGTATGACGTCGATCTAGTCAAAGTAATACCCAGCAACCGTTCGTAACAGCTCTGTACACTGCCACTGCCCCACCGCCACCTGTGCTGGTCTTGTCCTCTGTCCGCTGTCCTCCCTGTACGAATTTCTTCATGCATTCTTTCATATACCTTCTTCACAAGCAAAACCCAAGCCTCTCCTTTGGTTGATGCGCTGTTTCTCCTTCCCACGAGGTACGGGATCTCTGTAACACCATCTTCGACACCTCCTTCAAGATCGAGGCTCGTGGCTCATCGCCGCTTTATATGGGTCTCGGCTTGGTTTCAACCCTGCCCAGATCCCACTTCCTGACATCAGACTCCCTCAATATTTCTTCCACACGCCCTCTACCAGTCTGAACTCGAATCTTACTGACACATGATTTTGCATTGACAGCGAGCGTCTGAATGAGACGGACTACCCCTCTTTAGCCACCCTCTCTGTGCACCGGCAATCCCCCCATTCCTCGTGCACTCGATGCGTTGGTAAAGACACATCAGAAGCCTGTCCGTTGAATTTCGTTCGTCATGGCCGAAAACCGATATCGACCCAGCTCGCCTCCAGGGCGCCGATACGCCGATCCTCGCGCATCCACAGGCATGGTCTTCTCCTCCTCCTTTGACACTCGATATGCCAGTCAGCCTCGATCGATCATCGACCCTATCCCTACCAGTCGCCATGGGAGCATCTATAGCACACAAGGGATTGCGAGGAAAAAATTTTTAGATCCCGGCCATGCGGGCGGTGGTGGCATCATCAGAACGGAATACCCTGTCCGTCCAAGGAACAACTCCACAACGGGCTCCGAAACCCGCAGGCCTGTTAGTACATTTATCAACAGACCCTCGTCGCCCCCTCGTATTAGACCCGCTATTATCAGTTCTTCCCGTGACGATCCACGGAGTCCTATTGTGGCGGCAAGAGAAGAACGATATCTCGTGCCTGCCACGTCACAAGACCGACATCATTATCGACATTCGAGCGCCACACGAGCCGAACAAGATCGACTCGGCCCTATGAGAAGCAGCCGGCAGTCCGAATATCATCGTCGTGGTGGCTACAATGGCTATCCCTACTCTTCCAGTCATGGATCATTGCAGGATGAAGGCTTTTCCTACACAACCCCAAAGGAGCAATTTTTACAAGAATCCTCGAGACCTCCCCAGCGACGAGAAAGTGTCGGGAGACGGGAACGGCCTATAAGTGTCATCGGAGGACCAGAATATCGACTGGCCCCGAGAAGGGATCTTGGCCCTCCGCCCTCCTCTTCACGCGTATTGGAAAGGATTGAGAGGAGTGATGCCGGTGCTCGATACCCGGGACCACGTGGCGGCGACACGGAAGATCGATCAGCTGAACCTCCACGTCGGCACCCATCGATCAAAGCCCCGGTCTTGCATCAATACCGCGAAGATGGGTATTCATCTGCGCGGGAAGACCCGGAACCTCGTCTTCCCGCGAAACCACGTCGAGACAGGCCAGATGACGACGACAGGCTTCCCAAGCATAAATATCGCGACGAGCGAGAAAGAGATATATTGCGAGAACCTCGTGAGCCCGATCGTGTTCGAGATCGGGAACGGGAACGGGAACGGGAACGCGACCGTGAACGGGACCGGGATCGAGATCGAGATCGTGAGAAGCCACGGGAATCTGACCGAAATAACCGACCTCCTGAAGATCGTCGTCAGCCTCGGAGTCGTGAGACTAGCCCAGATCATTCGGGTCTTCGCAAAGGACTTGCCACTGCAGCTAGTTTAGCTGCTGCAGGCGGGCTTGCGGGAACGGTGGCGAAGAGTTCTCGGAGTCCTCAAGATGATTCGGACGGTGAGGATCGCAAAGAACGCAAACACCGAAGACGACGACATCATGCCGGCGAGGACCCGAGCCCTGATGAAGTGGCTGGCCGTCTGGAACGGGATCTGACATTGACGGACGGGGACCGTGTTCCACACGACCGTCGAAGAGACGAGGTCAGGGCTGACGATGCAGCTGGTGACCGCGAGGACCGATATGAGAGACGAAGACATCGCCGCCAGAAACACAAAGATCGACGTGAGCGAGACGACGAGTCTGATACGACCGAGGATTCTGTTGGAAGAGGCCCTCCGCGCCAATATGAGAGAGAAAGAGACACGGAAGCTCGTGAGCCCCCTCGACCACGTCGGGATAGGGCACCTTCTCGAGATGACGAGCGAGATGTACAACCATCGTTAGACCAACATACCATGTCACCGGGCGGCGAAGAAGATGGCCGCCTACGGCGCGTCCAATTGGTCGAGCCAGGGGAGAAGAAAGAGGAAATCAAGCCGAAGGGAATTCTGAAACCACCTCGGGAAACTCCATTCCCTGAAGACCCCAATCCGGAACGCGAGGGTGTTGCACCTCTGAAAGATGCAACCAAGGAAGGAATACCATCAAACGCACGATGGACCAAGATCAGTCGTGCTCTGGTGAATCCAGAAGCATTAGAAAAAGCACATGAGAGATTCGAAGAAAGAGACGACTATGTGATCGTCCTGAGAGTGGTGTCGAGAGATGAAATCATGAAGTTGGCAGACAAGACCAAGGAGATCAGAGGTACGTATTCCTTGCCTCAAATTGGAGAGCCAGCGTTTTCGCTGACGACATCCATAGAAGCCCGTGAACGACAATGGCAAGCCGAACTAGAAGAACGGCGCCGTCGACGCAAAGAAAGAGGTGATAACGCCGACAGTAGCGACGACGACTTTAGCGACGACGACGATAAGCCTCGATTGGCGATCGACCAAGCTCCTCCTAGTCAGGGTGACCCACGAGCCTACTTCGCACAACAGCAACAGCAGTCGCAGAGAGACGAAGTACCGGTTCCGATGAGTATACCTGGACAGCCAGGCGTGGTTCCTCAGGCCACTGCTCCTCTGCGCCCGACACCGCCACCCCAAGGAGTGTCTGTTCCAGATATCCGGGTCGAGCCCAATGCCGGTAACTATTCCACAAATGTATGAGATTCCGCAATATGTTGCCTCCGTACATCACATAAGGAGTTTGGAAGACGGGATTTGTGGGGATTTGGTGACGTTGGCATATGAAAGCAGAAACAATTTTGGACCCATATGGTGATGACAGCCTGTGTAGGGAACAGTTTGTTATGATATGCGAGACCTGTAGCAACAGGTGGAAACGAGACGTTAGCAGTTCTTCTCGATATATCTATCTAACAGGATACGGAATATTTACGACAGCCCAATTCACTTGACGAGAACCGTCTTGCGAACCAGGATTTGTAGCTCGTTTTCACACTCTCGTGCTCTCATTGAATGCAACCAGTTCGCCAGCCGCGGATAGGATTTACTGGAGGCCGATACAATTGTATAGAGGGCGTGCCATATTTAGCGATGGTGTGTTTGATCTCCTACACCTAGGGCTTGTCTGTCCTATTCTCGACCACGCGTCTATTTTCTACTCAAACTCCGCAAGGGAGAGGAATGAGGGATTGATTCACCGGTCTGAATCAATCTCCAAATCTGGGCAGGGCCGTCTGAACAGTGAGCTTTCCAGGCAGACATACCAATCAAATTTACAGATGCGGTATTTGTTGGGCATTTAGTACTGGTAAGCCGCAAGTGTCTCGACTGGTCGGTTGTATCCCGGGATTGAGTGTTCAACGGTCACCGAAACTCCCGAATGAAACTTGAAAGGATATTCGATCATTATGTCAATATTTCATGCGCCGCCGTCCGGGAAGCCCATTTCAGCTGGACCGGGTTTCGTCCATATCCCAAAACTCCCGTCTGCACTGGCGGGATATAGTCGGTGCATAAGCCGCAGATACGATTCTCCTGAGAGCGGTGAGCGGCAGGGCAAATCAACTGCTAGCACCATACAAGTCTTCTGCAAATGTCATAAAGAAAGTCAAAGTATTTTCCATGCACGTCGGATATGAGAGAAGTTTGAAAATTTTTGGCCGCAGTCTTCGGCGGGAGGGATTGGGTTTCGGATGCGTGGCATATGCATACATGAAGTTTGTAAACTGGCCCATACCGTAGGAGATTCTTTTGGTAGTGACTAGCCGCTAGCATGACTTGACGGCTATCAAAACAACGCCTTATGTGGAGACTGTTTGCTAAGTTGGGAAGACCTAGAGCATTCTGAAGAAGCCGTTTGATATCAAAGCAGTCAGAAGGAGTCAAGTTTGATTTAGGAATAGGCGTAGGTTCACGTTAGGAAACTTGGCGCAGATAGGGAGAGAGACAGATTCTCCGATCTATCATTCATGACTTTTCGAAAGAAAACTCACGAAGGGCTGAATGGGATTGAGGATAATGAACTCGTCTGACTGTAAAATTTCCGTAGGTGATGATAATTTGAAGACTGTCAGACACGACATGTTTTTTCTCTCTCCCTCCCGTTCCTCCAACAGCAGGACGGATCTCTTTGGCCTCCCCTCCTTTAGTCCGTGTCATCATTAGCGAGTTGCCCATCCCTTGTCCGGGCTACAAGTGCTGGCATCTCGTATCGATCATTGACTGCTTTGACTTGATCCCCCTTCATTGTTGGCGCAGCCGCTACTCATCCGAAGTCCTCACACTTTTTCCCCCATTGGCACACGACCCCTGGCCATCACCGCCTTCAAAGCTAGTACCTGAAGATCTTCGTTCCCAGCGAAAGCAACCCATGCCGTGCCCCGCGGCTTCTCGTGGCCAGGCTCGTGGTAAAATGGTCGATCGAACTCCTTGTTCACCACGAGCTCCCCATCAAAAATGCACTCCAAGTCCCTGACCACCACGTTGCTGTCAATCATCCGCCTCTTCCATCAATATCATAATACGACCTAGCCAAGGCAAGATTATGCGACCTCACACCGAAAAGTGAGACTACCGCAGTAGCGATAAAGAAACGGACGACATGGCAACGGCCGGCTACATCCAGAGGAGGGCCATACTACATACGATTCGTAATAACGTGCCTGACTCCGAACCAACTTCGGACCGGCCGGATAGTTTGCAGACGTCCCAAACCAAAGCAAAGGATCTGGTCAAAATTGATATCTTCGAGATCCGAAGCCGTGGATCGTGTTTCCCTTATGTCAGTTCAAGAAATGTCCGGCCAAGGCGCTGCACGATGCTTTCAGCTATTGCTGATCCACGATTCACAAACACGAAGGAGCCATCTTTGTCAATCTCGGTTGAACAAATGCGTCTGCCGATCCTTCACATTTGTCATGATTGAAGGAGGAGCTGGGCTTTGGTGGGCGCTTGATTTGGGTAGTGGGGCCCGTTCTGTTCGCAAGCAGACCCGAGTTCCCCCCCCCTTTAGTCCGCCTGATCGACGACAGGGAGCCATGCTCTGAAGCAGGGCTACAAAAGGTTCGCACTCCAAGACCGAAGCAGACGTGCAGGGAAGCTGATCACAGATCTGCATCGGCAAAAAGCACAAAAAGGCAAGAGCATTCGGAAATCGTCCCTACCAATCAAGCCCCAACGCGGCTCTTTTAGCGAAGACGAAACCTGGTCACCAGATCGCAACTATTTGCCATCCAGCATTTTGACCATTGGGACTCATTGGTCCTGTCGCTTAAGGCCGCAAGACATCTCACTAACCAAGACCGTATTTTCACAAACCTGCAGGGTGATAGAACGTCGGCTCGAAGCCACTGATGAGGTCCCAAACTGCGGTGATTCATATCATACTCCCGCATTGCACCCGACTCGTGGACAATGCCGACACCACCAAATTCATTGGTATGAGAGCTCTGGGAGAATAACAATAGTCAGACGGCTCAGCTTCAGCACTCTCCTTCAACTTGTTTACACCCAGTGCCCGCCGACAAACGGTGGTCTCTTCGGTTACCACGCCACTAATGCAGAGGCTGATCATGATGGGAACCCAACTTGGAAAAGAGATGTCTTACAGATATGCAGCATCAAAGGAGTGTCCGGAAAGGGGTTCCAGATATTTGATTCCGCACTAATTAGCGAGGCTGTGGACTCAAAACCGGATTTTAGCATTGAAGTCGAGAAGACAAAGCTCGAACCTTGGCGACACTGAGCACCAAACAACAGACCAATCCAGACCAGAGGATTCTTTGATTCTGGGCATGGCTCGGCTAAATGGGATAAATTCCATGACAGGGTTACGAGCTCCGGTCGAGAGCGAAATGCTAGGACGATTGGAAATGTTGGCCGCGGTCGACTTTCGAATTTCCTCGTCACAACTTCTGGTCGAGCCCCCAAAGGGGAGACATGATCTCGGTTACGCTGTTTTTTTCAGGGTGATAAAAATACGTGCACATGGTTGTACCAAAGTCATAATGGACGCCGACCATGGTGAATTTGCGCCACATGGATGCTGCTGTGAGTTAGGGGATTATGCTGGCCGCCATGGATAGCTTTCTTGGATCCTATTCAGTTTCACGGTAGAAAGGGTGGATGGTCCACCGGAAAATGCAACGATGTGTGTAAAAGGCTAATCACCATAACGTGAAGGGCTCCAGTGAGAACACGTTCCAGTGGGGAAACCTCAAAGACTTTGGGTGGACGAAAAAGCTTGCCCGCGCCTGGAGGGGAACACGGATAGGCCTGGCAATCTACCTAAACGTCCACCTACAGTGGGGACCTACGAGTCTTGGTCCTTGGAGATGAAGAGGCTGTTTTACCATCCGAACGAGTCTCGAACTCGAGACGTTAAAGTCAATCCAAAGATACGTCGAAATGTGATTCATGATTTTCAAACATTGGTCATGAAAGTCCACCGATGATCCTGCAATTATTCGCATAGGAAGATGCCGCCGAGATGCTGGCTGCACATCCAAGATGATCGCCTGTCGGGATCCCACGCTTTCCGCGATGGACGAACCATCCAAACGCAGCCACCAAAGGCAAACGCTCCTCTCCGTTACTCTCATCATCCAGGCGTGATGAACCGAGATGAGGTCAGGACTGAGGCCGATACGGCGTCATTTCCAGGCAGGCATTGGGTGTTTTTGTCATGACCACTGTAAAACCAACGGTGATTGAAAAGCTGATATCATGAGATGAGCACGACCCCCGCCGAAAAGTCGCAAACACGCTATCGTGAACAACAGCCCGATCAAGTTCCAGGATGGAGATTAGAGGCTCGTGTAGGGGGGAGTGCGACTTCGAGAGTCCAATAACGAAGGCGCCTGATGACACGCGACACAGATGAATAGGGCTCAGAGAGATAATGCTTCAAGCGACGCCGCAGAAAGGAGCCTTCTCAGGAAGATGCGATCCCGCAACCAGTCCCATTTGCGTGATGGTATTTGGAAGAGCGTCATTCAGTTGCTTCTATTATTAATGCTTTCGCACATCAGCGAAATCAGGTTCCACGTCCTACAATAATGACTGAACCCGATTCAGCGTGCAAGTCCATAAATGGACCCCCAATCAGGAACCTGAAGTTCCTCTCGATTCTATCCCAAATAAGGCTGAGCAATGATATTATTATCCTGTGGTTTCCGTGAGGTCGTCAAGAATCGCCGTCTTGGTGGTTTGAACCACTATTCTCGGGCACGGAACGAAAGACAGGGGTTGTGAGGAGAATGCCCAGGTAGAAAGTGGGCGCCATGTCGACCCTGGTAAATGCCGGCTTTGGAACAAGAACGATCATTCGCTGGACCGGGGCCTGGATAGCAGTTTGCCGGTCCGTCTGACAACTGGGTTGTGGTTATTTTTTCCTCGACCCTTCCAACGCTGATTTGCGCCCGCCATTTCTAGAAAGGGCAGCTTGAGAATGCATTTCCAGCCCTGATTCCGAGTCGGTGAAGTCCACAAACTGGGCATCGCCGCGTGAAGAACCAATGGAGAGCAGAAGTGTTGCTGGCAGAGGGTTTTGTCGGATGCGTCAGTGACGCATCATGACCTTCCAATCGCTGCGGCCGATGAAGCTTCAACACAGCAGATTGCAGGGGAGAGGGGTGACACTTGACCGAAAAGGCTCCAAGTGCTGATCGACGGCGCCATCAGCCATATCAAGGACCAACGCCGGGCCACACATGGCAGTTTACTCACTGTCGCATCGCAGGATGGGCCTAACGCTGGTTTGGGTTTAGGCGCGCTTGAATGGACGAGGGTCTGCTCGCCACCGAGCGGAGACATTGGAGGTACGTAATGTTACGAGGAAATGAGAAAGATACTGGAGGGTCGGGGGTTCGAGGAGAGGAAAAGATACGGGAGTACGACACATACTGTGGGTGCCAGAGAAGCAGGAACGTCCAGGATCAAGGGTTATGGTTTTGAAGATACAGTCGGTCGGTTGGTGGTCCGCCAGGTTTCCCACGAACATCCGTTATTGTACAGAAATGGAATCCGACAGCGACGTGTAGAAGTGGAATCAATTTCGCAAGCACTCAACCTAGCAGGTGATGTGACTTGAAGTGACAGGTTGATTGATATATGGGGTTAAAGGTGAGGAGGTCCGAGTAATTGAGCTAACATTTAATATTCCGCACTCCATCCATCCAGAATCAAAAACTCACTACGAAGTTTGCGCGCCAGATGGTGCGAGACGGTTTAGGGTGTGGGCGTGTGAGTTTTGACCGATGGTGGTGGTGAGGGGAAGCATCAACAACTGGTGAGGGAAAAGTCAGCCGCCAACCAACGACAAGTATTCTGTGTCCCAGACTCCCGGCTAAGTGCCTTCTGTCCTAGTGGCCTGGTAGGCTGGGAAGTTTATTCCCGTTCACCCCTGTCGGATGATCGCCGGCACCGTGTTTCGAGCTCAAACTCTGGGCAGGCAGTTGGAAATTGCAGGGATCCCACGAGAGGCCCTTCGGCCCACGATCCACGAGCCTTTGGAGCCATGACTCAGATAGAAGCCATGCCGCTTTGATACCCTCCCATTCGAAACTCTATTGAAGACCGAGGGCCTTGCCCGTGACATCCAAGTGTACCCAAGAGGCGATGTATTTTGATGTACCAGGTGTGCATTGTATCTTGCGCCGGAGGCGTTGCTAAAAAAATTCGAAAACCTGACTGACTTGTGAGATCTACCCACAAAAGCGGGCACTGGCGCTCTGTTCCCATTTCCACTTCCATCTGGAGATGCCAGGAATTTCTTTTGTTGTCGAGTAAAAAACGTGCGAGTAATAACTGCTCCTCCGTGCTCCGTGCTCCGCCCTAGCCGCTTTCTTTGCGGTAAAATCACCTTCCCTTCCCCTACTAACTTAGAGAAACTCAAACATTTATACTCTCTTGCTCACTCTCGCTATTTACAGTGTTCACTGTTCATCGATTATCTCCACACTCGACCCCTACTATTCCTCAGGCCTCCTCCATTCGCGCGACGAGCGCTCGCCCAGGGGAGGATTCTCAACCTCACTCGTCCCCCCTCCCCTACTTCTTCAAGCCCAACCTCGGCGGGTCCTCCATCTCCAGTCCTGGCTGGTTTCCTCTCTGTTCCTCGATCCCGACCCCTTCCAACTTCCCTGGCGCAACCAGGCTCCCTGCCTCCCGCCGCGCCATGGCGCCCGCTCACGGCAAAAAGTACGCCGTTGCTTCGGAGAAATCATCAGGCCCCGGCCATGCAGGCAATAACACCATTTATGCACAATCACACCCGCGTGCGCCAATTGCTCAGGCAGGCCCCGCGCATCATCCTCATGCACATCCGCGCAGCAGCGTCAACAACAGCATCCCGGGGCCAGGCCAACACGCCATTCATAACCCGCAAATACCACAAATTCCACTCAATAATCCACCGCCGCCCTCTGCCGCACCAGTGCTGGACCCTAACCCCGTCGCTGGTCCTGGCTCGGGTCCTAGTCACGGTCCTGGGGATCCTGATGTAAGTCACACCCCATTTCCCAAAACCCTGACGGCACTGGAATTTTCAAACTGTTTTGATTTTCGTATTTTGGCCATGCCCTGGTCTGGCCGTTGAAGCTTTTTTGGTCTCTATCGGCGCTGGTACTGCCACGAACAGCCAATATCCACCTCTCTTGTGCCTCAAACCCTGGTACTGGTCAATGGTCCTGGCTCCCCGTGTTAGTTCTGCTGTTTGGTCGCATGTTTCCACTGGTCCTTCGTTGTTTTTTTTCTCTCTCTGATCCCAGTTGCTGGCCCCCGAATCCTTGTTCGCCGCCGCCCCTCACCCTGGTTCCCGCCCAACCCTGTCTCCCCTCGACTTTGATCTCCATCTCTATCGAGCTTGCCTACTGGTCTTCCAACTCCAACGTGCTAGCCCTTTGACGCTTGGGCCAGATCCACTCCTTCAACGCCGTCCTCCAATCCTCCAAGCATGGCCTCATGCCACTCATGTTATGTCCAGAGGATCCACCATGTCCACCATGGTTCCATACCTTCCCATACCAAGACTTGGGGTCTCGAAGCTCCCGTGCCCATCGGCCTCGCGGCCCACTTTGATTGCAAAACTGTCCGTTTCGCAGCTCGAATCAACCCAGTTCCCTCGTCCCTTTTACAGGACAGATGCCGTCGGCTTTTCTGTATTAATCCACTTCTTCATTCTCGCCAAAACTTGTTCTTTCAATCAATCTGCCCTCACGCTTCAGACCTGCACCGCCACGTCTTGACGTTCATGCCCTGCGTTTTTCCGTTTTCGATGTCGAAATCAACATCCATATTCCGGCCATTCAAGATCCTTTCTTACATAGAGACCTACATTTCCTCCACCCCAGTCCTTCCCTTCTCCCCCAACCCAACCCAGTTCCAGTCCATTCTGCGGCTCCAAGTCAGTACATGGTACGCCCGGCTCATTTCCCCCCTGCCCTGAACCCCCCCCCCCCCCCCCCCCCCCCCCCCCTGGTTTCCTGTGGCTGTTCTATGTTATTCACATGCCCTGTCTTGACTCCCCTCCAATGCAAATCCATTTTATCGTTTCGAAAACCCAACATGTCCACCCTGGACTTGATCAACACCTGAAGCCAGAGTCTTAAAGCCTTGCACATTTGTCGTATCCTGGCTTCCTTGCTTGTTGTCTTGTTGCGCGACCCGACTCGCCTTTTCTTTCTCGTTCAATTCCCCCCTTCCCCCTCGGGTCGTCTGGCCAATGAAACTCCCCTGACTCCAATTGAAGCACGAACAGTTCAATGAACCACAGTTGAACCATCATGTACGCGCATTTGGCAGTGACCCTGTTCACAAGTCGCGATTCTGTTGTCCAGGGCCCCCCCCCCCCCCCCCCCCCCCCCCACCAAATTGTCTTCCCCTGGTCTCTCCACCATGAACCTGGTGTGTCCGAGCGAAAATGGCCTCCCCAATCACCGACCCTTTCCCCCGGTTCCCCATTAACTGAGATCTTCGCCGCCGGTCGGGCTTGATTTCTCTTTGCCTGTCTTTCTTCATCCTGGTTTCCGTCAAGACGTCTTTATTTTTTATTTTTTTTCCCCGATTGACCAGGCCCATTTTCGTTGCGAATCCTCCACATGTGGACGAGCCTATACTAACGGATGGACTCTCCATGCAGCATCGCGCCACACAACCCTATCCAAACGTTGCTCCGGTCCATCACGTCCAGCAATCGCAGTCGCGACCGTTGAATAGCAATCAGACGCCTCAGCAGCCGTATCCGTCTCCGAACGTATACACGCCGCAGCCAGGTCTTCAGTCGCCATTTCTGAACAACCAGGCTCAATTTCAGTCACAACAGGCGCCAAACGACGCTCCTAATTACTATCCTTCGAATCAGAGCCCACGAAGCCAGCATAGCGGTGCTGGAACCTACTATCCGACCGGTAAGTGGGCGGTTTGCGAATGAAAATCGCTCTGGCCCTTCCGAAATTGACGTCAATTTAGAAAAACCCGATTCTATGGCAGCGACAGCGACCATGCAGAGGCCCTACCCCCCTATCTATCACACTCCGCAATCGAATTCACCGGCGTCGGTGACCTCGCCTCAATCTCATGACCATGGAAGGCCCATGTATGGCCAGCCGGCTTCTCAATTGAATCAACCGCTCTACGGTTATCCTCAATATCAGTCAATGAATCAAGTACACCAGCCAGCATATGGAGGCCACCATGGACAAACTCAGCAGCATCAGATGAATTCCCAGCCGATGTTGCCGTATCAATCTACTACTCCCCAAATTCCTCAAAGCCAAGTTGCTCCTCATCACTCTACGATCTCAAGCAGTCCCAGGTTGAAATCCGACGCCAATCAACAATATCAACAGACACCGCAAGCTCGACCGGGCATGCTTCCACAACAGCAGCAACATCCAGCTCCAGTCCCGCCCACCGCTGGCCTTTCTCAACAACAACAGCAGCAGCAGCAGCAACAACAACAACAACCACCGCCCCCGCCGCCGCCCCCGCCGCAGAATCCCAATCTTCCGCCGAACTCGAATGCGGCTCCCGGGCCCATTCCTGCCACGACACCTTTGGTCGTCCGACAGGACGGAAATGGCGTTCAATGGATAGCTTTCGAATATTCTCGAGATCGTGTCAAAATGGAATACACCATTCGATGTGACGTGGAATCGGTGGATGCTAATGCCCTGTCGCAAGAATTCAAATCCGAGAACTGTGTCTATCCGCGGGCCTGTGTCCCCAAAGAACAGTACAAAGGGAATCGACTGGGATATGAAACCGATTGCAATCAAGTAGGTTGGGCTTTGGCCGAATTAAATCCATGTTTACGAGGAAAACGCGGTTTGATTCAAAGGGCAGTCGATAGCTGGAGGAACAGCAACCAGGATCCGCGATTGAGAAGCCGACGGGTAAGGCGACAAGCCAAAATGAACAACCGGTCGAAGTTGACGGCTTCAACCGCTGGCCAAGCACCTGGGTCAGCTGGTCCCGTATCGACGGGGCTTCCTGGTCCAAATTCAATGGCCGCTCCGAGTGCCAGGCCCCCTGGTGCCTTGCCAAATGCACCGACCCAAATCTTACATCGCCAACAGGAAGTATCTCCCACCGGACACGAAAATGTTGGAGGTATGTCTTCCTTTGCATCCTGCTAGGATTTGCACTGTCTCTTTCACCATTCGGATCCTGATCCCCCGAATCGGTCTGCTTGCTTTCTTGATCTTTAGATCTCCACTGACTTGGGAAACAGCAACCCCGTACAACACCGCCCCGCAAGCATATCGCCAAAACTCCACACCGCAACATATGCCGAGTCCAAACGACATTCGCCAGGGTCACGTTTTCTCTGGCTATCCCAATTACCCAGCAGTTCCGACCAGCATGGCTCCATCAATGGCTCCCTCGATGCAGGGAGGTTTGCACCACCTCGGAAGACCCGGGGGGACGGCCGCCATGGCATCTAAAGAACAAACCGAAAAGGAAGAAGAGGACAATGCCCTGTTCGGCGAACTGCCCGAAGGCAAACGACGAAAGTTCATTCTGGTCGAAGACACTCAGAAGAATACCCGAATACGAGTCAAGGTGACCTTGGATCAAATCGAAATGAGTGAGATCCCCGATTCATACCGAAAGCAGAATTCAGTCTTTCCACGCGCGTATTTCCCGGTTCAAATGCAAAGTGTTCCCGATTCTACCCGAGGGGATCGATTTGTCGAGGAAGGGGATGAAGTGGACGGTGGTGCGCCCACCATCGGCAAGACGTCTGTCGCAGTCCAAACCGGTGATGGTGAGGCTGAGGTGGATGTGCCGAAAATTTCTCGAAGCAAGCGAGTTCGGGAAGAAAAGATCAATGAACTAGGATATCGCATGGCATGGGGTCAAGGTCGAGTGTTTTCGGCCCGGCCCATCTTTCTTGGTCGTGCCCGTCCGTGTTGAGGATGCTCTTTGAATGCTAGACGGACTTGCTAACGCTTTTCTGCAGTGGATGCGTATCGAGGCAAGCAACGAAGTGCCCTCTTAGCGGCTGGTTCGGAACCGTCAACCATCCCAGCTCATCTCGAAACACGACCAGGAAAAAGAAAGTGGCTCGAAAGAACGAAAGTCGTTGCTCAACCGCCAACACCGCCAACCGCCGTATCCGACTGAACATCATCTCCCTTGTCAGTGAAGATTTTCTCGAGCCTTCGTTAACGTCATGTAACGATATCACCAAAGTACAGTTCCGAATCTTTCGAATGTACATTATTGCGGATCGATGTCAATGGGATCGGTCACGCGAACGAGAAATAAAAAAAAAAAAGTTGGACACTAAGCGATACCCAATTTTCCGAGCCTACTGGATTTTGTCATTTTCTTGTCATCTTGTCGAGCTTTTGCAATACAAGCGTGACTTTGTCTTTTTCTCCCGAGGTGGAGGCGAACAGCATTTCCAATGTTGCCCTTTTGTGATCTTGATGGCCCCGAAAAGGGGAGAAATTTGACAGATGGAGTATTCTTTTTTTGCGTTGGATATGGGAAATATACTTTTTGGGGGCTTGGGCCGAATGGGAACCATTGTTTGAGAAGAAAAGACCTTGTCACGGATACCCCTTTGCGATTGTCAATTCTTGAGAAGCCCAGAAACCTCGACTGGACTTTGAAGTCTTTGTGTTGATTCCAATGTTGAACTTTCACTCGGACCGTTCTTCTGGCAATATGGATCGAAAACACCCGCCATCACGCCCTCTTTCTACTTGAATTGCTTTTGGACGACTGGAAATCCTTCGAACCATGACGTCCTTTTTCGATTTTCTCCTCTTTTTCATGTATCTACATATGTCCCTGGGGCATAACCCACTGTCTTCATCGGAGGAAATTTTTTTCATTGTTTCATGGGGGATCTGATGGAGGAAACGGAATGGAATGGGCTGCATTGGTGGCCATGGACTGGATGGATTGGGGTCAAGAATTTTACGGAAAGAAAAAGAGCACAAAGCGGAAACGAGAGGAAGGAAGGAAGGGATCACTTTACGGAATGAATATTCAAATCTTGGGCTTCTCTCTTGGGGGTGTTTACCTTATGATTTGGAGCCAACCACACAATATTACGGCAGTGAAAACAAAAACCATCAACATCAACCATCCGCAACAAACGGCCGACAAATTGCTTTCTTTGCTTTTTCTTTTCTTGTGGTCCGGGGGATTTTGCTAAGCGAAGAACGGAAGAGGGTGGTCGTGTGAGAGAAGACCGAAGATTCGAAACAAGCCATATCATCTCGCTCGCTACCTACTGGCACTGTGATGACGATCCACCATGTCTGTCTTCAATGGCCCTCTGCGAAATCCTCCCACCACAACCTAGTATGGAAGATGAAGTCCACGGAGAGATACAGATACAGCTCTAGGTGTCGATCATGAATGCAGCCCTTGAAGCTCTCGTCGAGTGCTACCATTCGCATTCTACCGGCATTTATTTCACTGCAACCCTATCCTATCGCATCCTATTTCATTTTCATTGCTGTTGCCATGTTCCCGTTTTCTCCGTCTCGTGCCGAATTCAATATCACATAATATACATCCTCTGTCATACCCAGTCTACCAAAATCACCTCAAACGAGGACCAATCACTGGCTCCTTCAAGGCAGGACGACCAATACTGAGTGTCAGTCCGACCTATTGCAATTCTTTACCTTGATGATTACTTTTTGCCCACTTCCTGATGACCACTGAACGAATGATCATGCAAATCCGTGCCTCATTAAAAAAAAAAAAAAGGGTTCAGCAAAAGGATCCGATTCCAACCCTGCTGTGTACATATTCTGTTCCTTTGAATGCTGGAAAATGCTGCAAAGTCAAGTCGATTCGATTTTGAATGGCCATATTCCACCCGTGCGTAGGATTATTGGGGTCGTTGATGGCCAATCTGCGGTATCAACACACCACATCTTCAAGACCCAACTGTCTTGCCACCGCAATTAGGAATTTTGAGGCCGGGTTTCAAATTTCTTCCAGGATCCATAAGTCCCCATTTATCCTCCCATTGTTGAGTGTCGGTGTTGTAGATGACTTTCCAAGGCTCATCAAATGCTTCAAACCTGTCCAGGAGTCAATATGAAAATCATTCAGCCACTCTTAAAACAACAAGACTGACCAAAAATAGTCGGTGCTATTTTCCAATGCTTGACAAACCCAAGTATCCATGAATGTATTCATTCCATCCACGCTGGCGACAGCACCACTCTGCCCCGGGGCACAAGAACCGTCGGTTCCACCACAATCCGTCCCTCCCCCGCTTGGCCATCCCGTTTCACTAATGACCTGTTTGATGTTTGGCATTCCTTCACTCAAGATAACATCATGATTCTGCCAGAAATCCCATGTCCAACCCGCAGCCGCTTCAGCCGTAACTCCGGCAAAGAAGGGATGGATGTTGGACATGACATAGTCAACGGCTTGAACGAGTTGGGCATTCCAATTGTCTCCCAGATCTGAGGTGGCGACGGGGAGATCATAACCTTTTGTCTTGAATTGCGACTTGACATCGGTCAGAATATCGATCAATTCCTGTTCAGATTGTGTCTTGTCCTCGCCTGCTCGATAAAGAGCTTCGTTGCCCACGATGACTCCTTTGAAGATTGACAGATCTTCGGTGTCTGCCAGAATCTTATACATTTGATCCAATTGTCGATTCGTTGTGGTTTGATTGGTGTCAATCCACACACCCAGCCACACTTTCATGTCGGTCAATTCAAGCCGATCAATGGCATGAAGAACCATTTCGGTTTGATTGCAGTCAGTACCGTAAAGACGAACAACATTCGTCAACTGTGAAAGGACAGCCATGTCCCGTGTGACGTTGTTCTGAGACGGTGGATAGGTAAAGCAGAGGGGATATTGCGTCCCCCAGGGAGTATAGTCCATACCTGGGAACACTTTGTGCAGATCCTTGTTGTTCATCAGCGCTTGGATTTCCGCCGAGTTCTTGTCGAGATCTCCATTGGCCGCCGTATCGGCATATGCGTTGTTGATATCACCACTCGATGAACTACTGGAGCTATCGGAGCCTCGAGTCCCAAGAACACCTCCGACGACGCCCGCTACAATGGCAAGGACAATCACGAGACCGATCCCAACTCCCACCCGCCATCTCATTTTCCTCTTCCCTTTAGTTTGTCGTGCCAACCATTCACTCTTTTCGGCTTTGCTTTCTGCACCGACGGCGTCATATGTGCCGCTCGGAGTGTAGTTTTTCGCTTTTCGACCGAAAATCCCTCCGAGGAGGCCAGCCCTGCCACCAGCAGCACCAGCAGTGGCGGCCGCACCGCGACCCAAGTTGCTATTCCCCATTTGCTGTCCCGACCGTTGTTGCTCTGTCATGAAACCATCGTCGCCGTCGTCGAAGATATTGTTCGGGTTGATGCTCGCATGGTTCATGATATTGGCCGAATTGATGGAGGGGGTCTGGTACGGGGAATCTTGGTAGTTCGAGGAGGACATGGGCTGGTTAGGGTTGGAATGATAATCTTCAAGGGGGATGCTTCTGCCAGAGAAGCCAGATGACCGAGGGCCTGGTGATCCAGGAGGAGTGATGGTTCCTGGCGTGGCAGCCCCAGCAGCCAGAGCAAATGAAGAACCGTAGGAATTTCGTTCGGACAATCGAGATGGTGGAAGTAATTGTTGTTGTCGATAGGGACTTGTGTCTCGACTGTATCCTCGATCATATGGAGAGTAGGATTGAGGAATGGACCGCACAGCACCAAGGCCACCTTCCCGCGGATTGTGATCTGCCATACCCGGGGCTCCCGAGTGAATTCCACCTCCCGCGACTTGCTCGCCAAAATTGTCCGTTCCCGCAGTAACGTCGGAGTAGGGTCGGTAGAGCCGTGAACCGCCCGAATCGTCTCTTGAGAGCCGATTTGGGCTAGCTCTATGAGGTGGCGGTGGAGGGGGTGGCATGTCGTCGTAGTTGATTGCCGGTCCTGGCCGTCTTGAGAGGCCTCTGGAAGGTGAATCGTCGCTCAGGAGGCGGGTATCTGGAGGGACAGGATGTCGTCGCGGGGAAGTGGAAGGAGAAAAAGGATTTGCCGGAGGGGGAGGGGAATTCGAGGGGTATCTGGGAGGAGGAGAGACAATGTCTCTAGGGAGAGAGTCATGGTAAGGTTGGTAGGGTTGAGATTGATGTGGCCGCTGCTGTTGCCCGCGCCTGTTCAGAGTCTCATCATCTTGGGTCTCAAAGGAAAAAGTCCTTCCGTTGGACATTGTAAGCTGGTGATTGGGCTGCGGCTTCCCAACAGCGAGTGAAATGCGAATGAGTACTCTTGCTTGCGTCTAGGTGAACCGTCCACACGATTCGATTCAACGATTGACGGTGAAATAAGAACGATTGTGAAGTGGTTCGAAGTAAACGAAAGTGCCTTCGCTCGGAGACCGCAGGTGATAGTGGGCTGAAAAAAGCCAGCGAGCAAAGAATAAGGACAAAAGCCTTTCAGGTTTGGCAGTTGTGGTATTCTTGGTAGTGGTGGGGGGCGCAGCTAAACAGAAAGGTCAATTGGGCGAACAAGAGTGGTCAGACGGGAGGAAGAAACAAGACGCAGTCAGCCGCAGCAATAAGGAATTGCTTTCTGTTGGCGGAGGTGCTCAGGAAAGAAGAAACAGTTCGTGTTGCAGTTGTTGCGGTGCAACTATTCCCCCTATCTACTGTAAGGTACCCGGCGCGCTCACCTGGCTGCCGCTGGATCATATGTACAGTTATACCGAAAGTACATGGATGTTGCAAAGTGTGGAGCTGCCAACCCACCCCCCGGACTAGCGTCGCCTGTTGCTTGTGAGACACAAGCCACTTATGGGACCTTGCCAATGAGAAGCACGTCGGTCAGACGGAGAAGGATGCCCAACAGAAACATACAAACAGGTGACATTCCAGAGGGTCAGACGCCCGCGTTTTCTGATGTGGATACATCTCATGGTGGTTGCGAAGCAAGCATCGCCCTCTAGACGAATCAGACATAACATTCTCTTTCCCCATATGGCGGCGCTCGTTCCTCGGCCTTCTTGTCCACTACGTCCTCACCACTTTCATCGATTTACCCAGGCCTGGTTGTGAAGACCCATGACTGCGCTCCGACGTCGGAAGTATTTGATTTTCCATCTTGCAATGGCGACCTTTGAAAACAAGGCCCTTAATCATAGAGGCGAGCGCGATTGGATCGGTGTTGATCTCATTCCCGATCATATAAATCAAGGCTGTCATTTCGAAAGGAGGCTCAGTTCGAGAGTACCGCCCGTGTCATCATCCGTCTCGTTATTCACGCCTTGTTCCTCGTTTCTGGAGGTTTCTGTTATGAGCTGGCCCTCAATATGGCCGGATCGACGCCGTAAGGGAAGGTTTGACGAGGGATAGCCTTGCAGGTCGAACAAGGCTATATCACGTGATGTGATCGGTTGGATCTGAGCAGAGCACAAACCCACTGCGCCATGGTGAGTATCCTTGTCTATATAGTCAGGTGTTAGCCAGTCACGTGACGCGTTGCCTTGGCAACGTCACGTGAGGCTGTTTGGCTTGGCTTAGAAGCCCACGGGTGTGTAGGAGAAAGGATCTGAGGCTTGATCTCGATGTAGAATCTTTGTCCGTCCATTTGCTTGGATTGACACCACCTGGCATCTTGATCGAGGCGGTAAGCCGGTGGTGTGTCGGGATTTTGATCTTGAATAACTCTCGTGTTGATAGGCGGTAGATAGTCTGGTGATTGTGTGAGGCTTTTTTTTTTTTGGGAAGGAGGGGGGTGCACAACAAGAACCGCACGAGATTTGCGTGAGAGTTTTGGCAAAGAGAAAACATACTATTTACGAACTGCCGACCGAAGTGAGATCTTCCACGGATTTACCTGGAATGTCCAACAAGGCTGGTTAAAGGTTAGTGTGTATGTCGGAATATATGCCCAGACACCGCGTCCAAGCACTCAATAAGGTCTTCATGTCTCGAGGCAAAGCTGTTTTCAACTCCTCTATGTCAGGGTGATCGTTTATGGTATGCTACCATGTCACGGAAACCTACGAAGAAAGTGCGTGGTTTGATGCCATGCTGTGTATACGCAATCGATGGATAGAAGAGTTCTCTGGTGATAATCCGACAGCAATCACCGACCAGGAACTGCTATTTCGTACCCCAAGAGCACTTCCGTTGATGCTCCTTCCCAACCACGGTTGCCTCCGGTGGACAGCAAAAACCGGCATGCCGGATCAAGGTACAGATGTGATACCACTCCCGTTCGGTGACCGGGCACGATCAAGAATGGTACAGTGGACCGTTGAGACTGGGATTCCTTCAAATCATAAAGTCGTAGAATATCATATGATGCACAAATAAGATGGCGACCGTTGGGCATGGCTTTGACGGAAGTAACCGCCCCGCTTCCATTCGGAAACCGGAAGACGCGCTCTGGTCCTCTCAATCCCTTTCTTAAGTCGTACTCTTCAACGGTATTGTTTCGCCTTCCTGCATATATATAGTTGCCGTCGGGTGACCAACATGCACTGAGGCACCACGGAGGTGTGTTTCGTGGCAGGATACGCGCAACCGGCTTGGATTGCCTTCGATCCCAGACACGTATAGCCCCATCGATAGATGTAGCAAGGAAGGTTGAAACGGATGTAGGAGGTGCCTCGGCCTCTTGATCGTTGCCCTGATCGCCGACGTGCTTCTCCATGTCTTCGGCGTGTGGCAAGCCATTGGCTAGTGGCTGTTCAGCCGTGTTAGGCACCCCATTAGGGACTTCGCCCGCAGTGACCGGAGTTTCGGTATTTGCCCCTTGAGCGGCAGACGCTGTTTGGCGTGTAGGCTGTGTGGCGTCTAACATGTCGTGATCAACCAATTCTTCTGGGTGCGGCCCGTTCGCCATCGCCCGCGACATTTCATCATCCTCTTCTCCAAACGCGTCGGCGAGGTCTCCTCCGTTGCCCATGACCCCTCCGGCGCCGTCTCCGAAGAGGTCATCGTCTCCATCCCCGAATAGTGAGTCCGGTGTGGCAACCGCGGGTTGTTCTGGGAGATTTTGACCTGGCGCCTCACTTTTGATACCATTGGGAGGTTTGCCGTCGTTGGAGGACATGGTGCCATTAGTTACGACAACTTGTCCTGATTCGGCTGGAACAGGGAGAGATGATAAAGGGCGTATTTCGATCGACGAAATCTGTACGGCACTCGCCGCGAAAGTGGTTCGTACTTGGCCGGTGTCCAAATCCCAGTCTAAAACTGTCTTGTCCCAACTTCCAGACAATAAGCTCCTCTCATCGGAAGAAAGGGAGAGGACCGAGACTGCAGAAGTATGTTTCTGCAACAGAGCAATCTCTCGGCCTTCATCATGTCTAACAGACTGTAGTCGGATGGCGCCGGATGCTGTCCCCGACAACAACCATAAAGCCTGGCTCTGGCAAGCCAGTGAGTAGACCGGAGACAGGGTTTGAGATGATTGGGGTCGAGAATCCCAATTCTCCCAATATGTCATCAAAACACCGGCTTTGACCACGCTGTCGACAAAAGGATGGCGTTGAGCTACTGTGAGGGCAAGTTTGTTATTAACTGACTCGACCCAATTGAATTTCCGGATGTAGCCGTCGGAGCCCCCGGTGAATACCCAACGCATGTCTGCAGTCGCGCACACAGCGTTGATGGAAGTGCTTTGGGGGGCAGCTATCGTCGGGACAATATCGTAGGTTGCGGCTTCGAGGTACTCGGGGGAGATGTTGGATCGTGCCGCCGCTCCACGTGAGAGGCCAGTTTGCAAGGCTGAAGACCGCTGCGTCCGATCCTGAGTGGTGTTTGGTTCGCCAGAACCATCTTCATTGTCCGTGGGTTGAGAGTCGCTCTGGTGACTCTCAGCATCATCATCGTCGTCGCCGTCGCCCTCTCCATCCCCGTCTAGATCACCGTCTCCATCTCCATCACCGTCAGCATCCCCATCGCCGTCGCCCTCATCGAGGTCCTGCATGGTCTCGTCATTGTCGTTGTCGAAACTTCCATCCTGGGATCTATCATCATCATCGTCAAAGGCGGGCATTTTCTCCGTCTGCACGTCCTACATAGCCTTATGTGATATGGTTGATTCCGACTTGCCAGGTCCCTGAATAAGGTAAAATGAAAAGGAGTCAAGTCGCTCGACTCGAGGACGAGTGTCTAAGCGTTTTGATCGAGATCATTCCAGATATGGTATAGTGTCGGAGCCCATGGTTTCGGAGCAGGAGAAACTTTTATCCGCTGGAGGGGCAAACGGTGCAAAATCCATCGTCCGCACTTGCACGGGACTCAATTGTTCCAACGCCTCATTTCATATCCGTGCTGGTCGAGACCTTGCTTTGGAACAAACGGTCTCGAGGTATTTGGTCGGGCCAATTCATCTTCGCAGGAATGAGATAGTTCGCCAACATTACCACGGAGCTGTAACAGTCTTGCCACATTGATCTGCCGTGTTCTTAAGAGAGCGGTCTTGTGAACTGATCTTGATATTAACTGTCTGAGACAGTGTGAGGGTGAGTATCAACCAGTGGGATCCATTTTCGAGGCAGTATACATCATCATCAGGTGGCAGCAGCCATAGCTTCGGAGAAGCAAATTAGAGAAGTACTGGCGGTCGATGAGGACTTATTCTTTGAGGAGCAAGTACTAGTCTACTCAGTATTGCATCGGCAGCGCACCCGCTACAATCCCTTCGTGCCCTCTATTCCACCTCCACGACCAGGACAACGAGGGATTTCTTGCTCGGCATCTCTACACGACGCATGATTGTCTAACCAAAGCGACCAAGCGTGGTTACAGGACTATTCTTACTTGTTCTCTGTCTGAATCCCCAGTCTTCTGCCCCTCAATTCTTTCCTCCCTGAATCAACCAAGCTGCTCCGTATTTGGTCGGCCTCCCCCTCCGATTGTTTTCGCGACCCTTCTACGGCCGGTGCCGACATGACGTTCGAGCGAGGATCAGGTCATCACCGAAGCAAGCGAGGTTCTCGTACTCGTGGAGGGGGCGCAGGTGGTAAGTTAATGATTCACACCGATGAGATGAAGCCCTCTTTGGCACAATCACTGATCTCGAGTTTCCAATAGGCTCCGACCGTGGTCCTTCGATGCAGAACGGCGGTAAGTTCCTCATCCGGTTTACCCGCATCGGCCACCTCCATCACCCCTTAGACTTCTCTCGATCCTCTCGTCAACGATTTAAAAAGGAAAATGCTGATCCAGAAGCAGAAATGAACGCAGATCTCTCGGAGCGATTCCAAGGTGGCCGTTCCCCCAACACTCGCCAAGTATTGACCAGCGCGTTGGACGATGGTCTCGATCTTACATTGAACGTTGACATCCGGGCATATGTTCAGAAACAAGAACAGATCAAACCGTCTTCTGATAAAGACGCCTGGCTTTCTCAACCCGAAATCCCTACAAACAACGAGCTGAGGGTGGCCGAAGCCTCTTTCACTCCCAACAAAATTGTCGGCCCTTACAAGAGTAAAGACAAATATCTCCGGACGCATTATACTTTGCTCCGAGAGGACGCCACCGGATCTTTAAGAGACGCCCTGCACGATTTCAAAGAGAACCCCGCAACCGCCGATACGAAGAAATTCTCGGTATACGACCAGGTAAGAAATTTGGAGGGGTCACATTGGAGCGATCGCCGTTGACAAGTGTCGAGGTTCACATCACGGGCTACACCTTCTCAAGAAAAGGCCTTGCAGCGCGCATCCAATTCTCGACAAATCGAGCCGGCAAACGAATCTCATGGGAAACCAGCAAACGCCTTGTGTCGGGCAGTCTTGTCGCGCTGGTCAAGGCCAAAGACAAACTCAATGACCTGAAAGAATTGGTAGTCGCTGTTGTTGGCGCAAGGCCTCTTGCTGGGGTTCTATGCCAGCCTCCCGAAATTGACATCTATTTCAATAGCCCTGAGAACATTCAAATCGACCCGCAAGAAGAATGGCTTATGATCGAGGCAAAGCAGGGGTATTTCGAGGCCTACAGGCACACATTGAGGAGCTTACAGAAGCTCAGTCAAGAGACGTATGTGTTCCCTACGCGTAACTAGCTTCTTTCCGTCCTAACAGAGAGGTCGAGATTCCCCTTGTCCAATGAAATATGCCGACTATCCTCTGCAGTTGAACCCCCGAATTATATTCAGGAGAGTCCGATTCTTGATCTTGGGGCCGCGGTCAATCCCGACAAAAAGGAAGAGTATTCTACGGTGGACGTAACAAAACCGTGGCCCCCTGCTCCCAAGGAGACGCTCGATGCTACGCAGTGGGAAGCTTTACAAGAAATCATCACCAAGCGTCTCGCCGTCATTCAGGGCCCTCCCGGCACTGGCAAGACCTATGTAAGTAAAATTGCGGTGGAGATTCTTCGGGCAAATCGAAAGGCAAACGACCCACCTATCATCATCGCCGCGCAAACGAATCACGCTCTCGACCAGCTCCTTGGACACATTTCTCAATTCGAGCCCAATTACATTCGTCTCGGGGGAAGAAGCACCAACGCCGAAGTCAAAAAACGTGCTCTGTTCGAATTGCGACAGAAGGAGAGAATCAAGCAGATCCCCGGCGGCCTCCTTGGTCGATCCATCAGTCTCCGAGTCAAGCAATCCAAAGCTATGACCGCTATTTTGGAGCCATTGGTCTCGCCTGGTGATGATCCTTTCTCTACCGACCGGGTTTCGGGGCCTCAAACACTCCTGCAATTGGGGGTTTTGAACACCAAGCAGGCCAAATCTCTCGAAGACGGGGCTTCTCAGTGGGTGTCGACCAGCAATACCGGGACGGGACCAATACAACTTTGGCTCGGGCGAGCAATCTTGCCCTTCGAAGTGAAATACCGTCACGACAGCTACGGCTTCAAAGAGGTTGAAGAGAACGACCTGGAATTCGAGCAATTAAGAGAAAATGAAGGGTTGAGTGGTGTGAACGACGAAGAAGACATTGAAATGCTCAGAGGCCCTTGGATCGGCCTTGAAGAGAAATTTACCGTCCAATCACCCTCGACTGGTGATCTTGCTAGGGCCTCTAAACTGCTCGAGACCACGTCAGACTTGTGGAGGGTCCCTGATTATCTTCGTGGGCCCATGTTCTCCATTTTCCAGTCCAGAGCGAAAGCAGCCATGGCAGAAAGATTTCGGGAGGCGGCCAAAGCCTACAACAACATCATCAAAGACAATCTGGTGGGCAAATGGGAACAAGATGCAATCTACCTTCAACGAGCGACAATCATCGGCATGACCACCACCGGATTGAGCAAATACCGGCCATTAGTCTCGGCCCTGAAGCCCAAAATCATTCTTATCGAAGAGGCTGCAGAGGTTTTGGAAGCTTCGGTGACGGTCGCTTGTATGGAATCTCTAGAACACCTTATCCTGGTCGGTGATCACCAACAACTTCAAGGTCACTGCAGCGTTCAGGAACTGGAGGGTGAACCATTCAACCTAAATGTTTCCTTGTTCGAAAGACTGGTCCGGAACAACATGCCTTACAGAACTCTGCTTCTTCAACGTCGAATGGAGCCAGAAATCCGCCGACTCCTTACGGATCTATACGCTGATTTAAGGGACCACGTCAGCGTCCTTCGGCGTGAAGTCGGATCGTGGGGAATGGGAAACATCAAATCCTTCTTCTTTGACCATCAATGGTCAGAGTACCAAGATGAGTTGCTATCGACATACAATGAGGAAGAAGCCAAGTTCATCGCTGGCTTCTACCGTCATTTGTACAAGAATGGAATTAGCCCTGAGGCCATTACTGTATTAACCTTCTACAATGGTCAACGAAAACAAATCCTCAGAGAATTGAAGGCATATCCGGACCTCCAAAATTTCTATGCCAAGGTCAAAACAGTTGACGGATAGTAAGTTCTCCCTTTTGACATTTCAAAAAACTGTGCCATTTTCTCCGAGTCTCGCCCGTCTCTGACGTCCGTCCGCAACGGGAGGGGGTACTAACGATATGCAGTCAAGGCGAAGAAAACGATGTTGTCATTCTCTCTTTGGTTCGAAGCAATCCCGATGGGAAAATCGGGTTTCTGGCCAATGTCAACAGAGTGTGTGTCGCATTGAGTCGTGCGAAATATGGTTTCTATTTATTTGGAAACTCGCGCCTCCTTATGGCCGGCAGTACTCTCTGGTACAATGTCATCACCAAATTGAGTTCGAACCCCAAACGCCTGGGAACGGTGTTGCCGATTCGATGCAAGAACCACGGAATTACAACTCTTATGCAATACCCTGAAGACTGGCACGGGACAGAGGGCGGCTGTGCGACGCCTTGTGATACGGCTCTGTCTTGCGGACATCTGTGTCCTCTTCGGTGCCACCCATATTCGCACGAAAGGGTTCAATGTCCCGAAGATTGCCAGGAAACTCTGCCCTGCGGTCACGGATGCAATCACAAATGCTCTCGGCCATGCTTTTGCCCTTGCGAGGAATTTGCAAAGTTCAATCACTCTGAAAATATGAATCATGGTGAAGAAAGTTTCCCTTCTTCCGAAGAGCCCGGAGTTCAAGATATTCGTGGATCCCAAAGTGTTGTTGATGGTCAGAGATTTCCCTCTCATGGAAGCACCATTTACTTACTGTCACAGGTTTCTACCAAACCTAATGTTGGACTTACGTGCCATGGGGTTGGAAACTGGATTCCCAGCCCGGAGGGTACCATCAGTTCTAATCCTCTCCCTGCAGAAAAGCAAGTCGAACGTCAGGAAGTGTGGAAGAATTTCGCGGGGACTCGTGACATGACGACCAACTCGCAATCCATGCCCGCCAGTCGCACGGATGCATTAGGTGAGAGCGGAGCGGCCAAGCCAGAGTCTCGACGGGGGGGAAGACACCGGTGAATTTGCGATACTGAGTCGTTCATCTAGCAGGGAGGCTCCTACAATTCCACTACCTGCGAGTGGAGAGAAAGACGGCAGCAGCTTTATGGATGATTTGAGGGAGCTGGATCCCTATTTCCGCAGCCTCTGCGAATCATGAGGGTTTGTGGATTGACGGAGCGTTGCTCTTGCAGACGGATGGCTATCTCGATCCCTTAGGAGTTCACGGAGTTGACGGGAAACAGGCATAGGAAATGGGATAAGAAGCGGCATACCGTAGAGAAATTGTTTCGTGTTCTAACCATGGAGGATGAGATTGAATTGCGCGAGAAGGATCCCCTGTGTGCTTAGATCCGGACCAATGCAGAGCAACCCAGCACGTGTAAATCGACAAACGAGGCTCACTACGAGTCCACACTAACACGTTCGTGGATGGGTAATTATGCGGGCTTATAAATTGAGTGCCATATTACCAGACCAAACATACCCAAGAAGTTCTTGGTTGGTGGTTATGGTCATGAATCGTTGTTCGCCTTCCACAGAGCACAATGTTCTTGTACAGTGCTGCAGTAATATAATCATGCTGCGGGGTTTTGGCCTTTTTGTCGTCTCGGCGAGACGAATCAGGTGCTTCGCGTGTATGCATGTATCCATATCTCCGGATTAGATGAAGAAGGGGAAAGGAAAAGTACAAAAGGACAAAGTTCATTGGCAAAACGACCTCCTCCCGGCCGGCCTCTCTTCGATTCAAATAATCTATCTCACCGACCATGGCTTCGGCAACCCAGGTCAAATCATTCCGAGAGATGCTCGGTGCGCCGCGCGAGACGGCATCGCCTCAAGATTCAACTCTGGTCATAATAGATGCTCAGAACGAGTAAGTACACATGCGTGGTTGTCCTTGCATATCGACGCTTGTCGCTGTACATATGTCCGTGTCTTTAATCCCCTTCCTAATACCTTTACGAATAGATACGCGCAAGGCCACCTGAAAACCGTCAACGTGGAAAACACCCGCAAAGCCATCGCCTCTCTGCTCGAGAAGTACCGTGCGGGTGGCGACGGGAAGAACATTGTGCATATCGTGCACAAGACCCCGGATGGCGCGCCGGTGTTCACGCCGGGCACAGCACTCGCGGAGGAATTTGACGAACTCAAGCCGCGTCCTGGAGAAAAGGTCATTCAGAAGGAATTGGTGTCCAGCTTTGCGGGGACGGATTTACACGAGTATCTGACTGCGCTGGGCGAGAAAGGCAAAAAGACCCTGTTGACGGGGTACATGGCGCATGTGTGCGTGAGTACGACGGCCCGAGCGGGCGCAGATTTGGGATATAATGTCGTGTTGGCGGGTGATGCGATTGGAGACCGAGATATTCCGGGGTTCACGGGGCCGGAGGTGACGGATGCGGTGTTGAAGGAGTTGGCAGATGCTTTTGGCACGGTTATTCAAAGTGGTGAGGTCAAGTAGACCGTGAATTAAGATGCACCAGGCTCTGCAGTCTCTTGCTCGATTTCGTCCTCTTTCCGCCACCAGATCACAGATTGGTGAAAAGGCTGGTTCTTGACGTTCAGGCCAGGCAGTTCGGCACATTCATGATTGCGTTTGAATAGATCCGTCATCTCGAGGTTGACTTCAGCTTCGTCTTTGGTGAATTCCTCGTCTCCTGCGATTCTGTCCTCTCGATGCATGTGGTCCAGAGACCGATGGAGCCATATTCGAGGATTGTGGAACATGATTTGAAGCTCAACTTGCGGCTCGGCGAAAGGGGAGTAGACAAATGCGGATGTTTGAGTTCGATCCTGAAGAAGCTCAAACCCTGCGGGATGGTCCACTTTGGTGGTGTTCAAACTGCGGAGGAGTTCGGTGTCGAGATCGTTATAGCATGGTTCCTGGGCGTAGCAGTGAGGACCATGGCCCTGGACTTGCTCGATTGTCTCCACGGCCGTTTGGAACGCGGCCATTTGGTAATATGCAGACTCGTGCCGGTCGATCCAGTGTACGTCGTCCCCGCAAAAACTTCCAGACCCGATTACGACACAAGTGGATATCTGGGAATGAGTGTTCAAGATCCGGGTGGTCAGGACTTTTTGGAGAGAGTGGCATAAGTCGCTCTCGCGCCATTTCGCTTCGATTTTGCGGTATTGTGCTCGCATTGACTCCAAAGTCGATCCTTGTGCAGGGTTCATTGGGCGTGGGGCTGCTCGGTAGAATTTGGTCACGGTCCTATCTCTTATATTCCATCTGAAAACAGCCTTGTCCTCGTTGGACTGGTCTGCAATTGATGGGTGATTGGCTCCTCGACAGGTGGCACTGGAGGACGTGATTCGAGTCCAACCCTCTTCGTCTACCACCTCTTTTCTCTTCCTGTGGTTTGATTTCTTCTGATGACTTGTATGAGGCATGTTCTCGGGACATGTATCTTTTCCTTCAACTGTGGACACGAAGGCCAAGAGGGAATCTGTTTAGGGAGGTAACAGGCGAGGACGAAATTGGCCGGCGAGCGGGACTCGGGCTAGAAATCAGGGAGGATTCGAAATTCAAGCGGGATAAAGACATCTCGAACTTCCCTACCAGAACGGAAAGATCGTGACGGTCTCCAGCGTTGTTGTGCAACGGCATTTGACCGGGGGATATAAATTTCATTCCGAGGATCAACCGACAAGGCTGAGACAGCCTTGTTCTTACAAGAGAAAGACCGACGAAAAACCGAAAAGTCCCAGACCAACAGCAAATCTGGCGACTTTAATTTCCTGGGATCTTGGCCATGAGATCCGGTTCCTCTTCTCGCCCAGGTCTGCTGCTGGTGAAGGAGTGAGTATCTACCGAGGAATCTAAAATAACTGCTCTGCCTTCCAAGTCTTCATTCTTTCACTCAAAGCCATTGCTGGGTTCCATGATGAGACACGAAAGCCCCACCATTCCCCTTCTCCACGCTGAAATCATGAATGACATTCAAGCAGGCTTCTGCCGATTCCAAAGGAGTCAACGGACCTGGCCAACCCGGTACCTTCTTCCTGAAATCGTCGACAGTTTTGGGTTCTCCCTTGTCGCCCCAAGTCGAGACGATACCGGGAGACAGTGCAAAGAACAAGATTCCGTCGTCCTTGTATTTCGCATTGTACTTGAAGACAACCATATTTGCTGCTGCTTTGCTGATGGTGTAGGGACCGGATTTCCAAACACCTCCGTTGACCACATCAGGATCGGCCATTCCTGAAGAGATAAGAACCACCTTCTTGATGGTGCTTTTCTTGATGAGCGGCAGGAAGGCATTGATCGTGTGAACGACACCGACAACATTCACTTGGAAAGAATTCAAGAGCGCGGTCTCCAGCGTCTCCGGGGTGTCTTCGAAATCATCGAGCCCCGCATCAGCAGTGGTGCCGTCGATATAGGCGGCATTGTTGATGAGGTGGTCGAGTGATCCGCCCGTGATTTGGGCTACTTGATCTCTAGCGGCCACCGATGACTTATGATTGGAGATTTCAGCTTGGATCATAGTGACGTTCTTGAGACCATCGGCAGCGACCGTGTTGTCGGCCGCCACCTTGTCACGAACTAAACCGATGACGGTATTGGCAGGATCTTTGGTGAGTTGTCGAACAAAGCCATACTGTGACCAAGTTAACGAATATGGTGTGGTGTTGACAAGCAAGAAAGAGGGCTTACTCCAAGACCACGATTGGCCCCCGTGACCAGGTATGAAGGCATGCTGAAAGAATGATACCCGCTCGATGTCTTCAAATAGAGATTTTGCAATGCGCTTGATCGATGAGAAACACGTGTCAGCTGCTCGAAAAGGAAGAATCTTCAGCATTTTCTGGTCGCGTTAACATATTCTATATATTCTCGAACGACAGCGAAAAGCCGCCAGCAAAATGTCACAATTCGTAAGTCATACGGACGAAAATTCCTGTCTGATTGAGATCGAATAATGCACTCATAAGCCGAGCTTGAGAAGGAACTGCTTCCCGTCCGAAGAAATACGTTGTGGCTTACTTGAGCCATGGGTGTGTGAAAACATGCATAGCCGGCCGAGCATGTAGATGCGGAGTTGCCCATGCTATGCAGAGGGAAAGTAGTAATAACAATGGCGACGAAGAGATTGAGAAGCATTTGGACAGCGTGGTTAGACATATCTGGGTATGAAGGGATGGAGGTGGACGAGAAACAAATGCCCTTGGAATGGTGAAATGGCCAGCCAGACTCTCAGCTTTTGATTCCATCTCCTGCCACTGTTGTTCCCGTCTGGGGATGGCAATCTTGGGAGCCGCCACGAGGATGAAGAGAAGCTTTCGAATCTCCGGTAACAAGCTCTCTCTTGTCTCATCGGTAGATACAGGGAGATGAGAGAGAAGTAAAACCATAAGCTGCGAGGCCCTAACCGAAGAAGCTAGATAATTAACTAGCCATCTGATCCCCTGCCACCGTCAGCGCTTACGGAAAGACTTCTGCCACCCTGCCACCAATCATCCGACCTCCGCGCCGTGTCGACCTCGATTGCAACCGCCCGGATGGAGAAGGACTGCTCGTGCAGGGTTTGAGTTGATTCTGTGCGGATTTCTTCGAATCAAACTGCACATCACAATGCACACCAATGCCATCTCTTCCACCACTAAACCCTGTTCCATCTTTCTTCACCGTGCCACTTCACTCAGATCATCGCATGCGCCGTTGCTGCCCACCACTCATGTCCTCTCTTCCTCCTCTGTCCCCTCCCAGATCATGCCCAGTCACGGCGTTTCCACTCGTTCATCCCCAAGCTGCTTGCTGACTGGGCGGTTGTCCGTCAGGCCTCACCATGGCCAATGGGCCCGGCGCCCACCATCCCACCTAGCGCCTGGCCAAGGGCAAATAAACTAAATAATACCCGATGCGGTGCTGTTCTCGAGTTCCTCCCATCTCGACTCCGACGAAACATCCTCCACTGCGACCTCGTCGACCCGGCCCAAAAGAGCCAGCCTCCCGAGACCACAGCGACGACCACCTGTGAACAGCTGAGCCGCAGGTACATCTCACGGCTCTCACCACTTCGTTGAAGACCACTTGACTGTGCCTCTTCCTCTCGAGCACCGACCCTGTTGTCCTCCGACGGCGCAAGATAAAGCGGGAACAGGAAATAGTGACATGGCCAACATGCTCTCGAGACCAGTTTTCGCGGTATCCCTGATACTCCTCTCGATCGTCAGCCTCGTCTCCGCACATACGGTCATCACATATCCCGGCTGGAGAGGAGACAATCTTCACTCCAATGGCACGGTGGAACAAACCAATGGTCTGAGCCCGGCCTTGGAGGGGGATCAATATGTCTTCCCATATGGGATGCAATGGACCTATCCTTGTATGTTGTCATCACTCATTCTCGTCCTCAATTCACCGACCCAAAGCTGACATTCGCCCGCGCAGGCGGAGGCATGCCCACGTCAGAAAATCGCACCAAGTGGCCGGTGAAAGGTGGTGCCGTCGCGTTCCAACCGGGCTGGTTCCAAGGCCACGGAACCGCCTTTATCTACATCAACCTTGGCCTGGGGACGGTTCCCCCCAATATGTCGAATGTCATGGTCAATGGAATCCAAATCATCGGCCCGACCAAAGATCCTTACCCCGGCTCGTTCTGCCTGCCCCAAGTTCCCCTTCCGGCCAACGTCACCGTCAATGTAGGCGACAATGCGACGATCCAAGTGATTGAGACAGCCGTCCATGGCGCGGCGCTGTACAACTGCGTCGACATCACCTTTGCCGAACCCGAAGATGTCCCCGAAGTCAATGCCAGCAACTGCTTCAATTCGTCGCAGATCACGAGCGACCTGATCTTCACCACGTCTTCGCTGACCGAAGAGTCCCGCGCCCCCGAGATATCGACAAATCGATACGGCTATGCGTGTACAGCCCTCCTCGTGGCTGTGGGCTTGATGTTGCTCTGAACGCTATAACCATTTATACGTGTACAAAGATACCCGACACAAATAAGGCGCGCTCGCAGCATCACCCAACCGCGTTTTCGGGTTCCAGATATCCTGAATCAAAGGACACTGATGGATTTCTTCCCTGTCCTCCCTCGACGATCTTTGTCCCCTATTCGGTGGATCCAGAATCCTGATGTTCCGGACTGGGGATGTATTTTCTACCCCTCTTCCCCCAGGAAGAGACGTCGATAGGAACCCCCGGTCCGATGGACGCATCCATATCTCTGTACCCCTCATCCTACAGGTCTCATGTCCGGTGTAAAAGCACCATTCATATACCATTGCGATGGTATGACTCAACTATTTCCTTCCTCTGCTATATGCATTGCGTGGCGCCCGGAATTGGGTGGGAAGGGTTGTGGATTCCTGATCTCAACGAACGACGGGAATTGAATTGACAAGAATGGGGATGTGACAAGGCGATGTATTCCTTCCGCGTTCGAGGCGAACGAGACCGAGTTTATCCATGCGACAGTCCTCGTGTCCGGGGTTGTTGAATTGACTGTGACATCTGATACCAGAGATCGATCATTATCATATGCCAGCGGAGGAGTGAGTTGAATGTCTGGCTCCCTTTGAGTTCAACAGAAGAGGCTTCGCCACCGAAGGTCTCGGTCAATCTTATCATATACTATTATCTTAATGAATCTGATCGAAATCAATCTGCTTTCTAATTGATGTTGATGCACATGATATGAAAGTGAAATTGCATGGTAGAATCATTGGTGATTTTGGGATCTAAAATCCCATTTATTCCAAAATCCTGTCCTATCCTAAACCCTATCCCTCCTTCCCTATCGCTCTGCTAGGCAGACGTCAGAAGCAGCATCTATCTACTCGTTCAGTCTTCTGATTCGTAGCTCTGAGTTCTCATTCATGTACATAGAAGTTGAGTTTGGCCCCAAAATGTTATGCACATCAAGAGTGTGTAAGCCCAAGGGGCCAGGGGTAGAGTAGATTGATCCAGCTCCACACCTGCTCCGCTCCAAATATCCACCAACCATCACCTCCCCATTACTTCCCCCTTCCCCTTCAAAACAATCTGAATCTATAGTCGGGAACCATGAATGATCTTCATATCAACAATCAACTCACGGCCACCGTCATTAATGACCAAGACACGCACACTGCCTCGTCCATCAGCAAAGGCACGATCAATGCGGTTGAACAGGCCGTCTTGATCCACCACGGGCAGTCCTTGCTTGACATCACCCGTCTCGGTCATGCAGACAATTGTGCCACTCTCACGGATGTCCAAGACGCGGTATTGCTTGAAGACCGGGCCGAGCATGGTCTGCACAATGACTGAGGGAGCTGGGTTGCTGACGAAGGAGCTCTCTTCGTGCAATTGACGCGTGAACAGGTCTACACCAAGATACCGGTATTGGCCAGTCTGGGAAGACATGCTGATCCGGATGACTTGGCACGGACGGCCTTGAAGGAGGAGAATGTCACCAATGCGGATGAAGTGGCACTGAATCGGGACACCGCGTCCGCCAAAGCGTGGCTCGACGAAACGGACTTGCTCAATGGAGCCATCACGGACGCGGGTGGGACCGGTGGTCTCTCGGGCGTCGGTGACGACCACCTCCTCCCGATCAGGGCCTGGGTAGCGGTGATGGGAGAAGGGATGCAAGATACGATCGGCAGCTCGCTCCACGCCACGGCGGAAGCTGTGGTAGTTACCCTCGTCGTCGTAGTAACCCATGTCTCTTCGTCGAATTGGCTGGTCGACCTTGATTTCCTCCTTTTGGACAGTCACGTCGGCTTGAACTGGACGATGGCGTTCGTATTCGACGTCGTAGGTGGGATCGACGCGTCGACGGTAGTCTCGCTCGGTGACGTCTAGTTGAGTTTGGAAGGTTCGGTCGTAGGCCTGGCGTCGATCGTAGTCTACTTCGACGTGGTCCCGGGTGTCTCGACGGTCGATTTCGATGTCAACGTTGGCTCCCCTGTACTCAGCGGGTGCACGGTACCTGTGGAGAAAGTAGGGCGGGTCAGTTGACGGTGCTCAGTGAAAGGTTGTCAACACGGGGATCATCAGCACGGAGCAGTCTAGGGTGCCGACATGTGAGGGGAAGGTTCATAGCCGCATTGAGCACATACTTTTCGCGTGTGAGCTCTACTTCAGGGTATCTGGAATCACGGATACGCTCACGATCACGCTCTTCGTAGATTCGGACGTCGTCTCTCTGGTACTGATCGCGGCGTGGACGGCTGTCTCTGTAGGTGATATCGACTTCTTCCTTGGAGAATCGAGTATCTTCCCGTCCGACGCGCGAGGAGGTGGGTGGTAATTGAACTTCCCCTTCTACCTTGGTGAGGGTAGTTTCTTCAGAAGAAGCGTCACTCCTGTACGTAGACGGGAAGACACTGATAGGGATGGGGACTCGGGCGTCAAAGTCCAGATTGCCAACTCTTGTAGGCGCCTCAACTCTCTTCTCCCTTTCGGCAGTCGAGAGTCAAGACTGTCTTGGGGGGTGTGGTAAAAGGTTCTGCAGAGAGGAAGGGTTGGAAGGAGAAGGCCAAAGGGTAATGCACGCTTGAAGCAGAAGAGCAGTAATGGAGCAGGAAAAAAAAAAGGTTGCAGAATGCAGATGACGTTCTGGGATGGCGGTTTGTGAAGAAGATGAGAAGCGAAGAGAGAAAAGTAGGGCCGTGGGAGAGAGCTTTAAAAGAAGAAGCTGTTAAAGGAGAGGGTGGAGGCCGGGGAGGAGAGTGTTTTGGTTGGTTGGCCGGGATGGTTGGTGGATAGACGCAGGCTTACAGGCTTGGGACTTCGGAGGCTGGGCTTGCGAGCAAAAACATCAACAAAAACACGTCGAGTTGGCCGGGCAATTCGTCCCACCGTGGACTTAACTGGGACACGCCATCCCAATCCAGTCAAGGTCGCGTTTCCCCTTCATCTCTCACACTGAACAGAGATTTCCATCACCTCGGCATCACGGTCGTGGACGTGATGTGAGTAGAACTGGTATGAGTTGGGTCTCTCAGCCTCGTCCATTAACCAAGATGCTCGTGTGTACCGGGCACCGAGGACGTCGAATAACCTTTCTCTACCTGCTCACCACCCTCCCACTACTGAATTTCAGCCAACCCGGTCTCTTAGTCTATCCATTCCTCACGCCCAAAATCATCGTGTATTATCTCCATTGGTTGCGTGTCACTTTCTCTACCTGCATGCCCGACACAATCCGGACGAGATCAGTCAACTTTCCCCAGTTCCATTCGTTCTCCCTCGAGCTTCCGGAGCTCCGCCTGCGGCAGACATACGTAAAACGCACCCAGCAACAGCAAGAGGAAGACCCATACTACTGGACGCGTGGAGGGGTGCGCTTTGCTTACAGCCGTTTCAGCTGGCTTGGGGAAAAGTATATGCAACCGGCTGCATTGGCACATATGCATCACCGGCTTCCCGCAGCTCGACCAGAAACTCATCCAACGATGAGATACATATACCAGGATGGAGATGCTGCCGGGCTTCACACAAAATGCACCTCCATTCCCACCATCAGAGATCCTGTTCGCAGCTCTCGGCATGTGAACTTTTATGGATTCTCATTCAAGCTTGTCCATTGATTCTTCGCACTTTTGGGTCCACGACCAGCCCGTGCTTTAGTATCTATCCCCGCCCATGTCCCAACTTTTTATCCAAGAAAATATTCTATGTCATCATCACCGTCCACCAAGGAATTCATCATCGCCGCATTCAAAACGGCCTGCTGGGCTAAGGTGCGCCCTCGGTATGCGCTTTGAAACTCCCGACACCGGTGTCTCTATGCCCGTCCTCCGGGAAAGATCAAACTCGTGCAACCGACTTTTAATGCCGCTGCACGCAGTTCCATTCGTACTGTAGTCATGATTAGCCAGAGATCTCCATCCTCGAAACGAGATTGTAATCAAGGACCTACCACTCTGCCGTCTTCGTCCCCGGTGTAGACTACCTGTGGCATCGGCAGGATGCAACTGATCCCGGCGTTCACATTTGCTCCATCATCTCGGCTACTATCTGCATGATTGAGTTGTCGAATCAACTCCAATTCGAACCCGCCCCCGCGTGGCACTTTGCTCCAGATGCGCACCTGTCCTCTCTTGTGGCCGGTGAAGACCAGGTCCCGCTCCAGCCACTCATTACCGGCGCCCTCGTAGCATGCGCACGACACAATGCTCTCCTGTGTACGGTCTCCTGAATCTTGTCGCAAAAGTCGATCCCCATTCAACGTGTACATGCTGATCTGATGGCCGTGGCAGAGGACAATGTTACCGGTCACGTCGTTGATGGCCGCACAATTCACTGCCAACTCATCATCGAGTGTGCGGACGAACTCACACCGGTTGAGATCCCACAGCATCACCTGTCCATCCGTCGATGCCGACAGCAAGGCGTTGAATGACCTCGACAATGCCAGAACAGTCACCGGCTTGCGATGGCCGAAAAGAGTCGCTCGCGGCTGTAGTTCGACCTGCTTTCCATTCTCTATCACCGACCACACTGCGACGGTGCAATCTGTCCCGGCTGTCACGAACGTCTTGGAGTCCGTGAATAATGCGCAAGACAGTTGCCCGATGTGCAAATGCTCGAAGAGGCCGATGGGCTTCCGGCTGTCGGCCGAGTAGAAGCGGACACTGTTGTCCGAAAACCCCCACTCCATATACATGTCGTAGTCGGGGGGGATGTTGAGCCGGAACGCTCCAGAGCACAATAATCTGTCCGATTTCCACGAGTATCTGAGCGAGGCCACTCTCTCTTCCGTCTCCAGGAGAGTCGACGGGACACGAGTCAATGACTCCGCTGCAGTATCGAGCCGCTTATACCGGTGCCGAATCTGTTCTCGTGCCGGATGAGGTTTGGAGAAAACTTGATACGGTGTTTGGCCGAAGTTATGAATGATTCCAATCGTCGCCAGCCGCTCAAGCGGGTCCGTGATGGTGTCGAGATCTTTTGCACCCTGGTATGAGAGGTAGTGGAACACATTTACCGCTTCTACCGCCGCCTCTCCTTTCTGTTTGCTGCCGAAGATGAGATCAATCCATTTGTGAAGATTTCGGCTCACGTGAGGACTCTCGAGGGCCTCCCGCTGTTTGGCAATGAAGATGCGAGGATCGCCTTTCGCCCATGGGGGAAGCTCGACATTCCCAATAGATTGGGACGAATTCTGTCTCGTCCCGAAATCAAAGTCGTTGAGATTGACCAGGAATTCGGGAAGATAGTAAAATTCAGGGGTCAGTTCCCGAACATCCGTCATATTCATCCTGGAAGCTGATCTCCAGGCCTGTTCAATCGAGAAGAACATGCGATCGGGGTGGTCGAACGTTCCCCCTTGCAACAGAAGATATGACTTGACGAAGGGTTGGAGACGAATGAGATAGGACGTCACAATCATGGCCGAGGAATAATGAGTTCCGTAGTGGAATGCTGGAGTATTGTGGTCTCCCATCTCCGCAAACGTGTGATATCGCTCTCGGAATTCTCTTTCCCGTTCGATTGTTTGACAACCCATCGGTTTAGAAAGATCACGGAAAGTCCTCGGATCAGTCAGATCGAGCTCCTCGCTTGTATAGTCCGCAATGACCCAGGGAAATACGGGGTACTGAGTCAAGTCGTTATAGGTTCGTCCGGCCATGGTGTTGATGAGCATCAGATAATGAAAATTCGACATCTCTCCCTTTTGCCATTTTTTCGTCGCCGCGAGTGAACTTGATTGTTGCCCGAATACATTCGCAAACTTGGAACCCAAGGTCTGTGGCTCATCATCGACGCTCCGGAGCGTGTCGTATCGCCAGGCTGTTTCCGAATGGGTGCTTCCCAGCCCACCGGGCGAGGGTGCTTTAGCGCTGATGAGATTGTGCAAGTCGTTTCGGGTTTGAGGAGAAGTAACGGTCAGCAAATAGCTTCTGCCGTCGCTGAAAAAGATCTCCGTTGCCACATCACGGAAGAGAAAACGTCGTTTGGAAACACTGATGATCTCGGACCATTTCCAGCTTCGGGTACCATGCTCATCATTCCGCGATATGTGTTTTCGTTCCGTGACGTCCCGACCGGAAATCATCCGCACGTATGGATCACGTTCGTCCCGTGGTGCTTGCCAGACATTGACAATTTCTCCATCGGCGCGCTGGAAGAAGTTGTCGAGGAGATAAATATAGTCTTTACCCAAAATAAGAAGCCCCTCCACCGCTTCCAGACCAAGGATTCGTGAAATATTGGCAACGTGCTTCACCTGATCTCCGCGGTGCAGGCTCCGCATCACTTTTCGGTTCTTGTCTTCGAATTCATTCATCTCGACGTTGGGATCTTCAACCAGTTCGAAACTTTCATCCCCTTCCAGTGTTTCGCTCGCTTCTCCACCTTGATTGTCATCTTGAGGTTGGCGCTGAGCGTCTGCCTGAATTTGGGGAAATGGCTCCGTTCCGCTCTCAACACGTCTCGGAGTGTCCACCACAGGTGTTATCCCCCCCGGGGTAACGCCGATGGCCTCCGCGGGGGACATTTTAGCATTCCTCGTATCCAGTCGCAGCGGTGGCATGTCCGCTCCTTTTCTTTTTGGTTGCTGGTCATCCTCGGTCTTGGTGAAATCTTCGTGAAGTCGCATCCGCATCCGATTTCGACCTTCGGTTTGATCCAATCGCCATCTCCGAGGCTTATCGACAGCAAAGAGGCCAGCCGGTCTGCTCGTGTCTCTTTGCATTCGGTCGAAGCTTGCCTCGGTAAATAAAAGGTCGTCCTGTTGATCTTGCAGCAGCCTCTGATGTTTGAGGTATTCCGAGGAGTATATGTTGGCGGTCCAGTTCTCAAATGCGATTTCATGACGGCGAATGAGGTCGTCACGGTCCGCTTCTTCTCGAGCCCACTGCTTCACCTTTTCCCGGCGACGAGATATCCTCATGCGTCCATTGTCCTCGGTTCTCTTGTTCTCTGTGCTGACAAAGGTGTTCCACTGCTTTGAAAGGGTATCAAAGAAGAGAGAGTCCAGTGCATCTCGGTGCTCGTCAACCCAGTATAGGAACGTTTCGTTATCGAGCTCCACCACTTTTTCAAAGCTGGCGACCAATCCTTTTTGTTCAGTGGTATCTGTCTGTCCAAGTATTGCTGATGCTTCGTCGGGTTTTTGGACCAAAATGATCCTCCACAGGTTAGCCGCTGCTTGTCGCACGGCATCTGACGACGAAACGAGGTTGGCATAGAGCAGATAACACACGAGCTGCAGGTGAGCCGACTGAGTTTCTTCCGCAGAAAGTAGGACCGTCTGCCAATAGGTCAACTTCTCCAGGAAGGGTAACGACTCTTGATCGTGGATCGATGATAGACTGAGGAGGACTGTACGGAAGACAACCGCACGGATAATCGCAATGGTTTGCGCACAGAGACGAACACTTTTCAACTTCGCGATGTTGGGGCGCTGCAAGTACTCTAATATGGATCCTGATAGGTCGAGAACCGGGTCCGCACCCCCAATAAACCATCCTTCGAAGAGGGCCTCCTCCAGATGGGTAAATAATCGTGCGAGGTTGATCAGCACCCTGGGTTCAGCCAGAACTTTCTGATTCAAGGCTATGTGGTTCGCCAGCTGGGAGACGGTGTTTCTCAGGATCCATGTTTCAAAGTATGATTGGTGTTCGATGAAGCCGGGTGGTGTTTTTAAGAAGAGACCAAGTCCGAGGAAGTCTTTTCTTAAAAGAATCTGATCCAAAAACACAGATATGACGATTTCTAGCAAGCTCTGCACAATCGAATGACCCTCGTTGAATTCTGGGGCTTTGCCCACGGCGGAGCCAGAGCCATCCCCATGCGACAGCCCGGTTCCACTACTGTGGGAATGAGCCTGCTCTCTGGTAACGAGGACAAAAGAGGAACCTCTGCGAAGTGTTTTGCCTCGTGTCGCGACTGAAGGTGCTTCGGTATCCGCGGTGCGGATGACAGGAGGCGTGGTAGACAGTGGATGAACAACGACGTCGCCCCCATCGAAGGTCAGCATTGAATCTCTGGCGTCGAGCTCCGTCCTGGCCTCGACCACGTCGGATCCGACGACCACGGGAAAAAGGACGGCCAGAAGATCTTGAATGTAGGACGAATTTGCCGCATAGTCCCGGAACTTCTGAGACCGAGTATGGAGGTCGGCGAGAAATCGAACGACCGTGTTGAATGTCTCGACGTGCTGGCCGGTCACGATCGTCAGAAGTGGATTGGGTGGTGCCATTGTCGACATGGACAGTCTTTGAGGAGGTTGATTCGATTCTTCCAGCGGCGGTGCTAGCATGGAAGCGGCTTGGTGTCTCTTTGACGAAACAATAGTTTTGAGACCACTCTGCAACATGGCCATGATGACCTCGAGAATTTCAGGATAAACAACCGAAAGTTCTTTCTTCGCGGCGAAGAGGTCGATGAAACCGAAGAGATCAAAATTTCTGTCTAGGTGCAAGTTTGCAACATCCAAGTCGAAGAGAATGGCAAAACAGGCAGGCCATAAGGCGGGTAGATGCCACCATCTCTTCAAACGATACGCCATGATTGTAAAACCCGACGTCTTGGAGCTATCCTTAAATTTCTTGACGTAAGCATCCCCATGCACAACCAGCAGTCTCGCTAAAATTCTCATGGAGAGCACCACCACTTCTGGAGAAGTCTCGGACAGGAGATAGAGAAGCCATTTGTTGGTGACGGTGTTGGCAAACTTTTTGATCATGGTATCATCGCCTTGGCGGCACAAAAACTCTGAATATAGCCGGAGAACTTCCACTCCAATCTCGAAATGTGACAGAGTGGGTGTTGCTTCATCTTTGCCGCTGTGAGATGATCCAGCCGACGAACTTCTTTGTCGAGCTTCTCTTCGAGAAGGCTTTCTGAATTGTAATCCCGCATTTCGCTTGTTGACGGAGAACGTGATGAACAGAGCAAGCGACCGGAGCGTTTCCGCCGACAGTGAGCGAGGCAAGAGAACTTTGAATGCTCCCATGTACATGGGCATGATTGCTTTTGCCACAGGCTCAGCCTTGAGAGCTTCCAAAAGTCGCTTCAATACTCTCATTCTCGACAACCTTTTCAGATTAAAACGTTTGTATTGACTTTGATCGGCAAACACCAAAAATTGATCAAAGTATAACTGCTGGACTGGGAGAGGCCCACACCTCCAAATGCTGCTGTCCGCTATCAAGACTTTGTACGCCAGAGGATTATTGATGACCGATCTTGACAAGTCTTCCGAATCATATCCGGTGAACGACAAGATCGATTTCAAGACCCGTAGACACAGCCCGTTCCTATCGAGGCGAGAGGTGGGAATGGCTCCCAGCGGCTTCCCTGGGTCTCCGTTGTTCTGGGAGGGAGCGGCGAGCTTCTCTTTCAATAGCATGGCCAAGATGGCATAGCCCCCATCTCTTTCCATCACCTCGCTGTTTCTCCAGCTGTGACGCACGGTCCCTAAAAGAATATCAACCGCCAGTGCGACATCGTCAGTGGTTCGAGCTCGTTGGACGAGTCCAAGTCCGATGGCGCCGCAACCTCCCAAACGCCAACTGGCATCATCCAGAGATTGTGGAACGGCCACTGTGGGGCCCCCCATCAGCATGAACACACCTCGCGCTTGAGTCAACGCATCGTTGATGGCCGGGACCGCTCCGTTGATGGCCACAGCATTCGTTCCCGAGCGGGTATAGGCTACCAAATTTTTAGCGGCCAATTTGGACAATGACTTAACCAATTGAGTCTCATCGATGTGGTTTCGATCGTCATTGTCCAGGATCGCGGCGGGAGATATATTGATCAAAATCTTATCCTCCCGGATAAGATTGCTGGCCTTTTGTCTGATGGCCAGGATGAGCTCCGACTGGTCTTCCTTTCCTGGGTGCAGCATCTCATTTCGCAAATTTAATGCAGCAGAAGCCTGGTAAGTCTGAAATGATCCCAGACAGTCTTGGAAATTTCCATGGTATTTTGGGCCGAGATGGTGGAAGACAGCCACCAAATCATCACTCATGGTTTCTTGGAAAAGAACTGCGGAACCCAACGACCATTTGGACGAGCAAGTCGCCCCAGCGGATATAGGGGACAGGTCCTGAGGAGTACCAAAAAAGGCTTGTATTTTGACGGCATTTTGGCCACGATCACTTGGTGGGACGGCAGGATAATTTGCCTTTTGTTGTTCCACAAAATCTCCATCCACAAACAAAAAAGCTCTCGAAGAGGAGGTGGTCCTCGGTCTTTTGTGGACCACACAAATGTGATACCATCGGTCTGGCTGGAACGCAACAGACTTGAACCTCACGCTAGGTCTGGTTCCTTGTATCGCGGTCTGAAGAATGAGATGGTGGGTATCTTTCTCGAGGTATGCCAATAGAAAACAGGTTTGGCTTCTATCAAACGCACCGAAAAGAGTGGTATGTGCCTGGCTGTCAAAGGAATCGAATCGGGCCCAGAGACTTAAGGTGTAGCCACCACTATCGAGAGGAGGGAACGGTCTTCCCAGTGTCGCAAGCTCGGTGGAAGCATACCCCTGTTGCGACAGATCGAATTGAATGCTTGGCGGCTGCCGGGAGGCATCAATTGCCTCGAGGAGGAATGATGCCGCATCGGACGATACCGCTGCCTGGCTGAAGAGAAAATGGGCATCATCTAGGCTCGAGACACCCTCTTGACATAGAATCAAGGCAGCTTCCTTGAAGAGAGTTCTTTCGAATGCAGAAAGACGCTCCTCAAACGCCAACTTCAGAATGGCCGTTAAAGTGCCAGCAGTGTGTGCAGAGACAATGTTATACCGCGATCGTGATAGAGTCTCTTTGAGGCTGAGCGGCAGGGCAAGCCGCACCAACCGTTGTGAAATAGAACCACTTTGGATACCAGCAGTCCAGAGGGCGAGAATGGTAGGTAGCATATCTGGCACTGCTAGATCGTCGACACTTGAAACTGATTTTGCAACGGCACGGCGAGTGGAAATCACGGCTTCATCGGAGAAAATATTTCCATCTCGAGGCTTGGTTGACTTTTCCACGGCCGTGTAGATATCGTCAATCATTTCTACGCCCGCCACGGTCGCGAAGAGCATCCCAAAGAGCTGTTCGAGGTACAACTCCTCGCTGATCGGGCAGGACAAAATGGCGAGGACTTGCTCCAGGGTACGTTGCAGGGAGTTCCACCCGCCACTATCCACCTTCGTCCTGAAATATCTCTGGTTCCCATCATGGCCCTCCAATGCAGCGCCGAGAACAGCGAACCATTGTGAAAGCGTCTGGAGAAAGGTCTTGATGTCGGCTGAAGCGCCTTCCTGAGCAGCATACTTGTCAACCAGTGAACGAAGCAGATGAAGGAGTGCCTGAAAACCACCAGCCCGTCTGAAACCACTGTTCGCACCGTGAATTTCACTGTCGTCCTTCAGATAATGCCGGAGCTGCTGCAGACACGTAGACTGGTCGAGACTGTCTTGCAGAGCGTCATAGGAGGTGCTATCAAGACGTTCCAGGTTCTTCACAAGTAAGGCTATGTCTTTATCCTCTGGGCGAAGTATATCTGCGGTCGAGACAGCGCGCAAACGACTATTAACGGCGAGGCCCATGTCGTTCCAACCACCTCTTATCTGGCCCAAACACCGCAGACTGCATTCGATTCAGCAGCATAAGGAGTTCTGGGACAGGTATGACTTGATGAGGGGATTAAAAGGGAGGGAGCATTGTCAGATGCTAGTCCTACAAGCAGGCTGGTCAGCATCAAAGAGCATGTATTGTTCGAGGTGCTGTCAGTGGGACCCGGAGCATTCGAGTTGCGAGAGATGAGATGGTGTCGTTCGCAGGCCTGATATGACAGAGAACCTTGACAGTGAGCTCGGCGGGCAAAATAATAATGAGCCGTGACGATAATTGTCCAGATTTGTACAATAAGGAAAGATCGTTACATTGTGCACTCCATGGAGAACTCGACAAGCCCACCATGGGATGTGTGTAGGGCAGTTTGCGAAATTGCGGTAACAGTGACATCCCCGAACGGATTCGGGTACGTATAAAGCTGTGTGGCCCCCATTTCCTATTTCCACTTCGAACATAGCATCAAGGATTACACTACGACAAATCCTCAATGGCCAGAACGGCCATGGCTGTGAATTCTTGCCTAGCTCTTATACTGTACCATCCCGCCATGCTTTTTGAGACGTGAACGAGTCCATACGGAGGACGGTTCTCCGTACCACTTACCGTATGTTAGGGAGGAGTGGGATGGTTCAGGAGGCTTAGTTAAACCGTGGCAGGTCGAGTTCGCAGTGGGAGTGCTGACTAGCCTCTTAGGCCACGAACGTAGGGAGGTCGGGCGCCGGGCAATCCAGCCTCAGTGCATTAGCCTCAACTATTGGTAGCCTCCCGAATGCCCCCGGTATGGATGCGGTTTTGGATTATCGGGTATCCCAGTGCGGGTAGTGGTCATGTGCCTGCTGGAGGTCTCCGCCAGCGAGCCTGGCCTGTCTTTGCTCCATCAAGATCCGTATCATTCATCATTTGCTCTTCCGCCTATCATCCAATCCATCTCCATTCGGTTCCTCTCTCTATCTCATCCCATTCATCACTTCTCCCGACATCTTCATCTCTCTCCATCTCTTGAACTGCCCTTTCAAGTCTGCGCCAGTCGTCCTTCCACCCGCTCTCCGAGTTGCATAGTCTGTCCTTGTCCATCTCGTTGTCACCATGAAGGGCATCCTGGGCCTTTCACTCCTCCCTCTACTGGCGGCGGGTTCGCCAGTCATCGTTGATACCATCCACAATGATGCCGCTCCTGTCATCTCCTCTTCTAACGCAAAGGAAATCCCCAACTCGTACATGGTCATCTTCAAGAAGCACGTCACCGAGCGGGATGCTTCTGCTCATCACGCATGGGTCCAAGATGTCCACCTCTCACAAGAATCCCGCAAACAAGAGCTACGGAAACGCAGCCAGACTGTATTCTCTGATGATACCGTCTTTGAAGGCCTGAGACATACCTACAACATTCCCGGTGGCCTGTTGGGCTATGCTGGCTACTTTGACGAAGATGTCATCGAACTCGTGCGCAGGCACCCAGATGTAAGTCTCAGCACGTTTCTTCATCTCCCATCGTTCAGATAAGCCTCAATTGAGCTTGCATCATCTCTGCGATGGTCGTGCAAACCTGCTGGCATTCTCAATCCTGTCGTATTCGACTTCTTGCCCCTTATCGTCGCTATCATGATTCAACTCATGCTCACGTGCCTGCCTAGGTTGAATACATCGAACGGGACTCGGAAGTCCACACGATGAAAGAAACCCCTTCCCTCGAGAAGAACGCTCCATGGGGTCTGGCTCGTATTTCTCACCGTGACGCCTTGAGCTTTGGAGACTTTAACAAATACCTCTATTCCGAGGATGGTGGCGAGGGCGTTGATGCATATGTCATTGACACTGGCACCAACGTTGAACACGTCGACTTCGAAGGTCGTGCCAATTGGGGCACGACCATTCCCACCGGCGATGAAGATGTCGATGGCAATGGACATGGCACACACTGCTCGGGAACTATCGCCGGCAAGAAGTTTGGTGTTGCCAAGAAAGCCAACATCTATGCTGTCAAGGTCTTGAGGTCCAACGGCTCCGGTACCATGTCCGACGTCGTCAAGGGTGTCGAATGGGCTGCTACCGCACACAGCGAGGCCGTCTCGGCTGCCAAGAAAGGAAAGAAAAAGGGCTTCAAGGGCAGCGTTGCCAATATGAGCTTGGGTGGTGGCAAGTCTCGAGTCCTTGATCTTGCTGTCAATGCCGCCGTTGATGCCGGCCTTCACTTTGCTGTCGCTGCTGGCAATGACAACGCCGACTCTTGCAACTACTCTCCTGCGGCAGCTGAAAAGGCCATCACTGTCGGTGCATCCACTTTGGCCGATGAACGAGCTTACTTCTCCAACTTCGGCACCTGCAACGACATCTTCGCCCCTGGTCTTAACGTCCTTTCGACTTGGATCGGCAGTAAGTACGCCACCAACATCATATCCGGAACCTCAATGGCGTCTCCTCACATTTGCGGTCTTCTCGCATACTTCTTGTCGCTCCAACCAGCTAATGACTCCGCATATGCTGTGGCCGCCATCACCCCTAAGCAGATGAAGGCCAACATGATTGCCATTGCTACTGAAGGTGCTCTTGCCGATGTTCCTGATGACACTGCCAACCTCGTCGCCTGGAACGGTGGTGGCAAATCCAACTACTCGGAAATCATCAACGACGGCGGCTACGCCGTTGACAAGGGCTTCTCTCCCGAAGACTACCTCAGCGAAAAGACATCCGAAATCAAGGCCGAACTTAAGCAAATTGCAGCCGAACTTGAGGCTCTCATTGAGAAGTCTTGAGGAGCTGTGGATTGAGGATGGATTCATTCCGGCAATTCAGCGCTTCGTCGACATTGACATGGGTTCTTTCCAGCCACGGGATGTAGCACGACGTGGGAAAAGAGGCTTTATCCTAGATTGGTTTGGACTGTATGGATTGGGGATCACGTCTATATCTCATTATGGTCACTGCTATGGGGTTATTGATCTGGCGTATTCGACCTTTACGGTCTTATATTCATATACAATCGTATCAATCATGAACGTCGTTTATAGACCCGTATTCATCAATCGTTTTCGACCTGTCCTGCCCTCTCAATGCCATCGCTTTTCACACGTTCTGCTGGTAGACGTCGTCTTGCTCTGAGAACCATCACTTCGAGAATAGCACCAGCCTAGTCTATCTAATACTGTTCGTCCCCCACAACGGTGCGTCTCATTATGTGCATCCGAATTCCTCTACGTCGTCTTCCCTTCTCCTTTTTCTTTCTCTTTCCTTCATCCACATCGACATCGACCTCTGCTCAGGCAACCCCTTGAACTCCCCATTACGCACCCGACTTACAGCCCGCAATTCCCCTTCCATCGCTTCCTTGAAAAGCTCCTGGTTCTCTTCGAACGTCCCGGTTCCTGGAGTCGGGACAGTACAGGTACGTCCACAGGTCGGCGAAAGCGTTCGTGGCCTCAAAGACTAGAAATGGGCAGTATTGGAGGCTGTAGAAGTCGGTATGCGAGAGGAATGTGATGGCAAAATTGGCCAGGCCCAGATTATCACGCCGACGGCGGCGCCTTGTGTCCAAGCAGTTGAAAAATAAATCTCGGCCGGGATCAGCAGGAAGGAACGAGCCATCCGATCCCAAAGACCGATGTTGCTAGGTACAGGACCACAACTCCTCGGATACATGTTGCGAGGACTGGGATTGGGAATTGGTGCGCCAGACCACCCGAAGATCATGGGCGGACCAGACGACACGGCGAGCCAGAATGCGCCTTGCACCATCAGCCAGCGCCGGCCGACGCTATCAATCAGCAACCACCACCGTCATAATGACCAGGTAGTCCATATAGTTGCCCAGCGTGATGTACTTGGCGGTCGAGACATTGAAGCCCAACGGCTCGATCGCTTGCGGTCCGAATGGCATGCCGCCAGGCCAGAGCATGTCAACATATGAGACGCGGACCTTCTCTTTGCTCTTTCCGGCGTGCTGTCACAAGCTCCTCGATCCGTTGCTCTACTTGGTCTTTGCCGAAAACTCGTCGAATCGCACGTTCGTTGTCGCCTTGCAATACATACCATCGCGGTGTTTGGAGTAGGAGGTTGGCTCCTACGAACAGCACGGTAGGGTATATCTGCATGACGATGATGGGAAGCCGCCAGGCCCATTCGCTCGATTTCCCCCGCGAGTGCGTCAGCCACATGTTGACGATAAAGGCCCGCTGAGCCCGAGTATGTTTACTTGAAATCCTTGGGCCGGAGCCGTGCTGCATGCGTCGTCTTCTTGGGGCTCCCGGCTGTATACTAGGACAGTAGCACCTCAGCCTGGGTGTCGACCACAGGCCCCGTATAAACCTTCCCTCCCCCGAGAGAAATAATACACCGCTCCGCCTCCGATCCAACCTGCAAGGACTACCGTCGAGTAATTCATATTTTGAGGCGTGACGGGCTGGAAGTTCGGGAAGGTGCTGAAAACCATGGCGAACACAAGCCACATGATCGCGAAGATATTGATCAGCATACCACTGATCCTGCCGAGCTTGAAGGGACCGTATTCGCTGGTTGAGAGTCTCGGGCGGCCACATAGCAACATATACACGATCGGCAGGATATAGGAGAGATACATGCCAATGATAGCCATTGAAAGGATGGCGTTGAAGGCCGTTGTGTTCCCAAGATAAATGAAACCAAGCAAGGCTTGGAGGACGGAAACCAGTACGATCATACGTACGGGAACCTTCAATCCGTCGTGGACGTGTGCGAAGTATTTTGAGAATGGCACTGACTCGTCTCGAGCGAAAGCCCAGAACGTACGGCTCGTGGAGGTAAGGCCAGCAGCGTTAGCAGCCGTTGCTATCAGGCAGATGATCAAGGACAGAATTGTTGCTCCGACTGTGGAATCCGTGACATTCAGGTACAGTTGCATGAAAGGAAAGCCAGTTGGGGACTCGCCGTGCAAAATATTACGTAACAAGGCAGTTCGTGCTTGTGCAAGTGAAGTGGTGCTTTGGTTGATCTTAATCATCATGTCCTATTGATGCGGTCAGCATATTTGGTCTCATTCCTGGCGTACAAGTGAATACCCTGTACCATTTTGGCTGCACAATGTTGAGTGGCTGCGACGGAGTCCCAATCATGAATGGTCGACTTTCCCATTTGGGTCGAAGTTCGGCAATGGATCCGAGATTCTGGCGTATTCCCTTCACTCATCTCTACTCTATACTCGGTAATTTGGCCTTGCTCTATCGATAGAAGCGATACCGGCAGATAACGTAGCCGAAGCGAGCTGCTCGCAATAATGACCAAGCTCGTCGCTAACGACCCAGAAAGCGAAATCACAACTAATGAGCATTCGACTGAGACCTGGCCAACGCGGACAATTCTTTAACAGGCGTGCGGAAACTGTGGCCCGCGAGGCGTCGAAGAGCGTTGAGCCCGGCCCCTGAACAACGCTGGCGGTCTGCTGGAAGTGGGGGGAAATTTTATTCCGGCGCCCGCAGTAAGCGAGAAAGCTCCAGAGAGGACTTCATCCGTACTAGGAATAGATGAGCAAGACGAGCATCACTAGTGGACGGGAGGCCTCGTCTTTTTCAAGCATTGGATTTCTCCATTTTACGTGGAGATGGCTTAAAGCCGGCTAATAATGGCTATGAGGCTGCAATCTAAAGGATCCCCGGAAAATTATCCACCAATGGACACCCCCCCTCGACGCCTTGATTCAATCCAATCTCGGCCCCGGCCTCATTGGGCGCCCCCCCAGAATACCCAGAAACATGTCATCTTCCCTCCACACGTCAGCTGGAAAATCACCAGCACCCTTTAGATGCCGGAGTATGCTGCAGAAGCTATGCAGGTCGACCTCGTTCGCCCGGTACGAAAATAGCCGGCTCCGAACCTCTCAGCTCCAAGTCAGGGCGATTCTCGAGCAGAGCAAGCTCTTCAAGTCGATCAATCACTACTGGACACGTACGACCACTACGTAAAATCTCTCTGCGCCATATCCAAATTCGATCACCTTTAGCCTCTCTCGGCAGTCCCCGGTCCTGATTCTAACAAATTTCCTGTTCCTTTTCACCCCATGCTGTCGTTCCTCCATCCCCTGGCGACACCTGGCCCCCTAGCAGCTCTCCCCTGCAGAAACTAGTTGGCATGCTTTCCATTCTGCGTGTTCTCGCTTGCTTCTTTGGCCATCAAATTGACAACGAGGGAGCTCATCATGTCCCAAAAGGTCGGGTTAGGTGGGAAGCTGATGGCTTGTTTCGTCACTCCCAATCTTGTTCCTTGCTTGCCTTGTCTCCAGCTTTACGACCTTAGTCGCATTTATCCTCTTCTATTCCACCTCGTTCAAAAGTATCATGGTCTGCCATTTGCTCGATGTGGGGAGAGAGAGGTTTTGTTCCGACCGCTTCCAGCTCTCCCGTCGTTACGGTCGTTGTTGTGCTCGCTTGTTGTTTTCTCGTGCTTGTGTTGCTATATCTTCTCCCTCTTCTTGACTTGCCTGGAAACTATTCAAATGATTTATGGTCATCCGTGGGGAAACGGCGCATGCTAACGTGGAAGTGTAACCGCGGGGGCTGCCTGTGAATGCACTGAAATCCTGTGAACTGCAATTTATCTTGAATTGTCAGCACGAATATAATGCGGTCTTCTCAAATCGTTGCCTTCACCTTGCTGGGATGGGTGTTGCCCCCCTTCGGAAGTTGCGATCTAGCTGGATCCAAGATAGAAAAACGACAGGATGCCAGTGATACGAGTTTTCCGACACTGACGACAGATCCTCCGAGTTCGCAAACGGATTCGCCCTCGACACAAGTCCCTGAACCCTCGAGTTCGAAGTTCTCTCAGACGTCGGGTGGGACATCCACTTTGTCTCATACCTCGACCACGAGAGTAGCGACCACGACTAACGCCACCCCGGCCGCATCTAGTGCTGCCGCAAATAACTCGACGACATCTTCTGGCCAGGATGACAAAAACGAACTCCCTCTCCACCCGAGAATCACACCAGCACTTGGAATCGCTGGAGTCTTCCTCATCGCCTTGGGAGCCGTATATGCCTTGATCGGCGTCAAGAGCAGAGGGGTTCAGATCTTCTTATCCGCCGCCTTCCTGGCCAGCACCGCCACTACAGCTCTGGTCGGCTATGTGATGAATCCGCCAGTAAGTAATGCCATTCAAGGAGGTTTCTTTGTCGCCATCTTCATGACTGGAGCTGTCTTCGGGGGTGGAGCCCTCATCTTCAAGGAACTCACCGAGGGCTTGGGCTGCCTCTTGGGAGGATTTTGCTTTAGCATGTGGTTGCTGACATTAAAGCCTGGCGGACTCATCACAAGCTCGGGAGGCAAGGGCGCCTTTATTGGTGGTTTTTGTGTGGTAGCCTGGGCCTTGTCTTGGATCCAATACACCCGACCGTACGCATTAATTGGATCAACATCTTTTAGCGGCGCCACCGCTTTTGTTCTCGGCCTTGATTGCTTCACAAGGGCCGGAATGAAGGAATTCTGGTTTCACATCTGGAATCTGAACGGCGATCTGTTCCCTCTGGATACCAACACATATCCCCTCACCAAAGGAATGAAAATAGAGATCGCAGTGATTGTTATTGGCACGATGATTGGCATTCTGTCCCAGATTAAAATGTGGAAAATCATCAGGTCCAAGCAGCGACAAGGAGAGGTGGGGAAGGAAGAAGGCGAGCGACAACGGGAAGCGGTCGAGGCCGCTTTGGGGCGACACCTTCAGCGTCAGAATGAACGTGAAAAGTCGGAATGGGAGAGACAATACGGCGATCGACTTCAGAGTAAACGCCACACGATCCTGTGGCAGGATGCACATCCAGAAAAGCGATCCTCGAGCGTGTCGGTAGAGGTACTTGGTGCTCCGTCTTCTTCTGCCGATAATTGGGAAGTGAATGCGTTGGGTCCTCAGCGACCCTCCGGGCATGGGCCGAAGTATAAACGACAAAGCTCTGTGGCAGTGGATGTCATTGAAGAGGTGGAAGAAGACCCCGAAGCTATTGCTTATACCGAGCGCCAAAAGGCTCTTCAGGCTCTTGAGGAAGGCAAATCTTCCGATGAACGAAAACGAAGCGGCGAATCCGGCGGAGCCGTAACCACTGGTTTTGATCAGACGACTGCTGAACCAGGAAAATTTCTCGAACCTTCAAAATCCAAACGGCGGTCTCAACAATCATTGTCCAACCTTTCAAAATGTCTGGGTCCGACTTACGGTGCTACGTCGGAGTCTCGAGAGCAACTCCTCGATGTCGAAAGGCCGTATAGCAGGGCTTCGTCGGCAGCAGCCACTTTGGATGAGGACAATGAAGACCTAGATGTGTCAGCACTAGACGCGGATGCGGACGAGAATAAGCATCAAATGCCCGAGATCATTATATCTCCAACCACGCCAAACGAAGGAAGGCTTTGGGGAACATCCACCAACGAGCCCACCAACGAAGAAAACGCCTCATCATCGAACACAGCAAGAAATTTCGGAGCTGCATCTCGACCTGAAGGAAAGGAAGTCGAATCTGCTGTGGACCAATCAACCCGCGCAGACGAAGTTGCTCATTCTAGCGAGAGCGAGGCTGGCGACGGGACAAAGCAGAGCAATAACTATTCTCGCTCACAAGCATCCGAAGGCACCAACTCGAGCGCTGATTCTTTGACCCAGACTGCTCTGGCTCAGATTCCGAACCAGTTGTCAAATGTAGTGTTGTCATATCGAACCAATGAATGGGCAAAACACATTGCCACCGCTGAGGCCCCAATCTGTGATGAGCCTGAGTCGATTGACAACGCTGATGAATTGCCGACCCAACTGGCGCCGCCGCCCATAGAATCTGAGAAAGCGCCTCCCAACGAGCCTACCATTGAGGCGCCACCGGCCGAGATGCTGCCACCCACGGTCCAAGCCGGTGGTGCTGGCGTTGGGATTGCGTCCAATCCCGCTGCCAATCATCGACGTTTCTCGGACCCACAACGGCGCCGAAGTGTGATCAAAGCACCATCAAGGTCCGGATCCTCGCAATCTTTGAAGCTACCTGGCAACCGGAGCAGTCGGAACTCATTCAACCCTGTGTCTACAACCTCCCTGGTAACAACGCCAATCGACGAAAACGTTCCGACCGAGTTCACGGCCTCAAAAATAACCACTCGTCGCGCATCTGGAGGGTCACCGTATCCAATGGCTCAGCGGAGCTCCTCATCACCTGTGCTGACCTCAAGTGGGATGCGACCATACACTTCCCACGGTAGTGCTAGCCCTCATGCCAGGAGCACTTACGATCTTCTGCAATTGAGCAGACCCGCAAGTCATCATACCCATGCCTCCGGTCTGGTCACGGGCACCCGACTTGAATCTTACAATTCTCGACAACCGTCTCGGCGAGATACGCGAAATGACGCTGAACGACGAGAATCTCTACTCGCGGAGTGGCGGCTGTCGCAACAACACCATGCGAGGAGTAGTGGACTCAATGAAACTTCTGCGGAAGCTGGCAGAGCCCAGATGAAGATGGAGAAAGAGAACCAGAAGCTTCTTGAGGAGCATCAACGAAATGCACAACAAAGGAAACAGCACGTAATGGATCAAGTCATGCGAAGACCCGATATGCAGGAACTTCACCGAGAGGCGATGCGTAAAATGCAAGCAAATGCCAACCAGAAGTTGCGAAATTCGACGGGATAAAGGTCCCTGTGATTCACTCATTTAATCTTTCCGCCCTTCCCCCTATATATCGGGCTCTTGCATATAATGGAGTTCAAAAACAAGCTGGATGACACTAATCCAACCAATTAGGCGAAAGCTGGGTATGGGACATGAGGCATTGGGATACGGAGGCCAAAAAGGAGAAATGAACAGGAACAGGAACGGGAACAGGAACGGGACAGGCAATTGGGTGAGTGGAAAAATAAGTCGGTCATTTTCATTTTTGAAGAGCAAGGCTCAGGCTTCACAGCCAGGATGACGAGATACATAACATCGATCATGATACCCCGGATTGGAACAACGATCACCACCAAGTACTGGGAACTAATAGCATCTAGTATCGATATCAAACGGCAATCTTAATCATTCAATCATTCAAGCTTGAAGCCCTCTATTGTTATTTCTGAACTCGTAGATGCTGGGAAGCCTTCCGAGGACATGTTGATATTGTTTCACGGACAGCTGCTGAAAAATGTGTGTCCTAGGACAGTCTCGTCAGATTTGTCGCCAGTCATACTATCCAGACGACAGCCAAAAGACCACCAACTATACCATGTCTACAGAGAGTGGTGACCGACTCCGACGTAAAATCGAGAGGAGTGGATCAATGACGGCCTCGTTGGCCTGTGGAGTACGCTCAACACTTTACGGGGTTCAAAGGACAAGTGAGATTCCAGGCCTCGGTCCTTGCACTGTACCAGGTCTCCACCAACACTTTCAGAGTTATCAACGAGCACGTGAGCCACAACTTCAACAGCCTCATATCAAGGTTGGACAAGGGCGACTATTGGCTGAGTTACAGAGCTTTTGACCCAAACGCACTCTCCCAACTGCTGTCCTTGATGTCGGGGCCTCTGGATTGCTGGACGGAATCGAATCAAACCCAGGAAAGGACAACGGCGATTAGTGAGATGGGAATTCAGGCGGCTGACTTGGCTTTGACATGCTCCTACATTTTCATCACCGATGTGCAAGGCCGAGGAAAGCCAAACCTCGCGGGCGAGGCAATGGCGGAATTCAGGACTTCATAGTTTATTGCCTGTGTTTTGACTACGAGAGACTCGGTTCCTTTGTCAGATTCTGAAGGTGTTTCACTCACAAAAATTCCGCCCTCACCGGTCATAATGGGAATAGGGGATTTGTTGAATTCTGCTGAGAGGTTCTTAGGCGGCATGAGATTTGATGGACGATATGCAGGTGTCACCTTTCGGCGCACCAGGCGTTCGACGAGCGAGCATTCTTCAGGGTTATTAAGTCTTTCCACGTTGCATTACTCCGTACTCAGTACCTGCATCTTGAAGGGTGGCATACGCTGTATGGAGAACTTTGAAAAGCCGTTGGCTGAGACGTATATGGTGGAGGCGAGGTCAACGCTTGAAGGCTTTTCGTTCTAATGCTTTCCTGGGCTTTTGCGGCCAAGCCTGGATAAGTGGCTGTTCGGGCGTCGACCGTTCGGACGCTACGTGAGGCCGCTATTCTTCGTGCAGAAGCGCAGAAATTCAGATTTCTGTCCTCAATCCAGCCCTCGGCTCGTTTGGCTAAAAGCCGTACACCGACTTCGTTATTGTGATGCGCCCCACTGGGTTAACCCGCTTATCTTCGCCCACGCAACCACAACACAGCGCCTTTTGTGCGCTGATAGCCTCTTTAGCTGGTCGGGAGAGCTCCTGGAAGTGATGCGAAGATCACTCGCAAACGGCTCCCCCCGGTCCCAAGGGTTCACCCTGATCCTCCGCCTGCGGCATTCACCATCCGCCTTCCATCATAAGTGCAGGGCTGAATGGGGGGATCCTTATCACCGTCTCTCCTGTTGATTGCTGGTGAAAAACTCCTCCTTTCATACAACGAACCTGGAACAATCCCCAACCCTCTTCATAACTAGGCCGCTGGCTCGAGACATGTTCCCTCAGGCACAGCATCCTCTACCCAAACTTTACCCCTTCCATAGGTAAATCGAGCCACTTCTCGTCATCGCCAAACTTTCCTCGCCAGTCGAGGCTCGCGACATTGAGCCTCGAGGCGCCATGACCGCCTTTGTGGTGGAGTCATGGATATGGTACTCGGCGACCATGTGCATGGTCATGGCACGAATGTATGATCACGAAATGGCGGAAGAATGACCCCGGCGCTGATATATGGCCATAGGGTGGCACGACTGTTACATTTCAAGTCCTTCCTCCGCCTCCAAATTGAGGACTTTTTGATGACGTTCCTGGCAGTAAGTCTGGACTGACTCATGACCAATCCCGTTGATTGAACATTCGCAGTGCCTTTACACGATCCTGATCGTCTTTCTCAATGTTGACCTGAATGTCTCCACCAATCTGATCGATCCCGCTCATCCTGTCGAACTGACACCCGAGGAGATTTCCAAACGAACATGGGGCGCCAAAACTGTTCTTCTCGTCGAGCAATGCATGTGCGCCGTCCAATGGGGGACGAAAACATGTCTTCTCCTTCTTTACTGGCGCCTTACTCAGAATCTGAAGCAAAATCTCGTGGTCAAATGTGCAGCGGTATACGTTGGGGTGACATATGTGGTGATGGAGATATTGTATTTTGCGGTCTGGTGCCGACCATTTCACGACTATTGGCAGACTCCGACGGACAATACGCAATGTACTACGGCGCTGCACCATCTCATCACCAATCTGGTCTTCAACCTCACGAGTGATATCCTGATTATGTCCATCCCCCTCCCCCTGTTCCTGAGGGCGCATCTGGAGCTCAAGCGGAAGGCCCTCCTGGTTTTCCCATTCAGTCTGGGAATGTTCACCATTCTCTGCGCCATTCTGAGCAAGCGATTGAGTTTTACTCAGCCCTACAGTTCCGAGTGGGTGTATTGGTACTGCCGAGAAGCAAGCACGGCCATGATCGTGACCAACATGCCATACAGTTGGGCATTGATCCGAAGAATCTTCAATCTTCGATCATTCTTTGGCGATTCGACCGCCGACCAAATGCAAGGAGGCCAGCCGACCGTGATTCACGGGCACAGTGCTGGAGCCTTTGCGCTGGAGGGTCGGCCACGGTCACGACAAGCGAGTCATGCCGAAGGACGATGGAACTTCTCCTGGCAGCAGCTGAAACCTCACCAAAAGCACCGTGATGACGCTAAAGAGCAAACGACACCCCCAACACCGTCATGGCAGACTAGTGCGACGGACAAAGACAAGGAAATCAATGTCGAAACCACACCGGCTTCGGGCAGCAGCAGTAGTGCTGGATCTGTTCGAAAGCCCCGGGTGGCATCCAGCGTGGATTGGACCATCGATCGGCTGTACCCCTTGGACGATGAAGAAGTTGCGGTACCGGATGTAACACGACGACGGTACGAAGGTTGATCACCTTCAGTGCAATAGAATTCGAACTCCAGTCCGGGGGAAAGCAATAAAAAAGCAAGTCAAATGCAATTCGCCACTTCCCACCTCCAACAAGTGAAATGTGTGGATATTACTAGTGTTCCTTTTTTGGGAGCGCCCTAGGTCTCGCCAATCTCCTCCCTCGCGAAAGGGATGCTCCTCTGCTTTACCACGCCGAGCGGAGCTGATACACAAATGACGCGGGTATTTGTTCTGGGAGGGTCACGGGACTTGCTTATGTGCTCGTAAATGTCCCCAAACGGACTAGTCTGTGGCGTTGATCTTGGCGGGGAATATGACGGAGACAAACGCAGCCCGCCGGCCTTTTGTCATTGAATTCTTTCACCCTCCATCACCGCAGATTAATTGACTCATACAAAGAGCTGTCATCAAAAGACTAACTCAACGTCACTCGTTTTCGGAGAGGTAAGCTTCGTTCGACTCGACTCCATCTAGCTCTCACAGCGAAAGGGGGCTCAGGGCGATGGCTAACTCGGGCGCAGCTTCGCGGCTGAATCACCAGCATCGACGAGACGGTCACGGTCACTTGCATTCGCAAGACCAGCATCTACGCACCTACATTCGGTATCACGACGGGGAGCAAGTTCTCTATTGGCCTGAACCGATCGATCAGCCTCCCTCTTCCCCAGATCCAAGTCCAGCTCCGGCTGCACCATCTCTGCCTCGACCAAGTCCTCCACCTCATCCTCCACCTCCACCCAAAAATGTCGCCGTCATCAAACGCCTCCCTGCCCATCCGATAATATCCACCACTCCTCAATACCGTAGCAACGACTCTCTCCTGTTCCCCATCACCCCGCCGCCTCTTTGCATCCATAAACCCGAGATCCCATCGCCTCAGCCTCCAATGTCGCGCTCAGTGCGCCTGCTTATTGCCTCCATCGGCAATCCACCGCCCTACCACTCCACCCGGCACTCTGCGGGCCATATCCTCCTCAAATCGCTCGCGACACAGCTGCACATGCGGTCACTTTCCAAAAACAAAGTCTTGGGATCCGGAAGCGTCAGTCTGGGCGCGGACGTAGGAACTCCAGAGTATACTTTGTGGCAGAGCGCGAGTATGATGAACGTCTCTGGCACCGGCACGCTCAAAGCCTGGAAAGAATTTGACAAGATCTATCCGTCTTCCCTTGAGTTTGTGACGGCCATGGTCATCCTGCATGATGAGCTGGAGTCGTCGGTCGGCACCATCAAACTCCGGCGCGGCGAGTCGAGTCCCAGGGGCCATAATGGGATTAAATCGATCCAGTCGGCCCTGAAGTCGGCGGGCCTCTTATCTTTGCTGGGTGATCGATTTATGAAGATCGGGGTTGGGATTGGACGGCCAGCATCGAGGGAGAAAGACGATGTCAGTGCGTGGGTGTTGGGGCAGTTGACGCATGTGGAACGGAGCAAGATCGAAGCTGCGACGGAGAGCGTCTTGGCTGTGATTGGGAGTGAGATTGCGAGACTGGAAAGAAGTTGAAGTTGGGACGTTCCAGCTGAAACTAATAACTCCAATGGGAAGAAGACATACGAAGCAAGGTCTCTCTTCCTGCTATTGCTTTTGACGATGAGGCGCCTTTCCCTTCCACCACGGTATTCGCCGTTTGCAGAGTTGGAGCTTACATGATTGCTATCTATCTATGCTACTCACCTTGTTTGCAACTCTCGATATCTAGGTGTATTCGGGTTTGAATGAAACTTCAACCAACCCGGGGTCGGGATCGGAGTCGGAATTGGGATTGGGATTGTTGTAGACTATGATACCCCCATTTGCGCGTTAGAGATTTTGGATGATGGATGATGGAACTTTTGCCGAAAGCTGAGCTGAGCTGAGTTGAACGGCGCTAGATTACAACTACATCTCGGTATCTTAGGTACGCAGACATGAACGCATGGGTGACGAAGGGAATCAATTGTACCACCATGACCACCGTACGAATATACGAAGCAGTCGTAATCGAGATGAGGGTGACACCTAACTGAATTTACTGACTCACAAAACGGTCATTCCTGCTTGTGTATTGAGTCCCCCACTGCCGCCTTGAGGAGGACGGGCGAGGTTGAGTGGTAGCGCTGCTGTCGCGGCCGATATCTCTTTTTTATAAATTTTATTTTTACCTATCGATCTATCCCTCCGGAAACCTTTGCATTTGTTATCTTCCTTGATTCCGTGTTGTTGACTGGTTCACTTCGCTTCATTTCATTTCAAATTTTCCGGTAGAATCCAAGAACCCGATTTCATTCCTCAGACCAGAACGCCGAAGTTGTGTCAACGCCATGAATTGAGGCTCTGGGTCGTCGTCTGAGAGGAGTCAGATCGAAATCCGACCCGAGCCGTTAACCGCGAGCCGTGTAGGTGTAAGCGAGGTGCTTGGACTTTGTGGTGTGAGATCAGATCAGATCCCTAGGCTGTGATGGAGTGTGGGTGGGCAGATGAGTGAGTGGCGAGATTGAGAAGTGTAGCACATATATGTGTAAGGAAGAAAAACGTGGGCTGAGCATTTGATGCCAACTCATCACCGCTGGGCAAGACACCGTATCATCTCATTCATGCTCGAGGCTCGTTCAGCTCGCATGGATGTAAAAGGTGCATTTCCATTGACGTCAAGAGTCGAGCCGGAAGACATCATGTCACCTCAGCTGGGTGTCGAATCCGGGAATTGCTCGTCTTCTGCTCTCAATGGTTGCTTGCCAGGAGACAATGGGAAAAAGATGAGATTATGTCAAATCATGCAGCTTGCTGTGTTGTCAGATTTGAGTTTTCCTCCGTTGCTGAGCCAAGGACGTGAGGCTGAAAGGTTTTACAAAGATAGTATAATAGGATTCACTTTGTCAAAGAATGGATTGTGTATGGAATGGAGTACGGGCCTGGGGTCCAGGAATACTGAATGATGACCCCGGGGGCCAAAGAAGTGTATGTATTGCGTACGTATTGTGTGCAGCGTTTCTTTAATTGGAATGGTATTGCATTGGGCCGTCTTGTCTCGTCTATGAATACTGATCCGAGTGGTCGGTCCCTTCACAGGCGAGTAGGCAAAGAGAGGCTCCGGAAAACTGAATAGGTAGACAGGATTGGTTCTTTTCGCTTTTGATCTATGACACATGGTGTCGCTGGTCTTGCTGATTGTTGCTCGATTGGAGATTGCATGATCGAGCTGGATGCCAGTGGCCTGGACCGTGAGAGATGATGATCGACCGGTCATTGGCATCTTTGAATCTCCCCTTTTCTCCATTCACTTGGGAGATGGCCTTTGAGGGCCAATCGGTTTCAGGATGCCAGCGACATCGTAGTGGCCTCGTCCCATGTTGATTGGAGACTCCATTATCTTGGTGAATTCCGTTGACGAAAGAGGAGGTAAGATGTTGCGGTGCTCGGAGCAAAAGGCCACTGGAATGTTGTTTCAACTGTGGGATGTAGACGACAGAGGAAATGGAATGTGATGAAGAGAGGAATGGAAATGGCGTACAAGAGACGAGGGGCTTTTTATGCAGGTACCGACGGCATCGGTGACGCCGTCATATGAGATTCGGTATACCAGGGCTTGGGAGATCAGTCTTTCGTGTTTCCTCTCTGTGTCAGCCGTCGAAGATGCGGTGACTGTGTGGCGTTTCGGTACCGTGCACAAGACCAGAATCGAGAGCCATCCACACACCAAGGGTATGGGGGATACCGCTGCTTTTCGTGTTGTCTGCAATGCGATGCATCATGCAAGGCAAGGCCAGGCCGGGTTCAAGGCATCCACAGTCACAAGCATAAAACCGAAAATTCGGTGTCATGTTGTGGGGTGTAGGGGTGAGAGTGGGTTGCCCAATGGAGTGACTTTCTGGACCGACGACATGTCGTACGCCCGATTTTTTTGTTTCCGCCGTCTCTGGTAAGGCCTTCAGACGTGGGAAAGAATGAAGCATCGGTCTATCCAGTCTTTTTCGTGTCATTGTTTGCTTGCATTAACAGTCTGTAAGAGTGTGAGAAGTTGAGGTCCAGAAAAGCGGTGAGCAGGCTGACGGCGCCAACTTCCCGCCCCCTGGGTCTCTGCACAGTCTTTTGGCCTCTCTGTCTTTCACTCTTTCTTTTTCCCACGCGCAGCTTGATTCCTAATCTAACGCTGCTTTGAGCATAATTCGCGACGGCATTCAGGGATCAAGCTGACTCGCTTCGGGAGTATCGGCGCCATCTCCCGCTCTTTCTTACCCGCTTGAATACGATCACCTTGGGAGGCAATGTGGAGGATGGTGACATGAAACGAGAATACGGGGAGCTGTGAGGATAGAAATAGAGGATGCGTCCTCGGATACGACTGATTGGCAGGAAATTTACAGAGGATCAAGAGTAACTTCTGGTCGACGCCTGGGGACGAGGGCATCGACACCGGGAATCCGGGTGGAAAGAAGCCCCTACAGGGTCAGGCATGCAGAGATCAATGCCAGGTACAGTTTGGACTCCTCAACGCTGCGTGCGAGCCCACTAAACTAGTGTTTCTGGAGAGATTTTCATGTCTTCTCGAATGTGCTGAGGCTTTTTGGGAAATTACGTCTGCATGGAGCCCCAGCTTTCTACAGCAGGCATGCTCCCTCCTACTATAATGGTTTATCTCCTCATACTTCATGCATGTCCTTCTTCGTCACACAGCGCTGGCCGCTCATTGAAAGCCCAACCTTTTGTTGGCCCTACAGGTCAACACCTCCTTCAACCTCCACCCCCTGCATCTTTCCCATTTTGAATTGGTTGGCCATCTCTTCAAATGTGCACCATTCCACTCCCTCATGCTGATTGATCCATTCGATCAGTCGCTCATGCATCAAAACAATCTGTGGCTTCCCACTAACTTGAGGATGAATGCTGATAGGAAACACAAAATGTTCGTATTCTCGATAACAGAATTCGAATTGCTCTTGCCAAAATCTTTCGATGTGGTGGGGGTCAACAAAGCCCGAGGAACCTTGTCCACGCAATGGTTGGAAAGCTGGCCAGTCGTCGACGTGCCAGTTGGCTGGGACTTCGACTATGGAAGATGTCCGCAGCACAGACATTGGAGCCATCCAATCACCCGCCGAGAGATTTTTGTAGTCTGTCTCTTTCCAGGTCTCCGGGGGGTACGGGAGATAGTACAGTTGAGAGTCGTGGTGCATGAATGAATGATCATATTCTAGACCAAATTCTTCAAGCAGCTTGACTGAGTTGGGTGATGGCGTCCATGCAGGTGCCGTCCAGCCTCTGGGGATTTTGCCGGTAAAAGCCGTGATGACCTCAATCGACTTCTGCAACACATCGCGTTCCTGCTGAGCGGAGAGTTGGGAGACAAATTCGTGGGTGTATCCATGAAGCGATCTTTCCTTGTATCAGAGAGGCGGTGACCGCGGTCCAGACAAATCAAAGCACTTACATTTCGTGTCCAGCATCTCTTACCTTCGCCATCTGTTTAGGGAATGACTCGATTGAATGGCCAGGAACGAACCAGGTTGCTTTGATTTTGTTGTTATCGAATAACTTGAGCAGCCTATCGGTACCCACGGTGGCCCCAAATACGCCGCGAGATATGTTGGTCACATCAGCAGCTTGACCAGTTTGAGTGTTGATCCAGCCGCTGACGGCGTCAACGTCAATTCCGTATCCAACTAGGACCTTTTTGACCATATTGAGCAATGGAGAGGAGTGATGGATGATGTGATGGCGGCGCCACAACCTGTACGATAAAATAGCCTACCTTGGGATATAGACATCAACATGCGGAGGCAATATGATCATCATCCGCTGGCAAGTCTCCATGTCGAGGAAAGAAGACTATTGACGGAGATGGTCGACGACAAGCCCAAGATAGGTCCTTTAAAAGATTTTGGTCTGACAATGAACTTCCAGCATTTTTCTCCAAAATTACCGGTTGTCAGACACTACATTGGTTGCCCCAACGAATCCGGCGCCGCTGTTTAACATCGCCGTCTGCAAAGGCAGACCATTTGACATTATGCGTTTCGAATGCCACGTCTCTCCCCAGCCTTGATCCGCCAGGCTGCCTGTCAAAATACTCTCCTCCCTCTCCTTCTGCGAGTATGTCGGGACCTTCCCTCGGCTCGGAACGAGCTTCGATGGCTCCGAGAACATGCCCGCGACAGTGGTACAGTCGCCTCAATGCGCGACACAAGCCATGGACCCCGCGTTCATCGTGTCAAAGCAAATATGCTACCTCCGCGACGAGAACATTCACCTAAGAACCCGCGCATAGTCAAATCAAGTTCAACAAAACCCGAGCAGACTGGAGGCATAGGCGAACGAACGCCAAAATTTCATCTAAAGGGTCTCAACACGTGCCACACATTACAAGTCAATAAAGCAACGGGCAGAATAGTGTATAAGGGAAATGATGTCCAATACCGAAGAGTTCTGGCCGCCAACGTCGACAAGCGATCTAGAGGAGTGCCACTGCAATACATTCTCGGTCATCAACCTTTTGGAAACCTTGATATCCTATGTCACAAGGGCGTCTTGATCCCAAGACCCGAGACCGAAACATACACCGAACTGGTTGCCAAACTACTTATCTCGGCGTTTTCCCCCCACGACGGTGGGATTGAGCACAAATCAAAAGAACGAAAGAAGTTGAAAATACTGGATCTTTGTACTGGATCAGGCTGCATAGCACTGCTCCTTCATTCAATACTCAAACCACCGGAATCACAATCAGACCCATCATCTCTCTCACTTTCAGATGTGGACCTCGAGATTCTCGGTGTCGATGCCAGTCGAGATTGCATCCTCCTGGCTCAAGACAACTTGAAACACAATATCTCGAAGCGACTGCTACATTCGGACGCCGCGCAGGAGATTTCCTTCCGATATGGGGATGTTCTAGAATTGGCAAAGACGACAAGTCAATTTGGTGAAAACTGGGATAAGATTCGTGAGACATTCAATAGCAGTTTCCCAGGTCGAGCGGATTTCGACCCAACCAAATCGTGGGACGTAGTCATCTCAAACCCTCCATATGTTTCTCCCAAAGACTATGCACCCGGAGGCAAAACGGAGTCGAGTGTTCGAAAATATGAGCCAAAATCAGCCCTCGTACCTCGAATATCGAACGTGCCTTCCACTAAAGCAGCTTCTAATCGTGTAGCGGACCTATTTTACTGGCCGCTGATGAAGCTTGCTCATGGTGTGGGCGCGAAACTTTTGGTCATGGAAGTTGGGGACTCGGATCAGGCAAATCGTGTTCATAGGCTGGTCTGCAAAAACTTCGGCCCATCACCCGTTGGTCTCCGGCATTCGACTACGGTCTTTGAATGTTGGACCGATGACGGCTCGGTAAGGATACTTCCGGAACAGCCATCTATATTTCACCCAAGTACTCAGAGAGACGAGCAAAGCTCCGACCGAGTAGTAGCCGTATGGATTGGGACTTTGGCAGATTGGCGACGAAACCAATCTGGCTTCACAGAGTCTTCCACCTTCGAAAACCTTCTCACACCCGTAAATGACGGAATCTCGTCCAGGAGACACCGAGCACGCCAAAGAACTGACCGAGCAAACTAAGCAAATCGGAAGAGAGGCTTAGAAGACCAAAAAGATCCCCAGACAAGCACGAGGAGAGATGGAGACAAAGAGTAATCAAAAAACGAGGCCAAAAGAGAAGAGTAGAAGCTAGTAGAAATGGCCATGATTGAAAAGACCAATGTTAGCAGAGAAGCGGTGAGACATTAGCACAAGGACAAGGCTGGGAAATAAGGATGATGATTTTGCTTCGGGCATGCCGGTTCTGATATGTGCCATTCCAGAATTCTAGACCCTACCGGCATTCTGCACGTGTTTTCTGGACACAATGCTTTGGTGACGGAAATGTTCTGCTTGATTTAGCTGGTGTTGCTCCTCACTTCCGTCCAACCATGTTTCTAACGTTTCTGTCATTTTTGAAATTGTGTAGTCGCCTTTTTACACCATGAGTCTCATTGTGTCTTGATACACATTTCAGGGTGGATCGAACCACGCAGCATCCTTGGCACGTGATTGAGACGGGGGGGATTTGGAAAGCTGGATATCCCATTCAACCTTTCGCGGCCGAGGTAGAACACTTCTCCATGTCTTGACAGTCTGGCTGGTCCGAATGGGCTCCAGATCTCGATCGACCCGACGTGGCTGAGGGGGTTGCTTTCAAACAAATTTAATTCGTCTGTCAATTGCAGAGTCAACTGTCTTTATTTGCTCCCCCAGTACGAATCTTGCTCCTTCAACCGTTTTAGCCATCATCTCATGAGCAACGGTCAGACTGGGAAAGGCGTGGAAGTAGTTGGGGAGACTGCATAGTGGTCAATCTTGCTTCTAACGCTGCTTTCCTCAGGCCTCTATTCCAATAGTGTGCAGCCATCTCGGGAACAGTCCTTTCGGCCGTGACAATATAGCAAGGAGGGAACTTGGAGAGATCGTCTGCCGGCAGCGGAAAGTGTCGTGGACTGTTGAAATCGATATCGTAATATGCTGCTTTTTGTTACTGAAGGCCACGTATGGATATTTAAATCCTACTTACACCAAATAAACTTGATAAGTTCGATACCGAAACCGGGAGTTCTAATGTTTCTAACGTGGTGTACATGTGTCTGTATTTGCCGTTGTACTCCCAATGAAGGGCCACAGCAAACAAGAGAACGCATCCTATCACTGAGTTGTTATCGCCTTTGGGACGTGAAGTGATATGTCACCTGCGCGCAGAGGAAAGCGCCAGCAGAGCCTCCACAAAGAATGGTCTTTGATGGATCATCACGTAACTCTTTTGCTTTGTTGTGACACTTTTTCGTGTCAGCGCACCGACGCCAGATAAATGGGACATGGACTGACCCATAGAACCGCCGATGAACTTAGCTGAATGATATCGTCTACTTTTACCTGAGGGACTTTAAGGTAGTTGACGCTAATCACCAAGCAGGGTACTTTTACAGTAAAGATTCGACAATGAGCACCCTCTGTATCGAGATTACCTGCGATGCATCCTCCCCAGCTCGAGCAAACAGTCCAAACAAATATCGGGAGATCCGGCCTCTTTTTGCGTGTTCAGACCCCTGAAAGGAATGAAACTGCCCGGGTTTGCAGGTGCGATGACGCTCGGCAACTCCTCTCCCGTTTGGATGAAGGCTCCCGGTCAATGGTGCCTGAAGTCGAGTAGGCGAGAACTAGCCTTTGGTTTGTAAATGTCGAGATGCGGATAGAAGAGGTGAAAACTCGCGTGTAGATTGCAACAATGGAGGGGGAAGCCCCCCTAGAATAGAGGTTCTTGGCACTAGGCACCAGCTGTTTGACAGTCTGCCTCGCCTCTCCCAGTGTCACGTTTCACACCGTGTGGGCATCACATGGGTTTGGAGTCGGAGGAACTATGAGTACTAGGGGCCGCGGATAGGATATTCTCGGGGGTGAAAGCGTAGCTTTCTGTATTTGACGGAAGTTGTCTTTTATGGGGCTAGTCCCCAAACCCCCAGGCCTCACTGCGTTCGGAGGTTCTCGGTTGAGTGGAAGTGACCAGTAGCTGCAACGGTGCCAAGCCATTGACGCACGTGATTGGGCCCATCACACGGGTCTTGGCAATTCTTGTCGCGACAGGTGATACAGGTCAAAGAAGACCTTGCTCCCAGGAAGGGGGGGGGGCAATCTTCGAGAAAGAAGGAGAGAAGACGCTTTTGGAGACAGTATTTGGCATCTTCGTCAGACATGACAGGAGGAAGAGGGTGGGCAACGTGTCGAGGAAATCCGGAGGCGCGCACCCATCGCGCACCCATCGCGAGATCATGTGATTGATTTCGTCGACCAACTAGGGGCCGCCCCCAAACCCCCGGCCTCGTGATTGAGCCGGCCACATTGGCCTTAGCAACTCTTGACGGCGCACCACATGCGGCCGTACGACGATTCACGTGATTGCGACCCCTCGGGATCTGGAAAATCTATAATCCGACGACTCTGGCGCCATCGGATCCAGTCCACGGGCCAACCCTCGGGCCCTCGTGTCACGTGATTAGCCAAGCCTCCGGAAAATCTATAATCCGAGTATTACGTAATCCTGTAGTTGACCCCATCGGATCCAATCCACGGCCCACCCAGGAATGGGTAGAGCGCGGCCGTAGCCCGGAAAATCTATAGTCCGACACCCAATCACGTGCTCTAGTTGGCTAACTCCATCGGATCCAATCCACGGCCCACTCAGGAATGGGTAGAATGCCGCCTTGGTCTGCCAGACCGCCCTGACCGGATCCAGTCCATGGATCACGTGGGGACGATGTTTAATCACGGTGTCCTATGCCGTACGATATCGTCCATCGGATCCAGTCTATGGACCGTGTGTAGACGATGTTGATCACGGTGTCCTGTGCCGTACGATATCCCTCGTCGGATCCAGTCTAGGGCCCATGAAGTAGACAACGGTATACCCAATTAGGAAAGCCGACAACGATATCGGCGATATATCTAGCAAATATCGATACATGGGGCTTATGAGAGAGCGTGTAGAGGCTTCCGGGCGGGGTCGGGATTGTTCATGAGGAAGAGGGATCGAAAGAGCGTCTGGAGGTTGCGGCTGTGATTCGGGTGGAGAGAGAGAGCGTGTAGAGGCATCCGAGCGGGTTTCGAATCGCCCATGAGGAAGAGGGATCGAAGGAGTCCCGAGCGTACGACTAATCGCCGGTCTTTTCGAAGGCACGTTAGGATCAAGCGACGAGAGAGCTTTCCTCTTCTTCTCACGCAGTCGAGCATTTCGATCACGGCAATTAACACAAGTAACCCGAATCATACTATTCGGATTAGACGGATCTGCCAGAAAAGAAGAGAGGAGGCGTTTTTGGAGGCACGCCGAGCAAAATTTGGAAGCCATTGGTTCGCTGTTTTGGATGCAAAGGTTAGAGTGGAAGAAGAGGTCTACAAAACGCGCTTGTCGACACGCGCCCGAACGGCCGGGGGTGCGCGAAGTCACGTTACCGCGCGTTTTTCTTTTGGCCCATGGTAAGGTCACGTGCGGGGGGGTCGGGATTTAATTGAAAGCTTACGCTTTCAATCAAACGACATAAGTGGCTACCGTGGCTCGGCTCAACGAATTCTAGGACTTTTTGGCACGTGATACCGCATCTGTAGCCCAGGAAATCACACCTGCGGGGTTACCTATTCTTGGCTTGGCGTGTCGCGTTCGCTACGCCACTCTTATGGTGTTTAAGGCAACTTGCACCTCTCGACCTTTCTACTCTCTGAGAGAGATGGACAGAACCAATCATTCAACAGACTGAACAGTCCACTAGAATCAATCGACCGTCTTCTCATCGCCTGATTCTTCCTGCATCTCTTCTCGTCATGTCCCGCTATTCTAGATATCATCAATATGAGCACCTGGTCAAGCTCTCAAGCCTCCCAGGCAAAGTCTGTTACAACAGAAGAAGAGCCAAAAGATATAAGTATGGTGGAGCTGCTCCGCTGGCTGGAGAAAACGTTCCCGAAAGAGTTCGAAGAGAAGATAAAATATATGATGACTTCGGACGAGCTACACCAGTGGTTAGAGAAAAACCACCCGGAAGAGTTCAAGAGGTTGTTTCCGAGTCGAACCAAGAAGGGAACAGCCAATGTCGCCTTCGTACGTTCCCCCTCTCAGACAAGTGCTGTCCTTCGTGCTCTGCAAAAAGACTGGAACAACGTCTATTTTCCGCACTCCTTAGTTGCGCTACAGGACCTTATTCGGCGATACCAGCTACTCGATGTGAGCAAATATTACGCAAAGACCTTAGTATTCGTTCAGAGCAGTGGTATGGGTAAATCAAGATTAGCAGATGCTTTCGGCCAATGCTGTCCGATGATCAACTTCATTCTTCGTGAGTCTGGGACTTCCGGCTTTCCACCTCCTGATGAAGAGATACTATTATTCCTGCGCGACCCGCCGCCAGCCAACATCCCCGGGCCTATCAGTCGACAGGAGAGATCTAGTGATTTTCTGGAGAGGAGAGCAGCTGTAGCGTGGAATCACGCTCTCGCTACAGCGTTACTCCAAGCCAGTTTCGAGACATGTACGTTGCCGATGCTTTTTCATCGAAACTCTCACTAATTCAATCTTATCAGTTAGTACCTGGGTGGAGAGCCAGCCCTTTACGATGATGACTCTAGAAGAGCTTGCAGGTGGTAGGCATACAGAGATGGCAACACTCGAACCAACTATCAATGCTCAAGACGCCAAGAGCCAACGGCCCAAGATACGCATCGAGTTCTGCGATTCAGTAGTCAAGAGAGCTCGAGTTATCGCTCAAGAGTTAATTTCCAACTGGGATTGGATGGGGAAGTTCGACGATGACAGGCCGTCGAAGGTTCACCATCATCAACTCGAAATGGCGCATAGTGTACATCAGCCCAATCCCTTAAACGGTCTTCTAAATGCTGCCAAAAACCTAATGAAAATCCTTCAACAATGTCGAGGCACAAGCAAAACGGGCCCACTCTTAGTAATCGTGTTTGACGAGGCGTCAAGTTTAATGAGAATGCGGCCGTCTGACGAACCAAACACCGGACTCTATGTGGCGCTTAATCGAATCATCAGTTGTCTGAAGAAGTTTCGTGCGTGGTCTTTTTTCCTCTCAACAGAATCTCTCATCGGACACCTTGTACCGCCGAAAAATATCATCCGGACTGGCAATTACCTTATAGACACCTCCGCTCGTGAGAGCCTCACAGAGACCAACACTGAACTGATGCGATTTCCCCCATTTGTGAGTTTTCAGCTCGACATCGAGGACAGACGAAAGATGCAGAATCCAATACTAAGAAAAGAGGAGCTCCTTAAGCCGTTGAAGACATTTGCGGAGCTAAAGCACATGGCCCAATTCGGCAGGCCTCTTTGGCATGCATATGCAAATGAGGGCCATGATATGATCAAATTGGCCAAATTAAAGCTCATTGGCGGCCAGCAAGGGGGAAACTACAATGCATCCGACCGGAATCACGTATTTGCTGCGCTGTCCTTTCGTCTCGCTTTGGATGTATGTCTACAGAACCCCTGCACCATCCCTCTCACAAGGACTGCTGTGAATTCTTTCATGAGGGTGGTTATATCTATGGATCATGAGACCGGAGTGATGGACACAGTGACGCCAGCAGAGCCTGTCTTAGCCAGGGCAGCAATGGAGTATCTCTGCGCCGCTAACTGGTCGCGTAGCATTGAAACACTCTGTGAGGAGCTTCTTGAGAAAGGATTGATAGAAAAGGGGCGCAAAGGAGAACTCTATGCTCGGTTAGTGTTGATCCTGGCACACGATTGGGTTCGATGGGCTCGAAGTATTCGATTACACCGTGTCCCGAAATTTGCACCAACCTTTTCTGTGTCCCATTTTCTCAAGGCATTATATGCTCGAGATCATCACGATACAATTCGAAAGATACCAGAGCAGATACATGAAGCCCGAATGAACTTCACTCATTTTGTACCAGCCGATGAACAGATTACCCCCGAGGTCATTCCTGCATTATGTCGCGACCTATTGCGCCGAAGCGCTGCGATGCAGCTATCTTGGAACCAGGAAACATATGACCTGCTTATTCCCGTGTACTATGGCTCGGAGGATGAGGAGCTCGACCCATCGAATTACGGAGTCATCTTAGTACAGGTGAAGAATAAGAAAGAAGCCACAACACCTCGAGAGATCTTCCAGGAGGACTTTAAGAATATCAGCCCGGAAACGTCGAATCTCGGCAAATCGAAGGCGATCAGCTCTGAGCGCAAGCCCACGAAATTTGTCTTTAATCAGATGACGAACCCGATCCTGTTCCTCCTCTTCGATCTAGGTGTGGTTAGAAGCAACCAGGCTCACGCTCCACTTGTTCAAGTGATGCGCAGCGAAAGTGGACTGCGACCTGATTTATGGGCAATCCATTCGCGAGGATATGATTACACCGTCTTTGGCTGCTTACAGTACATGAATGCTACAGATTCGAGCGAGCGGTTCTTTGCCTCAATAAAAATGGGCGAAACTCTGGCTGACCAACTCTCTCTAAGAAATAAATTATTCCATATGGTTCGGGAAGGCTTCAGATATGAAGAATTTGAGCAAGAAGGGAGAGCGAGTGCGGAATGGAGTGAGGCCAGTGTGCAGGAACAGGGTGTGGATAAGGTAGGAAAAGAACGCGGAGCGGTTGATATCGAAGCGCAGGAAGAGGAAGCAAGCAATATCCGATCGAAGAGAAAGGAAGTGGAAATTCCCCAGGATACCCAGGATACCCAGGATAATCGGTTCCCCAAAAGACCCCGCAAGTTTTTGTAACATGCACAGGGTTTACAGGGTGTCACTAGCACGTAGTGAAGAGGAATTGCCTGTAACACAAGAATAGGGTGTAGAATGGGCAATTCTCTCATCTATCAGAGAGACTGATAAAGGGGCTCTAGTACTCCTTTTCAGAAGGATCTTGCATTGTAGAACGCTGCAGCTGTCTTGGCCCCGAAAATAGCTTTCAATTCTCGACTAGTGGCAGCAAAACCGTCCATGCACGCTAGTCAAACAAAGCGAGCTCGAGAAGAATCAAGAGCCGCGACAGATAAAGCTATAAACTCGTCTGTTGCATCTTACCGAAGAGGAAACCGAACGGTCAATCCCACCAACCCCTCGACCAAAAAATCACTTACGCATACTCCACTATTGACTTGTGGTCCCCTTCTCAAAGCCAGCGTCCTCTCGGTACGTGCTCTAAAGATGTTGCCACGAAAATCTACGACTGTGGCGATAGGGTAATCGAAGACCTCCGCTTCAACCCTTGCAATGATATGATTGCCCAGGACACATTGTCATCGAGTGGGTTCGAATAGAGTTAAGGGAAAGTGTATACAATTATGGCACAATATGAGGCTGACGTAATGATGAGGAGCGTTTACATAGGTTACATTCATCTAACAACAGGTTTGAAATGCATTTTGCGTCTTGTCCGTGTGGACCAATAAAAAAAGCTCCGCTAACGCTACGCTTTAATAAAGGTAGATGATGCGAAGCCGTTACTGACAAGTAGAATAGGAAGGTCGGATCTAGACATCAAAGTTGGGTAGAGTCGCTGGAGTGCATGAAAGGAGATGAGAGATGGGACGCGGTTCGAGCCGATTTTCCGAAGGTCGGACAAGGCTGTTTCTTTCGGTGGCAGTGGGAGGAAATCCAAAGAAACCGTCCCTCCAGGTCCTCAAGGCATTATGGTCGGGGTTGTGTAGTCAAAGGCGCCCGTTGCTTTCGAGGAGTTGGACGGATCCCTTACTGTTTCCAGGGTAGCGACCTTGGCATTGAGGGAAGAAACCCTCCCAAAGCGGCGGCACAGGGCGCCAAATTCGGCGGGAAATTTCCCTGCACCCTGCGTTGGACTGTAATTTTCCTCAGAGCGCCAAAATCACCCATAACCTACCGGCTCTCTTTTGACGGCAGGCAGGAATTTCCCTTGGCCGAGACGATAAAGAGCTCAGGGCGGCAAAATCTGTCTTGACATGATAAGTGTCACCACTCGAGCACGCGGTTCAAGTACCATTATTGAGAATTCGATGGCAGGAAGATAGACTAGAAGTGAAATGCAGTCCAAGTGGTTCATAGTAGAAAGGGGGCACATGTCACGTGACATCGAATTCTAGAACTCTTTGAATTCAGTAGCACTTCGTCAACAGCCCAAAAGAAAGAGCCCCTCACCCCTGCATTGGAGGTTCATGTATGAACATCCAGGTTCGAAGTGCAGGATGAGGTGGTATGGAGTTCTTCTCGTACTATCTTTCTTGTTTCTCTCAACTAATGCCATCTTTGCCGACGATGCCTTCCATATAGATTATCACCATGCCCTTCTCGGCAGCCCGCTGCCTCACACCACCTTCTTCCATAAACCTCACGCCTCTACGAATGCTTCTCTCCTTTATACGATTTCAGATAAGGCTGTTCTGGGCGCCGTCAATCCAAAAGATGGCTCGTTGTTGTGGCGCCATGCACTCGCAGGCCAACCCGTTGATAATACCTCGAGTTCCTTTTTGGTTTCTGGAGAAAGAGATGGCCGACTCATAACCGGATACGATAGGACCGTCGCATGTTGGGATGCGCTAGATGGAAAATTGATATGGGATTACATGGTTCCTGAAGGTACCGCAATTCATGGGTTGCTGGCTCTCCCCGTTTCCACTCCCGGTTCCCCCGGTGCTAGGCAGGATGTTGTGGTTTTGGCGACACCTCTGCATTCGGATGCGCACGCTACCCTCAGCCGGATTGCTGGCGACGGAAGCGGCTTGAAATGGCAGTATGTAGATTCCAGCACCGCCCATGGCTCCTCCATATCGATTGCAACATCCCCCAAACATGTCTACTATGTTACGAAGTCCCACGGTCTGTTGGCCAGCAGCAAGGCGAAGGTTGTCACCCTGGATAATGCCACTGGTCATGAGGTCAGCCAGACCAGTATTGCAGTGGACTCAGAAGCATTGGGGGCCGATGGCCAATATGCTACTGCCGCTTGTTCCAGTTTTCCGTTCTTGATCTCCGCCGAGAAGCCCTTCAAGTCAATCAAATTCAGTCTGCTGAGCAATCCAAAAGCTGTCGCAATCCAATTGGGCGAGCACGGGGACGCGATCGAGGACATTAGCGTGCATCATGCATGCCATCCCGGTGCTGCAGCACATTTCCTCCTTCACATTAAAGGAAAACACTGGCAATGGGCGGAAGTCTATCATGTGGACGCCAAATCTGGTGATGCCACAAAGGCATACTCTTTACCGGCCACAGACGAACGAAGCACATTTGCAGCGAGCAGTAGCGATTCCACCGTCTTCTTTTCTCGCAGCACGGAGTCCGAAGTCATTCTATATTCCTCAGAATCGCATGAGCAACTGGGTCGCTGGATGAAAAAAGACTTCAAGACTTCTCCTGGGAGCTCTCAACCACACGCGGTTGCTGAGGTTGTCGGGAGAGGAAAAGCTAGCTTCGCTGTCCGTATCGCCGAGTTCTCTCCTAGCGGGGATTGGTCTCTGATTCGCAATGGGGAACTGCAGTGGACTAGGCCCGAGATGTTGGCCTATGCTAAAATTGCTGCGTGGTCAGAGAATGGCGGCCCCGATGCTCTAGCGGAGGAGCTTGATATCGAGTCGACCATCAATCCTCTTACCGCCTACGTCCATCGACTCAAGCGACATCTCACTGATCTGATGAGTCTCCCCCAATACTTGCAAGGCCTGTGGGAGACTCTCTTCAAGCCGTCCCCTGACGCAGACGCCATTGCCCGCCAAAATCTGGTGGGCACGAAAGTGGTGATAGTTGGTACCGGCCGTAAAGAATTGATAGCTCTTGATGCTTCCACTGCCGGTGCTCTCAAGTGGCAAACAGACCTGTCTTCCCACATTTCCGACGGCGTTGAGATGAAGTCAATGACAGTGGAGAATGGAAGAGCATCGGTCTATCTGTCCGATGGATGCTTGATAGTGGTGAACGCTACTCAGGGCCGGCTGATCGAGCATCTTCCAGGGACGATCCCTGTCTCAAAGTTGGTCCACATCCCTGGCAGCCCTGCATCAGCCGCAATCAAGATTGGACCCGATGGCATACCTCGCCTAGCAGAGGATTTCGCTCCAGCCAGCGCGTTAGAAGGCAATGTTTTGGTCACCATCAGTAATGATGGGAAAGCCATTGGTTGGAGCATTGGTCAGAATGTTCAAAAAACATGGATTCTGAAACCTCAAGATGGAATGACAATCACAAGTGCTGTTTCTCGCGCGGACCATGATCCCGTCGCTTCGATTGGCAAGGTTCTTGGTGACCGATCAGTGCTTTACAAATATCTGTCACCCAATGTGGCTCTCCTGGTTGCTCGATCAGAGTCGGCACTGACGATATATCTGATGGACGCCGTCACCGGTGCCGTTCTCTACACCTCATCTCATCAGGGCATCCTGTCTGGCACGGAAGTGCCTGCTGTTATGTCAGAAAACTGGCTTGCATATACATTCACGAGAGAAGATCCCACTACAAAGGCACTTTCAACGCAACTCGTTATTTCTGAACTCTACGAATCTTCAGGATCCAATGATCGTGGGGCTTTGGCCTCTCGAACGAATTTCTCGTCGTTTTCAGTCGATGCGGGTGCCAAACCTCATGTCATTTCTCGGGCATTTACAGTCGCTGAACCAATTTCACATCTGGCCGTGTCACAGACCTCCCAGGGAATCACCACGAGGCAGCTGTTAGCGACGCTGCCCAATTCAAATGCAATTGTGGGCATTCCTCGGGAAATACTCGACGCCCGAAGACCTGTTGATCGTGACCCCACCGCCACTGAGCGCGAAGAAGGTCTGGTAAAATATTCAGCGGCTCTCGAGTTGGAGCCCAAATGGTTGCTAACGCATTCTCGGGAGGTGATGGGAATCAAGAAGGTGATGGCCGCACCAAGTTTACTGGAAAGTACCAGTGTAATTTTCGCCTTTGGACACGATGTCTTTGGCACCCAGATTACTCCCAGCCATGCGTTTGATATGCTTGGGAAGGGATTCAACAAAACCCAGCTGGTGCTCACAGTTATGGCTCTTGCTGTCGGTGTATTAGCTATTCGACCCTTGGTGAGAAAGAAGACAGTCGAGGCAAGGTGGAAGCAGTGAGTGGGGGGATTGAATCAGGGGGAGTTCTCCTATATACCCCGATTGACATAGAGATTTTGACATATCGTCATCTCACTGGAAAGCAAGCTCTTTAGTTAGGGTCCCAGTTGAACGAGGCTATGTCTCGTACCAGGCGCTCGGGCCACCCAAGGCTGCGCTCCACCCAAATCGAAGCTTCTGGTAGCTTCCATGGGGCTGAATCCCTGCCCGCTTTTGCTGCGTCATTGCTCACCTGCGCCCAATTTCACGGTAATTTTGCCAGATCACACTTGCGATCAAACCCTTTCTTCTTTCAATGACTTTTTCTTATTCCGCTGGTCAATGAGCACATGCTGGACCGGTAAAAATTTGACCCTCAGACCCATTGGGATCTCACTCGAGCATTCCATCACTTCACGTGACTAAATCCCGCACTCGGCCTTCCTTTCTCCCTCAGCAACCCATACAGCCTCATCCTCCACCCTTCTGTTTTATTTTCTCACTCGTCCTTCTTCTTTCCCAGTACCTACAACCTACCACATTTAGCTTTGACCAATCACACAAATATTTCGCCATGGTAGCAGAAACGAAACTCTATGATGCCCTCTCCATCTCTCCGACCGCCACTCAAGAAGAAATCAAGAAAGCATACCGTAAGGCAGCCTTGAAATGGCACCCAGACAAGAACAAAAACAACCCTAGTGCTGCTGAAAAGTTCAAAGAGGTCTCTCAGGCATATGAGGTTCTTTCAGATCCTGAGAAGAGAAAGGTGTATGATGACTATGGCTTGGAATTCCTCCTGAGAGGTGGTCAAGCTCCACCTCCAGGACCTGAGGGTATGCCCGGTGGTGGATTTCCAGGAGGTATGCCTCAGGGATTCGGCTTTGGAGGAATGCCCGGTGGTGGTGGGACCAGATCATTCCATTTCAGCACCAATGGTACTCCGGGATTCAGTTTTTCAGATCCAAACGATATCTTCTCAAACTTTAGCCGCAGCACTGGTGGAGTGGATGACGAAGATATTTTCAATTTGCTCGGTGGTGCATTTGGAGGTGCCCGAGGAGGTGGAAGCAGGAGAAGTACCGGCACCTTTCCTTCTCGGCAACCCCGACCTCAAACCCCAGAAGTCACAGTGGTTGAACGACCACTGCATGTCACTCTGGAAGAGTTATTCAAAGGCGCTCACAAGAAGATGAAGATCAAGAGAAAGACCTTCAATGCTCAAGGACACAGAACCACCGAAGACAAGATTCTGGAGATGGACATCAAACCTGGTTTGAAGGCCGGTTCCAAGATCAAATTCTCGGGTGTCGGGGATCAGGAAGAAGGTGGAACGCAAGACTTGCATTTTATTGTCACAGAAAAACCACATGCAACACTCACCCGTGATGGTGATGACTTGCAGGCGACCATCGAACTAAGTTTAAAAGAGGCCCTCACAGGTTGGAAGCGAACTGTCTCAACAATCGATGGAAGACAATTGAACGTCCACGGAGCGGGTCCCACTCCGCCTGGGTATGAAGAGAGGTATCCAGGCTTGGGTATGCCGCTTAGCAAGAAGCCGAATGAGAGAGGCGACTTCATCATTCAAGTCAAGGTCAATTTCCCGAAGTCACTGACTCCAGTACAGAAAGCAAAGATCAAGGATGCACTTCCTTGATTTCAATTTCGGTGAATCGTGGCGCAAAGAAGTTGCAACATCCTCCGTCCGCCACGTGGATCAAAGTCAGAGAAATTGATCAGAATTGAAAAATTGGTGGAGCGTGGTTCACAAGAGAGTGTTTCGATGGCCGAGAAGTTGATTCTGTCAGTTCGTACCGTGTACATCTCGTGGAACAATCGCACATCGGCAGGAACATCAATCCGCGGCGTGGGACGAACGAGTATTGGCTTTGAGGAGCTTGGAGCACGTCACGATCTTGGGATAGGTGCCGTCAACAACCGGAGGATGTCATGCGACGAGGATGTCATGCGACTGGTCTTGAATGGATCGTGAACGAAGACGAGGTTTGCGGCGTATCCCCTCGGCCAAAGTTACGAAAGCGAAGGACACGAAAAAATCGCTCCACGAAGGATTTGCGCAAAACAGAAATGCAGTTCAATTCTGCACCAATACCCCCTTTCTTTTTGGGTATATTCTCGATTGCATGGAATACCACTGTTAGGCTTGGAGTTTGGGCGCATCAGGCATAGGTTGGTAGGAAGAAATGATCATGGATCAGGTGCGGACATGATACAGGACCCCATTGTCCTTGTAGAAATTTCAATAGTATTCTTTTCCCCGCAGACTTCTCTTTGGATATCCATCGGACTGTCGTGTTTGGCTTGATTTGGTGATTCACCAATGTCGTTTATGTTCATCAGCGACGCTAACGTGCACAGCATGGGTGGTACCAAGTACGCATTCTTCCTCTTTTGTGGTCTCTGATCATAATGACCGCTATTCATTCTTTTCTTTTCATCCCCATTCCTTTGCCTCGTAGCGGAAGAAATCTTTCAATGAGACCAACCACCCCTCTCGATCCCGGCCATCGTCCCCGTCACAAGATCTCTCACAACCTCTCAACAGGGATGTCAACCGGGACTTCCGCGATCTGATCAACACCCTCATACCCAGGCGCTTCAAGCCCATATTTCTTCGCGACATCCTCGGACAAGAACCGGCCCCCAATGAAATGCCTCTCGCCCTTGAACCACCGAACACACGGTTTCGCAGCTGTCAAACTAATCAAGTACCTTGGCATGAAGTCAGCTCCTAGCTGGTCTTGCGCCGGCGGTCCCCCTTCCACGTCCCATGACGAGGGAATATCGACGCTCAGAATCGGCTTGTGTGAGGAGATGATACGGCTCAGCGCGGTGTCGAAGGGCGGCCGGACCGGGGGACGGAAACTGAAGCCAAAAAGCGAGTCGATGACGAGATCCGCGCTCTCCAGCGCGGAGGCAAACTCTTCGATTGTGCTGAGGAAAGGAATGTGGAGGTGGCGAAGCTGTTTTTGGAGCCCGGCGAAAAGGGTTGTGTTAGTGGGCTTGGGATAGTAGATTGTGGGAGCGTAGCCGTAGTGGTGCAAATGGCGAGCACAGACGAGGCCATCGCCTCCTGACAAGGTTGAGATCAGAACTGGGTTGATGCTGTTTGAAAATGCACAGAGGGAGAATAGATGAAAGAAACGGGGGAGCAGGACGAGAGATTAAAGCGTACCATTATTTCCTGGCCCGCACGCGATGAGGATATTCTTGCCTTGAGAAGGCGGGTGGACTTTGTATACTGCATCAAGAAACAAACGCATGCCATGTCAGTGTCATTTCCAACACTTATCACGGTGTCTCTTGAGACGCATGTCGGTGTGCTGTAATGCCATACGACCATATAGGGCGTGCGGCGGCTCTGCTTACCAGCCTGTGAAACACTCAATCCTGCCAGTTCCATTAATTGATCGATGCTGAAGCCGCCTTCTTCGCTCATGAGCTCTTTATCGAGTTCGGCTGCTTTTTTGGCTCCGATGGTCTGTATCCCACTCCTTCAGTAATCGTGCGTCTTGGAATTCTGATGTACAGGACAATGTGAAGTCTTCTGGAAGGGTGGATAATAAAGAAAGACCAACACTCGGAAATGGTTATCCGGAGGAGGACGATAGATGATTGTACTGACCTTGAGCGCCATTTTGGAAAACTTTCTTGCAGCGAGGAATGGTACGATTGCTTTGCTAGGTAGAAAGGATCGAATCATAAGATACTGATATATTGACAGTTCCAAGCAAGGGGAGTATTTTGTTCGTGCGAGACGAAGGAGACGATTAGTACGTCATGGAGTGGTCTGATGTCAGGAAGTAGTACGGCTCGCGTTAAGCATAAAGCTTCTTCCAGACCAGAACATAAACAGCATATGTTCTTCGCAAAGGCAATCAGAGTCTATCTCAGTAATCTCGTTGACGGGAAATCCGCCTCAGGTTTAGAAGGGCCTCTCTCGGGCATGGTGGCCTCGCTTACCCACGGCCGCACATTCGACACATACGCGCTTTACACCATCGAAACCGCCGTTGGTTCATCACCATCGCGAAGACCCGCCACACAACTACATTCCACTCCTTTCCCGGCTGTGCCTGACAATCCTTTCGTTATCAAATCCATTTTATTTGGACATCTCCAGAACTCCTTGCTCTCCTAATCGTACCACCCCCAAATACATCTGCTCACTCTGTTTAGGTCCAAGTCCTTACTCTAGCAAACCACATCCAAACCTCGTCGATATGTCATCATCAGTAGTAGCAAAACCGACTTCGGAACAAGTCAAGGAGGCCACGGCGGCACTCGCGCAACTCCTCGCAAACTTGAAACATGCTGGGTTCTTCTAGAGTCACAGAAGATGTTGACGTAGTCGTTCCTCAGGGGCAGACTAAGACAGCACGAGATCTCATCAAAGCATATGGCGAAGGCAAATTCAGCGTCGATCCAAGGACGCTCCACACATACTACTTGAGCGCTCCACCGGTCGAGATAGAAATCCTTACACCTCCGGGCCTTTTCAAGGGGACTTTCAACCAAAATACAGAGACAATGGCTATTACTCACAACAATACTACGGTGCAGGTCCTGCACCCGGCCATAATACTAGACGCCAAATGTGGTGCCATTGGCGGACGAGCAACTGAGGTAAAGAAGGAGACAGACGCCCAAGACATTATCCACCTACTTGTGTGGTTGAAGTCACAGAATATGAGCCTCTTCGCCGACAATGTTCCCAATGCTTCTGTGGAATGGGTTCAATGGTTTGTCCCCAATTACGGATTTGGTAATTACGACTACTGGAAAAACGTAGGATGGACCGAATCTGGTGCGTCTTTTCTATCTAAGAACTGGTTCTCACGCTGACGTCCTTCACAGGTTTCCCGTCAAGGTGATGAGATTGTCAGATTAGGCAACTGGCTTCATAGAATCAATTCAAAACGTGTTTCTCTATAAACTTTAGCAAAACCGAACACTTGATTTGTATAGCTACTGGCATTCAATCTAGAATCTAGAAACAAAGACGACAAACAGACAAAACAAAAGGAGTGGAAGCTCGCGAGCTTAACGAGCAAGGTGGCGTATCAAGTTTGCCAGTGGGAGTAGTACATGCGAATGACAGACAGGCAAACTGTCAGGAAAGAAGTTCCGCACCACTCCGCTACTGCAATCTACAAAAAGGTACGAATAGTTAACATCAAGTTGATTCGTGTGCAGAATAGCATATATACCCTTACACAAACAAACATAAAAGCAAGTAAAACACAAGACGTACGAAGCCTTGGCCGGCACCTTCCTAGACGTATACTTCGCTTGACAGCTAGAACACCTTTCATGCCTGATCTCTCTTAGGGATTGACTGCTGAGCTTTCCTTGATTCTTCTCGAACTTGACGTTGACGATTTAAGAATGGTGCAGTTCCGGTCGTCATCTCTGAACGAACATCATAATGATACTGGCGATGCTCCTTTTTCAGTTGTGCTGCAAATGTCTCTTGTTGCAGCTCGGGTGCATAACCATAGAGATAAGCGATCATGCAGCCGAGGTGCATTCGGAGCATGAGGTTGTCGTCAGGACTGTCTAACCAACTATCGATCAGAGCGTCTAGTAGCGGCGCTAGCGGAGGGATCACAGTATCAGGAGAGCAATGCTGTTCGAGGTCGAAATTCCAATCCTCAGCGCGAAGGAGAACGGTGGTCGTAGGCCCCGGAAGCTCCCCTGCTCGTCGTATCGAGTTTTGTGTAGGTGGGGACAGCGCATACTGCATGCAGGGCGTTTCCAATCTTTTGTTCTCGTTGCATGAAAGTCCATCCGCTCTGCAGTAGCAATTTTGCAGCAGACGCAGGGTCCTGCACGAGGACATACAAGTCGAATACAGCCGTCGGGACTCCATAGTGGGCGATAGCATCCTCGAACCAGACTACACAGCGGATTCCCTGACTGCGCAGCAGAGCACAAGGTAGATGTCGTGGATTCGAATTGCTGAGAGTCATTGCTTCAGAATCCTTCTTGCAGGTCGAAATAAGTCTGATAATGTTAGGATCGTGGTATGGTCTACGTCTGTTGAAGGTGGCGATACAAGGTAGGTAGGCTGCGATTTCAAGTTCCAACGTGTCCGATATAAGGTGCGCAGCAATCCTGGCCCAGAACAATGCAATTCCTTTGCGCGCCAATCTCTGTGCAGCTTCCCAGGCCGTCGGACCAAGGGTGACAATACGCCACGAGGGAGGTAAACCAGTCGGCTCAATCAGACATACATACTCGGCTTCAGAGTAGGAATTGGTTTCCAGCAGATCGCAGAGGAAAAAGTACCAGCCCTTCCTAAGTTTAGCACGTAACTGGACGGATTCGTTCGTTGCGTAACACCAGTGAGACGGAACTTTGTCCTATGGCGGAGTCTGCACGTGTAAACATGTCGGCAACTCCCCTACAGGGACGGAAGACCGTCCTACAGAGTCGGTGTCTCCGTGGTTCTTCATCTACTACAGGTTCTTGCAAATGACTAAGTCCCGGATGATATTCCGCGCGTCTTGAAGTGTTGTTAGGACACGTTCTGAGCGGGTGGGAGACAGAAGTTGTGGCTGATCGTTCTTCTTACTGGTCAGCAGACGTAAACAAGAGGTTGTAAGAAAGGTCGCCTGGCGCTCGTTCTTCACACTGTCGGAAGTTATGTGTCTCAACGGAGAGTTCCAAAACCAAATCCAACCGCCCGAAGAACGGCCAACTTTGGACAAGACGCAATGCATTTTCTGTCTCGCCACCACGTAATGAACGCTGGCTCGTAAATCTTGAATTTCGGTTTGAAACTCCGTCTGAGACCGTAGGTCTGCCCGATATGGGTAGTCTAAAATGGCGAAAGAGGATGGCGGGTGATCCTTTATTACATCGTGATGGAAACCTAGCCATGGCGTTTTCTCCCAGTCGAGATCTCCCGCAAAGGAAGATATCAAATGATTCATTGCAATTTGTTCCGAAGTCGGTGTACTATTTGGCCGCTCTAACAAACGTCGAAGACGATGATCCCAGAGGTCACGGAAGCACTCACAGCGAAGGGACAATGGACACGGCATACTCTGGTAAGAGCACGTTTCTGTACAGAGAACTTACTAGGTAGCGTTCTTGGCCGAAACGTTTCGCTGGAAGAAATAGCATGACCCAGACGGTGGTGACAAACTTGTTCCCAAGGTGGATCTTATGCAGTCTTGGCGCCATTCGGTCCCAACCAATCGGAGTCCGTCAAAGAATTTTGGCTCCGAACGAGGCTCCTGCGCATTTGCTCTCTACCAAACCACGGCTTCTCACGACCATACAACGTCACTCTACCCCTTTCCTGACGCCCTCCTCGGTTTCCTTCTTGAACACGAAACCAAAATCGGGAAAAAAAAAAAAAAAAAAAAATGGTCCTCCGCATCCGCCTCTCCCGCTTTGGCACCAAGCGCAACCCCATCTACAACATCGTGCTTGCCCAGGCAAAATCCGCACGCGACAAGAAACCCATGGAAGTCCTAGGCACATATAATCCAATCCCGCAGACACCGTTGGCATCGCCAGATACTCCGGAATTCCTCCCGTCGGGCGAGAGATTTGTACCCAAAAAATTCAAGGATATTACGCTCGATATCGCGAGGACGAAGTATTGGTTGGGTGTGGGCGCACAGCCGACGGAGCGGGTGGCGAAGTTGTTGACGATGGTGAGTTAGAAAAACATCGCGTTAGAGGATCTCCTTTGTGGGAAATTGGATACATCGTAGGAGATGGAAGTTCAATTATCGTCGCTATTGGATATAGTTCTGTGATTGAGAAATGGGCGCAGAATTGAAGTGGTAAGAAAGGCCGAGCTTCTGTGAGCAGGAGTTGGAGCAAAGATACGCTGCGACACCCTACGATGTTGATTTGAAAACGATTCTGTCGAGCTCGCACTAACAGCCACTTCTTGCTGCACAGATCGGATTAATGGAACAAAAGCCCTCGGAAAAGAATTCTCGAACACATTCTCGACCTTTCCCCCAGCCTACAACATCTGAAGCAGCTACCAGCACACCTGAAAAAGCCACATCTGAGCCAGCTTCATGACCCCTTTCTCGACATGGAATCTTCTCCCCTCCTTTGCACAGGGAGTGGATTAGCGGTCTCGCATGACATAGCAAAGCATAGCGTCGGCGTTTATTGAGATCAGAAAATCCTTAACCAGGGGATTCCTGATACCAAACTTGTATAAATATGAAATATTAAGGGAAAAGAGGGTCCTGTACTAGCCCCGACCATACTCGACTGCAGCCTTGAGCGATGGGTCAACCCGTTGAGCAGTTAGCATATTCTCATTTTCTCAGCTGCACAATCAATTTTATCTATCAGATGATCCTTCTCTGTGGTGTCTGAGATTTATTTGTCCTCTGCGGATTGACGTCTGATTGTTTACCTTTCTCATCGCGACATGAATCATGGTCCCATGATCTAGCCGGTGATTGCCACGCAACTTGTGCAATTTTCTATCGTCGAAAGCTTCACGTCTACATGCAGGTCCAACGTGAAAACAGTTCAGAACGCTCGTCCCCGAGTCGAACTGTCACTCTTCGGCGTTCGGTTCATCTCAAGACAGCTTGAATCTCGCCAACGACGGTCCTAAATCTGGGCTCGTCCAAGTACTTCTTCGTTCGCAACTGGGCCAAAGTATTTGGCACGTCAAAGATATCCTTCGCAGCCGACGCAAGTTCTGCGTGCTTAAGCCCCACAAGGACGGTCCCCAACGCAACGAGGGTGCGATAGGCAGGTTCCGTCGACTGTGCAGATGGGATTGCGGACGCGGCATGGTTGACGGCGGGGAAAGCACCGAGGATGTTCGACAACTCCTCCACAAGGAAAAGACCGTAGCTAACATTGCCGTCGGTGCCAGAGCTCTTGTTGGTGGTGAGGAAGACAGCAAGATTCAGATAAAGAGTCGTCAGGGCAATGGCAACGGAAATGTCAGACGAGACGAACGCGGACAAGTGTTTGAGACTTTCAATGATTCCCTCGAGGTGTTCTTCGACTAGACCTCGTCCTGTGACGGAGCCATAGAGCAGATTGGAAAAGAACCGCATTGCGATCATGGCCAATTTGTTGTTTGAGCCCACGAAATCCCGGTCGAAGATTTCGCTGCTCAAAACGCTGGCGACGACGTCAATGCCCTCAGCATGGGTGACAGGGAATTCCTTCACCGCGGCCGCGATGAAACGAAGAAGATCCAGTCCAGCCAAGCGGTTCGCAGGAGGTTGCCATTCTGTTGCAATCTTCATAAGGGATGAGACGGCAGATCCCAGAGTGGAAGAGGGAGACATGGATGGGGTCCCTTGGAAATTGTATTTCTCCAGCTGTTGTGCCACGGCCGTCAGATTCTGGATGTCGCTCGCCGAAAGACTCATATCGCTTCCACGATACTCGGCGTTCTTCTTTGTGATCTGGGCCATGGCGGCGCCTGGTTTGCCGATAACCACGGGCAGATACTCCTTTTGAGGAAGAGTCTTTTTGGCCGGAGCAGGAGGCGGTTGGTAGGACGGCGTCGGTACGTCACCGGGTCTGTAACGATTCTCCGTTCCCCAGGGATCCGCACCCACCGGCTGTGACGGTCCCAGGGTAGCACCTTGAGTATTCTTGATGATGAAATTGGCTGTCTCTTCAAGATATGACAGGGGCAATTCATGGTCTTGAAGGAATTTGGTGGCTGCTTCATAAGGATTCTGAGTGACATTGTAAGGCAGCTTCAGGGGAGGCTTGCCGTCTTCGATATCAATGTCAAAGACATAGTCGTATTCCTTTCCGTGGTATGCCGTCTTGTTCCCACCGGCGCCTGCTGAATCCACCACCTGCCCGATCTTGATCCATTGTTGTTGCGACAGAGACCATTGATACAGGGACGCACTGCCGTCATCTTCCTTGATGATTTGACTTTGACCCTCTTTGGTGCCTGCTTTTCGTTGCAGGAAATCGGGTCCGGGCAGATCGGTCACGTTGATTTGGCCGACTTGTTGCTGAGGGATGCTTGAGGCCTGGAGCGATTCGTCGAAAGCAGCGAGGGCGTCTGCATCAGCCATTCTCTCGTGTTCCCGGGTGAAGATCCTGGCCATCTTGTCACTTGAGCCGACAATGAGATCGCCATTGGGGCACGCAGACACACTCCAAACCGAGATTGCTGGTAATGTGATGGCTTGGACACAATTCGTTCCGTGCCAAATCCGAACTGAGCGATCTTCTCCCGAACTGACAATCTCTCCAGACGGGAGGACGGCCAGGGAGTAGATGAACGACTCATGACCGAATAATTGAGCTCTCCGTTCTCCTTTCAAAGTCCACAGTCGAATAACCCCATCATTGGATGCTGATGCAATCTCTGCTCCGGTAGAATGTCCTTCAGGAAGTTTTGCAAGAGCGCGCACGATGTCCTGGCCGTCCCAGGACACCAGCATCTTTCCTCGGATATCGAATACTCTGATGGCACGATCCGCGCATCCTGTCACAATGGTGTCCCGACTGTATGCCAGGACTGCCCAAACCGTAGCGGTGTGATTAGGCAGATCGAATGCAACCTCCCATCTTCCTATCTCCCAGACTTTTGCCGTACTATCCCAGCTTCCGCTGACAAAGTAATTTGCTGAGACACAGACATCTAATGAACAGACTTGATTGCTATGCCCCACCATAAAAGCGTCTGCATTTTGATCGGTGGTGGAAGATGGCCGTCTCGCTTCAATAAGCCCATCTTGGCCCGACGAGAGGATAAGACCTTCTTCGAACTCTTGGGAGGGAGGGACGTATGCTAAGCAGGTTTTGAATTGAGCGCCATGGGAGGATTCCGTGTCATCGTATGTGGGGGGAGAGGTGGCAGTTCTTTTCCAGACTCGAGTGGAGCCATCGCGAGACGCAGTGATAGCGAAGGAAGGATCAGGAAGGAGGACAGCTCGGACCTGTGCAGCGTTAATTGGAGAAACAGCGTATAGAACGGGTGTTTCATACATCGCTCTTGTGCCCCCGGAGCACCGCGCTTAGCTTGAAGTCCGGCATCGAGTCACTCATTTTTGGTGGTACTTGGGTGAGAAATTCATTTGGTTTGTGGGATTTTGTGACAGGTATCCACTAAAGATATCGCAGTCAAGTGCGCAGGTTCATTCATGCCTGGCGGTAGCAGGAATTATTCGCGGGAACAGCCTTGTGACGTAGTCGGGGTTCAGCCTTGCACGTGGCTGCCAAGCACTGTTGACAGTACGGGGGTATTTGCCCCTTGCTGCCATCTGGACATCTTTCTCGCTATTATTCCTGGGCCCATATCGGGGGCAGTTTGCTCGTAGGTAAACAGGATCCGTGATAGAGGGTCTTTTACCCCGTTTGCCTCCCGAATCTTTGCTATGGTCAAACTCCAGACTTTCCCTTTCTCAATACAACCCTCTCTCCATGGAAGCGAAAGCAAGCACTCAGCAGCTCGATACAGGATATTAGACCTCCCTCTAAGATGTCAAGGAGTCCTGCGAACACAGTCCTTCTTGGGAAAAAGATTTTTCAGAAGAGGTTGAAAAGATGCGGGCAAATGCCCGAAGCAGTATTCCGAACGAGGACTTGAATCTACCTTAACCGAACTCGTATTGCAACAACATGATAGTATGGCCCGATGCAGCAACTTTCTCATTCCGTCCGATCCCTGTACACGCATCTGGCCGTCTCTAATGACCACATCTCCTTCCAATATACCGTTCCATCTCCCGCCTCTTTTTCACATCCATTGGCAAATGCTCCAACTTATGCGATCCCCGGAAGGTCGTATCCGGCTCCAGGGCCCTGTGGTCATGTTCCAATCAGGCTTCAACGGGATTTCTGTCTGGCGGGCGTGAGATTTGTGTATTGCCATCCACGCTTTGATCTTGGATTAGTTTCGAGGTGGGAGGGGAGGTTTAGCAAGGGAATTCTCTCTCTCTCCCCCTTTTGTTTCTCCTTTTCTTCCTTTCTTCCTTATTCCCTTTGTGGATTCTCGTCAATATCTGAAAATGAACTTACGTGCAGAAAATCATTTTGTTCACTTTAAAATGGCATCACAGACTGCGCCGTCATCACCAGGAGATTTACATCGTTCTTCCATCTGCGGCTCAGTGGAATTTCTTGCCTTTCTCACAAGTTTCGCCCGGATAAGTTTTGGAAGGATTCTGTAGCCGTCCTTTTGTATTTTGAGCTTTACCTCCTCCAACTCCATATGATAGTTTTGAGAAGGACCTCCTGACAGCAAGGTTACCTTCTGTTTCCGCCATTGCCTTCGGTATTCCTAGGTCGTGACAGGGTAAGTCAGCGGGGATAATACGAAGGTTACACGGATAGCTTGTCAAGGTGGAACTGGAGCTTAGTGTGTATACTCGGGTATATCACATACGGCTGTTGAGGTACATACCAATCTAGACATCTCCTACGGGTTCTCAGATCCTTCCGTGACAATCCATTTGGAAACTTGGGCGACAACAGAGAATGGAAAAGACAGAGACAGGTTTGCCAACAAACGGTATCCGAGGAAATCAGGACTCCAGTGTTATGCCTCCTAGGGCAACAAATCGCCTTCCATTTTTGATGGGAAGCAATATCTCCTTCCCAAGATGCCAAGGTCACAGTTTGTGCCACGAAGTGTCGTTGAAAAGCGAATCGGATATCAAGCCTCGATGATATAATTCTCGAGCAAAGTTCAGGCCCTGGTAATCCTGGTGCAGCTGCGTGTCCGTGGCCGGAGCTTAAGCACACGCTGACCGATAGGTGCAGAACATCGATCATCATGATGACGTCCTGACCACACGAACAAATTTTCCATTTATCATCAATTATCGACATCCATCCATATAGATCAGATCAAATCTTCCCTAACTACTAGGTCCCCAACGAAATACAGTCCATGTCTTCAAACCGTGCTATATTAACAAACATTCAACCTCGCCACGCTGGGATCATGATCCGAGATCTGATCATCGTAGCTCACCCACGTATTCACATGGACATGGTTAAAATCCGGTCTGCCCCCTGGCGACCCTGCAATCTTGGGGCTCACAAACATATGGTCGAGCTCCTGACTATTCATATCAAAAAGGTACGTATATCGTTCCGTCGCTTTAACCCTCGCGGCGCCATCGAGATCCACCATTCCCGATATGTCGACGAAACTCTCCAGGGGCGCGACGAATGCGAATTCGTTAAAGTCACCGGCCGCAATCACGGAGGCATTTGGGTCTTCGGCTAGAATATCCGCGATGAAGTTGGCGGTCAGGTCCGCTTGGGCGAGGCGCTGATCAACGCCGCCGTTGACGGGGGGCCGGGCATCGCCTTCGATCGAGGAACTGCCGCCTTTGGATGTGAAGTGGACGTTCACGGTGAAAATGGTCGATTTGTCTTTGACGGTCTCCCATTCCGCAGCGAGTGGTTTGCGGGATTCGTCCCATGCGGCATTCGCTGGGTCGATGCGCCCGGGGTTATATTTGAGGGTGGGGCCGGGGAGGACTTCGTTGGCGTCGGTGGATGAGCCTGGGTTCAGGTTCTTCAGGTTCAGAACGAGGGGGTTGTACAGGTAGGCGACGCGGATGTTGCCGCCGGGCTGGCCGCCGTCCTGGTCGTTGACGGGGTCGATGTCGACGTAGCTGTAAGTGACGCCGCCGGCGTCTTCGATTTCGGTGATCAACGTTTCGAGCGTGGTGTTGGCGGAGACGACACCGTCGTCGGTAGGGCCCGTGTTGTCCTGGACCTCTTGGAGAAACATCAAATCCGGCGAGTTGAGGTAGTTGGCGATATGGTCGGCGATATCCGGGAGCCAGCTGGATGTTGGGGCTAGGTTTTCCACATTGTACGATCCCACCGTCAGTTTCTTGCAGTTGCCTTTCGAGTCCCAATCGACGGGAGTGGGCAGGGCCGGGGTCGGGGAACTCTTGACCGTGATGGCCGTCAGGGGCAGAATGCGATAGAAGCCAAACGCCTGGTACATGACGCCGGTGATATCTTCGAGCTCGTCGCCGAGCTTGGTGTCGTCCGGGTTGCTGGTCCCATCGAGAGGATCGCCAATGAGGATGGCTTCTGGGTTGGCATCTCCCGCCGTCATCGTCAAGCCCCCTCTGCCATTCTCGCCCGTCTTTCTCCAGTTTCCGACCACCCAGGTATCGCCGAAAGAGTTGGGTTTGGCGATGGCGTGGGGACCCTGGACCGTGACCAGATCGCCCATCAGACTTTCCCAAAAATCCAGCCCATATTTCCACGGTTCCAGCACGGGATTGGCCACGGAGATGAGGCTGGCGTTATTCGGCAGACTGAAAACGTCGCCGTTGTCGAGCGATGTGAATTGTTCCGTGGGCGGGCTCGTGTCTGACTGTCCAAGCACGACAGGTTCGACTTTGTTTCCTCGAGATACGACCCGGACGTTTCTGGCGCGAGAAATCTCCGTCAGGTAGAGGTAGGCAGATGATGAACGGTATTCCGAAACGGTCCCGTCGAGGGTGACGATGTCTCCGGTAGTGAAAGTCACATTGCTAGTAATGCTGCCAAAAACATAGATAGATTCCGAAGTTCGAACATCATTATCGGGCGTGGTAGAGCGTATCCAAAGCCCATCTGGGCCAACAGCCGTGATTAGACCCGTCACATTAGATACATTTTGATTTCGGTAGGGAGAGATGAATCGGATGCCATTGATCTGGGCGATGGTTTGGGCTGAGGCCAGGGAGACTGAAAGAGCGGCAGCACCAACGAGGCGTAAAAGAGTGTCTGAAAACTTCATGGCGGTAGCAGAAAAGAATGAGTGGACGGCTCACAGCCCAACAAGTCGCCGCATCGCGAGAAACTTGTGAACGAAGCCATGTTATTTGAAGGTTTCCATCGAGAAAGCTCGTCGGCAGCGCCCGAGGAGTGGACTGGGATTAAGGTAGCAGTGCCTTAGTCTTCTGCAGAGGCATGGTGGGGAGGGAGTTGCTGATTGGACGACCACCGCGCGTCGACAAAGGGGGATCTTCGTCGATGGCGAAATTAAAGGCCAGACCACCGTCGCGGTCTAATTTCACTTCTGCTGGAATTCTCAGTCTTTGCGCGGCGCACGTGGGATTCCGCCTCTCGATTTGTGGTGTCAATCTTGCCCTGGTTCAGCGTTATAAGCATGACCGCCAATGGCATTCACAGAGACGAGGCTGAGACACTCCCTCGCCAGGGGACAAACGCGCCGAAGAAGAAATTAAAAATCCGCGAGGTAAAGAAATCATTCATTCCATTCTCTGCGTGATTTATCCTATCGACCTTCATTTCTTCATCGCCTTCTCTGGATTCTTCTCCAGTAGCAAACACCACTTCTTCCATTCCCGGGCCCCTTTGGTAAAGACGCTCTTCAAGTCGTCCTTGACCTCAGTCATCTCCCATTGCTCATCTTCCCAATTCCGCTCCTCGTGTTCCTGGCCCTGGGGCCGTCGATCGCTGGGTGTCCATCCGATGGCTTCAAGCACGTCGCTCTCGGTTGGGCCCATGGCAAAGGTGGGAAACAACTTGCTATCGGCCTTGTGACACTCGGCGTCCAGATACCGTTTCAACACCTCAATCCGCTGGGAATGGGTGAAAGTCAGCTTGAGTTGGTCTTCACCGTGGTTCCCGCTGTGACTGCCTGAGGACAGTCGTTTGGTGACGCTGCGGGCCGTCTTCGCGCCTCGGAACGATGCATATGCCCAGACCGTGTCAATTTCACCGAGGCCACCGAATGGCCAAATGAAGGTGGCGAGGATATCGATTCCGTAACCCACTGGCATCAAACCGGTGGCAATAATGGTATCGCGCTGGGCCTTGGACTGGGCGCGGAGCATAGTGTGGACAAATTCCTCGCGCATTTGTTGGTCATGGAGTGGGAGCGAGGGAGGATAGACGAGGGTCATTTCGTCGACGCCGACGGTCTTGTGTGTTTCGGGGCCGTCTCCATCGTCATCATGGTCGGAGTGCGCAGGCGAAACGCGACCCAGGAAGTCCAAGTTGGACGACGTGGTTTTGTTCATGGCCCAATTGATGCCCCGGGTGGCTCGGGACTTGACGCCCTTCCACGAGGCGGTTTTGGCGGTACTGGTTTTAGCGCTTCGGACTTCTTCCTGCCATTTGCGTTGGACTTTATGCAATTTGCCCTCCTTCTCGCCCTCCACAGGTTTCTGGAGCGGGGGTGGGGGTGGAGTATATATCATAAAACGAGTGGGAACATCCTCCGGCTTGACATTGGGTAAGTTGGGTTTGGGAAAGGGGATCAGGTAACCGATGAGTTTGTGAGGATCGCGGACGTAGTGGACCGGATTTGTCGGGTTGTCATCGTCGGCGAAAATCTGTCCTAGGCGCTGTGGTGGTGGTTGGAATTGCGTGCCCGATGGGAAGGAAGGAGGAGCCGGGGGGGAAAGCGGATGGGTAGTCTGGGCTTCGACATCGAATTGGTCGGGTCGTTGAGGAAGCGGTGGTGGAGGAGGATCGTAGGCTTGTCGTACACGGAGCTCATATGGCTGCTGAGGAGCGGATGTCATGATCGTAGAGTGACTGGGAGGTAGATGTAGAGGGGGATAGTCAATTCTGGTCTGCCATGATGGAGGTGAGAGGGCCGGAAAGCCGTGATTGATATAGACGCTGTGGTGTCTGGTCGTCGTATATACCAACTTGAAGTGGTAGCATGGCCAAACTGAAAATCTTCATGTGAATACGCGGCCCAGTTCACCAATGACGGGACATTGACGTCGCAGAAGATCAACTCAGTCGGGCATTGTTCGGATACGACCCCAGCTTCAACTGGGATGGGTAGTAAATATTAGAATAGTGGGTTCTGACATCTGTGGTAGGCGGTCAGTCGTCCCCGGAAGCTTGGAGCCCAAATTAATTGCTTGAAGAAACAAGCAATGAATAAGCTCATTAAGGCTAGTGAGCTAAGCCACGGCAGTACGTCCAGCCCCCCACCCTTAACTATCTGCCTGGGTAACAACATCTCGGAAATGGTTTCACTCCAATGCCCCTGCCGGTGCCCTTGCAATTTTGCAGATTCCCATGAAGCAGAATAATGCTGGAGACTGCACCCTTCAACGTAATCCTTGTCCTTGACGGCCTTGAAGCAAAACCTACCGTCGAAAGATGAAATCGATGTCATGACTGATTATATCGGAGTATTTCATTCCACCTGATGCTCGCCTCCAATGACGCACAAATATCTGCCCAGATAGCGCGAAGGCTAGCCAAGTGCGGGTGACGGGTGAGACTGGGGACTCGGCAAACACGCTGAAGGAACACGAGCCCTTGTGGTGGCTGGGTCAGCCCGCCTTGCACAGCCTCACCATGAACTCAGATACTTTCTTCGATCAATTCTGCAGACAGCTCTCCTCGACATTCATCGATGAGACCATTTCCGTGAAGCGAATAGTGGACTTACGTTATGTCGAACTTTCCAAAGTGTCTCTGATATGCGAACTGGCCGTAGACGACTTTCGTAGACAGCGATATTGCCTGATTTGGCAAATTGAAATGTCCCGACTTCCACGATAAGGCCTGCGGACTCCTGTGACTGGTTTACAACGAGTATTGCTTCTACGTTAATTATCGCTTGGACAAGCTGGGCCTTTTATTTCGTGCGCACGATCTTGCCGCGGAAGGGCTCTTTGAAGAAACTCAGCTATTTCCCGATAGCGAGGGCCCTCGACATCGACATAGACTCATAGTAATGAACCCGATCAGGAGGTATGTGACTTTATTTCATGTCGAGCAGTGGCTTCGTCCTTCAAGCATTTTGGGACAGATCATACTTTCAGATAGGTTAACATTGCCGCCAATGTGAACGCTACCAGCGCTATACAAGAATACAAAATGCAAACTCCGGAGAAAAGACACCTCGGTGTTTTTGCCTGGACACTGAGAGAGCAGTAGAGACGCATCTACTCTTCGAAGAGGGGCTGCCCCCCTCTCGGAATGGGCCGCCGTGGGACGATCACATCACTTACAAAGCATTTCAACGACTTTGTGGACCTTCCAGAGATGGATCAAAGAGTGCCGTATCACATCAGCCATCTTGAGCCAAGAGGAGCCTTCCGCGCCTTACAAGCCGAAAAGTCCTGGTACTCGGTGATTTCGTGGAAAGACACCGGGAGCGAGGACTAGTCCATGAACGAAGAACGTATACGACGTGATACGAGAGAATGGTCATGGTTGAAGGTTTCAAACGGCCAATATATCCATGTACTCATAACGATTCATGATATCTAAAGCACTCTTCACCGGAACTGGTTCCACCACAACCAAATCGAGCCCAGGAATACCAGGCAATCCCTTAGAACCTATTCACATGATATCTCCCACTTGGATGTGTCGGAGGAGGCGCAAACTGCGTTTGCACTTGAGGTGACGGCATCTGTCCCGCAACATGATTCCCACCAAACTGCGCTAGATACCCCTGATGGGGCTGATATCCCCCGTACTCATGCTTGTTTTCTTGGACACCGGTGGTGCCAAAGCCTTGCTGCGCGGGGGGCATTGGGCTCGAAAGTGGTGTCAGCTGGATGGCTGTGCCAATCTTCTGATCGATCAACGGGTCGGCGTCGCTTTCATAGCCCGCCAGTCCGCCACCCTGTGCACCTGGATAGGCCGTATGGGAGGTTTTCTCCGGATACAGGGTCGGTTGAGTGGCGTGCGGTATCCAGTTCGGTTTCCCGATGCGGATCTTCTTGCCGCCCGCGCCGCGAACCCAGCTCCTTGTCGGGGCCTGAGGCTCGGATTCGCCGGGGTAGAGGAACGCGGCCAGAATCCGTCCTGAAGAGGTAGCGTGCAGGTAGGCTTTCATCTTCGAGAGTGATGTGCGACCCAGACACAGGAAGATCAATGTCGCGAGCCCGATAACCGCTGTGAAGAAGATTCCAATGTAAGCGGGCACGCCATACACCCAGTTATATTTGATTTGACGTGAGTAGACGACAACAGGAACCTGGGCCGTGTCGCCGCCGCCGCCGCTGCTGGACTGGCGTTTCTGAACCTTGCCGTCGGTTCCCGGGATCGTGTTGGGCGACGGCAACCAGGACTTGGTGCCCACCAGGCCATTGGCCGCCAGATCAGCGAAGATGAGATTCACGATTCGCGCAGTCTCGCCGCGAGTCGCCAATTTCTGCCACAGGGCAAACATGGAAAAGGACGACTTGCCGCTGTACCAGCCAAAGCTGTTGTACGTATCGAAGGCATCACCATTGTACAACGACGCCAGCGCATCGATAGGGAAGGTCAAACCCGGCATATTGTCGACCCCGGTGGACGTGAGCATGGCGAAGGAACCCAAGTAGCCTGCGAGGTAGAGATGAGGGTTTTTGACGACGGATAACGAGGGAGATTCTTTGGTGTCGCTTGAAACCAGGCCCCAGAGGGGTGGGGTGTCTTGGATGTTCAAGTCCAGATCCGAGTTGTTTTCAATGCCCCAGTAGGTCGGCGGCGAATCGGGCGAACGTTCGTTGATGGAATCGACGTGAAGTGATTGGAGGCTCGAGGTGCCGTTGAACCGGAAGCTGTACGTCTTGACACTCATCTTCACCGCGGTAGCGCAGGATTGCAATGGCATGGAGAGTCGGGAGCCCGGGTCGTAGACGAGTTTCACCTCGCCGTCGGGGAGTCGCGGAATACCATAGACGAGCCCACACCCGACGGCCACGTTGGACATGTTGGACTTGCTGGCGGGACTGACGCCATTGCATGCCGTTAGAATGTCGGTGAAGTTAGAGCTGGTGATGTTGAACGGGTTCGGCCAGGGGTCAAAACTGTCATCACTGGTGAAGGAGCTATTGTCGTTGGCGAGAAATGTGGAGAAAACATCGTCGTAGGTGGCGATGGCTAGTTCGTCCGTTGCCAGCAGCGTGGTCTCGGGAAGTTCGAACGTCTTTCCTACTTCCGAGTTGAGATAGGCAAACTTGTCCGGATTGGGACGGGTCACGTTGTAGTAAATGGCCAAAAGGACGTTGAAGAGCCAGGCACTCTGGTAAGCGCGGTTGGGCAGATCCACGAAGATTTGTGGCAGCGAATTGTCGTATTCAGGAAAAGTGTGCGGGATGTTCGCGAAGCCACCGCGGTCGGTGAGGACGATGTTCTCGATATTTCCACCCAGACTCCCATTCAGACCCGAAATCGTGAAGTCGATGGTGAGATTCGTATCGACGCAATGTGTTTCCGGTTCCATGACGAGCAGGTCTTCGCTCCACGTGGCGCCCAGGGCCAGGTTAGCCGGGAGAGTATGGTTTCGGAAGGCGACGCTGCCATTGATCATATCCACGACCAAACCTTCGACGGCTTCGACTTTGTCATCGAGAACGAGGGTGCCGAGCTGTCGGTATGAGCCTGTCTGGTAGAAAGATCCATTGTTGACGTCGGGATCCTGGGCTTTTCCGTGAGACCGGTATTGAATGTCGAAGAAGCTCGAGACCGTCTGCATCTGCTCCTTCAGACCGCTTTGAAACAGCTCGATCTTGTCGCTCGGAATGCGGCTGTCATAGCCGTAAGGGAAGTCGGAGGAGAGAAATTCGTCGGATTTGACCTCGATCGTGTCGGAGCCGGGGCAGGCGGTCCAGTAGGGGATACCGCATTGATGGTTGAAGCCCAGGGTGCTGCGCGCAGGTGTGCCAAAGCCAAAGGGACCGGTGTCGGCGATGTAAGGGAAAGAGACATCTTGTAACGTCGAGGCTGGTTCTACGGTGTCATACAGGCCGATGGGGGTGACGATGGAAGCGGCGAAAATGATCAAAAGTGTGAGAGATCCGACGTGCGTGAGCCATCTGATGGATCCCTGGACGTTGAACGACGTTGCCGTGTCCGCACGGAGTAGAGCGGCCCAATGGGAGCCGTGGAGGGTGGCACTGATTGAAGACCATGAGACGGCCGTCATGTCATCTTTCAACACGCCGACGATCAAGAGGGCTAAGGCGGTGGGTAGGAAAAGCTGAAGAACCGTTATGACGGCTGCAATGACGGCAGAGACCTGCCCGACGGAGATTTCAATCATGATGCAATTTATGAATGAGCGTGTGTGGTATTTTCACATCAAAAGAGAGATTGAGATCGTCGAAAGAATGAATGGACGCATCCGTCAAGGAGTGCTGGAGGAAAACGAAAATGAGTGAAATGCGGTATATACCGCCCTCGACAAGTCTTCAGGATGGATAGAGAAAGGATTGAAAAAGGAAAAGATTGGGTACAAAAGAGAAATCCTCTCCACGAACGTACCGCCCGCCCCCCCTTTCATACGTCCCAAAAGCGTCCCTGGCGGGCTTTTCTCGTGCCAACTAAACCATGGCCCAGTGGCCCCCAACCAGATGTTCAGGCGAACTGGGGTAGAGTCTAACGACTTTGATTGTCCTTGAACCATCCAAAAAAGGGGGGGTGTTGATGTCAATCGTATTCGGGTCGAGGAGTGTGGGGACGGCATCGAAATCAAACACTAAGCCTTGCAAGGTGTTAGTTCTCCGCCCAGAGTGGAAAACCAACAATTTCTATTGGGCCGGTTCAACTTGAGCGCAAGGCTGAGGCAAGCCACGGCTGGGCACCGTCGAAGTTCGGCAGACAGCCTCTGCCGCCAGTACGATTGAGGTAGGGATTGACGTTGCTTGGGATCATGGAGACACAAAGAAAAACCCCCGACAAGGCGCCCAAAAGGATACCTTTTCAGCTTGAACGGAGCACAAGGCTCACCAGCAATTGTCTCTGTTGGGGAAAGTCTTAGCTGATCTTTCTCCTTTGTGTGATTTCGCTTGTCCGGATAGATTCGTGACGAGACCGACACTCGACTTACCGATATAACGTTTCGTTTTCCCAGTTTAGACACGTTGTTGAATTCAGGTGGCCAGGGGTTCGTCACGGTGTGGACATGGGGACTGAGTAAGTTTCAGGACATCAAGTTTGCTTCAGCAGTATCAGTCTGTTACTTAATGGACCAGCTTGCAAAGAGGCTAACGCGAGGGGACGGTGGTGAACGAGGTGGGCGCTAATGCAAATAGGAAATGTGACTATTTCAACGAAAGGAAGGGGTCATCCTTATGGTTGAAGCACGACTCACTTACCTGTGAAGGTGGCAACGATTAAAAGGAGGAGCTCAACTCTGCTCTACTGGAGTGGGTCTCTTTTTGCATAGGGAGGCACCCAAGGCTTCCTCACCGGGATGGGATATCCGTTCGGTAAACTTCTATCGATCTCGACCTGCTGACACCCCGTATTCTGCCATGCTAGGCTTGATCAAAAGACTATCTCCGCCCTTCAAACATAGATTTTGGGAAGCATTGAATGTGTCACACGGCATCGAGTAAGATCTGAGTAAGACGTCATCGTGATTCACGATCTGTCTCGAAGCAAACTTTTCGGAATCAACCAACAGCAATATCCTTTCTTTTTGGTGATCCATTTGACCTCGAATCAAAAGATCTTGGCGGATTGCCGACTAAAACCCCTGGCGCGAATTCTTTGGTTTCTGGACGAAAACAATTTCCAGTCCCTGTCTGAGCAAACGGTCGCCAAGCGAACAAGGCTCTCCTTATCATTGCAAATCGCCCGGCAGACACCAGGCCTCCCGGCACTCCTGAGTCTGCTCTTCAGGGGGTGTATGCAGACAACCGCCCAGTTGAAAAACAAGGCAACATCTTCCTTGGTCGGACTTGACAAGAAGTGGTCACGTCCCCTTTTTCGTTGGTACATGCATGTTCTTATGGGTCAAAAGATCTGAATGTGCTCACTCGCTCTCAATGCCTAGCAATCACATATAGTCTCTCTCCAAATCGACCTGAGAGTACCGCCAAAAGTTTGCCACCTCAAGCGCACCGATAGTTTTCGGCCTTGTTTTTCGGCCATCGATTTGCGGGTATCTTGAAGAAGGTTTCCTGTACGTCCTCAGAACCTTGAGCAAGCAACTGCTCCGTCCCCCTTTATGGCGTGAGTCCATCAATACCTATGGCCTCTGCGATTTGGGAAAAGAGTCGGCTCCGTTTCCGATAGCGAGAATCTTCTGGACAGGCGCCATCATCGCAACCGACCGCGGGCACCGTGACGGCAAGCTCGACATCCCCACCCGGCGGGAGGTGTTCATATGTCGGTAAGACCAAAGCGGACCAGTCTCGTATGGCGAACAGAAACTCCGTTGCATGAATAAATCAAAACTGCCTTTCATATATAGTCAATCGGACTCGACGTCTACAATTTCAAACGGGCAGTTGCGCTGCACTGCAGCGATGTTGACCACAATAATCCGAGACGAAGGATACCTGTCGGCCACGTCGATGGCCCATATACCATTTCCAGTGCCCTGGTCAAGAATATTTTGTGGGTTCTCACTCATAGGAGCCAAATGGAGACGACCGTCGTACATCAGGAGGAATTTGCAATACTGCAGTTTATTGCGTTCCTGTTCTTCATCGGAAGCCAATAGAAGTGATTTCCGTATAGAGCTTACCGGCGGCCACACTATCGGATAGCCTCGTGAATCTCTGTCGCTATACTAGGGATCTGTCAGGTCCTGAAGCAACATCCGAGGACTTCTATTATTACCTCATCCGGAGCTCGCAGTTGATGCCGAGGTATCGTAGCCTTCGTCTTCAAATTATCACCGGGCTCCATAATTGGCCTACCCATTCGCATTCTAGCCTTTTGACCCGTTGTGATACGACAGTCATCAATGGCAAAACATGGAAGAAGAGGGGGAGGAAGATGATGAAGTACCCAAGCATGTAAGTGACGACACCGGGGTTTTGTTTCTACCGACTAGCTGAAGAACTCGGGACGTCTTGTCGTGGGGATGGTTTTCCAGCGGACGGGGAGTCGGATCATTATGCCGCTTCATGCCCAAAATGGTGTTCGATGAGGGTTTGAACAGGAAGCGATTGGTGGCTAACGTTTCTTAGGTTCGTCCTGGCAAAGACTGCATGATGCATACAAAAGTGGGAATTCTTTTGCATTGCCACGTCGTCACTATCACACCGCATATCGTCGTTCCGGTCCCGGATTTATCTAGATAGCATGATGCTGCATCGATAGAAAATTCGAGGGTACAACCTGGACACATACCAAATTCCAATGTCTTCTCCAGCAAAAGATGAAGCAGAGCAGCTGCAGGAGCTGGTCCAACAGCTCGCTGCCGCTGCTAAAGATTATGTCCCCTCGTCAGGGCCCCAGAACTATATTGATCGATCCAATATCACCCGAAAAGCGAAGGAGATAATGCGTCTCATGATGGCACCCTCAGATATGCCGCTGTACCATACTGTCAATGTGCGTGTGTGTAGATCTGACATGCAAACCAACACCTGTTGATCCCAAGTCTCAGATGATCGAAGTCGTCGCCATTCGAACATTGAGAGGGTTGGGCGTCTTCGAGAAAATTCCCGTCGAAGGCTCGATTTCCCTGGCCGATTTGTCCAAGGCGACAAATGTTCAGGACTCACTTCTTGGTTCGCCCAGAGATCTCTCGGTCAAAGTCACGTCCACGGTGCTGACCTATTCAGAACGTATGCTCCGATTGCTGGTCGGTGTTGGCTTTGTGGACCAGACGGCCGACTACAAATACGGGCATACGAAGTTTTCGAAAGCGTATACCTTTCCAGTTCCTGGTCCTGGAAACCACTTCCAGATGTTGTATGTGGATCAAAATTTTCCGCGATCTCTCCGGCTAAGGCAAATATGCAGGTTCGATGAAAACTTCTCGACCATGTGGAATTTCCACAACTACGTGAAGGAAGTCGCCGGTGGTGGGATGCCATCAGAGCCAGACGATTCTCAAAATAATCCGTACACTCATCGGCACGGTATGGATGGACGGCCGGTTTGGGACGTCCTGGCCAATTTACCGGACCGTCTCAAGGCATTTCAGCTCGGATTCATGGCTCAAGAAGACTCAGGTCCCATTATCGGCTTCTTTGACTATGCCGCTCTCTTTGATCCCGCCACTGACGGTGACAGACCCACTCTGGTGGACGTCGGTGGTGGCCAGGGCCAATCCATTATGCAGATTCTTCAGGCGACTCCCAGCCTGGACCCGAGCCGAATGGTCTTGCAGGATCTGCCGGAACCCGTCCAGCAGGCGCAGGAGTCGAAGATGTTGCCAGAAGGCGTGAGAATCATGGTCCACGACTTCTGGACCCCTCAGCCGATCAAGGGAGCCAAAGCGTACTTCATCAGGCGGATCATGCACGACTACTCGGATGAGAATTGCACCAAGATCCTGCGTCAGATCAGAGATGCCATGAGCCCGGACTCCAAGGTTCTGATAGCAGACATGGTGATGCCCAAGCGTGTTTCCGAAGCAGACTTACCCGCCGCAGCCATGGACAATTGTATGATGGTGATGGGAGGAAAGGAACGTACCGAAGAGAATTTCAGCAAGATTTTATCCAATGCAGGCCTGAAACTGTCCAAGGTATGGCGCAGCAGAGAGGGAGGGGCTACTGGAAACCTTGTTGAAGCCAGGTTGATGGACTAGATATCAGAACGTTTCTGCACAGCTTGAAGGGAGACCGCCGTGTCATCAGGCGAGACCACAGCTCAGTAGCTCTGTAGATATTTCTTTTCAATCAAAGATTGACAATCGATGCTAGATGGTAGGCGTCACCGGTCCACCGGAGGGCTGTCTGCGAACCGTTTCTCGCACTCCGAGTCTGTGTCACAGAAAGGCCAAGGAGAACATCCCTCCCCGCTCAGGATTGTCGAGATCTACGCCATTTTATTCGAGGCTTGATATATTGTTTGCTTCTTTCAATCGGTGCGTTGAGCCGCTCGGGCGGCTGCCTTTCCTTCCCAATCCCGCAACGCCGAAACTCCGATTACTATGCTGATTGGCGCTATGATACATTTCATGATGCTTTCTTTCCTGTCTTGCTGGGCTTTTTGCGAGCTGTTCCGTCTCCTGGCCCCGTCTTCAACTTGAGTTTCAATGTCGGTTCGGAACTTGCATCTCTTGTTGCCTTGGTAGGCGTGACTTGGATGGTATCTCCATTGGCCTCCTTCAGAGGACTGTCTCCTCCTTGATCGTCCACATTGTTGGTTTCCCTCAGCTTGCTGGGACCCGAAACACCCTGCTTTGCATTTTTCTTGACGTCTCCGGTCTTCTGTTTCTTCTTCGTGCCGCCCGTGTTTTCATCCTCCGCCTTTCTCTTCACGCCGTTGGAGCTTGCCTTGGGTGAATTGGCTCGGCTATCTCTGGGAGTGCCGCCAATCTTGGCGTTGGCTTCCCTCCCGGCCGCGCGGTCCTTCTTCAGGTAGCAGCTTCCGTTCAAATGGGTGGCAAACACGTTGACTGATTTCCAATGGTCACCCAAATGTGACTCTCGGTTCGGACATTTGGCTGCCGGATAGTCGATTTCTTTGAACTCGAAAGATTCCGTGGGGACCGAGGAAGACGGCGTCAACGGATCTGAGTTTTCGGATGTGGGCGATGCGGGCTCGTTCTTTTTCTTGTTTTTGCCCTTGGCTTGTCCCTTGACCTTGACTCCTTTCTTTCGCTGCCCATGAACGTCATGCTTGTCAAGAATGATCATGGGTTCAGTCTTGCAATACTGTTCTGTTGGATCCGGCACCGGGCGGGAATTGAAACCGACTCGGGGATATTGAAGACGTCGAAGTCGGCAATTCGGGCATCTGATATGTTTGACCGTCTTCATGGGATTTCCTTTCAGCTGGACTTGACCAGACTTCAAAACAGCGGCATTGGTCTCCACCGGCTCATCATCGGCATTTTCGCCATCTTGAGGATCGGTGGTTACTTTCTTTCCAAGCTTCTCCGCTCTTTGTTCGACCTCGACGACCGCTGTTTGCATACGAGCTATCTTCTCTTCCTGATGGATATCGAGAAGGATGTCATGGAGAATGCTTTCAATAGATTGATCCAGGAGATAAACAATCTGGGTCAGTTAGCAGGGGCTCGGGTTGGCCACATTTCTGGTCAGCTAACCGCTTGTTCTTGGTCGGAGACAGATAAGCTGGCAGAAGACTGGGCCCCAGATTCTTTGGTGGTAGCCATGACAGAAGAATCGTTTCCTGGAAGCGGAACGTCAGCTGTGATTTCTTCATCGTCAAATCGCCTCCCCCAGTCGACATGAAGAATGGACTTGGGAAACAAAATTACACATGCTTTTCTAGGCGCCATTGTTGAGCGACAAACGAGTGAATAGGAGAAGAAGCCGACCAGGATCGAGGAGAATGTGCCTGTGTCTGAATGTTGTGCATGTCCGGGGACCGTGGAAGAGCAGGAATATTACAGAGAGAGATCATTGCAGGAACAGCTGCATGCCCTAGTGACACACGTACAAGAGACAGAGAACACCCCTGGAGTGTTTGATGCTATCGTCCAACAGCGTACTTACTGCTGTGAGATGAATGGGTATCTGGGCATGTGCTTGCCGTTCACACACCTTCGCTCCCTGCCGCACCCGACAATCTTATTCACACACTAGCCTTCCATTACTTTGACGATTGATTCTCGCGAATTTTTTATGGGAGCTTGGATGTTTCCAGCTTCGAGGATGTTATGGAGATTTCGCTACGAAGGAGGATCTCGGAAGCGGCTCGAAGGACTCGTGATGGCCAGATTATTGCCTCGGCGTCCGGAAGGCGAGGAGGACGAATCTAACAATATGGGGGAGAGAGCGGTGTGGTAGCGAGGAAGTGTTTATGTACAATGTCAAGACAGGATAACCAAAAGTGTGAATGTTTGGCTGCGGTTGTGGATGTGAGCAGGGTTAGAGGACGCAAGAGGCATGAGCGCAGCCAGAGAGGCAAGAGGGGACATTGGCCAAAAGGCTTTGCCCAGTCTTAGTGGTCACTAGACCCCAAAACCCTTAGTGCGGGTTAACAGATTTCATCGCGCACCGTGCTGTCGGTCAAGCATCGATAACCTATCTTTAGTGCCGGGAGCACCCGCGATTCAGTCTTGCAGGGGCCTCCAGCACCTGCATGTCTTTTCTTCATCTCTTGCCGATAGGCCCTGTTGGGGTTTGAATTGTCATTCCAATCTCTTGGACATCCTATCTGTGGCATTGGTGATGGAGAGTGTGAACAAACGATGCCCCAGGCCAGTCTTCTCTCCTATTTCTCCAAGCCAGTAACATCTGGATCTTCCCCCACAAGCAACGACACCGATCGCAAGGTTGAGCGATGTAGTCGGGATGAGAGAGTCCCCGATTCAGAGACGAGTACAACAGAGATCCGGGGTCTTGGTATCCTGGAAAAGCTACGGGGAAAGTCCTTCCAGGAACTGACATGCAACAATGCCGAACTCCTATCAGGAGACACCAATATCAATGTCAACGAAAATAAGGACTCCTTGAAGCGAGAACCTGCCAGTGAACCCAATGGTCGGCCTTGCCATTTGCAGGTCTTTTCCCAAACGGAACTGGAAATCCCCCAATCCATCACCATCGCACATCTCCCCAATGCCTGCATAGGCCCGGTCTTGGAACCGCACCTCCCATCAATCCAGCGCCTCACCAGCACGACCCTCCCCGTCCGCTACGGCGATGCCTTCTTCACCTCCACCATCAGCGACCCCATAACGAACCAACTATCCCGGGTCGTTCTCTACGCATCCGAGCCTGTGGGCTGGATCCGGTGCCGGTTGGAATCATGCCCGCCCCAGACCGAGGCGTCTCCATCAAAACCGCCACTTTCCCAAATCTACATCCAAGCATTGGCCTTGCTTTCGCCCTATCGTCATCTCGGACTGGCCACCATGCTTCTCGACGCAGTGTTGGCATCATCCATCGCGGAGGCCGAGGAGACCATTTGTATCTACGCGCACGTTTGGGAGAAGAACGAGGATGCACTCGACTGGTACGCCAAACGCGGGTTCAAGCGCGTCATGCTCATCGAACGGTATTATAGAAGGCTGGTGCCTGGTGGAGCATGGATTGTGAGAAGAGAGCTGGATTGAAGTTGAATTCCAGCACCGATCATTTGGATCATGCTTTCTGGGAGTCAACACTGTGTCCGCCTGTATTAATGCGGCTCATTTGCACCCGTTTGAGGCCGACGCCAAGTCAGATCCAAACCAGCATATGCAAGCTGAAGGAATCTCCGTGGATGCAAAGATCAATGCCACACAGGCCACCACTGGACGGATTTCGATGTGAACGGTGCAGCCAGCCAATCCTCAGCGTTGACCTTGGCAGCGTGGAGGGAGACCTAGACGATCGAATGACGATACACCAGCGCACGCGCCCCGAGGACATTATGTCCATTTGACAGATACTGCAGGCGACTGATGATCCGAATTCTGAAAGAGGAAAACATCGAGGTCTCTCGATCTTTGTTGCCGTTGTGGGGGAGTCACTTCGCGGCCACTGGGATTGCAAGACACCAATTGGCCATGAGCAGTGATCCGGAGCCGACTGTGGCCTGGATAGCTATGTAATATACTGTTGTACATGAAACCATGTAACTTTCGGGTTATTAGTATATGAGGTGGCCAACGGCCAAACGAGAATGGTACAATGAAAGAATCCGGAACCTGTCCTCTTTGTCGTGGTGCGACACTGGCGTGTAGGCGTTCTCAATCACAAGAGCATCAGTTCTCGTAAGAAACTCAGCACGAGCACGAGTCAAGAAAGTCCATTGATTATGGTGGCAGTCATCCTTTTGATCGCTGATTTCATTCCATGTCCGCAGTCCGGTATATACACGGAACCCATCCTGTTCTTTTCGCTCAAAGCAGGGCCATGGCTGAAACACACACCAAAAAAAGGCATTCATAGCACAGACGATACATAATTCTCCTCCATTTTTCGTACTTCCCGTTTGAATATCTCCACTTCCTTCCAGCAATCGAGAGGTTGTCTGTCGTTTATCCTCAGGCACGAGATAACATCTTGTCTCCTATAGCCACGTTAGCTCCAAATAGGCACAACACCACGAAGAGAACCAAATGTGATAGGTACGTACGCGGCCTCCACCTCTTTGGGTAATTCCTTCAGAACTTTCCTCTGGCCTAATGTTTGCTTCAACTTCTCAATCTCCTGCTGCACCTTCTGAGATGTCTGCGATTTCCGTTGCTCTTCTTCATCGCTTTCCGAAGGAAGCAGATCTTTAGGAGATATCGGGCTGACGTGTACCGGAGTGCTAGAGGATGATGTGTCCAAGGAAGTTGTCTCTTCGCCGGCAGCAATCTTCTGCCGGATGCTTTCGAGGGTGGAAGATTCTTGGTTTTTAATCTTTTCTAGCTCGGCGGCGACGCGTTGGGCGATGTGAAGCTCTAATGTTTTGGCACGAGTGGAATCCGTCTGTTATCAACCGAATCATGGTAAGTACAATATTCTCGCAGCCCTCAGTAAAAAGAGCGAAGCTCGAAGAGGTCAGGCATACTTCTGAAGATGCTTGGAGGGAGTCGATAAGTCTGTGGAGCGAGTTAGTCAGGTTGTCTTTCGGAGCACCGTCACAGTATGAGAACAATGCGTTTTGAAGCAACATACTCTGGGGAAAATTGAATCGGTGTATCGCTTGCAAAAACATGTTTGGTCGAGTCGCTAGGTTTAGATTGACCTGACCCCATTCTCGTGGGTTGTAAAACTACTTCAGGTCCTTGAGGAAATTTTTGAAGTATTTGATATTCGTCTATGACATACCCTGAGGTTACAGTGAAGACAAAGGACGGAGGTCTGAATGTTCGCGATTCTTTTGCTGTCGCTGTCTTCGGAGCTTCAACGCGGAAGCGAGTCTCTGGCTTCGGCTGGCGGAAAAACTTTCTTGGCAGGAACCGAGAATATTTCCGGCCGCAGAGGAGGAGTGGCAGGAATACCCGACACTATCAGTGCAAGGCGAGGCGAGATCAGACAAACGTTCTAAATTGTCTTTTGCGTACGGAGAGTCTCGAAGAATGAGAATTTCGAGACACGCTCTTCGATGTACTCTTGTCCTCCGGCTTCTCAGTCCATCTACGTATAGCCTCCCGCCATTCGAACATCTCTTCCACCAGAAGCCTTCTATCCCTACCTTTCCACCGCATTCAAACCCGCTCTCTCAACCTTACATCCTCCAAAGGACCTCATACCTCCCAATCACCACTCTCCAATCCGGAATATACGTACTCACCACAGACCCAGCACCAATAGGACAACCTTTCCTTATCGTGACACCGGGCAGAATCACTGTCCACTCACCAATTCCAATGGCGCGTTTAGACCGTCTGTCTTGTCGGTATTATATCGACAGATGTTCCGAGCTTTTTGTCGAGCAAGAGACGACCAGAAAGGCTGAAAGAAGGTATCAAAGGCTGGATACTCAGGCCATTTCCATCGGTGACATTAATCTCATTGCTTAGTCTTTCACATAGGACCCATGCTAAAAAGTAACGCACGAACGTGGACGTGGATGGGTTTCCTCCTTAAATATCCCTCGAAAACCAGTCCTGCTCAGCGGACCACAACCATGTGTATCTATCCATCAAGAGAACCTTCTCCAGCAGGTCATTTGCAGGGAGTGCACACAAGGCCAAGAGCAATCGTCACCCACGTCCCAACAATGCTTATGCCCTAAAAGCCAAAATCTTCCTCATCCTCATCACAAGCCCGCATCTTTGAGACTTCTCTCGATACGTTTCTTCCTGGCAACATCATCCACAAGCAGACTTCTTTCTTTGAACACGGTTTCCAAAGTATCCACCACTTTGTAAAAGCTGCTGGCGGCTCCCTTTTCCTGTGTGAATTTCATAACGCTCAAATTGGCCATTCGGCCGTGTTCAAGAACCGAATAGAGACATGCGTGGAAATGAACCGGTTTGAGTTGCAAATCTGCTAACATGTTAGCATGGTACAATAGAATGGAAGTTCGAAACACTGACAATTAGATGCATCGACACGCCCTCGAACCACATCGCCACCATCTCTTCGCTCAGCAACTACATCTTTCAATCCATATTTTCGCCAATCTCTCAAGCACTTGAGCAATTCTTTTCTTGCCTTTCCTTTGCGAATTTGAAGGCAAACCACTCGACTGGCCGGCTTGATGCGGAAGAATTTGGCGAACCAATTTTGACAAGTTTCGATGGGACCCGGAGCTGCAGCATCGACTTTGGTAGCTCGAGGATAATCTTTTTGTGCCGCCATTCTGGATTTTGGACTGGAAAGGACTCCCTCCTTGCGGCCTGGGCTGTTGGAGCTGGTCTCATCTGATAAATCCCGTACAATACAGTGCTCAATCGAAGCCACTGCGGATGTTTCCGTGCTTTTGGATGATTTACCAAACATCTTTTGGAACCATTTTCTCTTCTTTTCCACATTCAATTCGACATCTCCTGAATCAGGGTCACGACTCACAGTTCCCGAAAACGCCGAGGAATGTGTAGATTCACTAGGTTGAACGATCTGAGATCCATTTGGATCAGCATCTTCTAAAACATCTTCTGCAGAATAAAACTCTTCTAGTGAGTCACGCGGCTCTGATCCACGGTTTCCAAGCCAGGGCCATTTCCGAACAGCAGCAGACGATGAAGCGAGAGGCCTCTTCTTTGGGAATCTAGGGTTCTCTTCAATAGTGCCAAGACCTCCTCGGTCATGAAGCCGCTGAATATACCCACAACGCTCGTATTGAATCCTTGATGCGTCAATTGGATCGCCCCTGAACGAGTCGATTGGCATGACCTTGTTCTTGCGAATCTTGAGGGGCTCAATTCGGGCCGAGGGGGAAGTTGGATCAGGAGTGACAAGGCGAACCGTGGTTTCCTCACTGGGCCGACGTGTCTTTAGTTTGACGGGATCAGAAGCTGCCCGCAAGTCCTCGTCCTGATTCCGCTTAAGGTCTTCCACAGCGTTCGCAGGCGATGTGGCACGGTAATATCTCAAATTTACCGTACCGTGAGTAGGGTCAGAAGCTGCACGCTGGTCATAGCCCTTCTGTTCCTCGAACTCGGCGTCAATTCGTTTATCCACGGCAGCCAACATGTCAACAAGAACGGTCTGGTCAGCGTCGCCCCATGTGTCGATGATCTTCTGTCGGCGTTCAATCAATTCCCGAAGAACCGGGGTTGCTGGAAGAGGTCGATCGCGAATACTTTCAGGTACCTTATGATTGTGCGTCGAAACTGAAGTTGCGGACGAATCTAACGGAGGGGTTGGACGGATTCCACTCCCCGTAGATACAGATGGCCCATTGAATGCCTCTTCACAAATCTTGCCTAATTCGGTGCTGACCTTCCGAGTTTCGTCCTTCCAATAGAAGCTGGCCACTCGACGTTTCTTCACATCAATCTCTGAGCTGGATTTCTGTGGCCGGTGGGCCTGTGAAGGCGTTGGCAAGCTCGGGGTCCTCTGAATTTCCGATCTTGGATTGATTTTGCTGCGAGTTTGTGACCGATCGGTAGAACCACTCTCACCGGAAATCATCCGAGAATTGACATTTGTGTTTCCGGAATTTTGTCGTCGGTGAGTGAAACTTACTTGCCGCTTGTAGCTCAAGGATTTTCTGATCCTCGGATGTCTTCTGGTACTCGAAAGAGAGCTCTTCGAGGTTGCAGTCGAATACAGGACACGTTCTTTCTGGATAAGCTTCTCAAGATCTTCCGAAGTAAAGCGAGGGAGGGCCGGGCCCTTTTCCTCGACTCGATCCAAGGCCCGGTGCTTGACGCTGCTCCCAGAGCTGACAACGTGGCCGCCACCAGAAGCATTCAAGCATTGACGAACGATAACGGTAGCAGGATCGTGGCCGTCTTCTGCGATGAGTGTCCGGGAAGCGCGATATGGGTCATAACTGCTCTGGGCCGCCTTACTCCCGGCAGTGCCTGGATTCTTGTAGTAACCGTCTCGTTTACTGTTATCACCACTTACAATGGAGAACTGAGAGGGCGGGCAACCATGAACTCGGCCATTCGTCGCACGTTTAGGCTTTGAAGTCAGTTTCCTAGCATGATGGTAATCGCTGGCAGAGTAACGGAGAGGGTCTCCGGGGTAATTTTCAAGCTGGTCTTCTCTGAACTTGATCAATGCCCAGTAGAAAAGTTTCACATGGTTTTGCTCCTCACTCATTAGTCTTCTGATCAATTCTTCGACCCTCTCACTATGCCACAGGGTAGAGAGATTCCGAAGGATCTCAACGTCAATATCGGAGCGTGCAGCGATTCGTTTAGCCTGGGCTTCAACACTGGCCGGAGGAGCAGCTCCGATCACAGGCTCAGGAGACACTAAGCTTGCGTGGTACTTTTCGTACTTGCGAATAAGCGGGTGAGACCAGATCTGCTCCATAGTGACTCTATTTTCTGGCCGTTTCTGAAGAATTCGCTGAATGAGATCGGCAGCTTCGGCGCTCAAGCTCGGAGGTAGGTAATACTCTCCCTTCTTGACTAGACGTAAGGTATTTGGTAATGTTCCCCCATCAAATGGTAGAAACCCATTGAGCATGGCGAATAGAATAATCCCGGTACTCCAAATGTCCGCTTTGTCACCTCGGTATTGTTGTCCCTGGATGATTTCGGGCGCTGCATAGTGTGGACTTCCACATGAGGTGTTCAGCCATGTCCCATCGGGTTGTAGAGCAGCCATGCCGAAGTCGGCCAGTTTGACATTTCGATGGCTGTCCAGCAGGATATTCTCAGGCTTCAGATCCCGATGACAGATGTTGAAGCGGTGGCAGTAAGACAACCCTGCGATGATCTGACGAAACAGTCTCACGGCTTCTTCTTCGGGGAGGGCTCCATTGCCTGAGACATAGTCAAAAAGCTCACCACCGGAGACATACTCGAGCACCAAGTAGAGTTCGCCACGATTCTCCCAGATATCATAGAGATTGATTATGTTGGGATGTTCAATCAATTTCATGATGACAACTTCACGCTCAATACCAAATGGCATTGTTCGTGGACCTGCAGCAATCATTGTGTTGGCGTCTTCCTTGTCCATACGTGCCATGCTTGCACTCTGAACCAATGCAGCTGACTTCTTGGAGACGATCTTTACCGCCGCAGTCTGACCAGTTATTGCATGTTTTGCTAGACGTACCCTTCCCGTTGCTCCTTTACCCAGGGTCTTTCCCAGCTGCCACGGCCCCACATGAGATTTTCTTTGGCCTTTCCCGGAGGCCGAGACCGTGGAAGCTGTAGCCACTGGCAAATCTCGCTGGGATCCGGCAACAACCTCACTAGCCATCATAGACGAGCGCTTATTCTCAGTCACAGAGACTTCACTAATGACCTTCTCTCCAACCGACAAGTTTCCTTCGGGTTTGAAAGACTCATGATGTGGGAGCCGCGGCGACGAGCCTGTAGGGAGGCCGTTGTTCCGCCTGACGGACGCGGTAGGCGAATGGTGGGCACGCGGCTGTATCGGAGCGAGAACATTTCTCTTGACATGGGACTTCTCGATTTTGGATTGGTAACTTGTCACGACATGTGTCTGCTCGGAGCCCTTATGGGAGGACGACATGGCGGAACGTCAGCAGGATTCAATTATGCCCGGTAGGTCGACTTTGCCATCCGTTGCCGCTTGAACAAAAGGATTAGCAGATGTAGATATCTCTCAAGTACTGACACTGACCTTTGTCGACCTATTTGTTGGCCGGGATGAGAGTGGACGAACAAGGAATTGTAAGAAGGATCTAGGTTAAGACACGATATCGTTGCAGTATTTTTTGCGTCGAGTGACTTGCATCGTGGTATCAACACGATTCTGCCAGATTCCTTCACCGCGGTCCTCGATTCCGCAAGTTCCTCGTATTTCAATCAACTCTTCCTCCTTGTTTCGTTTTCCCGAGCTGATTCTGCGTTAGACGAATCTGTCAGTTCTTTAGGCCAGACTGCAGACTGGTAATTGTCAAACTTGAGTGGATATTACTGAATTTGGATGAGAAATGCTCGCTCATTGGGCATGAAGAGATGTTGCAGGAAAAGGCCAAAATCAAAAAGCAGAGGGGCAAGGATCTAAAAGAACAACTTGAGAAGCAAATGAGTTGCGAGTGCTTCCAGGTGAGTCTATGTATTGCAGCAAAAAGTTAGGATGTTCCTGTATCCAGGTCAAGCGCAGCTGGAATTCCATCTCCATGGCCTTGTCAGGATCAAAATCATGCAAATGGAGGTATCTCCGCATGTACAGGAGCATCCCACGCTCAGAATTGGTCGAGTGACAGGTCAATTATGGAGGAGCCATACCGGAACAAAAGCACCAGCAGTACGAGAGTTCGCTCCATCAAGGCGTCGTCTCACGACGGCGGAGTAGGCAATTCCGAAGCAGAGACAATCAGGTTGCAGCATGAGCATATCTTTCATGTAACGGTCCATTTTGGCACATTATTGTCATCTCTCAGTATGTGACGATCGCATCGTTTACTCAAAGAGCTGATGGAGTCATCGAACAAGCTTCCCGCTGCAAATTCGGGTCGGATGTCTCCGTCACCGATATGGCGGGACTCCAGAACGCATGCTGAAACCAGTGCCAATGATGGCCAACGTCATCCTTGGTATCAAAATGGAAGCTTGTGGAGAGCGAACCAGTCAGATACTGGCATAGTGAAGCTCGGGCGAGCTTTATTGTTGAGAACCCACGGTTCGCGGCCTATTGCAGCCGCCGTCACCCCACTGAATGCATTCGCCCGCCACCAGTGATGATGGCACCGTCTCCCTGTCTTACGTTGACCCAACCTCTCTCCTCTTTCTTCTCCCTCCGCCATCCACCAACCACGCAGCATTTTACCTGCAAGCGGCCTTCTGCATTGCGTGTACGAATTGTATTTCGCTTCTGCCTGTTGATATATCCTTCTCCGACGATATCCCTCTGTCAATACCTCACAACAACCTCCATTGTGAGAACTTCTCCTGTCGTCCCCTTTCATATCGGCTCATCATGAGAGTCCTCACCGTGCTCTCGGCGGCAGCTGTCGCCTCAGCATTCGTTATCCCAGATCGAGCCACCCTCGAGGCTTTGACCCTTCAGAACCAGGACATTGAACAGCCATCGGAACATCCTTTCTGGGAAAAACTTCACAAGGTGGAGAACTTTTGGGATGACCTGGAAGAAGAGTTCACAAAAGCTGCTACGAGTTGTACCAAGCATAGATTCACAGAGGTCGTGGGCGCGGCCCATGATGCCACCGTCAAGTACGGCGAACAATTTCAAGATGCTTTTGCTGGTGATGCCTGGTTAGACACGGCCGACTATGACCTTGATCTGGTGGATGCTCCCCCTCATCATGGCCGCCCTCCACATCGTGGGCCACCTGGCCGTCGCCCTCCCCCGGGCAAGAAGCCTCGCCACCCTCCTCATCATGGCCCGCCCAATCAGACCGTGTACGAGATGATCTCGAAGAGCAAATATACCACCAAATTGGCTGCCGCCATCAACGAGTTTCCCGATCTGGTGGATCTTCTGAACGGCACCAAGGCCAACTACACTGTTTTTGCACCGACGGACAAGGCGTTTGAGAAGATCCCCAAGCACGCCCCTAAGCCAACCAAGGAGTTCTTGAAGAAGCTTCTGATCTACCATATCTCGACTGAATTCTACCCGGCAGGTCGTATTTTGGTCAGCCGGACCATCCCGACAGCTCTCGAGGCAGAGGCCATTGGCAACGTGCCACAACGTCTCTCCAGTCAAGTCTCACTGAGAGGCCTCACCCTGAATTTCTATTCCCGTGTGGTCGGGATTAACATCTTTGGCACCAATGGTGTCATCCATGGAATTGACAGCATTCTCCTTCCTCCACCAAAGGTCGTAGATATTCTTTCCGTACTTCCCGGCGAGTTCAGCACTCTTGATTTCGCCCTGGAGAAGACCGGCTTGTATCCGCTCTTCAATGATACATCAAGCCACGAAGGAGGTACTTTCTTTGCCCCCTCCAACTTCGCTTTCCAGCGTCTTGGACCAAGGATCAATGCCTTCCTTTTCAGCAAGTTTGGCCAGAAGTTCCTCAAGGCCTTGCTCCTGTATCATACCGTCGACAACATCACCCTCTACTCGGACGCCATCTACAAGGTTGACGCCGAGTCCGCCCCACCCCATCACAAATTCCCCAAGGGTTTGATCCATGTTGATCTCCCCACCGGCCTCGAAGGAGAAAGTTTAAGCGTTGATATTGCCCGATACGGTCGGCTCGTCACTATGAAGATCAATGGATTTTCTAAAGTTAGCGTGCTCGATGGCATTGCTGCTGATGGTGTTGTCCACGTCGTTCCCAACATATTGATCCCGCCAAAGACACCTGGTGGTCCGGGCGTTGCCGATGACGACATGGACCTCGATGAATTCAAGGCAAGATTGGCACCTTTTGTGGAAGGAGGAGAAGAAAGCTCTGAGTTCATTGAAGAAGATCCTGAACTCTAAATGAACATATACTCCTATTTCAGGAAAATATCTCCGAAAAAGCCATCATTCACAGCATATGTATGAGCCACCACAGCTCAATTGGGTTGTACATGGGGGATGCGATGACGACTGACGATCATTACTGACATTTATGGATAATGAGCACCGACAAGGAGTTCTTGGAAGATGACTTGAAAAGCAGTAAATACGACGATAATACAGTATAGTCAATTTATGCAATCCGAACCAGGATCCTGCCATGGCGATGATTTCTTTTCCCTAATCCTTGCAGTATAATAGGGCTTTTTACCAGTGGGCCTCAGTAATCATTTCCGTAACGCTATCATCGTCAACGTCGACACCATCAACGAACCATCGGCCCTGGACACCCTCTTCTGGGACCGCCACCCCATCGCCATTCTTGCCCAACACGATCTCATTCCCGCTCATGTGTCTCTTCCTCATCTTTCCGGACTCACGATCGAATGTCCAATCTTCAAGTCCATAGCATCTCTTCCACTTCATGCCGTCCGTCGTGTCTTGGAATTCATACCAAAACTGCACAGCGATCTTGTCGTCCATGAAGGCGAAGAGCTCTTTGCGAAGGCGGTACGAGGCTTCACGCTCCCACTTCTTCGTCAGGAGGTCGATGATTTGTTCGGTGCCTTGGATGAAGGAGGCGCGGTTCCGCCAGATGCAGTCTCTTGTGTACCCCTTGGAAACTTGGACAGGGTTGGTAGAGTTCCACATGTTCTGAGCGAACTTGACCTTTTCGGTCGCGGTTTTGAGATTGAACGGAGGACGGATAGAGGCCATTTTTTGTCTTGGTATCGAGATGTGTCTGCTGTGGCTTTGACGTGTCTTCTGAAGCTGGTCTCCAAAAAAGAGACGGTGTGAGTGTAGGGCCTTTGGGTTATGGTAGACTTCCGGTCAAATTGTGCTTTCCTTGTAGAAGATGAAAGGGGGGAGTGACTAGTATTCACTCGATCCACCCAGACGGGGATCTTTTATATCCTGAATGCCACAACTCATCCCTTTGAAACGATACTCCTCTTTTGCCAAATACTCCATTCCATATTTTCGCCTTGTGTGTTTACCGTTTCAGCGGCCGAGAATCCATCAAAACCCACCCTCCGAGTCCTCAATCCTTGCCATCGTCGACCAATCCTACGCTCAGTGTGCGTTAATTCGTCCCCACTGAGCTTTGGACCCAGCACAGGTTTGGGAAATCCCAAAAAGCAGCATGACAAATTGTGCAGTCAAAATGGCATGAATTAGCCGGAAAGGGTGCTTGAGCGTCGCCATCTGGGAGTGGCACTAGATGGGAGCCATATTGTATTGAACGGAGTTAAGATCTTGCCATCCGGAGAAACAGGGTGATTCTCGTAAAATGGCAGGATGTTAGGGTCGCTTGGAAAAAGCAGCGAGTGAGCGAAAAGCAGCGTGGGCACTAAGCTGCCGCTGCTAGTACGGAGAGATCCTCACCGAGAGATTAGATTAGATTAGATCATTCTTCTAGCCCCTCCATTGGAAAATCACGCAAGAGGGGGAGGATTCTGGACTTTTGCACATCCTTTCTTCTTTTCTGTCACATCGCTTGTAGCCTCGCCTGCACCTTTTTTTTGCCATCTCGTACGTCAATTGAGATCCTTCGTTCTGCAGCCTGCCGGATCCATTCCCTAACTGCATCCCAAAAACATCCAAAATGTCGGGACTGAAAGCGGGAGATAACTTTCCCGACAACGTCGTATTCTCGTACGTTCTCATCGGCATTGAAACCCTTCCTTTCTCTCCTCTGCACCGCAGCCTGGTAGCTTTGCATGTGCATACTGACACTTGTCTCTGGCAGATATGTCCCTTACACCCCGGAAACCTCCGCGATAACCTCCTGCGGGATGCCCGTGGACTACGCGGCGTCGAAGGAATGGGCCGATAAGAAAGTCGTGCTATTCGCGGTGCCCGGCGCGTTCACACCGAGCTGCTCTGTTCGACATTTGCCTGGGTACATTGAGAAGCTCGCCGAGATCAAGGGCAAGAATGTCGACGTCGTCGCCGTGCTCGCGTTCAATGACGCCTGGGTGATGAGTGCTTGGGGCAAGGCGAATGGTATTCAAGGAGATGATATTGTGAGCATACCTCATAAGACTTCCGTTTTAGTGGCTAGACACAAAACAATACGGGAGGCATATATCCCAAAAACTCAAAAGGAGACTCGGAGACGTCATATAATTTTACAATTCTGGTCAAGGAGAGCTGACGAAAAAAATCAATCTGTGATTAGCTTTTCCTCAGCGACCCCGAGACAAAGTTCTCGAAATCGATAGGCTGGAACCTTGGCGATCGCACCGCCCGATATGCCATGATCATTGACCACGGCAAGGTCGCTTATGCAGAGAAGGAGCCCGGTCGAGACGTCACGGTGAGTCCGTACCCGGCCCCTAGCACCCAGCACCCAGCGACGGTTACCCCTTTTAAATATCCCGACTCTCGCTTTCGGTCACTAAGACAATGAATGTATCTTCTGACCTCCCCACCCGTGCAGGTTTCCGGAGCTGCTGCCGTGCTCGCAAAGCTATGATGTTAAAAAGAAACGCATCCTTCAAGACACTAGTATGGCCATTCGGGCGCTCATTAAGAGATGGGTTGTGTTCCACATATGCTCTGCATATCTAGACTGGACTGGCAGTAAACGCGTTGGTCAGACCGAATTGAAGTAATTTATATGAATTTGAGAGTGTCCTTTTTCAATTGTGTTGCCTCTCAAACAGAAAGTTCCCTACCCGAAAGAAGCCCCGAGCTTGAATATCTTTCCCCTGGCAAACGACTCGCTTCTGGAGGTTCCTGTGTATCCAAAGAGGCATAAATCTCACCCAATCTTCCGAACATTGTCTCAGGAAGGGAATGGGTCAAATGCTTCGTGCAACGCCGCGCTTTCCTTTCCTGATAATATCATGGCTGAATCCGCTCCCAAAAGGCGTCTGCCTCCCTGAAGCGAAAGAACTGCATAGCTTCAAGACCTCTCACTCGGCGCGTCACGGGAGGCATAACAAGTCTTCAAAACTGGGAAGACTGGGTTTCGCCCTTAGAGTCGAATTAATGCAGTCAAGAACTTTCGGCGTCTGAGTGCTATTGTATAACTGTAGACCGGCATTGGAGGTAAAAGAAAACGCATCGAAGCTGTCGGGTATTGGAGGGTGGCTGTTTGTGTGGGAGTGTGGCTTTTGACCGTTGCAGGGCTTGACGGTTTTGATCTCGGCCTGAAGTTGGGAGATGCGTCGGTTCAGCTTTTCGATATGGTTGGCCTGTTTGTGGTACGATTGCAGCAAATCTTGATGCATCTCGTTGAGGTTCTCCAGCTGATATTCGAGGCCTTTGATGTGTTTTTCTTTTCGTTCTCGGAATGCCCGCTGCGAAGCACGGTTTTGGGCCCTCCGCCGCTGGTGAATGTGCCTGTTAGCAATGCGGTAACGTCATTGGCGTCGATTCATGGACGTCTTTCGTATCCGAGGGAGAGCCATATGACTCACTTTTTTGGCGTTGTCGACTGTTTCCTTTTCTGATTCTGTTGATCCAGCCACGTTAGCTGAGTTGGCCGAAGGACAGTAGTCTTCGGGCATGTTGACGTTAAGGAGCTCAAAGTCGGCGGGCTCCCAAGAATTATTGAATGTTGAGACGTCGATATTTCCAAATTGAAACATGTCATCCATAGTCTGCGCTAGATGATCAGCCGTGACCTCTCAGAAGAAGGCACCATGCCTTTGAATGCACATCAGGAGAACTTGTGCTAGATGAATCAAGTTCTGGAGTTGTTTCAAAGTATGAACTGCGGGATTCCATCTTTCGTGATGGCTCAATAGGACACTCCACCGCCAAAGTGTCTCCCTGGAGAATGCCTCGGAGTATTGGGATGTCGCGTTCGATAGCCTTGTAGAATCAAATATGTCGAGAGTCGTCAGGCGTCAGTCAATAAAAAGTTGAAAGGCGTGCTCTTGAGGTAATCAGAGAGTCTGGAGCATTCGTGATGTCCAAAGGATAAGGTCAATTTCAAATCGATGACGTTGAGGGGGAAAAAAAAAGGCGGTCCACGGCTTTGCACCGGCGAGGTGCCGCAAGCTGAACTAGCGAAATCTGCAAGGTTGGGAAGGCGAAATGCGTTTTGTTGTTTGAGGACTGACCAACCAGACAACTCTCCTTGCATTTCGGAAAAGAGGTGACTAGCATGTAATAGGAAATTGCTGGCATTTACCTTCTAGATGATGGCTAGCGATCCGGGATGCACCAGTGGAGTTCCTTTGGCGATTACCTCGGCATTTCTGAGAGCAAGGCACGGACAGAACTAAGTCATTTTGCGGGGCAATTTCTTTTTCGAGTCTCGGTCCTTAATGCTGGCCATAGGCTGGAGTTTTTCATCAAGCACTTTTTTGCAACAATACAAACAGGACCCTGACTCGACGAGCGTGGGAGGCGGTGAACGCGATGAAGGTGAAGATCGAAGGATGTGTCATGCAGATCTCGTACAGAGTGTGGGCGGAGTCTCTTCAGCTTCGAGCTTATTACTGATTTTCATCTAAGCAGATCGAGGGCCTTTTTCACATTATTCCCCATTGGGGCATTCAGCCTCTTTAGTCATCCGCGTTTTAGTGGACGCTGGCGGCGTCTAACGCCATTAAGCTCTTTTCAGCAGCTAATCACAAATCATAAAGCACCCTTTGGCCCGCCCCACTTCTCCGCTAAATTCCCCCAAACTCATGTTTCGACGTCCGATCTTTCTTTCGGCTCCCGCTGAATCTTAGTATTCTTTGGATGTGGCACAGCTCAGGCAGAGATTGGTCCGGCACTAGGGTTGAACAGCGGCATCTCTCTTGGCGGCTAGAGCTACGACTCGGCTGTATCACATGGGAACTCGATAGGGTACACACTGTCGACTTTTCCTCTCTTCCGGCCTTGATCTATCTGACATCTGCGAAGAGTTCAGAGATCGTCATTGCGAACAACAAATACTGTCGATCAGTACAAACGAGGCAAACCCTGATCATCCCAATGGTGTAAGATCGACGTCGAATGCCGCTAGAATGATTATGGTAAACTACAGTGTCGTCATCCCATGGCTACTTCGAGCGAGCGTACCACCACACCATTCACCTTCTTATATTACGACACTCCGAAACACGGTGCTTCCCATCGACGGACTGTCAAATCGCACATCTCGAGCAAGTATAGAACGGCTATCCGGCAGCAAACCAAACCGCGTTACGCATTACCTCGTCGCTCTTCGTTTGAAGATGATGGCTTTCGACACCCGATTTCGACACCCATGCGGAGGACAAAGAAGACGACGCACGTAATGCGTCAAAACGAGGTAGTCAAGCTCTCGCAGCGGCCTATACCATTATTGCTGGAAACGGGTTTCAGTGGCACGAGGGTAGACCCGTTTAATTCATTCCCCGGTCAACAGACCCCATGCGTTACCAATGCCATTGATTTCTACACCCATGTCATATCACCTCTTCAAGAACCCTTGCTGCTAGCGTTCAATATGGTCAACCCGATGATGACTTGGATGTTTCCTTTGATTCTCCAACATGAGAGTGCCTTTCATGGAGCTGTCGCTTTATCCCAGGCATATTTCGAAAAAAGTCAAGCCCCCACAGCGATGCCGTCCGAGGAAATACTCTTCCACCGCCGGAAAGCCGTATCGGTACTACGCGATGAGCTCTCCAACCTCAAAGGCGCCCCGAATGATGGCGCGTTGATGACCGTGCTTGCGCTGGCATCTTTTGACGTCCTCTACCGAAAAGATAGTACTGCGAATAGCAAGGCTGTAGCTCTCATGGTTGCATTAAAAGGGGGACTCGACAATCTGGAAGGACGAGGGCTTATCAAAGCTTTCCTGATACAGATTGATTATTTTTGGATGCTTGAAACCGGCATGGAAAGCGTGTTTCCATTTTCTAAACGCAAACGGCAGAGAGCATATCCTCAGCATCCGTTCAACGCCGACATCCTCTCTTTGATTGCTAGTTTGCCACCGGGATTCGCCGCTTTAGCACGCCAAAGTTCTCTCAGGATTGACGTTCTACAAATTTTGTCGCGGGTAGGCAAGTTTCTCCATTCCCAAACTTCCAACTGCCCACTACCAATCGAGAGAGACCCGATTCCGGAAGACCAGCAATACCCGGACATTTTCGATGCTTGCTCCTGTCTTCATTCATCAGCTTCTACTGTGCATAGTTTGGAAAAGAACATATGCCTTGCAATCATACTTTTCAGTTTTAACATCCATAGCCAGGCCCGCTCGTCATCGAAACTCACGGCCTTCCGCGGGTCACGGCAAGAGTTGACCAGATCGCTTCCATTCACGTCCAGACGCAATCCAGAAGAGCGATATTGTTTAGTATGGATCTGGATGATTGTGATTGGGTCGTGGCAATGGGATCTTGATTTGAGTCAAGACGGTCTTTCCAAATGTCGGAGCTTTTTCGACAACTTCGAAGAAGCTAGATCCTGGAATAGAATCGAGTCGGCCATGCACCAATTCTTCTGGTATGAACCATTGGCAAAAGGTTGGAAAGCGAGCTGGCAACAAGTATTGGGCTCGTATCAAAGAATGAATCAGTGGGACATGCACCTTCAATCTACCGACATAACAAGTCCTCCGAAAATAAATCGATCGGCACGAGAATCCACGCCTACCTCTACAAGCTCTGCAGCTACGATGACAGAAGATGGACTGGGGGGATTTAATATTCCCGAGAGGACTAGACTAGCAAGCCCGGCAACGGGCGGTGAAAAATCTGAAGGGGCTCGTCAAGCAACCACGCTGCCACCGATGTTGACACTAGATACCTATGTTGAGTGGATATATTGAATGATGATTGTGCAGAACCCCCCCAGAAGAATAAACTTCTTCAATGGTATGGGCTCTTTGTGTTCATAAGTAGGGACCGCATAAATTCAAAACAGTTAAAGCAGCGTGTCCCAGATATCATGTCCGGGTCAAATTCCCGTTGCCGCTTTTGCACTACACAGGAATGACATCTTTTTCGGCACGAACGCGTTCGAGACGCTGTGACAACAATGCTATAGTCATGGGCCCATCTGCGCAAACGGCCGGTCAAAAGCGCAAAATTGCGCCTAATGGACCTACACAGTCCTCGAGTGCGCGTAAACGACAAAAGAACCAAGATGCTCGAGCTATTCCTGTCCAGCGCATGAATGCCGCCACCTCTGCCAATGGTGAACTCAATATCTCATCCTTCATCAAGGCCAGAGAATTCGAAATCACCGCTTTGGAGAAAAGCATGCAGAAGGCAAGGAAGACTCTGACCACAAGAGCATTCCAACAAGTTCCAAGACATATGCGAAGAAGAACTGCCAGTCACAATGCCAAAAAGGTTCCCAGAAGGTTGAGGAGAAGGGCTGAGCGTGAGGTGGGTTTGAACATTCTCATTACAAGGCTCTGTGTACTAACAGAGCTAACCAGGTGTGATATAGATGAAAGAAGATAATACACCTACGGTGACGAGACGCACACGAACACCGTCACGCAAGTTGAGACTACGACTTGAGACCGCGAAGACGATCAGGAAGCTGAATAAGACGGCTAAAACTGTACGTCAGAGAAAGAGGGAAGCCAAATCCAATGCGAAGCAGTCGGATCCTGTACATCACGTCTCGGTTTCACGGATACCGCGGTTGAAGAAGAATCAACTTGCGCGGCCTCCGACTGCGACGACCAAATACAAGAAAAGACAGTTGAATAAGACGTGGTTGCCTACTCACCTATGGCACGCCAAACGTGCACATATGACTCGACCTACCGAGCCATTATGGAGGATCGCCATTCCATTGAGCCCAACTGAGAAAAGTTACAGGCCCAGTCATCGAGCAGCGGGCACTCACGGATGTGTAGCGTGGGATACCAGCTACATGTCCACCGTGGCATGTTGGGGGACAGAGACTGCAATAGAAAGTATACTTGGAGCATTCGGCTTCACTCCCCAAGGGCTCTCAGGATCACTGCTGAAGAGATGGAGGTCTGGGACAAGATTCGGAGGAGGCTGGATATATGAGCCAGACAACCACCAACGAGCTATTGCACCCGTGGTTGTAATCTGGTGTATGCAGCCTAAGAACGAAACAGCTGGGGCAAAGATTGTCGACGCAGCAGAGCAGATGGATGTGGACGCGGACGGTCGGCCACAGCCTTCGAAGACTCAAACTCAGACCAAGCGAAAGAAGAAACTTGATACCCAGATCTTAATTCGAATCCATCCTTCAGCCTTTCATCAATTCTGGCAGGAGCTTCTGAAAATTGCCAAAATGCAGAAACCTCAAGTGTTGGTAGAAGATCTTCGCTTCGAGGTTGGAAGCATCGAAATAAAAGGTCCGGGTTCAACAGAAGCTTTACTAGGCGTCCTTCGACCATTCCCGACGGACACGGAAGCAGAACAGTCCATCGAATCCGTGTGGACTTCATTAGTAGGACTCAGCAATCCTGGCATCCTGCCACAAAATGCCATTCTCGCACTGGATGTTGTTGATCCGAGACTGCGTCATCCCCCCAAGCAGATCGATATTCCGCAGAGTTCCGACACGAGCCGAATGGATGAGATTCTTGTTTCCTGGCCTCCAGATGAACATCTATCTCGGTCGCGCCTAACATCACACAAGACGCGCTGGCAAGTGTGCCATGCATTGCCGTCGCAAAAGGCCATCAATCGACGAAAGTCACTGTCACCGCCTGGCCAGGCTCCGGCACTCTCAACCAAAGATCCACGCATCCCAGTGATACTCCTCGCTGCCAGAGCAGAAGACCGTTCCGCCTCCGAGACCGACAATTCTCAAGGAACATGGATTGTTCTTCTCCCCTGGAAATGCGTCGATCCTGTCTGGCGATCTTTAATGTACTATCCCCTCTCCAACGGAGGAACCCCTCGCTTTGGGGGTCTCCAGGAGAAACGGCAATTGGAATTTGAGCAGGCAAGACCATGGTTCCCTGGTGACTTGCCCGGCACCGAGGCTGGCAAGGCTTGGGAGCGCGCCGAAAGCGAAAAGAGATTCGATGACTGGATTCGAAGACCACCGAAACACAGAGTAGCGTGGGATAAGATTGACTTAGGCTTGGGAAGGTGTGGAGAGGTTGGAAGAGGCTGGGCCTGTGATTGGGAGTATCTATTTGAAAGCACAGAGGAACTTGTCCATCATGAATCTGCTTCTGGGTCCCAGAAAGCAACGGATCATCCCACAGCTACGGAAGCGAAGCCGGCCCTTACACAACGACAACGGAAGGCAATGAAGGCTCAAGCAGATGCCGAAGCAAGAAAGGATGACGATCCTCTTTGTCGACGCAACACTTCTAGCCCGGAGAGCGAAGGAGAAGAGGAAAACCAGATACCGACACTCAATCCAACAACAGATTACCAGCAACTCTCTCCCACGGCAAGTCTATCACTTATGAAGGATCCATTAATTTCCATTGCCCGTCTCCCTTCAATTCCAGCATTAATGACAATTCGAATCACACTCCTTGACAAAGGCACACCCCGTCCAGCAGCCCGCATCTACCGTCTCCCATCGATTCCGAAACGTCCTCCCCCTAAACCTGTGGAGCAATCTGCAACTGCAAATGAAATCTTGCCATCCACGCCACCACCAGCTCAGAAACCCCGGCCACCAAGCAGTATCGACAGCTCGCCTTCCTCACCCAGCAAGTCCGCTCGCGATCTTCGCGCTCGCTGGCTCGCGTTACAACCCCCATGGAACAAATCAAACTGGCCTCACATCGCATCTAACTATCGCTACTCAAAGCAGAAGACAAGTCGATTCGACCTCCCCTGCCAACAACAAGCACACCCGCGCGAATCACTCGCGAATATCAACGTCCTTCCAAAGAACGCTCCCAAGGAAATCATCGACAAGTACGGCCCGAACAGCGCCTTTGGACGAGGTGATGGTGAAATTCCCAAGGAGCGGCCGGCGCCAAAAACCCAAGCCAAGGGCAAAGGCAAAAAGAAAGGCAAAGGCACAATAGTCGTGGACTCCAAGAGCGCCGACAAGAATGTCGCGTACCTCGACCCCAATGACTACGAGCACACAAACATCGCGGCCCTCACGAATCCCTTCGATTCTCCGTCAGAATGGTCCAAACATCCGCCATGCCCGAATGCGCACGATCTCATAGGCTTCGTTACTTCGGGAGGCTATAACCTCAGCGAGGGCCGTGGGACTGCTATTGGGTCGATCTGGGCGCAACGTGTGCTTGAGTGGTGGAATATGCATGAAAGTCACAATGACACAGTGGGAGACAGAGAGGGGAAGAGAGAGAGGATGCTGTGTATTGTCCGCAACACGGGTGAGAGTATTGGGAGATTGGGCATTTGGGAGGTATGTGCCTAACCTATGACGGATGACTGTGACTGCACCTATGCCTACTTAGTGTGGATGTTACCGTGATGACTGCGCCGGGGGCGGTGAAGTCTCAATAGCGACAATGTTGTACGTTAGAATAATCCCGAGAAAGGGGGAGTGGGTTGCATATACACTCGTGCGATCGCTGCAGAAATGCAAAAAGAGATCACTCAGAAGAATGATCAGGAAGATGAAGTTTTCAACTTCTCTTTCGAGATTTCTATTTCATACACAAGGAGCCTGTGCGCTACGGCCTATAGGACTGCAGCGCTATGCCAATTTCCCTTGATTCCTTGAAACATATCATCTCAACCACTATATCACCATACGTCCATGTCTCTAACACCAATACGGACACATATAACGGAAGAGGGTATCGAGAAACGATCTGGTCTGATCTGACCCGACCTGGCCTGACCTGAGATAAAACAGCGCCGATATAAAAAAAGGTTGAACCAAAGGCCCCCCAAAAAATATACAGAAAAAGCCATGGAAAAGGCAACTGCCGAAACAAATTGTGCGGAGCTGAGAACCTTGTCCGCAAAGGTCATGCTCCTCATGTCATTTCGCTTTGTTCTGCATCATGAGACCCTGGTTCCGGTGATCCTGCTGCGGATCTGATTTGGTATAAGACGGTATTGTGCAAGCAGAGCCAATCCATCGATCAAGCAGTTTGATCGAATTGGTTCTTCTCCAAACTCCATGCTTGCCGACTCCCATGTTACCCTGAGGATTAAAAGGTTTTTTTTTTATATCATTGTCGTGAGACGAAGATTCGTTTTCTCAGTTTCGAGATTCCAGCTGCGTGGATTTAAAGCGCATAATTCTCCGCGTGCAGAAAGATTTCATCCTTCCCACTATCCCTCCACACCTCACATTGCAATCGGGCCACAGTGTTCGCGACGTCTGTTCTCATCTCTGGAGGTCCACAGACATACACGCAAGTCCTTCGACCAAACTCCTTGCTCAAGCCTTTGAGCATGTACGGTATATCAGGACGGCCGTATTCTGTACGCCAGCCATCCCGGCGTTGCGCATTGACATTTGTGGGCAGGAATGCAAATCGCATCAAGTTCTTTTGGAATTTGGTAGGGGTTTGAGGGAAGCCAAAGTCGAAGGAGCGCGTAGCTTCGATCTGGGCTTGGGAAATGGTTGACCTACGGTTGTGGGGTGGCGGAGGGAAGAAGATCTTCGAGTCCTCTCCAGGGGTTGCAAGGTGGCGTGGGGGAGCCAGGTATGCCTGTGGGAGGGCGGTGATACTGTCCTCGAATTCTCGTTTGAGATCAGGTTCTTGCTCCATCATCAATGCAGAATTACGCTTGCTTCCGGCATGGTGGATGACGTCGGATAGCTTGTCTCGAATTCCGCTAAGGCGATGTTCTTTGGTCTCCGGTAAAGGTTCGTAGCGTTTGGCTGCGGTGATGTAGAAATGGCATTGTATCGATCCTGGAGGAGCACACTCTCTGCAAATTCGGAGTTCTTCTTTGAACCATTCCATGATGTCGGGACGCTTCATGGACCATATGACATGGACTTTGGAGGTCGTGGCTTTGCCGTCTCGCATACGCTTGATTAAGTCGAGTAGTTGACTGGCGATGGCAGTGATACCACTCCCGCCGGCAAAGAAGATAACTTGGTCAAAGGATGACATTTGGCGTTGCATCCCGCCATAGGGACCTTCGACGAATGCTCGGTATGTCTTGTAAGGGCCTTTCTTGATAGACGTGTTGAGAACTTTGCGCGTGAAGCCTTGAAAGGGTCTGAAGACCAAGGTCATGTCTCGATATTGCTCGCCGTATTCGGACGGAAAGTCCTCGCTGCAGAGGGATGCAATGGTGAAAGGGTGGTTCTCCAACGGTGCAATGCCGGGCATCCGTAAATAAACGTATTGACCTGGACGCCATCTCTTCTGTGTTGGAATGGTGACCTTGACAGCGTTTTCCGGTAAGATGGTGACGGCCGACTCTTCTCCGATGAGCCATGACGAACGGAGTGGATTCATCCAGTTCACGAAGAAGAGACGAGTAGTCAAGGAGATCACCATCAACACTATTGTTGAGTAAAGATAGGCCGATGATGTCAAGTACTTGTAACAATGCCAGAACAATAAGCCGACGAATCCCCACGCCACAGGAATATGGAGAATGGCAAAGAATTCATACATCTTGGCTCGAAGGATTGGTAGCGAATGGAGGGTCAAGAAGATCAAAGGTGCGATGGCCGCAATTCCGGTGGTGAAGATATAGTATTGCTGGTGGAAATAGAGTTTGAAAGTTGCAAATCCTTGGGGATCGTTTGTGGATTGATACCAGTAAGGAACCGCATGAACGATGGCAAAAATCACACAAAGGTAAGCGGTCCAACGATGTAGAACGATGAGTCGTTCATGACCAATTCCAGTCAACAGAGAAACAGGATTTGCTTTCGTGGCCAACACCACCACCCACGGGAGGAGGGAGACCGACATCATCCCGGCTCGGACCGCCAGAGGAGGAGACCCATATGACATTGACGCATAGAAAAGTGGTTTCGGCAGGAAGCAGTAAAGCATTGAGGCGACCAGGGAGATGGTTATGACCACAAGAACTCCGGGGGACGGAAAGGTGAATCGGTATTTGCCAATGCGAATGGGTGGAATGGGCCGGTAAAAGATCCATCTGAAGGCGGCGATTGTGTTGTTGAGCGGCGCAATGGCCGAGACAGCTGCTTGTTGCCTTGGCTTTTCTGCCACCAGAGGTCCTTTGGAGGGGAAAAAGTGCCTCGTGGAGCCGTCGGTATTAGCACTGATTGCACTGGGTAGCTCATAGTCGGCATATCCATGCCGGGGCGAGAATCCTAGCGGACTCGGTGATGATGCGGAATTGATGATTTCTTCCTTGTACAGGGCCGTCCGGATCTTGTCCCCCCAGTAGTAATAAAGCCGCATTAACGTCGTGGTGACTACCAGGATGAGGCCCACGTAAACAAATAAAAGTCCATACTTGTCGGCATCTGAGAATGGGTCGTGCGCTATAGCCTCAATCAGGTCAGGAGGGGTCGTGCTGTTGATCGGAATGTTAACTCTTTTGACCAATTCTTCCATTGACCTCTCCATCTCCACCCGAATTTCCTCTCCTCTTCCGGCCAACTGCGCCAGCGCCTCTGTCGATAATGAAGGCATCTTTGCTTTGACTCTCGAAAGGAATCAAATTCAACCGCAACCGACAAATGGCCCGCGAATGTATCAGAGAGATGGTGGGAATATAGTCCTTCTTCAAGAGCCCTCACAGAAGGTCGTGGATGTGGTTGAGCAAAAGGCCCGCGGCTAGGCAATTGGATATGTGCTCTTTTTTTTTTTTCCCCCCCTTCGCCGTGGTCATATGTGTTGTGACCGCTCAACAGCCTGGCATGAGATATGCAGTTTTTCTTGGATAGGTTGGAACGGAGAAAGCCTGCTCTCTCAAAGGGAACGACAAAGGTAGCGAGTGTAAGGAATGAAGAATGGAGGAACTCAGGCCTCTTGACGTGGAGGAGAGAGAGAGGGAGGGGGGCGGAACGTGCGATAAAGAACTTGAATCATGCAAGAGAGCGTATTTGGTCTGCGAAGAAGTCGACAGCAGGAGGTGATGAACAGTAGCAGCGCGTGTGGAGAGAATTGCGCACCCCGCCACTTGCTGTGATATTGACCGGAAGTGTATGAATCCAAGAAAACTACCGAGTCCGGAGCAGCAATAGCAGGGACGAAACGAGAAGGGCTATCGACTCTGGCTTCCATCTCAAGGGCCACAAGTCTCAGCGGTAGAGTCAGCGCTTCGACGAGAGCTTGCATTGGTTGTGTGTGCGGCCAGGAAGTCGTTGGAAACATTCGGCCGGCTCTGGATTAGTGGGAACCTGGAGCGGTCCGGAGTGCTAAGAGAAAGTCGCTCAAAAAGGAGAGATACAGTTGGGCAGGTCGAAGAGCATTGCTGAGAAGGAAACAAACGAGAGAAATAGGTGATTGGGTGGAAAGAGTGACGAGCCAGGAACAATTGCATGATATGGTGCAGATGTGGCTGCAGTGAGCAGTCAGCGGCGGCGGTGGGGTGGTTCGTCCGCAGCCAGTCAGGGCGCAGAAAATGCCCGTACAGCTTGCCGCCCAGGTGTGACGGCCTGTTGAGGGCCACCTTAGCGCCATCTTCATCCCTCCAACCATAATCCAGATCCTGTATCTCATCATCCAGCTTGCACCCAGAGCTGACATCCTGAGCACTCTCGAGAGTAAAAAGGACACGGTAGCCCGGCACGGCGCGACTGGACTCTGAACACTGGTATTTTCCTGTTGGAATCAACGCTGATAATTCTCCGAGTCACCCGAACTTCTGAGTAAGAACACTCCATCGAGTCCATACCGGTGTGATCGAGGAGGCTCTTAGCAAAGGCCGACCACCATCCACGGCAACTTCTAGTCGCAGATATCTCACATCTGGGATGCCTGGGGAAGCCGAAAGCGTTCACATTGAGGCTATGACGTCACACGCTATAGTTTCCCCCTTGACAGAAAAATGTACCTCACGGAACACTTTCTGTCGCAGGTCGGCTTATTGGTCACCGTCCATATCATAAGACTAGACAGGGATATGAAGGGAGATCCCAATGATCCCGATCGAGGAATCCTTAGAACACTGCGATGGGAACAACAGAACAAGTAATCACCATAGAGAAGTCACTCATGACAATGGCGCCCAGTTTGCAAATGACTTTGAAGCAATCACTGCTTTTTACGTAGTTCCCGTGCCCGGACTGTTTACCTCCGCATGGCCGAGTCTGCCTGTTTCTTCCTCTATACCTCTGGAGTGCGTGGACTGGGGTGCGCTCTTCATGAAGTTCACGTAGAATGGACCTGAACATGGGGATGTGAGTAACATATGAATACCCTTGACATCGAGTCATGTGTGCCATCTCATCGCCCAATACCAATTAATGCGTGAAGCCGTTCAAACATTGAACGAGGCTGCGGCTTGCCAAGATTACCCCAAGCTAACCCCGAAATGCCATTCATTTAAAGCGAGCCACAATTCCGTGATAAATGGGGCCAAACCTTCAGTGAACTGGTCAAGCGCCCGGAAAGGATCAGAGCCGTCTAGGATCCCCCTGAAGGCCCTGAAGATGGAGTTGCTCCAATGGCATATCAATGCCGGATCTTCGGGAACCAGATTTGGATATGCAGGAACAAATCCTGTAAAATATCGTGCTTTGAGCCAGAGACGAATCGCAGTGAAGGACCAAGCGCCTTCCAACTGCCACCAGGCTCAAACTGTGCATTCAGGGGTAGTCAATGCAGCCGCACACCCTTTCGTCCATCTGGTCCCCCCGTACACAGTGTAGACTCCGGGAGCATTTCTGGTTTGATCTTGAGCAGTCAGATAGCGAAGCCACGTACCTATGTACGGATCATATCTTGATCCCCTTTCAGCGTCGGTGGCTGATTGGATGATTGCTTTCGAGCGCTTCTAGGACAAGCTCTTTAGTATCATCAGGAGTGGCCTTCTTTTGGATCTACAAGAGGTTTGGCATAAACGTGCATCGGGGTCGAGAGCGATAATTAGCAGCACACGGGCCGTCATCGGGACTGTTCCGTGTAGGGTAGATGTGGTATCCGCACGATGGCGTTCCGGCATTAATATTTCTTGTTTTGATTTCAGTATGTGAATCTCGGGGAGCGTACAACAGAGTGATGGCGACACAACCGTTGACGTTTGTCAAGGTGGCTTGGCTCTGTCCGGCCGTACCTCATCTCAAGTTGTCGGGTTTTCGGATATTGTGCTCGACGAGCTCGGAAAATGATTTCGAATCCGACTTCTTGTCTTCGGACATGACGGGAATCGTCGTCTTCCGTGTTCGGAGTAGAGCATGTTGAGATGCTGATTGGGATCAATCAGTGGACCGTCGGATTCCATCAGTCTCCTCCCGTGGCATCGACAACTCTTGCTTGGAGGATCTTCACTTCCTCCAACGGCCTGTCCTCACTGTTGGTCTTGACCAGGCCCATTCTTTGCAAAACCTTCATGCCGCTCTTAACACGACCGAATATGGTGTGTCTTCCATCCAACCACGGTGTTGGTGCCAATGTAATGAAGAATTGACTCCCGTTGGTGTCTTTGCCACTGTTGGCCATGCTCAGGACGCCCGCACCGGTATGTTTGAGGGAAGCATGTATTTCGTCCGCAAACTTGTCCCCATAGATGCTTGAACCTCCACGCCCGGTGCCGGTGGGATCACCGGTTTGAACCATGAAGTTGGGGATGATACGATGGAAGATCACATTGTTGTAATACCCTCGTTGGGCAAGAGTGGCGAAATTTTGGCAGGTCCTTGGAGCGTGGTCATTATAGAGCTCGACCGTAATGGCGCCCTGAGCTTCTTGATTAACATGCGCAACCTGCAATCGAGCAGAGAGTCCGTACCATGCTCGTTTCAAGGACCACGTCAGTCGCCATTTTGCCTTGGAAGATGGTGTAAGCATTCAGTTCGAGGTTCTGCGCATTCACCAGAGTGGGGTATTCGAGAGTACAAAGTCAGGATTTGCGGTGCAGATATCGACAGTTCTTTCTATTAAAAGCGAGGTTTGATTTTCTGCCAGTTTTGGCTAGCTTGGATTCGCGGAAGGCCCCATTAGCCATTCCGGCTTGGCCTATTTCATCCGAGGTTTCAGGTTCCCCTTACGTCCAAGCCTGGAGTCATCTTATGCTGATTACTGGGGTTCCGAATTCGTCTTGAGCAGTCAGCAGCCCGGGAGAATATCTCATACGTCTATTTCGATAGCACCTGCACTGCTACATCATTGCTTACGCGACAGAGGATTATAGTCCTGATATTTGTCCGCACCTTCAGACCCCAGAATACTTCACGCCTTCAGCACCTCCTGAGAAGGAACATGGAAGACATTTATGGCCTTCAAGTCCTTTGCCCCTCTCAAATAGTGGACATTGTCCTTGAATGTTTGGGTTTCTCGGCATTTCATATGCGCTTCGACACTCGTCCACCCGATCAATGCGACATAGACTTTGCCCTTTTCGGAGGTGTTGGGGATATCGAGTTCTTCGACGACCCAGCCACCGAATGCCCCAATGAAGCCGTTCGCAGACCCCTCAAAGACACTGGCAAATGTTTTCATACCATCGTCGAAGGTCTTCTGGTCTTCAGGAGAATAATCGAGTGGAAAGTATGCCGTGATGATCTCCGTGGCCATGGGTTCGGTACCGACTAGAGCCTTATTGGGCGGATGAGGGTCGAAGTGGACATGGTAGAAACTTGGGTTCCCATCTATGACACTGAGAATCTTTTCGAAGAAGGGTTTGTACTCTCTGATCTCTCGTTAGGTGTTTTGATTCTGTTAGCTTGATGTGGAGTGGGCTTACGGGGACGCGATGAATTTGGTATGGTAGTCTACAGCGTCCCAATTGATGAAAAGATTGCAAATATTGGGATGTTCGACCTGTCGCCCGAAGGACAGAAATTGACAGCCCTCTTGAGCCAGAATTGTTTGCGCCAGTTCTGCGAACTTCTGACCAGACTCCGTGGTTCCATCTTCAGGCTTGTCCCCCTCTTTGAGGGGTAGAAAGACGATCTCCGTAGCAGGTGCCATGTTTTCTATCTTCTGTTCCAGCTGGGTTCCAGACTGCTGATTTAAACACGAGGGAGTGTGAGTACTTATGATTGACAGTCTCCTAATTGAGTTTGAGGCAAATCGTAGCGATACGTGTCAACATGTAAAATCGAAGTAAGCACGATCCTCGAGATGCCAAGAATGGAGACTCGGGGATAACACCGATTGGGCCGGTCAGAACCTACAAGATACCTATAAGCTAGGGAGAATAGTTAGACCGTGCCGGTGGCGGACGTTGCAGTCCTGCGACCCCATCTTTGATGAGACAAGAACCAGCTCTCTAATCGAGGTTAAGCGTACATGAAGGGCCGTTGAGGCTTAATGCTTCACCGTACTATTCCTCGTTCAGTTTTGCGCTTCGGTTATCACCGGATTGATGCAAACCCTCAACTACAACCGCGGTCAATGGAGAGTATATCATTTCCTGATCATACGTCAGACTCCAAGGAATCATTGCCTTCCTGCAAAGTTCTCCTCAAAGGGCTATACCCTGAATCGGATAAGAAGGAAACACTTTGATCATGCCTCCCGGATATACACCGACGACCTCTCTGTGGAGGAGCCTGAGCCATGTTCTCAGAGAACAACATCTTCGCCCTTCCATATCCCACCTACGATCACGCGTACGGTCAGCAGCCACATTTACACACCGGCGATATGCCCAAGCTATCTCTGTGCTGCCCACTTTGGTCGACAAGTCCAGTCCCGACTTCAAGGACAACGCAGCTCAGCTGAGGGAGATCATGGCCAAGTATTCTGAACTCCACCAGAAGATCTTGCGCGGCGGGCCAGAAAAGGCACGAGACAAACATATTCAGAGGGGGAAAATGTTGGCAAGAGATCGGGTTACAGCTTTGATAGACCCTTGGAGCCAGTTCTTGGAACTTTCACCGCTGGCAGCGCATGACGTCTACGAGGACGAGGTGCCTGCGGCCGGCGTCGTGGCAGGCATTGGAACCGTCGAAGGGGTCACTTGTATGATCGTTGCCAATGATGCTACAGTCAAAGGTGGCACATATTACCCTCTGACGGTGAAGAAGCATCTGAGAGCGCAGGAGATCGCCCAGCAGAACAGACTACCGTGCATATATCTGGTCGACTCGGGTGGTGCAAACCTGCCGAACCAAGCGGATGTGTTTCCCGACCGAGACCACTTTGGGCGTATCTTCTTCAACCAAGCGAGGATGAGTAGTATGGGGATCCCACAGATTGCCGTGGTCATGGGGCCTTGTACGGCTGGTGGAGCATATGTGCCGGCCATGTGTGACGAGTCCATTATCGTCGCGAAACAGGGCACCATTTTCCTTGCGGGTCCACCTCTGGTCAAAGCGGCCACCGGAGAAGTGGTCTCGGCTGAAGATCTCGGTGGTGGTCAACTTCACAGCTCTGTGTCCGGAGTGACCGATTATCTTGCCGTGGACGACGCCCATGCCATCGTCCTCGCGCGACGGTCAGTGGCCAACCTGAATTACCCCAAGGAGCAGCCTGCTCCGGTGGCAGTTCGAGAGCCACTCTATGATCCTGAAGAGCTAGCGGGCATCGTGGGGACCAATCTGCGGAGGCAGATCCCCATGCACGAAGTGATTGCACGAATTGTGGATGGGAGTGAATTCGCCGAGTTCAAGAAGGATTACGGGACGACATTGTTGACCGGATTCGCCAGAATTTACGGCTACCAGGTGGGAATCATGGCCAACAACGGAATCTTGTTCTCCGAGTCATCCTTGAAAGGGGCACACTTCATCGAACTATGCTGCCAGCGCAACATTCCATTGGTCTTCCTTCAGAACATCAGTGGGTTCATGGTGGGTGCCGACGCGGAAAAGGGTGGAATTGCCAAAAATGGTGCCAAATTGGTGACCGCAGTCGCCTGTGCCGACGTCCCCAAATTCACGGTCGTGGTTGGTTCCAGTGCTGGTGCTGGCAATTATGGCATGTGTGGCCGGGCGTATTCGCCACGGTTCTTATGGATGTGGCCGAACGCGAAGATTGGTGTGATGGGACCTGAGCAACTTACCGCGGTCATGGAGACGGTGGGCAGATCCGTCGACCCCGAGCTCCGACACCGTATCGAGCGAGAAAGTGATGCGGCCTTCTCGTCAGCCAGATTGTGGGATGACGGTGTCATTCCACCTGCGCAAACCAGGCACATGCTTGGGCTTGGCCTGAAGGCTGCCTTGGGTGGCAGCACCCAGGGGGCAAGTACCAAATTTGGAGTTTTCAGAATGTGAAACAGGATATTGGGCTCTTGTACCCCTCGTAAAGAGATGCTGATTGGCTCGAATATACGGGAGAGGGAGAGGATTTGTGGCAGAGAGCGGAAAAAGAAATACAGCATACGGGCACACTCAGGGGATGACCATGTACAAAGTTTTGGTGACATTTCGACGTGGGTCGGTAAGTCTAATTGGTTTTCTCCTCGCTCTCAACCTGCTTTTGTCTAGCTTTCATAAAACACTGTTGATGCTTGGGGAATTTTTTCCCCCCTCCCCGCCTTTCCAAAAGGCCCTTATGCTGACTCTGTAGACGTTACAAAATGACACATCGATCACGATTTCCAGTTCTTCTGCCTCGCCGATCGTGTCTATTTGGTCGCTCCCGACGACGAGTTGCCACTTGTTGCTCGTATATCTGATTGCGACTGTTGTCTTTTTGAATTATCTGAGCGCAGAGATTCAAGAAGACTTCGTCGACATTTGTCCGTCTGCGTGCCGAGGTCTCGTAGTAAGGCTTCTGGCCCCATTGCTGAGCGAGTTGGAAGGCTCGGGCCCGAGGCACCACACGGTCGTCCTCCATGTCGGACTTATTACCAACGACCACTAAGGGGATGTCTTCGTCGTCCTTGATGCGGATGATTTGTTCCCGAAGTTCGGCTAGTTCGTAAAATGAGTTCATGTTGCAGATGGAGAAAACGAGAAGAAACCCTTGGCCCTGCTTCATGTACAATTCTCGCATGGCCGTGAATTGTTCCGTGCCGGCCGTGTCGAGGCTGGAATGGTTAGCAACAGTAAGATTTCAGTTCCCATTTTTCCTGGTTCAAAGATTAAAATGAAGGGAAGAGTGGGAAAGGGGAAAAAAAGAGAGAGAGAGAGAAGGGGGGGG